ACTTGCCCTTTGTACGCGTCGAAGCTTTCGATGTACTATTTTTGACTCGACTCCGTTTCCACGGCTTTAGTATAGCTTCGTTTCTCCTTCCTCACTTTTAGAAAGTCCCGTAAGCAGGCTCTAATCGTACGAGACCTGAGTTTTATCGCAGATTCGAGACGTCTCTCAAAAATCGATTTTACTTGGTCCATTGCCTAACTGTTTATCAAGTAAAACGAAGCGTCGAAGACACGCATCCGAAAATCAACTTACTTTTCAACTATCGATAAAAAAATGATTGTATCTCTCTAGCGGGCTTTCACAAAACGTTTATCGAATCACTGACTGCTCTAGTAGCACTTTCGCTCAGCTAATGCTCAAATCAGGTTAAAGATTGTTCGACTACTCGGCTAACAGAAGGTCAGCGTAAGAAGTCAACTGTCGATGGTAACCTGTTCGTGTATCATTCATATTTATAAATTGTAGTCGAGTACGCTCTCCATCTGTCACTTCCAAGCAGCGACTGAACGAATATTCATTTAATCAAGCTTTTTCTCTCGCCTGGCATTTCGCTGTGTGAGTATCGTCTTCCTCAAACGCCGAAGACAATAACAGAATCGAAATCCTGCTTGGCGTTTTAGTTAATGGATCCGTTATCCGCCTTAGAAATTCTATATTGTATAAAACGTAAAAGGATGAAACACTAGATTAAAGCGAATAATTAACACATTATTATAAACCAAATACATTTGTAGTCAATTGATGTATATTAGAAAGTTGGTTTTGCGGTATTGTCTTGATCATTAACGATTGACCGAAAACTCGTAATGTATGATATTCTGAGATCAAGCTTGTCCTACAATCCGGTTCAGTGTCAAGGATATCGGCGTCACTCGTTACTCCAATGACAACCACGAATTTGGTCGTGCGCCAACATTTTTCTTATGTTTATGTTCGCTTGCACGAAATATATATTGCACCGCGCTGCTTAGTTTGCACACGCACCGGCAATTGATTTTGCACGAACGTTGTAAATTTGACTGCTGAAGTCAAAGTAAATATAGATTCAAAAATAATCGACTACCTATCTATATCTTTTTTTATTATGCAAATAATCAAGAGTGAAGTCTCTGTCGATAATTTCGAAATCTGTATTTACTTTGTCCTCAGCAGTCAAATTCAAAACGTTCGTACAGAATCCATTGCACCGGCAGCGTTAGTCCGGTCCATTTTCGGAGCCACGCCCTTGCCTTATTTTGCAATCGAGCTTGAAGTTGAAGCTTAAAGGCCAAGCAGTTCTAACATGATTGTTAGCGACAATCGCGTACTGCTGGAGAATGATTAAATTGGCCAAGCAGCAAGTGGAAGACGATCGAAAAGCGAAAGCGAAAAGAGAGACGCATCGCAGCAATTAGAGTGGAACGGCTATTAGCTGCGAAGCCGCAGAGTTGAGCATTAGCGGTTAACGATCGGCCAGGAAGCACTGGCACACAGTGGCTGGCAACGGTGCGTCGGATGCGCGCATACGCGCTGCTTAATTGAATGCCAGCGGCCCGGTAGCATCTTAATCGCGACGCGCGGACGTCGACCCGGCCGCTAATCCATGCAGCGGCTCGAGCATCCGCGCGACGCCATCTCTCTGGCCGGCGATTCATTGTATCGCGTATCGCGCCTACGACCTGTGCGCGATCGGGATTAGGCGATTGATTTTCGTGTCTTGTGCGCTAACGAGGCAATTTGCGGGCGACGACGAGTTTGTTTCCATGATTAACGCCAAGCACGCGGCAACTGCTATTGTGATGCAGTTTTCGTCTCTGGTTTTATATTTCGCAGCGTCGGGAGTAAAAACGGTGCTGATGTGGCACTTCTCCCTGTCTCCCGCTTTTTCTTACGGCTTTACGAGCGACATGGCGTTCTAACTTTCATTGCGAGCAGCAGGCTTGGCCGGAATATTTAGGGAGTCGCGTCGTAAAAGACGATAGAGTACATCAGCGACGAGGATTCGGAAGAGCGGACGAGAGAAATGAAGGAAGCTCGCGAGCGAGATGAAAGCTCAAAGCGTCGTCGACGTGTCGTTGTGGAATCGGCCGGGGCAGGGATTAACAATTTCGATTTGTATGCATCGATGCTCGCACTCGCCGCGGGACACAGCTCAGCGAGATGTCACAAATAGAAAGCCAATCTTGTTTCCGTTTCGATACGCACTCGCGGATATTTCGCGCGCGCGACAGGCATCGAGTGCGGAATTTTCGATTGTTGCCGCGGGACTCTGTAATACGACGATTGTCCGTGCGCGTGTCGGGGATGACCGGGACATCCGCATAACTATACCATTTTCTGTTGCTTCGTTCGTTACGTAAACTTTGATAGCGCATTACGTTTCACTGCGCTTTTCTGAAGCATCATATCTCGACAATCGTTTTCCATACGATCGAGCTTTTTAGGTCCCTCGTAAAAAATGCTAATTGCTAAGTCCCACATAGATGCCTGATATTAAGACTCTATGTTTTTATTTATTTTATTTATTTATTTATTTGTTTTTGCTGTACCAACGGACAGCAGTGGAATTCCGCGAGCTCAGTGCAAAAAGAGCTGTGCGTGATGAACCTTTGTCCGAATTTTTCAGCTTGCTGACACTCGTGTTAGTTTTTTTCGTTGAAAGCTCCAACGTGAATTCCTTCTTTGTAACAAAGCAAAGTTTTTTCCGCGGCGGTGAGCGTCGTGCAAACCAAACATTTGCCGCAAGAAATGCCATTCATCCGCAACGAATACGAGTTCCGACGGCAGCGTTTAATTCGACCAGTCAGAATGGAAGTCGTGCGTCGTCCGTCGTCGTGGCAGTTTGCTACAGAGCTCTGTATAAAAATTCAACGTCCGCAACGCCAACTTTTCGACAAATATCCGTCTCTCTTTCTCTCTCTCTCTCTCTCTCGGCGACGGCGAGGCTGCGAGGAAAAAATATGCGCGCAAACGCGTATCACACGCAAGCTGGTCGTATATTTCTCGGCCAAATCCGCGAGCGACGTGCCATGATCGAGCGTCTAACCCAGGTTGCATTTTTATGTACGCAAAAGCTTTCTCTATCCCATAAGATCCGTTATAACGATCAAATATAAAACAAACACGCGTGCAAAGTCGTTAAAAAGAAGTAAATTACATCGCTCGTTTCCATCTCGACGGCCTTTTCGAGCACGAAAGCCTCTACGGTAAATTTATCGGGATCGAAGCACGTCGAAAGAGCAAAAGCATTGAAAAAATCTTGCGACCGTCTTCCTTTCAATTCGAATTTCGCAAAACGCTCTGAAAATTCTCCTTGAGATTGATTCGCAGGTTGCGTGATTAAAATAAAAACAAAAGAAAAATATAACAACAGTAATGACTGCGCGGACTTTTGCTTTTATTCGCTGGCACACATGTACAAGCGTTTTTTTTTCATCGAGGGCTGTGTCCTTAATTATTGTTTTCAGCGCGTTCACCTCTTTCAAAGGCAAGAGAAAACGGATTCATTTGAATGCCGGTAAATTTTTGAAAATTCGAGAGAGATGCTTCACTGCTTCCGGACGAGAGGAAACGTTTTGTGATCGGCTTTTTTTCGGGTTAGAACGGTTGAAGGAAGAAAAAAACTTGCGTTAAACTTTTTACAAAATATTGTGGACGCGCTCTGGCATACGCGTGTTGGAATATGCATGAAGGTTGTTTATTTGGAAAAGGAAAAAGCTGCGGGGTTGTACTTCATAACGGTGTAAATTCTGCAACAAAAGCCGTGAAAATGTTCATCAGTCTGGGCGTCACGTGCACCACGGTAAACAAGTCATTTCACTTCACGTTTTCGCCCAGGGCAAAATATTCATCAAAGTTCTAATTAAAGCTCGCTCCAGGCTGGCCCGTCGTCTGCTCGTTAAGCAGCGAGTGATCGCGGCTGTCGTGGCATTTATACGCAGCCTACAGCCATCGATCATTGCCGAGCAATCTTCACAGCCAACGGGAGAGAAAGAAGAAACAACGTCGTGAATCGGCCTACTTTCTCGTGTTCTTTTGGCAAGCGCGTCGAGGAACGCCTGTCGAACGCATCGAATGGCTCTGGTTTGAGCTTTGAAGCGAAATTAAAAATACCTCGGCTCCCGGCTCCCGCGTGCAGTCGCACTGCCGTCGCTTCAAGCTAATCGCGCTAATTATTTGGATGAAGCGTCCAAGTCAGCTGGAGCTTACTCAGCCTCACGAAAGAAAAGGACGCGTTATCACTGCGGCTGCTAGCGATCAATCTGCCGTTGCGCTACATTATATTGTCGGCGAATCTTGTGGGACTCTGCTTTTTATTCTCGGTACGCCGGAAATGATTTATTCCGCGAGCGAACAAGTGATTGATCGCCTCTCATTGTACTGGCGCGTAATGTTTGCACAGAGGTCGAGCATTTCATGAATTCGGGAGTAAAAGATTGCGCGGCAGACGGAAGGAGAAGCATCAGAAGCGGCAGCGAAGGTAACTCGACTCTCGAGAAAACGCGGATAAAAGCGGAGAGGCCTCTCAAAAGCTCTCGGGGAAGGAGTAAACAGCGACCGACAAAAGACGACGTATACAGTGGGTAATGGGTACGGGCCGATCGATAAGACCGATAGACCGGACCAGACACGTCTTCCTCGCCCCCGGACTCTTTTAGCTTCCTTCGACGTATTTGTTCTGCTCGCCGTCTTGGTCGTGCGAGCTCTTCTTCTTTTCTCCCTCTCCAGTCTTCCAGGACGGTAACCACTTCCAGCTAATTAACATTATTATCAGCCTGGAAGAGCTGTTCTCCCGCTCTCCCGATCTACGCTCGCTCCCGTATCTGTCGCGACGTCAACTGCTAATTATCTTTCCGACTTGCTTTGCCCGCTCCTCTTTATTTTCGCCCTCTCTATTTCTTCCGCCCTGCCAATTAGCGTAACAAGCTTCCTTCGCTGCAGGATCACCATGCGATTTCAGTGATTGCACGCTGCGGCCCATATCGAGAATCAAAAATAAGCTTGACTTTCTGCTGTTACAGTGCAGCGCGCACGCGGTCAAGTGCTTCGTGGGAGGGCCGCGCAAGAGCAACGAGTCGCAGTGCCCAATGCTGCAGCCGTTCGCGGAGAAGCAGCCGATCCTGACGCCCACGTCGCAGTGCGCGCCAGCGGCGCCGAGCACCGGCTGCGGCAGTGGCGGCGGCGGCGGCGGCGGCGCGGGCCCGCGGCGCTCCGCCAGCGCCGGCCGCCAGCGCAAGCACGCCAGCAGCACCTCGAGCGAGGCCAACTCGCCGCACAAGCAGAAGCGGCTGCGCCTGCAGCTGGTCAAGGAGCGCAAGGCCAGCACCACCCTGGGCATCATCATGAGCGCCTTCACCGTCTGCTGGGTGCCCTTCTTCCTGCTCACCGTCATCCGCATCTTCCTGTCCGACCCCTCGCGCATCCCCACCGCCCTGTCCAGCACCTTTCTCTGGCTGGGCTACTGCAACTCGCTGCTCAACCCCATCATCTACGCCACGCTCAACCGCGACTTCCGCAAGCCCTTCCGCGAGATACTCTACTGTCGCTGCGGCAACCTGCAACACATGATGCGCGAGGAGTTCTACTACAGCCAGTACGGCGGCCCCGTCAACAACTACGTGGTCAAGTCCACCTGCGAGTCCGCCCCGGCCGCCGTCGATGCCGGCTCGCCCGATCCGCCCAGCGAGAGCTTCCTGTGATGGCTGCGCGCGCCCTCGTCGCTTTCCGCCTCCGCGCTGCGCGAACGCGCCTGCACCCCACTCGCTTCTGTTTCGCGCGCTGCCCTTTCTCACCTGTCGGCGCGGACTTCCGAGGCTTCGCCAGTGTGCGTCACGACGCCGAGTGACCTGGCCTCCCTCGATGTTGGCGCGAATCGCAGGGGGACGGGAACGCCTGCGATCCGCGGATGCTCCACTTTACACTGAGTTCCCGGCTGCGCAGCGAGTTGCTTCGACTCTTTGCCGAACGGACGAGTCGGCCGGCCGCAAACGTTATACCGCTTTGCTCGATAATTTTCGTAAACGACCTCGCTCACGGTCATTTATTTCCCTCTGATTTTTCGTTCCTTGGAGATCGCTGCCGCGAGATTATCTTTGGCAGGTTTTTAATTGCGAGCGCTTGAATTCCAGCGTGCACAGATTTTATTACGTCACGCGACTGAAAGAAAGAAAAGTGCAACGCAAAACCGGTGGAAATTCAATGTGCTCGACGTCAAAGAATTCAGAAATGAACGCGACCTCTACAGTGTTTCATGAAATTTCAAAATTCTTGTAATCCAACTTTCGCGCCTGAAAAAAAAAGTAAAAAAGTGGAATTCGGCTGAAAGTCGTCGCCGAGCTGATAGATAAAAAATCTCCCTTTTTGAAAGTTTGTGGGGCGAAATAAAAATTCGAGCGATCCAATAAATTCTGGGCTGTCTGACCCTCGATGTCTCTTCGAGAATATTGAGTCAAACCCGCGACTCTTCCGCCCTTCTTCCTGGTTTTCTGCGACGATTTTCAAGTTCGACGCCACCAACTTAATTTTTCCGAGGAGAAACGCTTCGTTAACAAGAGTTTTAGTTATCGCCGAGTTTACCGCTGTAATTCCGAGTGGGTGCAAAAACAAGATTGCGCCACGAGTATATCGACCGCTAAGAGTAACGTTGTTTAAGTTTCGCGATGTCGGCAGTGAAGAGAAGACGCACAAGAAGTTGTTTTTCTAAATTTTTCTCCTCGGCGGCGGAGAAAAGGAGCGTGTCTGCGTGTATGCGTGTATGCGTGCGTTCTCGAGCGAGAGAAAGGAAAATATTGGAGGACAAAGAGAGACATCGCGGTCCGACGCTTTTCCTGAGACTATCCTCTATTTTTATAAGATTTTGTGTTCCTCGTGCTTTGTACTACTGTGCGTCTAGCCTACGTTTTTTAGATTTGTGTAAATAATAACCTCCGAGAGCAGAGAAGCATCGATATATACAGCAACTTTGTCGATTTTTTTTTATCAAACAACAGCATTATAAAGAGCAAACTCGATGTGTTATATAGATTTTAGTTGTATAGCGAGAGAATGATGCAAATACAAAACAAAATAACAGGTATACGTAGTTTCGTTGTACTCTTTGTCAGATATTGTAAATATATATAAATGCTCGTAAAATGTGTGATAATTACAAATTTTTACATGACGATGAGAAAATTAAAAGAACTTAGCGTAATGTAACGAAAAGGAGAGAGCTTATATACAATTAGAAAGCCATCGCAGATGCTAAACAAAAAAAACAATGTGTACGTGACTTTACTGACTTCCACCGCAAGGTACTAGATCCTACTTTTTTCCCCTCTTATTCTTCTTGCTTTTTTTTTAATTGGAGTGTACGTTGAGTTTTTCCTTCGTGTCTCTCTCTCTCTCTCTCTCTCTCTCTCGCTTCGAGACGTATTGACAAAACAATGCGAAGCTAACATGACACGAACGCAATTACACGGAAGGAGAAACGCAATGTACTTGCAGCGAGTTCGTATATTGATCCTCAAAGCTCCAAAGGAAACGTGATTTCATCCCTTGGCAGCGAGCGAATACACGCAGTCATAAACCGTACGTATGCGTTTCTGAGAGAGAGAGTGGGTACACATACTATACCCTCCTCCCCTCCCCCATTCTGTATGAGACAATCTGTGCTAAAGAGAAAAGTAAGGATAAAACAAAATAAACAAAATAGGTAAATAAATATAAATGAGCTATTAAAAACACACACACATATACACACTCACGTACACACGAAGCTATATGTAGTTCAACGTGATCGTTATAAATATGATGGTTATAATATAAAAAAAAAAAACAAGAAGACGTAGCGTATAAACTATATGCGATAATATGAAGCAAAATATGTGTCATAAACCAAATGAGAGGGAATACGGACCGTTGATGGTCGCAACATAAACAACCACTCGCCCCCGCTACCGCGCAATAAATTCTCGTGATGTTCTTGTACCTCTCGCGTAAATACTCGCGAGCTCATTTTTCACGCAGCGGCACGTCGTCGCGTGACTTGCCTCCCCTTTACCACCAGTTTTTTCTCTTCTTATTGGTTTTTTACCCCCCTCCCCCCCGCCCCTTCCCATCTCCCACCCAAACCCAACGATCGGTTTCTACACAACCATCAGTGCTGCTAGTGTGTTGCACGCCAAGGAACACAGTCAGCTGTTCGATTCATTAAAATGCAATCATCGATGTGCTGCGTTAAAAGGAAAAAGACGACCTTTACTTTTCCTTTCGAGACAAAGAACGCGAGGAGGGTAAGAAAAGTTATTGTTTTGTTGATAGATTCGCAGATTTTATTAGGTAACGAGAGAAAAAAAGATAAATAAAATAAAGTGTATCCGTCAGATGAGACGAACGTCGAAATAAAGAAATTTTCTTCAAAGTTAAAAAGTAAAGAAAAAAAGCATAATTTTTTCTTGCCTCCTTCACACCCTTCAGTTTCCCATGTTTACACCCATCGATCCTCTCTGTCTGCGAATTACAGTTTTCTGTTACACGCCTGTTGGGAATAAATGTGCTCCATTATTACACTGTAGCTGACTCGATATCGAGTTACTTGGAAAATCACTTCATTTATCAAACACGCTAGGTCTCATTTTTTAAATTATTTGCCGAGAACGGAGGAAAGTAGCCAAGGAACATTATCGACCTCTTTCGCAGTAATTTTGTAGCAACCAGTTGAATATATTGATATTTTCGAAGTCGCCGAACTGTGCTTTCTTTCGAGATTTAGTCCTAAAGTCAGAGAGTCGAAAATTCTTTCGAACTTTACCACTATATTTGTTTCAAATGCTTGAAACTTGGACAGAGGTGGGGAAGAAATCTATGCGAGGAGATCGGAGGAAAATTCAAGATTCACGTTCAGCCCCTACTCCAAAATACTCGCCGCTGTCGAAAGTTTTCGACGCCCAACTCGCATAAAATTACTTATCCGCTAAATGGGCGGCCGCGCACACGTGAGGATTGCGGCTACCTTCGATGCAATCGCTCTGCCGTCGAATTCAAAGCGAAGGGCGCGAACGATAAATCGATACCCATTCACCGCTAATCTCCGGGCGGCTCCGCGCATCGATAATTCATAATTTCTTTTAAAAAGCCATATCCATCCCGCGAGTACCGGTAAATCAAAATCCCATCAATTTGGGAAAGGCAGCGTGCTCGCAATCTCGATCAAATCCACAGCACGTCTTTCTAGCCGCGCGGCGGAGGAGGGGGGGGGGCAACGCGACGGGGGAACTTTCAAGCACACCAAAATCGATTGCTTGTTTTTTTTTTTTTCAAAGTCATTCGTAAGCCACACGATTGCAAAGTGGATTTTGGGAAAAGTAGATTGGCACTATGGGTATAATCTACCCCCAAGAAAAACGATGCGCCGAAGTTTTTTTATCTGTTAAATTAATTAGATGGATTTCGTTAAATAGTTGAAAATGCATCGCAGTCGTATTTTAATGCTTCCAAAGCTACGTTTCTTTGCCGATATCCGCTCCAATGAAATTGCGTCGTATCTTACATGCGAACGTTATTTTCCATTTCCTTCGTTGCACAATGAATGACCTGTTTTGCATAGTACATCGCCGCTTGAACGCTAAGCTCCTTGCAGTTGTAAAACACTTTTCAATTAAACACCTGCGGATTCTTCTGTTTGCAGGCTGCAAAAATTAATATCAAATGAATTAAAAGCCATGCCGAGAACTTTTTGATGCTAACGAACGATACGCGAAATTAAAATCAGATAAGGTTCGCCAGAAAGAAAATTTAAATGGTACGATAAGCGCAAAATAATTGTTTTTATCGTGTGAAAATCCATTTGAAAAATAATTCACTGCCGCTCGCAATTGTTTCGGATGCGATAATTCCAGTGCACAAATATTTGAGCTTCCGCAGATGAAATGTGCCTGACGTCAAAGAACTCAAAAATACATAGGTATGTCCGAGATTCACCGCATTTTTATAATCCAATTTCCGCACATACAAAGAAATCTATATTTGGAAGTTAATGTCGTAGCTGAGCTCGTCGGAAAAGAAAAAGGGATTTTGACCTCAAAAGTTTTACGGCAAAATAAAAAAATTCGAGCGTTGGGAGGAATTGTCATAAAAATCCTTTTAACAATCGCGAGTATGTTTCCCAAAAATACCTAAGAATCACTACGGTCTGATGTATTCCGCATAGATGGAAGTAATGTTTTCGCTTCGTAACTTTCGAAAAGAAATAATTTGACCCTCGTTTCTGCCGCAGAACACACGATTCCCATTCACAATGAGAGGAATAAGAAGTGAAGGCAGAGTACAATAGATGGAGAGCCGGCAAACTCCATGAGAGCCAACTTTACATTTCTATCAGTTTGAGCGAAAGTAAATCTTGGTCCGGCCTTCTCGCTAATCGAGCCAAGAATCAAAGCAGAGAAGGGAGCGAAAGCAAAGCTCCTGCGCGCACAGCCTTGGGGACTCGGCACGCTAATGAAGCAGAGAAAGAGAGAGCTTTCGGCGAAGAATGATTCCCGGAGGTATACATCCTCTGGTACCACGCTAGCGCTTGAGTGCGTACGTTGTGGTGCTCCGATCCTTTGGTTTCCGCGGAAAACGGCGAGTAGAACGCGAGACCACAATTAAAGCACTCCGTGTGCAAATTTTGCCAGCGGCGCGTGACTCGCTATATAGAGCCACAAGCCCTTCGCCGACCGGCGTGGGCGAGTTTTATTTTGATGGAGTGCTTTCGCATGCCTGATTAGTTATGACGAGTTTATTAGCCAACCTACATAACTTTTCACTGAGCGATGAATCAATGCTCGTAAGTCATTTTTATTTGACTAAGGCGACTTTTTACGCGGACGCTCGCTCTTTCTTTATTCCGAGAGACGCCCACTGCGTACAACTATTGCAAAAATATACCATCTTTCATTGAAAGAACTACTTTTTCAAAAACTTTCGTCAAGTATTCGTGCTACAGTTATCTATTCGCGTTTCACATAAATAATTTTTGCAAGATTGTGATGGAACATTGAAATACAGTAAGTATTTGAACTATTTTAAAGCAGAATACTTTAGAGTTCGCTGAGAAAAGAATCGAGTTACAGAAAAGCCGTTGAAAAATGTATCCATTAGCATCGGTACACATACCTATTATATTTCTGTTTATTTTGCAAAACGAATGATGTACAGATGAATATTAGAGAAACGGTGTTCCGAAATAGGAAGCACACAGACCAATCAACTGCGACGAAGAATGACATTGAAAAAAAGAAATTAGAAAAAAAGGGCAGGCCAAATCTATTTCGCGGACAAGGAAAAATGGAGCTTCCAAACTGTACTGCGTATTTTTCATGCTGCGGCCTTAGGCAGGCGCTAATTGCGACCCGTCCGATTCGAAATTCTCGTCTGTTTGGCTTCCGCGAAAGCATCCGCCAGCGCGCGATCAATCTTTCGCGCATTCTGCCCGCGAAGCAATGAATGATTCAGAAGCAGCCGTCGATCCTTGCACGACGCTCAGCACCGGTATAGGCGATGTCGCGTGCTCGTGCGAGAGTCGGCAATTATAAAATGCAAATGCGCGCGCGGAAAGATGAATGAAAAATTGCGGGACAGAGAGCGCGCAAATTACAGCGTACGTTTCATGCAGTCAAAGCGCCGCGGTATTAGCGCGCGACGCTCGCGCCCCGCGGGGATTCCATTAAAAAGCTATTTATTTACTTTGTTTTTCCCGGCGACGGAAAGTAGCACGCGCGACCACTCGTTCTCGCCTGCGCACCCTTTCCCTCATGGTTATTAATAGCCGGCGCCGCGGCCCGACGGACCTTCGCGTCGGGAATTGGGATGGCTTGGCTGAGCGTATTGGCGCCTTTATTTTCGGGCGCGTTTATTTGCCGGGCGTCCGCCGTGATTCTCTAGAAAGGGCAAACACTAGGCCGCGAACGCGCAAACCCGAGGTGACGAATGGGTTATTTTCGTCGTCGTGCTTTTTTCATACTTCACGCGGCTGATGAATGTACATAGTGCCGAGGCGGCAGATCTGCTTTAATGAAGTGTTACACACGCACGCTCGGCTGGGAAATGAAATTTTGAAGGCGCTTCCGCGCAAAGTTCTTAGTTACATTAACCGCCGGCAAAGTTTAATTAGCTATGAAGCGCATACACACACATGCGGTCACGGCGTGAGCCAAGTTTTACCTGAAAATTGAAATTTCGCCGCGGATAAATCCAATCGATCCCTTGTCTCCTGGTCCGCGAGACGCGGCCCGCGGGCGAAACCTCGGCGAAGGAAAGTTGCGCGGGTCACTGAAAAGTTGAATCGACGTTAAAGCCGCGATCGGCCGCTCGTACAGAAGCGTGAAAGTACAACGACGAAAGGCACGATTCGTGACGAGCAAGACACCGGCAAAGTGGAAAGCAAACGCTCGCCCTTGGCCGGCCCGCAGCTCAGATGGAAAGAAAATATTTGGACGGCGCGCCGACGAAAAAAAGAAGCCAGCGCTCGCCCGAGGCGCCTAATTGGCGATCGATACGATTTTCGCGATTCATGCACCGGGTTGGGGGGGGGGGGGGGGGGGGAGAAGAGACCAAACTTGTTGTTCCTCGTACAGGGAGCTTTCGAACTTGCGCTCTTTTGCCCTCGTTGCGTGCTCTTTCTTTGGTGCCCTTCCTCACAACGTTCATTGTCTCTTCTTCCATATTATTCCGGAGTCTTTGTCTCGCTAGTGCCTTTCTTGAGTGTCGGCGTCAGAGAAGACGGCCAATTTCGTCTTTCACTTAGCCAGAATAATCACACTAAGTGCGTGAAAACTTGCCCCTTCATTTTCAAGCATTCGTCTTTAAGTTGGCGCGCTTTTCCTAATTAATCAGCACTTTAAGCATGGAGCAGTTAAATATGAATAAATATAACATGGTCAATAAAGTAACGAAATATTTGAAATGCAACAGAATAGTGGTAATAATCTGGTTTGGTCAGGCATAACCAAGTTCAGATTACTTTTGAAAGAACATAAAATTAGCATTCTTTCATACGGGGTCGTATGATCTAGTCATAATAATGAATAATTTTAATAAACAAATAGTCGTTTCAATCAAATAGATAACATTTTAGCGTTTGATGGTAGTCGAGCTAGTTGACGTGAGACCATAGGTTGGTAAAGTAGAGCTGTATACTTCTTTCACCATGCGCAGAACAATTTGGATTTGATAGCGAAACTGCTTTTCAAATTCAAGTGTTCTTGATTATTAAAATGATTCAACAAGGTTTCAAAAATAATTAGAAACCAACATTTCAAATTAAAAATATTATTAATATCCACATGAGTTTTTACTGGTAAATGGCTAATAATACAGGTCATTGGGTGATATTCTTCAGTCGATTATTAATTATCAGTTCACTAGAAACAATTTTTTTCAGTCAACAAATTTTACGATCAATTAAATATCAAAACTCTTCGTACCAATAAAACACAAAATAAACAATGATATGTCAATGATCAAAAAGTAACCTGTATAGATATAGTAAATTAATTTCCTGCAAATGATTAATATTATAGAAAAGAGAACATGTACATATATTATACTTGCGACATAAGTGGCTATTATTCAACGCGGTTTTTATTGCGGTTTGAGAAAAGGTAGTCGAGATACTCGAGACAAATTACACATCTTTCCTCTGCCATCAATACAAATAAAGAACCGCCGTACTTCGTCATAACTTCACGAGTCAAGTGAGCTTTTAATAATGTACTTTTCTAAATAATTTGACCATATTCAAAATAATTACTACATCTATTATTAGGTTTCTCAATTTATCAACAAATGTTTCCACTATAATAATATTCATTATAGGTGTATGATTTCAAAAAAAAATCATCAAATCTAACCTCAAAAAATACGCGGCATATATTCAAACAGGTTCAACACATTCTCATAGACTTGTAAAAGCGATATCATTATATATTTCGAAAAACTATCTCTAATTTTATGTACTTAAGTAAGTATTTATTTAACCATTTGAATTTGATTTACAGTCTTGCTTTTTCTTATAGTCATTTTTTTTCATTATAGTCAGGCATATCTGTCCTTCTTAATCTGTAGGATAAACTATTACTAAATCATCATAAATTCCCTGCATTGAGATTATAAGCATCTACTTTTTAAAGATTAATAATTATTTTACGCATAATATTGTATACATATATAGATGTATCAGTTGTTACAATACCAAACATGAGTACAGTTGCATTTAATGATTTTTTTGAAAAGATGGCATTAACCATAATCACCTTATTGGAACACAAAAAGATTTATTTGCCAATATTTTAGACTATTCTTTCAATCCCTCTTCAGGATCTGTAAATATTTACAATTATCATACACTTACAAAAAAGTTCGTAATTTTAACGATTATGTACAGTAATATAATATTATAACATAATAGGGATAATATTACATTCCACATTACATTAAAAACTTAATTTTCATATAAATTTTCTCAATTTTTATAAGAGTCGTTCCCAGTTGAATGAAATCACGAATCAAGCATATAACATGCATTTGTTTGAACATGTCAATGGAGCCGGTGTTACGTACGAAAGAGAACGTCGTCGTACTTTGTGTTAACATTGCGCTAGAGCACTCATGATATCATGATGAGTAGCTATGAAAACCTGGGGCCAAGGTATAAACATTTACTTGGAAATTAGAAAATTAGTATTGAAAAATAAATAACCAATTATTTTATATTGCACTTTGTGTGATATTTATCTAATCAACTTGCGTTTTTTCTATAGCCTCCAAAGAGCAAACTACTATATTCCTTGCATTATTTGGCTATACTACATTTTTTTTAATTTTGATGATGTCCTTTCCTTTTATAACAGAAATTAACAAATTTAAATTTTAAATGCAGATCCAGACATTGGTAAGTCATATTTAGTGAAATTTACTAGCTTAAATTCTAAATAACTAATTATATTTTGAGTAGATATGTAATCGAATGAGCTACGGTCCAAAAAATGACAATTGCAGGCATTGTAATAAATTAATTTGTTTCCTCAATGGAAATAGAAAAATTATTTTTTTCTATTTCTATTGACTTGCAATATCGGCATTTCCATCTAAAAAAATTAATTAAAATTGTCACTGTAAAATTATAATAACATAACACTTCGATTTACTGCTTTCAAGAAACATTTATAAACATTCATAACAAATAATAATCAATTTTATGATTATTATTTATGATATTGACCTATTGATTATAACTTAGAGCAAATTAAAACGCCGATAGAAGCATACAAAAATAATACCTAAGATACTTGAAACATAATTTGTTAAATTATTTTGATCCATTTGAAATGTTGTAATAAGTCATTTTATACTACAAAAGTAAATATGAAAGACACACTTTTTCGGAAACATCCTCAGTTTTAAACGAACACAAAGGCGAACAAAGGTAAAAAGTATAATACATGCTAAAATCACGTGGACGGCTGCTTTTCGCGGGAAAGAAATTGACGCAACTTTTTACAATAAAACCATATTAACATTAACATTGAACTATTTCAAATATTAGAGACGGATAAGAATATCACAACTTCAAGTAATAAAAAGAGAAGTAATGATTATTAATTACTCTGAATTCTGAATCGCTCTGCTCCTTAGGTCTCCAAAGTCACATATGGCGTGAAACGAATTGGGTGTAAAGATCTTTATAGAATCGAATCGGAAGCCTTGATTCAAGTAGTGCTTATCTTTTGCCGGGCGCGTGTGCGCACACAGGCGCGGATATTCGGAGCAAAACTTCCATTTTCCTGTACTGCTCGGCGGATCTCTCTCTCATGTCCCCGTGAACGGTGGAGTGAGCACGTGTTTGCCTCTATCAAAAACCCGCTGACCGGTAACCGTCGTCTTTTCTCTCCAGTGAAAAAATAATCAAGCAAGTTCGCCGACATGAATCCCGAGAAGCTGAAGAAGCTTCAGGCTCAAGTAAGAATCGGTGGCAAGGGTACTCCTCGTCGTAAGAAGAAGGTAAGAATTATTTAGTCTTTGTGTCTGCGATGCCGTCGTTGTCATACTTCTCGAAAACATGCGTCGGCGTGATTTATATTTGGATTAGTTTTTCTGTAAGTTGACGTGCTCCAGTGAATCATTTAATTATTCAGCAATCAACTTGGGCTAGGTTGTATAGTAATTGTAAAACCTGCTGGATCACACTATGTGACGTTTCCTAACCAGTTGGCTCTTGCACTCAGCCCTCTTTTGAAAAGCTATTTTTAATCTTACTGCTTTTATCAACTTTCCCTTTATAACTTAGTACTAAGAATATCTCTTTTGCTTTGAAATTCATGATGTAAAAGTCAAATCACCATTACCTAAAGGAACTTCATTTCGTGTCCTTGAAAATGTCATGACCATACTTCTCTACACATTAAAAACTGGTCCCCTACCTTTCTTACTCTTGATTGTATATTTTTCAAGGTTGTTCATGCAACTGCAGCTACTGATGACAAAAAATTGCAGAGCTGTCTAAAGAAACTATCAGTTAACACTATCCCTGGTATTGAAGAGGTGAACATGATTAAGGATGATGGAACAGTTATCCACTTCAACAATCCTAAAGCACAAGCCAGTCTATCGGCGAATACTTTTGCTATTACTGGTCATGGTGAAAACAAACAAATCACAGAAATGCTACCTGGTATTCTAAGTCAGCTTGGTCCAGAGGGTCTTACTCAGTTGAAGCGATTAGCCAGCACAGTTGCTGGTAGTGGAAGCACCAAGACTGCCATAGAAGAGGATGATGAAGTGCCTGACCTGGTGGAGAACTTTGATGAAGCTAGCAAGGAAGAGGTATTTTGATAAATTTTAATTTTTAAACTGTTGTGTATTGTTTACTATTTATTTTACATAATTCTATAATTTATATTATCACTGTCAAGGTGGCAATGAAGAAGGATGCTGATGAAGCTCTTGCAGCTGAAGAAAAGAAAAAGACAGAAGAAACAAAAGATGCCCCTCTTGCCAAGCAAGAATCTTAAACACTGGAAATTACAAAGTAATTTCTTGCTAATTGAAATTTATTTTGATATGTTTCAGCTAAAAAGTCAAAACTAACTATTTTTTTAATTTCAGACTTACAGGCGATATGGCTCTCGGCAATGAGCTAAGAGGTTTAAATAACATAACATTAAGAGTTATTTGTAATTTAAAACGAGATCGAAATCAGATTGACTTTGCAAATGTAAACATAATCGAGATAGCTGAAAAGATTATTATATAATGAGTAATGGTTATAATAAAAGTTCGAGAAGTAGAATAATGATGGATATCGTTTTGATTTATAATTTATGGACATCATGTTCTCACTCGAAATTGTAATCATTCAGAAAGAATACTTTATTGCATAACAATTTTCATTCCCTACATGGCATTTTGAAAAGATTGTAAAAATTTTTTAATATTTGAGCAAACCCATTGAAGTAATAATACATAAAATAGACTAGCTAACATTACGTGTAAAAATGAGAATTTAGTCACAAAAACATTTAATAAATATGTGATAATAATCTGATAGTACTTTGCCACCTGATCTTTTAGCTATGAATGTTATTAAAATCTATGAGTAGTGAAAAATAGCTATTTAAAAATTGTATTTCAAACATTAAAACCACTGGTGAATACATTCTAATTCATTTGTTCTCTTTTGTTACTATAACAATCCTAAAACAAACTAAAAATAATGATTAAGAAAATAAATAATGTAATCACTACAATAAGAAAATGATCACATTTGTTGATTTTATGTAAAAAATAAGTTTACTTTTAATAAATTACTTTGAATACATAAAATCAGTACCAAAATGGAGCATTATTTACATTAGCCATGTAAGTGAAACCTTTGAAGATCACTTCTTTCAAATTCTCTATTGCAGAAAGCACATTTATTGCTTTCAAGAGATAACAGAGCTTGTCTACAAATAACATGATCACATGGTAATTTATAAAATATACTATTTGTACAGCATTTACAAGTCAATGCACTATTAAGTTTAATACTTGAATTTAATTTTTCTTCAACAACAGCATTCTGTTTAGCTATTTCCTGCTTTTTCATTATTGATTTTGATTTGTTTTGAATAGCAATTTGACCAGTAGAGATTCTTACAGATGCTACTGGCAATGAGTGTCCATAAAACGATCTTTTGATATTATTGCAACTATTTTCTTCTATAGCTGCTAATCTCTTTTTCAAGCCAGCATCATGGTTATTCTTACTGGTACTTACAATATTTACAGCTTTGACATTTTGACAAGTTATCAATTTTACATTTTCCCTTTGTTGAACTACTTTTGAACCTAATACACGAGGTAATTGCTTTACTTCATCAGAGTTGCTATTTTCTAATAAAAACTTATCGATTCTTGCTTTCAAAGAGAAAGCAGCTACTGGTTTACGTGTTTCAGAAAATCTTATTCCTGTGAATGGATCCGAAACTGGCCTACCCCAAATAGCTTCTGTCTGTCCATGTTTCTCTAAAGTCATTTGATCAATTATTTTACCACTAGGCAAAACTATTGGTTGGGTCATTATTTCAAAAGTTATAGGATCTAAAAAATCTTCTGGTACATTAAGCAAGTTATTATGTTCCTTTCCTCTGGAATAAAATAAAAAGTGATATAAGCAATTTGTTTGCATATAAGTTTTCAATATATTATTTCAAATCAAGTAAAATATTTACCTATTACTTTCTTGATTTTTATAATCGGTGGAATGGACAGAAATTTGAGAAGCAGATAAGGAATTGTGTCGATTCATCCATAATGCCATAACATTAGAAGCTACATCTTTTCCACATTTAGGAGAAACTGTTCCCCAAATTTCAATTTTGCTTAAAGCAGGAACTGAATTATCAGTTTTGATTATTCTAAGACGTAAAACATTTGCATAGTTCACAACATTTGCAGTCTTAATATATCTTTTCAAAAACGTATTTGGTAATGTAATTTCTGTATAATTTGTAATGTCTCTTCTGTAAAATAATAGCCCAGTATCTGTTTTTTGAAGAAAGGCAGAGGAAACATCAATAAATGGTTGATTACTGCTATCAGTTGATTTGACTGACAGCTGAAACCCGGAAGATTTTTGTGCACCAATTTGAGGCCAAACAATGACATGACTAATTTGAACATTGCAGATGAAAGAGAAGTCTATTGACACAGGAGGTTTGATGCATGCATATGCTAAAAAGCCTTTTTCTGAATTATTTATGAGGTTCTCTGCCTCGTAACCTTCAGTACTTACTGTACTACATGTTATATCTGTTCTCAAACTACTATCACAGAAATTTACCAGCATTATTTACTTATGTTTGGAACAGTATGCACTAATTTATTATAATCATAACCCTAAACTTTTTCGTCACTCAATTAAAAATCTCCAAGCTCTTCAGCAATATTTACGTTTTTCTTTTGGTGACTGCTACTCCATTTTCTCATTGTCAAACTGCCAAGAGCCAGTAGCAGGAGTGGGGATGAAACTATGTGCGGCGCTCGATCATTTTAGTGCCTCAGAAGTTTAAAATTCACTTCGCGATGAATTTACTATAGTAAAAAAATTGAAAAATAGAAATAAAAAGTTCACTGATAATTAATATAATTTTCTTAATATTCTATGCAAATAAAGAAAGTATTAAATATTTAAACGTACATGAGAAACGATAAAAGGATCAGGAGTAGAAAGGCGAACTTATAAAACTGAACAAACTTCATTATTTTTTTATGCAAAGCCGCAAAGCAGCAGTGCTCCATTTATTATACCAATGTGTACTACGCTTTCAATTTATACACGACAAAAGCTCACTGTCATAGACATTAGAATAACAAAGGTAGAAACGAGTGAATCTATTTTTTTCTTCGTTATTTCTTTTCATTCAAATGATTAAAGTGGGTAAAGTTATAAAAATAAGAAACTTCGAATGTCTGCCTTTCTTTTCGCGATCTATTTGCTTGAAATTCAAAAAATGCTTTTATATATTCATTTCTAAATCAATTCTCTTTCCCTTCATCTCTTCATCCTTCCGTTTTTCCTCCGAGAACCAAAAAATATTACTTAATTAGATTTAGATTAAATCGAATAGAAGCATCGGCCGGCCACCGATCAATCAAAATACTCCGTTGCAGTCGTATTTCAATTTTTACAATATTCATATACTAAAGTCTTGTAAGAGGCAAAAGTACAGGAGCCCTTTGATTTCAGACGAATTACTTGCTTTGGACTTATTCTCGCTAAAATCTAATAGTCGGCTGCAATATACATTCAACAAATGAGATCTCGCGCAGTGCATCGCAAAAAAGTTAAAGCAGTTCACGGGCCTCCTGACTTATGCACAATTTCTATACGCATTGTCGCTGCTGGCAAAAACACTGACTTAGATTACCACGCACTGTTATGCTTTTCTTTCAATTTCTTCGGCATTAGAAGACTTTTATTTTTATTACGAAACAACCCCGTATCAAGCAAATGACCATGCACACATTTATTGAACCCATACAACACATATCCTTGAGAAACTGTTACATCACTAAGTTTTATCGTGTCAATCTGAGAAAAATTAATTATTTCGTCTCTACTTCGCTCGACTATTACAACAAACTCCTGCATTGTTCCACTTTAAACATACAACATATGTCCCGTGACGTCACATATCCTGATTGCATATCGATAAGTAACGTTGCAGCTTTTTCGTTAAGTAGAATATCTACAAATTCCATTTCCCATACTGTGCGACCACCGGCTAACGACTTTATTTATTTTCTTTTTTATCGTGAGAGATACAAAATATCACATTTTTCATCAATTGTCATTCTCATTTATGTTTTATCTGCATTTATTCGGCGAATGAAAAAACGGGTGTGCTCGAGAAATAAACATCTCCTTTATACGTACAAAAATGTACGAGACTCTATAGATTTTCATACTCGGTGACATGGATCTATCAAGTTTCTATACAATTTTATACACGTTTTCTTTAAAAAAAAGTTTGTAGAGGTACACAAATCGGCATCAGTTACCAGCAACGACCACAGTATATCTAACTTTTTACAATATAAAGTACAGCTCCTGCACGTATTTAAATGCGATGATAGTTTCAAGGAATCATTTCATTGTTTAAACGTAAAAATGTAATGAGAAACCCGTCGCGCCATCGAAGTATGCGAGTTTTACAATGGTTCGAAAAAGATTCGAAATCTTGTCGATTTAGTGATGCGACAACGATGAATTTAATCATGATCATATACAGAATGCAAGAAAGACATCTGTACATATTATATATTATCACGATAAAAATCAGAGGAGCCGATTATAAATATTGAAGGACAGCAAAGGAACTATTGTACTCACAGTGTCGAGAAAAAATGAGATATTTAATGAAATAAAAAATACACCTTCACTTTTTGCGATATTGGACCCCAACATTCAGTCTTACGACCAAAATGCGGTTTCACACATGTGTACACACTCATGTTTACAAATGCTGCTCTTGCTCGCAGCTACAGAAAAGAAATTAAAGGAAATTACAATCTCATTACATTCTTACGATCGATTCTTCTTGGTGCGACAAAACCTTATATTCTGCTTTTTTTGTTTTTTCTACCTAACGTTTACATATTATTATAGCGCGCATATAATCCAGGGCCAATACAATTAGCGCGTTCCGTTTCAAAACACATATCTTTTATTTATTCCAAATTTCTTTTTGTTTCTTATTTATTCAGCTTTAAATAACAACTGAGTTTCATTAAAGAGGAGATTAGAGGGGAAAAAATCGGAGCGATTTTTCCTTAGATACAAAGAGATGCACAATTCGATACAAGATGCATAGATATAATAATTAATGATTGCGCGCCATCAGTCGATTTTAAAAAATAAGTAATTTTACAAATCTTCTGCGTCATTTTGTACTAAAAAAGGAAGAAAAGAAGGATAAAGATGAGCTCCATTGCCGATAATGGACATAGCGCTTTGCTTATACTCCCAAGTACTACAAGTTACAACTCAAATTACACAGCTCGTTCGACTCTTCGCACTCTTTCGTTGTCATCGTGTGTGTTTGTATGTTATGTATACGTGTATGTGTCATCATCTCGTGTCTTTCTCGTTTCTTAACTAAGCTATCCAAACACCTTACATGATAAAAACTTACAGGGGAAAATTCTGAATGATTCCGTGGAGAAGATCACGGTTCAGGTAAGGTATAGGAGAAGGTCAAGGGAATGGGTAATCGAAGGGTATGGTTTTTTCCTTCCTATGCACTACTATGTTTTAAATCGAACGTTACAATATTATTACATCATTAATAGTCCGTGTACATGTAATTATGCATATATGCCTTTGCATGTACGCAGTATGCCTTTACTTAACTTTTACATTTTTTTTATTCTTCTTCACTTCAATGACTTTTGGATGTTTATAGTGGATATAAATTTATCAATAGCATCATGCGAACGGTCTACTTGAATATCTGTCGTTACGCCAGGACAACTTTCTATGTAAAAAATTTTATCTATGGAAGAGAAGTTACTGTGATAAAGAGGTCGTCGAAAGTATAAATCATTCTGATAAGAACCTTTTTTGAGTATAGTAGACAAGTAGAACGTACATAAATTTATTTTGAAGTAACTGAACTATTCGAGTAAACCTTAAATATCGAATCTCATTCGATTTTTTAATGAACAAAAAACTGATATCCACTTAGCTGCGCGCACGCACAGCAATAAGGAACACGCTTATCAAAAAATTGATTGTCAAATAAAAAGTCGCAAAAAACCGCAGACAAGTAAAGCAATAAAAACTCTTGCAGGGAGGGGAGCCAAGAAGGTGATAAGTGTGCGAACAGAGACTACAGAAATATCGCACAAGTGCAGCTTTTTTTCTTTACTAATAATAAAACAAACAAACTGATGTTCGGACAAAAAAGAAAATGAAAGATAGTGATAATATAATATAAAGGGGAATGGGCGTTTACAATGAGACGACGAAGGAACCGATATTACACGAACCGATCCAGGACTCTTGTATAGGCGAGATAAGGACTTGAGATGTTGAGCGAGAGAGAGCATCTTTGACTCCACGGAAAAGAAAAAAAATAATTAGACGAGCACGCACTGAACTGGGAATTGGGCGCGTGTCAGATAATAAATCCCTACCTAGCGGCTACAAAATCCCTGGCAGTGGCGCGCGCGCGAGAGACGGTTGTTGTTGTAAACGGCGGCTGTCGTTCATTATCAAGCGAGTTGGCTCCTACTTCCGGTCATCCTGGTCGCACTCCCGGCTTATGTGGCCAGGCTTGTAGCAAATGTAGCAGGTCTTGCCGCCACCTTCGGGACAGTTGCGAGCGATGTGTCCGTATTTTTTGCAAGTATAGCAGCTTTGCGTCGTGGAACGATCGCCGTCGTTCACGTTCTCCGGGCAGTTGCGGGCCATATGGCCCGTCTTGTTACAGTTGTAGCAATTCGTATCTGGTCCCTGGTAACCATACGAGGACTGTCGTATTTTATTGCGATTAATTAGCTACTGAACAACAACCTTTTTGCGAGCGCACATGTTCTTTTGCGTAGTTTTAGAAATAAAATAAGGATAGGATGAATTTTTTGCTCAAGCTACTCCAACAGTGTCTACATTGGATAAGCATTATGTTATTTAATGCTTACTATTAAAATGAACAAAAAATAGCTAGCACCACATTAATCATTTCATATCAAAAGCAATTACTATAAACACAGCAATACAAGGTTTATTCAATAGACTATACTCTTGCATCATATGTGTCTACAAATTATTCTAAATATCAAATTATGAATGACGAAATAATAAAAAAAAAACCAAATCAGACAAGATAAAAAATAAATATATAATAGCAAACAAAAAACTATCCAATCATTATTCTTTTGTAAAACTACATATAAAATTTAAGGATATATGTTCACCTGTTGACAATCCTTTGCAATATGTCCAACACCATTGCAACGGTAGCAGAGATCCTGAGCCTCCTTGCACTCACGTGCAAAGTGCCCATACTGATTGCACTTGTAGCACTTATCACGTCCCCTGCCGTAGCCACCACCACCATCACGATCACGGCGGTCTCCTCTACCAGTACCACCACCCTGGGGGCATTCCCTGGCAAAGTGGCCCATTCGGTTACACTTGTAACAAGCACTGGAACTCATTTTTTACAAATCTGCAAGAAATGCATGTATTGCATTAGAACAGCTACATCAATCCAACTTACAGTTTTCTTCTTATACAATTGAGGCTCTTATTGAATAAAAAAAAGGAATAATTAGGCTCAACAGTCAATCGAGTTGATGTATCTTTTTCGAACTGACTTTACCTTCTGAAATACTAGACTATATAAAAATGCACATGTTGTAAGGATTCATTCACCCTCTTTACTTTGTTTTCAGAAGATATACCAACAAAATATACAAATTCTCTATAAGTGCAATGTATTACATAATACAATCTTTATACTCCAATTAACCAAGAAATTTACAATATATATTCTTTTTCATTTGCAAAAAAATAAAATATGTCAAAATGTTACAAGTCATCAAAACTTGAGCAATGCAACAAATAAACCCATAAAAAAGTAACTGTAGAAGTTATTAAGAAATCAGGAGAAAGAATACTATGAAAATTGAATTATCAAGTTTGGGATTCATGCACGAGAGTGTGCTAAATATGCCAAAACTAATACACTCTCGAGTGTAGTTGAAGCGTCAACACGTGCAGACGCACCGAGGTTCGGAAAAGAGAGAAGCGACGCGGGGCCGAGTACGAGAATGACGAGAGTAAAGTGACGCGGGGGAGGCGTCACACATACATGCACGCTCTGTCTCGTATATATATACGCGTACGCTGTTTACACCCTGTCCGAAGCGCAGCTTTCTCTTCGATTACCAATATCGAAAATCCAATTTTTTCATAAATTTCACAGGAAATTGCTGTTATTTCGATGAGAAAACGGCGGCAGACATGAGTGATGGAGTGAGAGAGATGGAGAGGTAGCAGCCGTCCGGCACAGGGCGCTACGGTGTACGTAAAATGGCACCGTGTGCATCGCGCGCGCTCTCGTCACGGAAAAAGCGTGCACGTGCTTTTTTCCCCAAGCGCTCAGTACACGGTTATCCATCTTTTCCCCATCAGTTTTCTTTTAAAATTTCATGATACAATGTATTCACGTAGCGTCTTGAAGATCTTTGGAATGGAATTACGAGCAGTAGCTTCACGAAAAAGCCGGATTCCAAGCAACGTGGCTTCTCTCTTTCTCTTTCTCTCTCCCTCTCTTTTTCGCCTGCCGCCACAAAGACAATGGCTCGGCGTAAGGAGACTCGCGAGCGAAGTCTGTTAAATATTTGTAAAAAATGATTTCAGGCAAGAAAACGTTCAGGGCTGCACGATTTTTACGACTAGATTTGGATTTTAGAAGCAACGAATACTTACGCGGCTGGCGCGAAAGCGTGCGAATATGGCATCCGTACACAGAGGCTCGCAGCGCGGCATGCGACGCCGTTTGCATAAGAATGTAATACCTCGTACGAACGTACAAAAACCTTTTAGATAGTCAATTTCCGGCAACCGATAACGATTCATGTATGCAAAATTCGTGTAATTAACATGAAAATATGAGAAAAAGGATGAAAAAGATCAAGGAGAGGGGGGGGGGGGGAGTCAGCGCGCGGTTATCGCGAAAGAGTCATCATGACGACCCGGCCGAACCACGTGTTCCGGAGTCGGCGAGACGTTGAGTGTTACCTTAACACGTACCTTGGTACAAAGAGTACGGGGATGATGAATATGCGCTACTGCCACACACCTGGAGCTGCTGGACAGAGACCGAATCGATTCGTCTACACCGCGACACTACTCGACGCGGACTAGACGAACGCCATAGTCCGATCCGCCGTGCGCCACTTGCAAAGATTTTTAGCGCCTCCTGGCGAGCCGCGAACCAAGCTTATCTTCTATCACAATTATTGTAATCATTTACGCAAAGTTTTGCTATAAAATGATTTTTGAAGGTAGTACAATATAATATAAGATTCTAGAATTATTAAATATTATAATGATATTCTTAGGAAATCTAAAAATTAGGTTTGAAAAATGGCTCAAATTGAATTATTTACTACGAGTTGGTAGCATGAGGAGACGCAAATTTGGTCGTGTTCTGCTTCTGCGCAGCGAACATTAAACTGAATGAGTCATGCGAGCCTCGTGTTCGATAAAATCCCTACATTGGATAGATAAGCTACATTTTATTTTGCACGTTTCATTGCAAACTATCACTATAAAAGTTAATAATGAGAATATGATGATCATAAAATGATATTTTTTCAGGCTGAAAAATCATATCTCCTTTGGATTTGTGCAGCAAAATCGGAAAAAATGCGTTTTTGTTTTGACTCTGATGCAGGGGTAGCAAATTAACAAAGACAAAATTTAAATTGGAGGTACTCGCTAACGTTTATTATTTATTGTCATAGTTTGATAATAATTTTATGAAATTGAGTTAATAAGTCATTCCATAACTACAGATTAATGAAATAACCAAACTGAGAATTAAATGGTCCTATTTTTACATCTACTAAAAATAGGTAATTTTTACATAATTATAAGTCAATAAGAAACTCCAATATTATTTTTTCAAATAGTATATATAACCAATCTCAACTATAAAACATTAAAAGAACATTGAAGCAGTGCATAATTTTACAGTAGTCTATATCATTTTCACATTACCGGTGATTATCGGTAATGATAGGGTAATCCAAGTCAAGCTGGCAGCTGAAAATAGCTGTATAGACACTTGTTGACATTTTCATTTATTAATTTATTTTTAATAATTATTTTTACATTGTGATCATGAGTGAGAAAAGAAAAGCTGAAGATAGTGATAATGAGGAAGAATGGATTGGTCCTCTTCCATCAGAAGCTGCACCTGTTAAAAAACAAAAAGGTAGATTGCTGAGGTTAAGTTATTTTTACTTTCATTTTGGAATGCTAAATATTATGTTCTTTTTAGTTTTGCAGTATGAAAAAGTGTACTTGGAAAATCTACCTGATTGTGAAATTTATGAAAAATCGTACATGCATAGAGATAATGTCACTCACATTGCGATGACAAAGTAAGCTATATATATATAAATTGCTGAACAACAGTATGAATAGCTAAATTATTAAACAATCTTAATAAATCAAAATTCTTTTTACTCACAGAACGAATTTCTTAATAACAGTAGCTGTTGATGGGAGTCTTAAGTTTTGGAAAAAACAAGAAGAGCTTATTGAATTTGTGAAACATTACAGAGCGCACCTTAAGCCTGTCCATGCTTTAGCTGTGAGTGCAAATGGAATTCATGGGTGCACCGTTGGTCTAGATAAAGAAATGAAAGTTTTTGATGTTATCAATTTTGGTAAATACTTATTTGATATAATTTTACACAACATCCTATGAAAAAAAGTCATTAATTACTACTTTTTTACAGATATGGTCAACAAATTGAAGTTAGATTTTGTACCTGAGTGTGCTGAATGGATATATTCAGCTGGAGATGCTATTGCAGCTGTAGCAGTTTCCGATAGAGAGTCTAATAAAATATGTATCTTTGATGCTTTGAGTTCACCCACACCAATTCATGAATTTAAAACATTGCATACTAAACCAGTTATTGTTTTGAAGGTTGACATTTACTAGTTATTCACATAATATTACTATAAGCATTTTACTTACATTTTTTAATTTTATTTACAGTACAATTCAGTGTACGACACATGTATATCTGTAGATAAAGCAGGAATCTTAGAGTACTGGACAGGACCAAAAACAGATTATAAATTTCCAAAGCATGTACGATTTCATTCTAAACTAGACACTGATTTGTTTGAATTTGCAAAAAATAAGACTTATCCTTGTGGCTTGGCCATATCTAATGATGGCAAAAAATTTGCTTCATTAAGTAGAGATAGGAGAGTAAGGGTATTCAATTTCCTTACAGGAAAAATGACCAGAGTGTATGATGAGACATTGCAAAGGTATTCTGAACTGCAACAAACGACACAACAAATTCCAAACATGGAGTTCAACAGAAGGTAAGTTTATAAGGTAAACTAAAGGTTTTTCTATAAATTATTAAGTGTAATGATTTTTCTTGAAGAATGGCGGTTGAAAGAGAATTAGACAAGACAGAAACAAGCATTGGCAACATAGTATTTGATGAATCAGGGCATATGTTGCTGTACAGCACGATGCTCGGTGTCAAGCTGATAAACACTTACACGAACCGCTGCCTAAAAATCTTCGGTAAACCAGAAAATCTTCGACCAATGCAGATTGCGGTGTTTCAAGGTAAAGCTAAAAAATTAGCAGCTACGACTGTGGAAATGGAAGCCTCGGAAAATCCTACCTTGGAAATGAATAGACCAGATCCAACGCTCTTTTGCACAGCGTACAAAAAAAATCGTTTCTATTTATTCTCAAGACGTGAGCCCGATGAAACTAAAGGTCCAGAGTGCGACCGTGACGTGTTCAACGAACAGCCTACCAAGGAAGACATCGTTTCCTCTACGGAAACTATGAATGTACAAAAAATCTTTGACACCGCTATTCTTCACACTGCGCTTGGTGATATTCATGTTAATCTCTTTGGCAAAGACGTTCCCAAGACCGTTGAAAATTTCTGTATGCATGCAAAGAATGGGTATTTCAATAGCCACATATTTCACAGAGTGATTAAAGGATTCATGATACAAACAGGAGATCCTACTGGAACAGGTACTGGAGGAGAGAGTATATGGGGAGGCGAGTTCGAAGATGAATTCAGAAAACATCTGAAACACGACAGACCATATACACTGAGCATGGCTAATGCGGGACCAAACACTAATGGCAGTCAGTTTTTTATTACATTGATACCTACCGTAAGTATTTCAAATTTACGACTATTCTGATACTATTCGTCGCCAAAATTTGATACCTACATTGACTAAGTTTTTATTCGTTTGAAATTATAACATAGATTTTGTTATATACAAGCATTAATTTGCAATTGTTTATTTTCAGCCCTGGCTTGATAATAAACATACAGTTTTCGGCCGCGTCGTAAAAGGAATGGAAGTGGTGCAGAATATTAGTCAAGTGAAAACGAATCCAAAGACTGATAAGCCGTATGACGATATACGTATTATTAGCGTCACAGTCAAATAACGAATTGACTTTCAAATCAATTGTAAATACATTGAAGCATTATTTTTATTATTATTCAATTAAAACGAACTTGATACGTTGAATCTTAACGTTTCTTACCGCTTGTTTATTTATCTGCATCACAGCAAAAAAAAAAATTCGTATCTAGGATGAACTGTGAAATCCATAGATAATTCATAAACGAAAGATATGTATACTGAATGAACTTGAGAATTGAGCAAAATCGACTAATCTCTACTCATTTCAATAAGGAGCGAACAGAAAAGTCGTTCACATTCAGTTGTATATCTGCTTAGCGCGCGTGGTCTACAGAAACAACACGAGTAGCGTGTGTCCTTTCGTACCGTGCAGTTGCTTTAACTCACTCGAATACAGCTGATAATTTGACCATTATCTTATCTTTACTACCTGCACAAGTAAGTATTGATGCTAACCATTGTCCGATGGAAATAATTCATAATTAATTCGTTACAGTCTTTCCAGTGCAAATTTACGATGCAGTTAATATTTATGTGACGAATGAATTTTTGACGTAGCTAGCCCCTAAATTTTTAATCGACAATGCATCTTTGTGAAAACTTATAACGAACCATATCTGTATATCTTAAATAACTACGTCTAGCTTAAGCTGTCACAAACTTATCGACTCAACAAGCGACTGAAGTCCAAGCATCTTTTCTTTTATAACAGCTTTTATCATGTCTAAACTTAGAGATAACATAATTGGTTTTTCCATTTGTCCAACTATTAGAGAGAAATATTTGCTTAAAAAAGGAGACTTTTACGTGAAAGATTTCTCAGTGACATCGGAGCAACCGAACATAATTAAAGTGGGTGATACCCTAGAGAGCGATAGCAAAAGCGAATTTAATTTTTTCGTCGGTAGAAAAAAATCCAAAGACGTAGCCAAATGGTTCAATATGCAGTGCGACACTCGCAAAAATACGACATTTGGTCATTTTGCCGACGAATTAAGTTTTGCATTTCTCGGAACATTACGATTGACAATATCTTATGAATCTACAAGTGAGCATGAAGTAATATTTGATGACATTTTAATTGCACAAGGCCAAAATGGAACGAACATAAGTTGGTGGTTCGGTGGTAGAAAGTGCTACAATATTGGAAATAACACTGTGAAATCGAATGGAACAACAGAAATTGCAGACAATTTTCGTTTCATTTTTTATAAAGGCAGTATGAAAAGCAATTCAATTTTGATTAAGCGTATAAGCTTCTTAACGTGGATGAAAAACATCGATGACAGTAAATTTCTAAACGAAATAAACATTCCTGGAACTCACGACTCCGGAACTTACAATTTCACAACGCCAATTACCCGTGACGACGTGCAGACGCAAAACTTATCGATAGAAGAGCAATTGGACCTGGGTATACGATTTCTCGACATAGGATGCAGACACATTCATGATAAATTTGCAATTCATCATGACTCCATTTACGTTCATTTAAGTTTTGACAATGTGTTAGAGCAATGCACTTCATTTCTAAACGAGAATCCATCGGAAAGTATAATTCTGCTAATAAAGGAAGAATATTTTCCAAAACAAAACACAAGAGCGTTTTACCAAACATTCTTAGACTACGTGAATACAACTAGTGCCTACTGGTATCGTGGAACAGCAATACCAAGTTTGAAAGATGCCAGAAAAAAATTAATCCTTATGCGTAGATTCAGCTTCGATGAATATTCCTTTGGTGTCGATTGCACGCACTGGGTGATTAATTCAACGTTTGAGATATTACATAACGATTTCACATTGAAGATCCAAGATGAATACGAGGTATCACGTATGAAAAAAAAAATAGCAATACAAAGATTGGTTGATTCGTCAAAAAACCGAGAACACCGTTGCTGGTATTTAAATTATATGAGCTTAGCGTCGTCGTTAGAAAAAGGAACTATTATTAATACGTCAAACTTTACTAACAAAGTTATACATTCAATAGTGACAACAGACCAGTCAACATTTTTAGGCGTGATTATAATGGATTTCCCAGACAATCTAAAATGTCTAACCAGGGATATAATCGATAGCAACAATCATTTATGAACGGATACTTGTATATTTAAAAAAATGTAATTATTTCGCAACAAGTCTCAAAATGAAACCAACAATGTACATTACAAATATATAATCAATCATTGATTTTCTCCTTTACTATGTTTACTTCCACACTATGGCCTGTTTACCTGCGTAAACTACAAGAGCAAATCCACTTATCTCGACAGCAGTATACAACTCAAGCGTAGAGCTGTGCTCATCAACAAGATTAATAATTCGAGTACTATTTACTGCTTAGATTTACAACGCAGAAACGCATTTATGCGCGACCCTGCTTTATCAGATCTTTAACTGTATTTCGATCGGAGATTCATCACCTGCCGTCAGAAAAATAATGTCACTTCCGTGTGATACTTGAAGGAGCTCGGTGTCTATCGCACGCGCATTTTCTCTTTTTCTTTTTAACTTTATCACTGCTGGCTCGTGAATATACGGGAAATTTACGGGAAGTAAGCCAATCTGCATTGATTTCTTACCTTATCACGTGCACGAACACAATTCTTCGTGTAGACTCGAAATTATTGCATTCACAATTCGATTTAAAGTACCAACCAGCGTTTGTTTACACACCGAAAATGTCTAGATCGTTTATTAGATATATAGACTGCAAGTTTGAATACTTGACGTATATGTTATGCTGTTATCATGACGGCCTGAAAAACGCACATTTATTTTTTATTTTCTGCAATTAATAATAAAGTTTGATAATAGCGTGTGGCATGCGGTTGATGGTTTGGCTGCAGAGGCGGTTCGTATCAAAGTGCTGCTTCACGTACGAGCTTGACGATAGAGCTGCACGCAAAGTACTCCCTGCTAACTACAAATCAAGTTCAATGCGATGCAATATAGGTAGGTAGCGAGCATACGTTGTGATCCTAGTTTAATGAAATTGCTGCCTGAAGTGTAAATGATATGCTAAATAGTTTCCGATCAAATAAATGTTATTGATGTCATTTATGTCTTTTAGCCTATCTTTTTTATTTTTGTTAATTTACAATAAAATGTGTAGTAATTTTTCTTACTTTGATCTTATATTTTGAACATCATGGATAATTATTTGGGCGATTTTCAGCTGTAGATTACGATCGAAATTGTTGTTATTTCTGTGAGTAATTACGTCAAAAGATCGATAACTCGAATAATCGCATCCAGCTCGAGTATTACTTGTACAAGAAAGGGCTTGAGTGAGCTATAATAGCCTTATGATGCCTACTATCGCCATTAAGGTCCCCCATCGAAATCCATAGATATACAGTTAATGGAGAAATTTTGTCACGATTTCCCTCCCATTGTTTGCCTAAAATATAAATCAAAGGTGCTCGAAAAAATTATCATCGACAACTATTCATATACTTAGAAAGCGACTAATTATTCTTGAAATGTTTTGAGCAGTGGTTTCGTCATATCAAAATTGAAAAACCAACTGTCATCAACTGTCATTTCCAGTTTATGTTTACATTCATAATCAAATATTTTCACACCTCATAACCAAGTTAACCTGAGAAACATCGTTTTTTTTATGAAAAAATCACTGCTCAAAACATTCCAAGATTAATTAGTGGCATAATTCATGAACAGTTATCGATGATAATTTTTTGGAGCACCTTAATTTATAATTTAGGCAAACGATTGGAGGGAAGTTGCGACAAAATTTCTACATTAAATGTATATCTATGCACTTTCGAAACGAAACTGTTTATTAAAAAGGTGATTTCATGTGAATTATATTTTCGAATGAGCAGTAAAAACACATAGCATTAAATGAATGGTTCAATAAACGGTGCGATATGACTGACAAACACAACATTTGGTCAGGCTGCTGAAGGATTTAATTAATGTGGCTTTTATGGGTGCATCACGCTTGACAATAATCTACAAAGGTATACAAGGATATGTACTAATTTTTCACAGCTGCAGAGAAACAAGTAATAAATGGTATTTTGGAAGTACAAGTTGTTACAAAATTATTGAAAGAAACGAAGTAATGTCGAACGAAAAAACCAACGATAAAGCCGTTGATATGAGTTAAAAATGAGTGAAACAAAATTCAAATTGACGTATTATTTTCGAATTGAACGCAAAAGATTGCTGTATTTTTTTATGCGTAGAAGTTTTATTAAAACAAAAGTAAGTATTAACACTGCGAGAAAATGACTTATTTTTTGCCTTTTCGCGGTGCTTTATCATCACTACTCTTGTCCTCATTCATCTGATACATGGCTCCCCGCACAAAATTGTACCCATTCGCCACTGCAACGAAGGCATTGACGCTAAGTAAATTGTAATTCTTGGGAATGATCACAACAGAATACCTGTAATCTCAACGAGCAATCTCAGTGAAATTCAATGTCATGCGGAAAATGGAGGCAATTCACCTTGACCATATAACTCCGGTAAGCATGAGGCTGAAAGTTTGGCTGAGAGAAATCGTGTCGACGGGTCGATTAATATCACCGATGCCCGCTATCACCAAACCCCACTTGAAAGTTGGCGCCCAGAAGAAGATTGTTGTCGGCCCTGTTTTTCATCGAGGGTTTCGCTATAAAAATGATCTCGGCCGAGTTGTATATTCTGACCGTTGATTCTTTCCCCAAATTCCGATTTCCTTACCTGCTGGGTGTAAAAACACGCCACGAAGTTTCTCCGGCAACACTAGCGCGACTTTCTGCATGAACCGCTGGTAAGCCGTTGGATTTTTCGGCACCATTGTAGAGGAATTCTCGAAAATTTCACCCTGTAAAAATTGTTTACGAAATTCTAGCCTGTTATGCACGAGACAGGAACGCGGGACTGACTTTTTGTTTTAAATACTGACTTCATAGTGTTGCAGAGAATTTTTTCCTCGAGAGCTTTCTTCCTTTATGAATGGCTATTCCACGTAAAACTGAATATACGTTTTAATTTCACGCAGCATCGTATTTTAAATTCACGTTTTACATTTTTTATTTTTATCGTTATGAATGCTTATTATTTCTAGCTAAAAATCCCCAACGCGTACGAAATAATAATGAAACATAAAAATAAAATAAGAGCAGTACTGGCGGCCTTCTGTTTTTTCCTGGAACTCCAACTCTATTTGATAGCTTTGTATTCGAGGCGAGCGCTCCATTTTTCCCCGCGCTGGTATTACAATTTAAACATCCTCTTTTTTATATGAAAAACTTACTCCACAATAACCAATTAAACATATACTTTGACTCGAGTATAAAAGGAAGTTTTGAAGAGCGATCGTAATAACTTGCGACTCACCTTTACGCAGCGAGGTAATCTAAAAAAATAAAAAAGTCAAGAGGGCCATAAGTGAAATGAGCAAAAAAGAAGGTAACAGCGTGAGACGTAAGATAAGACGTAAGTGACGCAAGCTCAAGTGGTCGTTGGTTGCCTCGATTATTTCGCCTCGTTCGTCCGCGCGAGAGCGCTCCGTCAACGCTGGCTCCTGCAAATATATGTGTTATCCTGAACGTCGCGCACGTGCCGGTTTCGGTGTGCTGGTAAGCGCCGAATCCGCCCATTTGTCGTCGGCCGAGTGTCACCGAGCGCGCACTCGGTGCTTCTTTTCGCACGCGCCGTCTTCATCAATTTTCCCCGGTTAATTTGGCCGGCTCTCTCTGGCTTGTCCTCCAAAGGGAAAGACACGACGTGGCGATTCGTCCTTTTACGTGCCGCGCGCGGACGTGATATTTTCAAAAGACAGCTCTACTACGCTCGACAGATATTTCGCTGATTTCCCATCATCTTTCGGACTCGAATGTGTGTGCTTTCGAGGTACGGCTCAGAGGGGGAAGCGACTCCGTATAAAATTAATGTGTTTCTCAAACGCTGATCCGAGTGAAAACAACATTTCTCAAAGTACACAGGTGGAAGGAGATTGTGTTAGTTTACGGCGCGCTCACAAAAAACAGTCTCGCGCGAGCAGAATGCAAAATACTAAATTGTCATCAATCATGTGCCATAGGCCGCGAGTATTATAGCACCTTTTATGCTGATCTAAAAATATGCGAAAAACCACCATGCTACGTTACAGATGTAAGACTCATTTTTCCTCTTGAAAAAACAATTTTTTCTAAGAAGACTTTACAGTTGAAATAACTTTGCTATAAAGTTTTATGAAAGAGTAGATAAACGGCATTTTGAAACTTGCAGCATTAAGATGTACATCTCACAAACCTTAACGGAAATTCAAGTTTTATCTTTAATAAATCTCATCTTCCGACTGGCACGCATTTGTATACCATTTTATTTCAAATCTCAATGGTAGCTGAAGAGAGCAAAAGTTTTAATGAAACTCTATTCTCGTCTATAGAACTATTCTGGAAATCTATCAAAGTATTTTAATCAACGGATATACACATCTCCAAGTTTTCAAGCTTCTACCGTGAATGCTAAACATAAATGCTGGATCACTGAATTATTGAAAAAGAGGTCGATTACGAAGTTGCAAACGAAAAACTAATACGATTCCCGAGCCCAACACCTAATGAAATTTTCAATGGATGAAACAACAATACCACACGTCACGCACAGACTCTTTTGTCGATTCCTGAATAAAGTATAAGCAACAATGAACGTAATATGAGCAAGGCGCGCACGCGCGATCGTCGAGATTCAAGATTTCACTGTCTCTCCCTCGCAACAAAAATCTCAATGGCACACGTCGCATCTTTTCCTCGGAAGCCTTGTCGTTGAATAAAACAATAGTCGGATGATACGACGCCAAAGCTGAAAGACAAGATCAAAGTTGAGAAGCTCTGGATAAAAAATCCATAACCATTTAATAGGATATCACCGAAAACACGTATATATAAATATAGATGGAAGCTGTCCGTCAATGATGTTCCGCGCATCTATCTTTTTCTCTTTTAGTAGAAATCCTAGTGGGAAGTGATACTACGAGAGGCATTCGCGTATAGCTTTGGTCGCTCTTCGCGGATTCTTTACTTGTTATTTGCTCGCGGAACGACCGAACGAGCTTATCCGCGCTGTTCTACACTTTCTTGCACGTTGGCTGGCAAAACTTTGCTAAGAAGCTTCTGCTTCTTTTTGCAAACTAGATCTGTTCACGGAATATGTCTGAAGAAAGTAGTCTCTAGTTAGGGATTTGCCGACAAAAAGAGCATAGCACGAAAAGACATTGATTATTTTGTGAATTAAATAGTAAAATAAAAGATTTGTTTTCATCTCTCTCGAACGGAAATAACATCATCAGTACCATATAACCCGAACGGAAAACGAAGATGAAAACTTGTTTTCGCTCGGGCTTATTTTTATTCAATTATGGGAGAGACAAGAAAAAGTAGCGTAGGCGTAGTGAATTATTTTCGCAGCATTGTGATATCGCTTTGAAAGAGTTTAGCAGTATATTTTTCTTTTGTTTTCGAATTTGATCGAGATTAGCTATTGTTAGAACGGTACTTAGTAGCGAGCTGAAGATTGTACAAAGTTCGTAACATTCAGTCTTACGGACAATGGGTTGTTGGCTGTTTCTGCATAATTCGAGAGGACAGATAGAACGCGTTACAGTTGGCTTTACTCGAGTGACCCCTGACAATGTACATTGCAGATAGAATTGAGTATTTAGGACACGGAGTGGGCACTATGTTTCAAACACTGTTCCGTTATTCAGAGGGCTTATATCTCACAAATGTTGATTAGAAGGATTGTGAAAAGACTTCCACGTGCTGGATAAATCTGTAACAATAATGAAAAAGAGTAAGAGCAAAAATAAAGATGAAAAGTAATTGAAGCACGAATATTCAAACGTACGTAAAAAGCCGCTGACGGTTACCTTATGCTCCTCGCAAAAACGATGAAAAAAATTCCATTATTACGCGGCAGCAAAACCGTTAGAAGTATTCGATAGAAAAAGCACGTCAAGTCGGGCAGTATCAGCGATGACCTTTCAGTCGCAGTAACAACTTACAGCTTTGTTTCGTTTCCAGTGATAAGATAGGTGTCCACTATCGATTGTAAAGTGCACCGTCGTGTTTAAACGGCAGCGACGTAATAGTGGGAAAAAGCTCTCGAGCGAGAGCTTCCTCATTAGAAAGCCTGCACTCGGCAGCGCGTCGTTTGTTATTATTACTCTCTCCTTGCTTTTTTTCGGTAGAGCCTTTGCACTTAGCCTGCTTTCCATTAAGGGCAGGGGGGTTACGAGAATCAACGACGATGAGGCACGTAGCCTTGATCAGCGGTCTATATTTGCCGGAGAAAACGCCGAGTTCGCGAATCAGCGGCGGCGGGTCAAGTATCGCTGACGTCCAAACTGCGCCTTTTTGATGTATCGAGAAAAAAAATGCAAGGTCCAACCAAATGAGCTTAACTCGAGAGCCATCTAAGCCTGTCTCGCAGTTCCATCCTCGTTAATGAAAAGTACGAATCAGCCGTGGGATTTTCGATAGCAGCTGCCGGTAGACGACTCGCTTCGACCGACGAATCGCCCTGACAATTACAATGTAAGTTGGCTCGTACTTCTACTAGCGGCGCTGTTAAGTTAGGAGGACCGTGAAAATATTTATCGTTGAGTATGAAATCTGATACTCGTTTGATTGTGGAACGGATTACAACTATACTGGATTTTTAAAGACTATTGTGCGAACAAAGCTATGTGCACACGAAATTTTGGAATTAAATAAGTTGAAAATATTTACGAATCATAAATACATTCATGAAAAAAGCAAATATTTGCATAAATAAATTAGAAATGCATTCAAGTTCGTCAACATAATTCAATATTAAACGAAATTAAATCCTTTGAGCGCGACTATAAATTACGAAATTCAGCGAGAACGCAATTTTATACCGTATAATTTGCTCCTTTGACGAGAAAAAGTGGGATAACTAACGAGCGCGTACTGGCAAAATTAATGGCCAGTAAATAATTAACGGCAACGTTGTTGCACGTCGTAAAGACGAGTGGATTCCTTTTTGCATTGTTTTCCAATCGGCATAAACCGAATACGAAACACGGCACTAGAGATAAGCCAAAGTCGAGCATAATTTGGCGCATGATCACTTGCCGGTAACCGCGCGGCACGCGAGCCATGAACTGACTTTTGGCCCAATGAGTCTACGAGACCCGGTCCAGCTCCTGAGCGTCGAAGAGACACAATCAGACGAAAATCAACGCCGAGTGTGTCGAATCTCCTGGGCCACTACCTGGCTACGCGTACGTGTGTTCAATGCTACTTCGCCACGTGGCGAGACACGCTCGCAAATCGTCGCCGACCGACCGTCGATCCTTGGCAAAGCACGTTTGAACTTCCGTCAGGATTCTGTTGTGAATCTTCTCACGAATGACCGTCTCTGGTATGATAATAAAAGTGGTTTTGCAATAAATACATCGACGCTCAGTTTCAAAAATCAATATTAGCAGTTTATTATCCAATTATTTTAATTAGAATACCTTCGTTCAATTTCACTGGAATTGTGAAATAGATTGTTACGCCGAGTCACAAGATTATTGAATAATACGAAGCTCGATATATCCTCCATAAATCCCGAATGTGAATAATTTCTCGTCAGAGCTTCACACGAGTTGTTTCCTCTTTTTTTGACAATATCGATCGACGACGTCGTACACGTGAATTAATAAGTAACACTTTATTTTCCTTATTTACTCATCGCTTTTCCTTTGTTCTTTTTTCTTGTGTTGTTTTTTGATTTTTTTATTATATTTTATTGTTTGGTTTGATTAAATTGATCATTATCGTACTCACTAGCACATATACATTATTCATAATAAATGCGTCGTAAAAATCATTTTTGTTTGTAAGTCTAAAATCCTCATACGCGACTATTAATCATTACAATGTACATAGCTGCGCACTTAGGAATTTAAATGTAAGACTCTGTACACATCTGCGAATAAAAATTAATAGTCTATGAAGCTTCGAAACTTTCAATCATCTCTCTCGTTCACCACACTAATGTACCTATAATTTACGTAAAAAATTCGTTTCACGCCTCTAGATCAACGGCGAAGGGTTTCAAAGCGGAGAAAGAAGAAAAAAGGAATACGTATATACACAAGCTGTGTTCATCTGTCTTGTCTCTTTTTAGATGACAAAAAGATTCTCGCAGCTTTTGGTCTTGCGTTTGAAACCGAGCAAGTGCTTGAGAATTTTGCGCCGATGCTTGCTGCGTCGACGTCGCGTCACTTGGTCCCTGTCCCGCTGAGGATTCAGCTTAATCTGCGCCAAGATCCCGACCAGCAGCTCGTCCACGTGATGAGCCAATCCCGATGACGTCTCGATGAACTTGCAGCCACAGCTGTTCGCTATTCGACGACCCACTGGGTGACGCAGCGCCCCCCGAAAAAAAAGCGTCGATATGTGCATCTCGTGAATAAACCGCGCTTTGTATATGCGAATCCTTAAGTATCCGTCGACGCGAAGCACTCGGTGAAACATTCAACGAGGGTTCATCGATTTATTTTCTTTCGTGAATTACGTATTTAACTCGCGCGAGACATCGCGTGTCTATATATTTTCTTGCTTTCTTTTTTTTCCATTTCGAGCTTGATTAGTCAATTGCTTGGTTTGAAAACGAAATTCGGCTGAAGACCGCAGAAAGAAAGCGTAGAGATGCTCTTTTGATAACGATCGAAAATTATTTGGCATGTCTGACCGAACAGCGATATCGACTACTGACAGCGGGAAATTTCGGCAACTCGACGTTCGAGATCTAGACTTGGACTGCGCGATAACTGTTTGCCCTTGAGCCTCGTTTAAATCAACAGTTCCCCGGTTGTAATACTCAAGTCTGTTAACTGCGTGCGATATCGAAGCAATTAAGACACGTACAGCCGGGTGCGATATTTCATAGCTGAGCTGTTATAACGAGCCATTAAACTTACGTAGCTTCTACGAGCGGTATTAAAAAAGCGCGCGAGCGGCCGTTGTGGCAATTAAGATCGAGTGTGGCTCCCAAGTTGTTTGATTAAGCGCGCAAGAGGAATAACGGGAAGTAACGTCGGGTAGTGGCTGAGCATCGTCGCCAACTTACTTATAGCGGGAACTTCGCGCTTGCGCTCGAGGTCGACCTTGTTGCCAACGAGTATGACGCCGTGCTTGGCCATGTAGTCGCTCTTCCACAGATGCAGCAGCGTTTCCTCGGCAAACTTGAGGCTGCGCCGGTCTACAACCGAGTATACCACCACGTACACGTCAGGATTATAGGTCGAACAGAACGTCTCCACCTGCGACAAGACCAATCGATGAGCGCGCGGTGGCGGATGTCAATTTGTTGGTTCGATTAGAGGACGATTATATTGACGGCAATTGATCGCGTCGCCGACCGGCGGCCGGCCAATTCATCTCTTCTGAGAGATTTCCTAATGGGTCAATTTTCGATACTCGCGCGGTTAGCGAAATGCTCTTCGACTGGGTGTTAACGTGTTGCGACCCGTGCAGCTCGATGTTGATTTTCGATCATCACGTATACCTCTGATGAGGCTAAAGACCCTATAAATACCTAATCTGTCTTTCATCGGCGGTTGTTTGCGGATCACTCACTCGGATATTACGTTCACGTAATGCTGCCAGCTTCACTCAGGGTTCATTGATTTTTCGTAGGAATGGCATTTGAATGTCATCAATTTTTACACGGCACTTTTACATTAACAGTCCTTTAAAAAGGCTTTAAAAAGACCACAAATGTTTTGTGAACAATCGAAATAATTTCGTAACGACAGATACGTGATAGATATATTAATAATCCAAAACAAGATAGGTGGCGTTTCAATGGCAAGCTTATTGGACAGCTGGATGTGCCATTGAGAGAAGCACACCGCGCACGGTGGCAGGTTGAATAGGGAGCAACACGGGGAAGGGGAGATCTAATTCGAATCGAAGGTGCTCTGCTGCAGGATGGATAATCCTTGAGCGCACGTTGCGTGGGCGCGCGGAGCTAAACTTAGCAGCGCACGCGGAGTGTTTGCGAGGGAGGCAGCAGCAAACTTACCGACATCTCCGTGGTCGGGTGATCGATGATCTCCAGCTCGGTCTCTTGGCCGTCGATCATCACTGACACGCTCTTTTGGCCGTACTCGTCGTCTGCAACAACCACGTACGCTTCGATCAAAAAGTGTTTACGCGCACCAGCACGATCGAGGTTTTGACGCTGCCCGGGGAAAGCAAATATGTTTCTGCGCTCAAAGATGCGCGCACATACGCGTGACTCGTTCTCGACGCAACCGGGTTACCTCGAGGGCGCGTGCTCTCCTTTCTCTTGGGCTTCGTCTCTCTCTCTCTCTCTCTCTCTCTCTCTCTCTCTCTCTCTCTCGCTCTCTCTCTCTCTCTCTCTCTCTCTCTCTCTCTCTCTCTCTCTCTCTCTCTCTCTCTCTCTCTCTCTCTCTCTCTCTCTATTGACATGCCCGAAGAGAACTGTAGACTTTTTTCTCGCACACAACTGGCCGAGAGGACGCGAAGGACGCGCGATAAAGTTTAAGAGCGTCGAGGGAGTTTACGTGCCTTCGTAATTAGCTGGATGAGAATGCGGATTGAAATGCCGGGACAAGAGTGATTTATCTCTCTCTCTTTTTGCTCCTCTCTTTTCGGAGAAAACTCACTGGTAATCTCATTCACACGATATTAAATAAACTCGACGTTGTCCTGGCTCATCGATAAAAATTCATAGCGTTCGCTCTGTTCCGAAAATACACGATTATTCCGTGGGGAATGGTCTACAACTCATTCTGATTTAGATACCGAAACGAGTTTCGATAACTTTTCGCGACTCAATCAAGCGTCTGCTGAAAGTAGACGAACTTGATCGCGCGCGCATACGCTGAAATTCGCTGAAAAGCAACCACTCTCGCGATTCGTCGCGATCATCGCCGAGGTGAAACAGCGCTTTTAAAGAGAGCGAAAATCGATTAAGAAAGCGAGAAAAGACAAGTCAGTCTCGGATGACTTATTCACGGGCGCGAGCGGCCTAGCTGCGGGCATTATCGAAAGCTTCGGAGTGCTTTGAACTTCGTAAGCCAGCTGGATTGATTTTGTCCCGTATGTCTTGAGATCGTGCGCGAGCACTAGAATTTCCCGAAGTTTGGATAATTGGGTTTTCAACTGGCAACCCTGAATTTTCGCGTTGATATAAAGCATCAGCCGCGCCGGAATTTCCAATGCCCCTCGCGCTCTTGCTTTTGTGCGCGCCCGGCTAACCTGGAAAGGCGATTGTTTCGCGCTTCCGTAAGCCGCTGTTTGTCTGTAAAATCATTTTCGACTGCATTCTTCTTGGATCCACCGGTGTTTTTGTGCATTATGGTATAAAGTCCTGCTGAATATTTTAAAATTATAGTCGAATTAAATTTTTCAATGGATAGTTGCAGTCGAAAACGATGTTCCGCTGTTAGTGTTTCGTAACTTATTTCGTTTGCTCAAAAAAGACTGAATATGGGACCGTGAGTAGAGATAGCAACGAAAAAAAATACAAATCTTACTTAAGTTCCATCGCTTTCGATGTCGTCATATCCGAAATTGACATGTACCAGACGTTCTGCTACGCTCAGCGAGTCAATGAAAAAATAAAAATCAACAGATCCCTCGCGAAAATCCCTGGCAAGCTCGTGCACAAAGCAGGTAGTCGTCATCGCGTGACGAATGAATCGCGTCGCGCGCCATGCATCTTCGGTTTCAAAGTAAAAACACGTTCAATACGAGGCATCCTATCGTGGCAGCTCTCTTATCTCGCGGAACGTATAATCTACGCGATATCGATTCGCGATATTCGATAATTTCAAATCAGAGGTCGCGGCTCTTGATTACTGCCGCTTGCTGTCTGTAGCCTGGAAACTTAATGGCACTCGCAGTGGATGCGAGAGGCCGTTGCGCGCGAGCATTAAAAGATGCGAGACCGAATGGCGTGGAGTTATTTATTCATGCGAGAGCACTGTGCGGTCGCGGCATCGAGCGCGATCGCTTGTCATTTTGCAGCAAGTAGCGTCGAGCGAGTATGCGGTGCAGCTGCTTGCCCCACTTTCTTTCTGTTTTTACAACGATCTAGGCTTATTAGCAATCAAGCGCGTATCGACGAGGGCAGCAGTGTCGGACAATGGCCTCACGAATCGCAATCATCGCGAGCATCAATCATCGGAATAGCTGTCGCGGTATCAGCAATTTCGCATCAACTGCGACTGCCGAGCAACACCGCGCAAGTTTGCCGGGGAAAGCTTTTTAATTTTCCAGATGAACAAATTATTGAGTGACCGATTACTTTCGTCGTTTGCCGGTGATTTTGCGCAGTCGACGTGGCGCGAGTTGGCCGCAATGTTGATCTCGACGCAACGGAGCGACATTTCACTCTTAAATCGCGGCGATGTCGAATGAATCTCGTGACTCGGAAAGCGCCTTAGCTCATTTATATAAAAAGATCAGAGTCTCGCGAGAATAATCGGCTAAAGGGTCTCCCTAGCGATCGAGGATTAAAATTCAAAGTGAAAAGCGCAAATATATCTGGCGTGGCACGAAGGAGGGCAATCGCGCGTGCAACAGCCACTCGACTCAACGCACCGCTGCTCGCCTAAGTAAAAATACACGCGCGCGCCTGACCCGACCGCGTTTCTGATCAAATGCAAATTTGCGGCGTGGCTTATCTGACTTTTCAGCGCTGATTAAACGCTATACCCCCACGGCACGTCGTGTGGCTGCGAAAAGCCACCCGCCGTTTGTATCGCACGCACGCACTCGTTCTTTTTTTCTCTTTTTTTATTCGAGAGTTCGCGCTTTGATGGATTTAAGACGACGTGTAATTACTCGATGGGCGGGTAAAGTGAATCGGTGCGAGCTTCAAAAAGCGATTCGTTTTTGAGAGGCACTATAATCCGTCGGCTGGGCCTTCATTGAACGTGAAGTTATGAACTACTATAAATGAAACCAACAGGATTAATCCCAGCTAGGAGTTAAGTTATCAACTTTAAAAATAGTAATGACCATTGGATTTGATGCTTTGGTATAACGAAGACCGACGGTCGATCGCGAAGGCGCGTTGGAAGAGTAGGGAAAAGAGGAAAGAAGGAAAGAGAAGAAACTCGATCCTCGATGAAATTCCGACGTTGTCCGACAGCTCGAGCGCGCGTGCCCGGCAAATCGGATTGGCTCGCAGCGAGAATACTTACCCAGCGAAGCGTCGTAGGCACAGATGTACTCGCTGGTGGTGAATTGTGCGGTGAGCGCGGTTTTGCCGACGCCCGAGGCGCCGAGCATGCCGACCCTGTAAGTGGGCACCCGCGACGACGACGACGACTCGCCGCCGGCTTCCTGCTCGACCTCGATCCCCGACAGCTGCGACGCCGAGCTGCAAAGGTCGACCAGACGCGTTACCCTCGACGAGTCAGCGCTGCGTCGAGCAGAGCCGGCTCGGGCCTCGGCCGCGCGGCTGCCACGCGGGAGCTTCTTCGAATGCTTAAGCGTCGCGCTTTCACGGCGCCGCATTGTTTGCTCTTTTGGAAGCGTTTCAAAGGTCCTCTCGGCCGTCCAGTTTCAAATCGACTGCCAAATAGCGTGGAAACGACCCTGGAGACGCGTCCTTTGGTTCGTACGCAATGCTCGCCTTTTACTCGGCTATGCTCTACATTAATATTATTTTCTCGCTCGCTGGCTCAGCTAACAGAACATTATGAACAATTCCATTTCGATTTATCTGTTCTACAGCGGGCTTCTCCGTGATTCGACGCATTGTAAATAGCCTTTTTACGTCTCATTTCCCCTTCAGCGTTTCCTCAATCAATAGCGCGCATTTCAACCCCATTACAGCAGCGCTCGTTCCAACGCAGAATTATTAATGTGTATTGCAGCCTCGTGCGGCTTGAACCTTGAAATGCACTCTATCTCTATCCCGTTAGTTCTTATTATTCCGTCAAACTGTCGATTTATGCATTGATTGCCGAAATTAGCCGACGTTATCGTTACGAGAATACTCGGAAATTCCGACTAAATAATGTGCGAGAATGTAGTAGCGCACGAACGATCGTCGTTCCATCTTGTCGCAGTTGATTATCACAAATGAAATCGAGAATCTTTTGGCTATGCGAATGTAGTTCCTCCGTTGACCGTATCGACATTGAATTACGTTGTCAATCAACAGGATTCGTATCCGCACCAACTTTTCAGCGAGATGCCGTCGCATGCTTGAACAAAAATTAGCCGAGCGCGAACCGAAAGGGCGTGAAAAGTTAACGAGGCACCTGAGCAACCTGGCGTCGCGAGTGCTGCTGCAGCTGGTGCCGGACGAGGTGACGCTGTTGATGCTGCGGCTGCGTCGGCTCTTGAGCGAGTCACCGAGGTTGAAGACCCCGTTGGCGGTTATCGAGAAGGAGCGCAGTCTGTAATACTCGACCCCCTCCTCGTGCTCGTCCTCGCCGTTGGCGCCACTCGCGTTGCCGCTCCCGATGCCGCGACGTGTCTCCGCCAGCATGGGCTGCAACACAAAGGCAGCGTAAATCGTTATTCCGAAGTCGAGTAGGGCTTTCTCCTCCCCCTCGGTCGTGGCTCTCTTTCCATGGAAATCAGGCCGATGACATCCGCCCGAAGAGGTCGCTGCCCGCATCGGCTTATTTTGATCGAAGCGCTCGCGGTGGCGTCAGCTCGGCTTCCGTCCTCGTAAGGAACCAGTGGTGCGTCCAACAAGAAACAAGCGGAATAGGATTTGCCGTTCGCGCAGCCGACGGAATCGCGCCTCGACGGAGGCCGGAATACAAGCTCGTCGGAGCGACGCAGACACGATCAGCGCGCGCCTCTCCGAGCCGAGTGTGCTCAGCCTGTTCAGCCTTCGCTGTGTGCGCGCGGTAATTGTGCGATTATTTGCGAGTTGGTCGTTGGCTCGCGACCACTTCCAGCCGTGGAAATTAGTTTGCCCCTGCGGCGAGTTCGCGTGACTCACGCTTTCGCCGGGACGAGTTTTCGACACTCGCGGTCTCACCGCTGAATCTAATGGTTGTTTAGCTTTTCTCCTTTAGCGACGCCTACGTTGTCCTTTCCAGTCATTCGGTGAGAGTATTTTGAGCGATTGTAGCGCGGAAATAACAGCAATCGAACGTACTTTCACGAAAGTTCTCCCATTATTTTGCTACTTTGAAAGCTGTCAGTTGCGGGATCCGCATTGGGAGCTCGGACAAACCAAACTTTCCCGCATAATCGGACCTCGCAAAGAGGATTAATTTGCTTGAGTTCGACAAAGACGATTAGACTACAGATCATCTATAATTATCACGATACAAACAGACGTACAGGATGTCCGAGAATGATTGAGGTGAACAACCGACGGAATTACTCGGTCAATGATAAATAATTAATTTGATCAATTTCACTTACACGTTGGAATCTGCAAGTAAGCACTTAAGCTTATCGAAAACCAGCATCATAGTATCATAGCGCAAGCTTCGCGGAGCGTGATACCTTTGGCCGCGGAAGCCTTATTGAAAACCAAAATCCATATCGGTCAATCAAGCTTGGCTTTGGCATCTGCAAAAGGAACCCGCACCCGCGTATCTGTGGCGTTACGTTCTTACGCGAGCAGCCGTACGATTTGAGACACGTGGTCGCGCATTGACTCTCGCGCAGCCCGATGATACAGCGAATAGAGATACGGGCTAGAAGGGCAGAGGAAACGAGGTGTACATTTAGACTTAGACTTCTCGTTAGCTACCTTTCTTTCCTTCGTGTGTTCGCACGCCAGCACTCGACGAATGTGAATTCGAATACCCGCGTCATGGAGTAAGTGCCGCTATGCGCGTACGTCTCATGAAACGCATCATTAATTCACTAAACTGCCTAACATTTCGTACTCTAGGCCGTTTCATTCATTCTCGTTTATCGCGACACGTGGCTTTTATTACAGCAATGCATCCACATCTTTCGTGATCGAGTGATATTAACACAAGCAAAATTCATCGTAAAAAGCGCCACGCGTTAATTATCCGTGCCGGTACGAACAAGCCATCTCTAATCTAAATTTAGACGACGCTTTGAGTAAACAGCACGGGTCACTTTCAAAAATAGAACATCGCACTCGAGGGTGCTCAAGACGCAAAAGAGGAAGAGAACAGAGCTCTCGTGCGCGCGCAGCATCCCTCTCCCCCACCCACTCCTTCGTCATTAAAATGCAAACACGGGGGGAGAACATCTTTTTTCATCTCCCTATGCGCGAATGCAATGGTAAACACTCGCTTTAAGAATTGCTCCTCATTGTCCGCGCGCGAATCGGGGCTATTACATTTTTTTTAGATGAAAGGGCATTGCTAGGATAAAAAATCAATTAACGAAGCTGAAATTACAGGCCGTACGGGTACGTGGCCGATTAATGAAGCATCGCTTAATCCCACTAAGGCCGCGAATGCCCGAAACTTTAGCGGATCTTTGGATAATTTAGGTAGCGAGCTGTGTGTCATCGGCGCCTAGAAGAAAATGGATGATAAGAAAAAAACCTTCTTAGATAAAGCGATTTTACGCTCGCTCTTCTTTGCCTCTTTTTTTACCCGTCGGCGAGAGAAGTTTGAAATTATAATGCACGGTGAATGTGTCTTGAGTGAAATTCGGTTTTACGGCGCAAATAGGGGCTGTGAGGCAGCTTCTGCTGACCCCGAGCGATTGATTTTCTATGTGTAATTTATAAACTTTCTAAGAGCTGTGTGTTTCGCCGGGCAGCTAATTAACACTTTAGTGCGTTGCGAAAATGCCTCACCTCTCGGAAAGCCTCGCGCGAGTCAATTAATTAGCGCGCGAAGCGTTTCGTCGAAATTCGTTAGCAATTATGTAGACGTAAATTTCAGAGGATAAGCGACGCCGGCAGCGTTATGATCGGACTATCGAGTGCCAATCGTTTCTCCGAAGCTTTGAGTGCTCAAAGTACACGAGCGATAACCGCGCTTATGGCGTTTTTTTCTCTCAATCGAATCGCTGCGCCCCTTGAAAGCCAGACGCGTTCTATAGCTGAGCTTCGGGATTGTGTTTTTCTCGCGTGGCAGGCGTCATCGTCTGACCAAACTTGAAGTCTTCCACTAGATTTTTTTAATTTCTAGCTCGAGTGCATCGCGCCGTTGATATTTACAAAAGGTTTCTATTTCCTTTTTCACTGCAAACATCGAATGCTTGCCGGCTTGGGAAAAATAAGAAATTAAAGCTTGGAAAATCAGGTCAATGCTTTGAATGAGGAACGGAACGATTGTAGAAATGCAAAACACAAGAGGATCCGTCCATTGAAAAACTACACTGAAACGTTCAATGCAAGCAACTGAGAGATTCAATGTACTCATTTGTACAATAAGACAAAAGTGAAACAAAGACAAGGTAGAATTCGACGTGGTAGACATCGTGTTCGTCAATCAGATGTAAGGCATTCAGCGATGTGCTTTTGAATCTATGTATGATATGTTGAATGAATGCCTTTTTGATAATCTTTTACCTTAGTGTACATCATATGATAATCATATATTTATGTATCTATCGATCTAGTATGTTAAGTCAGCGTCGTCTCGGGTCACACTGTATTTTTGCAAATCGAATCAGTCCACGCCCGACCATGGTATCAAGTTCCCGCGCGACAAATGCCTCCTACTAAAGAAATCCGCTCGCGTGAAAATTGCCAATAGGCTATTGTCGTTGATTCATGCGGAAACTTTTGTTCAAGCTATTCGATGTCGGCATAGTGGCGCGCCATACTTTCGTTGCTGATGGTTATACGTATCTGCACTTTTCAAAACTCGTTCGTCTCTTTTTCCCTCGAGCGGGACTTATAGAAATTATATTTCGCGTGAGTTGAAAGCTCGATTCATTTGTCACTTCCTCGATATTCATAAATAACACTGCTTTATGTACTTTACATTCATCAGGTTCTATAAACATCGCCGACCTCTGTTGAAATGATATTGCAAAATGATAGCGCGAGCGATCGCAGTTTCAGTTATTTATGTATCATTGCGTACTCTGCGAGACCGTTATTGATATATCATCGCTTATAATACTTCTAACAGAGATTTTTTGTTCGTTTTAGCGATGAAAATACTGGAATTATTTGGTCGCAAAGGCTATTGAAAGTCTCATCGTCGCAACGCGAGAAAGCGCAGAAAGCTGAAAACAAAGCTTGCATGCCAGCAAAAAAACTCGTTCTCCCACATACTTCGTTCCGTTGCACCTTTTTGCCAACCCGAGTCGAGTGGTAATTAATCTAACCACGACGAACGCAACCCAGCACGCGGAAAAAGTACCCAGCAGCTTCGTAGACAATCGTGGGCGCCACTCGGCTGAATAATTAAAAAAGGTAATGTTGCTTTAAAAAGAAGGGACTAGTTACCTCGAAAATACAATGCAACCTTGGCGGTAAATATATCGCGCCACGTTATATGTTTTGCTTAAATGGCGGCGGCGGGGAGATGGGGCAGGAAAAGAGAACAAGCGTCGCTGAAACTTTATGAAACGGCACGACGTGCGAGAGAATATTTTTACGGACGTCGACTTCGTAAAAACGCCGTATTTTTTTTCTCTTTTTGTTGCTTTGTACGCTACCAGTCGTAAACACGAGGGCTCCTGGAAATAGATAGGTTCTTGTTTGAGCTTGCAAGGAATTTTATTCTTTCTTGTAAAATGATATCTCATTGCTACTTCGACGTTTGCAATCGGTTAAATTGCACTTGAGCGTTATATTTAGCCGAGCGTAGTGCCTATAACTCGTTGTCTGCCGCGCATCTGGTAAATTTGACGCGCGATTTCGCACCCGCATTGAGAGAGAGAGAGAGAGAGAGAGTTTTGCGTGCGTCGTTAGTTGTAAGTCTCGGGTACGAGTAAATCACGATACGCGCGTGTGTTTTAATCTGCGACTCTGCATTCGCGTAGACACATATCTCATCGATATCGATAAAGTGCGCACGCTTCATATAAAAATACAGTAACGGCATGATTTTCATAGGAGCACCGCACCTCCCAAAAACCGATTTAAACTTGCACTCCAGCAAAACGTAAATTACATTTCGCTCTCGCGAGCGCAGAACGTTCGCCCAGAGTCCATTAGCGGGAAAGAAAAAAACGCGGAATACACTGACCGCTTAATGCCTTTTCATTATCCTGACTGAGAAATAAATCTGGACGAAACGGACGATCGCACGGTCGTGCAGGCAATTACGTGGAATCGGGTCAGCCGAGCAATGGAAAGAAGAGTGAAAAAACAGCGTAAGCAATAATTGAAAATGTAAAACTAGCCCCGTCGCGTCCGTAAAACCATAAGTAAAAGTGTACCGAGCCACAAAGAGAGAAGCAACATTTTTTCATTATCGGTTACTTTTTCGATCAGCCGAGCGGAACAGAGAAAATGTTTCTTCTGTCAAATCGATTCAATTAGCAAAGGGCGGGCGGGCAAAGTAAGGAAAAGTCTCGGGTCGAGCCTCGTCGGATTAAGCACGTTCACGCGTCTTGGGGGAAAGAGGAGGTTAACGCGCTCGCGTGCAACACCGAGTTCCTTCGATATAAATAATGAGCGCTCGTTGGTAGGTGCATGCACGACGACCATTCTTTTCATCGACACTGATTGCCGTCGCACAAATCGGTAATCGAATTAGAGCTATGCCGCTCGCGCGAGTGGATAATCAGTCGACTGTGCGCTTTCGTGATTCACAGAAAAGTTCGTTTGAAAAATTAAAATAAGTGCACGCGCCAGCTTACGACGGTGGTTACGGCTGCGCGCGCGGTCTTAAATATGAAAGCTGTAATAACGAGCTTTTGTCATGCGAAAGCCTCGGAGCGAAAAACTTACGGGCAAAGTGTGCCAGGACAGGAGCTGTCACGCATCAAAAATCTCTTTCGATTTTGGACCGCAGAAGCTAGGGAGAGATTAAGGTCAGCGATCCCTTGCTGCTTGACGTGCGACGATTCAGCCGGTTAACGAGACAGAGAGAGAGAGAGAATAGCTACTCTACGATTGTTGACCTTATTACCGCGTTCGAGGTTATCGGCTTGTACATCCCCGCGATTTTGGAACTTCGACACGACGTGAAACAAAAGTTTATCACTCGGACGAGGGCGCAACTTGTAGTCGAGTTTCGACGTAACTCGTCGGCTTCTTTTCCCCGTCTGCCTCGAAAGAACTTTTATGTTATATACGTGCGTTCTACAGCTGTCAGTCGGTGCTGACTTTCGTAATTACTTTTAACCGCTCGTAATCAAACTAATTTTTCCCCACGGAAAACGAACTCTTTACACGCCAAGTTTTTATTCGAAAATTAACGAGTGCCCTACCGGAAGCTCGTCGCTTTGATCAAAGAACCATCCGAAGTGGCCCGAAGGATGACAGTCGTGCCACTCGCGAATGATATTGCAAAATAGCAGAAAGCACCGGAGGAGGAATTCTACGATGGAGCTAACGAACGGCGACGGCAGCGGAATTTTCAGACGACGTCGCGAGCCCCTCGCTCGGAAGAAGAAGCGACGCGGGAACGAGCGACAATCAATTGGCTTCGCGTGTTTTTCTCCAATCTCGCGCGTGACTTCAGTCGGTCTTTTTGTTTACATACTCGGCGTCCCGTTTTTTTCCACGTACCTTTATTTTTTTTTAATTTTTTTATTGTTATTATTATTATTATTATTACACATTTCCTCTGTGACTTTGACGAGGTCAATTTCTCATTCACGGCACGACGAGAGAAGGATGAGCGTGCCGGAGTTCAAAGACCTGGGCAAATCAGCGAGAGACGTGTTCCGTACAGGTTATCACTTCGACAAGGCGACGCTGAAGTTATCGGGTGGACCGCGAGTGGTCGGCGTAGAGGCCGATGCGTCTTTCGACCTAAAAACTTTCACGGTAAGCCTCGCGCAACGCGCGAAAACTGCAAACTTGGAACTCGAAAACTGAACAGTCGGCGCGACGTGACAGGGCAAGTGCGGCTTCCTGGGCAAGTACGATGCGGAGAAGTACGGCGCGTTCAGGGTGAACTACACAAACAACGGTCTCGCGGTGGGCGAATACCACCTGAAGGGATTGCTCTCCGAGAGCGTCGATGTGAACGCCGGGGTGTCGATCAACCCAGCCGAATCCTTCAACTCGTGCAGGCTCGGCGCCAAGTTTCACAACGCTCTGCTGCACGCGACGTGCTCCGTCAGTGAGTTACAACTGATCGCCGCGTGTTCCGAACGCGACTCGGTTTCTTTTTCCGGCGCTTTATCCGCCCTCCATATCGACCTCTACGCGCACTTTACAATATTAATAGAGCAATCTTGGCTCAATTTATTCACGATCTATAGCACGGAAGAGAATGAAGCTTTCGTCGAGCGAAAGCGCATCAAACATTCAAGTGATAATAATTCAGACGCGACTTTTGTAAGCAAAAGTATTGTCCGTTATTCATCCTTCCCGTCGTTTTATTTATCGTCTTTGCATTTGCCGTGCTAATTGTCCGTCGAGTCGATCGGCCGATGAAAAATACGACACCTTGCATTTTCACGCGTTTTGTGCTTGTCGGTTAGACGAGCTTTTCATCGCTCGCGAAATTGTCGAAACTACTTTCCACCGGCAGCAGGAGCAGAGAGAGAAACTCTGCGCTTCTTCTTTTCCTCCCAGCAAAGGACTTTGACAGAAACGTCGAGCTGGGCAGTTCGGGCGTGCTGAAACTGAGCAATCTGTTTGTCGGATACCAGGCGAGTTTCGACACCAACAGCTCGAAGATCACCAAAAACGACGTTGGGCTCGCGGTCGAGCACGGGCCCGCCTCGCTGCATTTCAGGTGTATACAAATTCCCCGGGAACTCGGCATCAGCGTCTTTTACAGAGGTTCGTGCGTCGCCGACTTGGCCGCTTAGATCAAGCCCGCTCGCTGTTCTTAATATCGTGCGTCCTATGTTTGCCTCCGCCGTGACTTCCCCCATTGATCTCGTCGCCGGCGGCAATAAACGTACCGCGTCTCGTCCAGTCGACCAAACGCTGCTCGATTACTTCTCGATTTCTTGGCAATATTCGTCCGCGCTTCCCCGTCCACACGCGGCATTGCGTCGATTTTCCAGTGAACCTCGCAACACGGCTGTATTCGCGTCGCCACGGTCGCCAAACGAAATCGAATAAGTCGAGCGCAAAATTGAGGCAACGCAGAGCACGCCAATACGAGGCTACGTTAATCTCGGCAACGCGCTGCCGGAAAAGTACTTGGCGAGGCGGACAAATTTGGATATTGCGTTGACAGTGAACGACAAGGTGGACGTAGCGCTGGACGCGAAGACGGCTAGCGGCGACGAGGCGCGGCTGTGGTACGCGGGCGCTGGCCTGGCCTACCAGCTCGACGAGCAGTGCAAGCTGCGCATGAAGCTCGACAAGAACTGCCAGCTCGCGACGAGCATGCAGTTTCGCGCGCAGGACAACCTGCTGCTCACTCTGGGATTCAGCCTCGACCTCGGCAGTCCCCGCAGCGGACAGCACAGAGTCGGCCTCGGCATCGACGTCGAGGTGTAGCCGTGCGTTCGGCTTAGGCTTTTACTTTATCGCAATAAAAATCCGGCTGCTGCGTTCCAGGCATTCCCTCGTCTTTCCGTTCGGCCGAACTGCGACAACGCGTTACTCGAAACGATAGCGAAAAGGTTCTGGCCTCTGCTGTTTCGCCTTGCGAGTGAAAAATGTGGAAACGCTCTTGGAAAACTTGCGGATCATTCGAGTCTTGTTTCCCTCGCAAAAGTGCTTGGCCGTAACAAGTTCCGAACGGTCCAGGGCTCATCCTAATATTTTCCTCGGCGAATTCGATCGTTCTGTTCGGCGAAAGTCCTTGCAAATGAGAGTGGCCACTTAAAACACTCGGACGAAAGAAAGCATAGCGTGGTCGCCGTTAGCTGAAGATCTCGTTACGCAAGCGTCACTTCGCTATCCCAAGACGAATCCTACGCCGTAATTACGAAAACGCACGTCCCATGGTCCTGGACAAACACATCTCAACGCAACTCGAAGGGAAAGACGAAGGCAATTTTCCCCTCGGCGGCGCGGGACTAGGACGCCAGGCGTAAACATGCACAGGGATATCAAATCAACGCGGAGAATGCTTTCCCTCTCGCGTCCCCTGCTGCTGGTCGCAAGGATCGAGTCGCCGCGGGGTTCGACGAGCCCGTGCCGACAGCGACTTTTCTCAAGAGCCGCCAAGTCTCGTACGAACCCTCGTCGTTGTGTGCGCGCGACAGGCGCGCCAGTTAGTAAACATTCGCTCGTTCTCGACTACACAGACGGGCTCGCACACTGGCGGATAATTGATCGGGAAATCGAGCGAACTCGGAGACATCGCTGCGCGCTCTCGTGGCATCGCCATTGCGAGAGCGAGAAGAGCACTCACCCGGTGCCTGGGTACGGCAGGCATGCTGCTGGTCCTCCCGCGGTGCTTGGGCTGCGGCGGCAGCCTCGAGGCGCCCGTAGCGGCGGGATTAGCGGGCGCGGCCGGACTCGTGGCCGGGCTCGGGCCGACGGGACTGGTGCCGGCGCTGAGCTGCGCTCCGCCAGGGCTCAGCGCTGGCGTCCGCGTCGGGCTGCGTGGCGAGGGCGAGAGGTGTCCCCACGGGCTGGCCTCCGCCTGCAGAAACCTGGCGGACATCGTCCGTGAGATGGATCCGGGGCAGGGCCGCGCGGCTGGCGCTCCGGCGAGCGTCGCGCGCGGAACTGGCCGCAGCCGCAGAGCGCATAGCCCACGGTTCTCCCGTACGATCTGACGTCAATGCACACGACGCGATCGAGCAGACGGCCAGAGGGAGAGAGCGTTCGGTGGCGTGCGAAGCGCCACTCTGCTCGCGTTAACGAGCGCGCTACACAATTCACACGGTCGTTTTACGGGCGGGCAAGGGCTAGCGGCGGTGGACTGCTCGCCGACGAAGACGAAAGCGCACTGCTCTCCGTTTTTCTTATTTTTTTGCAAACGAGCGTACGCGAGCAGTGCCCGGCGCGCTGGCTTTTCTCAAGCACGGTTCTCAGTCCGAAACGAAGCGGGCAACGAGAGCCGCCAATCCGCGTGGCCGCGGCCGAGTCCTACCTGTGCAGGTCCGGAGTGGGCCGGGCGACGGCGATGCTGGAGCTGCGCCGCCTGGACGGCGCCGGCGACTTGGGCCCGTTCGCGGAGCTGGCCTGCAGCCGCACCTCCACCTCGCTGCTGCGCCGCTGGAAGGCTCGCTTCGCCCAGCGCGCCTGCTTGTTCATGTTGCTGTTCGCCAGCGCGTCCGACGACGAGTCGCTCTCCTTCCTGCAACCAGACCTTCCAGGCTTTTTACGCGACTCGTTAAGTGCGCTGCGGTTTATTACGAGTTGCAGGCAAATTTTACGGCTTTCCGCCGCGCCAAACGTGTTGCGAGTTTCAAACGGACAGTTTCCAGGGCGGCTGCATTACAAATCACGGGCTCGTTTTTCTCGCTGGCTATACATGCGCGAGAGGTAGACTCGCAGATTGGTCCTGCGAACTGGTAAAGTCCGCGAGCGTTCGTTTATTTGCTTGCAGCAGGAGGTCGCACGCGTCGTCGTCGAGTGTCCATTGAGAAGTTCGGGAAGCGCGCACGCCGATCTCAATATCAATCTCGCACGGCCAATATTTAATCGAGTGGCGAAAATAAAAATCTAATTCGCATTTATCCGGCAAATCGAATCTCTTTTCCACTGGGAGAGCAAAGCCATCCCGAGTAGAAATCGATGAATTGAAATAAAGCTGCACTAGTCAACTCTGCGCGGCCAAGATTGGCCCACGAAATCACGTCTATACAACGAATAGCCGTTCGAGTGGAATTCGAGCAGCTTGAAATCCAAAGTTGGATGCAGCTTTGCATCCAAAAAAGCGAGTTGCGCTCGGGATTTGGCGTAGGTTGTCCGAGAAGGCAAACAAAGTCTGTCGGACGGGCGAGAAAAAAAAAAAAAAGAAGGAAGCGGACATCTGGCGCGATCGCTGCCGACTTGTCTCGAGGGACTGGCGACACAGCGCCATTGATTAACGTCCGCGGGACGCGTCTCGAGAGCTCAATTTCTCGTACGATGATTGGCCGGAGAGTCTGCTCGCTCGCTCTCGCTCGCTGAAAGCTGGAAATTAGCTGCGCGAGCGGTAATTAAAGATTTTTGTTTCCGCGATTGCAAGAATGGCGTTCTTATATAGAACCAATGTCCTCGCTCGAGGTCGCGCCAGATTTTTCGGGGCTGTTGCTTCGCTTGCTTCTTCCTTCATTGCGGACGGATTTATTTCTTGACGAGAAGTCTTGCAACGCCAAAAAAGATGATTCTATTTTTCAACCAAACGTAAAGAATCGGGGAAAAAAACTTTTGCGGGTAAATTGTCTTGATTGGTTGGATAAATTTTGGAGTGAGTCCTTCGTGATACTGGCAGGAATGTTGTGCGTGCCTTTGAAAATCATTGCCGTTCAAGTAGGCCATGCATTTTCTCGAGCTAGGCTGTTTGTCAGACTAGGAATATCAGCACGTCCATCGGGCCGATGCGAAAATCCAACACACATAGGAGAGAGTATCAAGATTTTCTTCGTGGATATCGCGAAGGGAGCGCAGACTTTCTCGGCACACGTGACTAGTTTTCCGCTCTCTCGTAACAAGTAACTTTTACCGAGGTTCGGCCGCGCGGACCACGGTTTAGATAATAACGCGAGTTTCCGACGCGGAATAAGCGTGCGAACGGGCTTCGCGCGGCAAGTACGTATAGAATTTTGCGCGGCGCGCGCATCCCTACAAGAAGCATTACAAGTTTTTCGCGAAAGCCTAAGCCCGCGGCTCGCGTTCCCGCCCGCGCATCGGCTAACATCGCCGACCTCGTCGAGAGCTGTAAGTAGCTTGCCGAGTCTTCGTTTAACGATCTAGCTAATTTATTTCGCACATCTCGAATTTAATGGACTTGCTCAAAGTGAACGCAGCGCGATCTTGGCGCGCCAGAAACTTTCCATTCGTGCGTGCTAGTTTTCGTGGCCCGTTCGCTCGTCGTCCATCCTTATTATGCGAGGGTCGCTCATACTGCCGGCCGATAAATAAGGGTTCACTTCCTCGCCGAGCAATCTTGCCGAATAACCGCGCTCTCTCCGTGTCGCTGTCTGCCGAGCGAAATTGCCCCCTTGCATATCGATTATTGCCAAGAGTCTTTCAATGGTCTACGAAACAACGAGAAAAAGAGGACAATAAGATAAGGAAGCCGGCACTGCAAAAGTTTCTCAAGGAGTCTTATATCGGAAAGGATTTTCCGACTAGTGGTCGTGCGCGAAACGACGGCAAATAAAAGTCATCGATGTCGCGGAAATCGCATCCCTTGCGCAAAAGTCACGCAACCGCTCGAAGGCCGGCGAGTTCGAGCAGCTAATCGCGCGAGGGTGGCGGGGGACGCGGGCCTCGAGATTAGCATAAATCGATTGGCGCGCAGCTCTAGAACGACTTTTGATCAGCGAGTTTCTTTGATTCGCGCGCGACGGACGAGAGCCCAGTGCGCGCAGTGCGCGTGCATCCGAAATGAGCCGCGAGAGCGCCCAGCTAATTAGTTTCAACTTATACGTTGATCCTTTCCCTTAACCAGAGCAAATCTGTTGATCGTCAATTCCGTCGACGCAGCTGTGCTCCAATTGGAGAATATCCGCCGCGCGCGACCGCAGCTCCGACTTGCCTCGCGCTTCAGCTGCTGCTCCGGGAACATCACCGGCGAAAGCTCGTGTCCGACGACGCTGTAATCTTTCTGAGCCACACGGCCACAAAGCAGCCGCGAGTTTCCGCGGCCAATTTTGCAATTTCGAGCTTTTAATTAAAATCTGCTCGTCTCGAAAATTATTGGTCGCCTTCGTGGGCAAGAGAGTCAGCAGCCGGTCGATGCGTTGCAGAGTCGACAGGGCGCGTTTTGAAATAACAATGAAACTCGTTGGCGCTCGGAAAGAACCAGCCAATTAGCTTAATTGCATTTCCGCGAGATCTGTCTTTTATGAGCGCTCGTCGCCGATCGCAACGCAGCAAGTTGCCGAGGCTTTTATTCTCGACACGCGAAGGATGGAACTTGGAGGTGAGATGAAATTGTTGAGCTCTCGACGGTGGAAAGTTCTTTCATTTGCAATCGGCCGCTTCCTTTTCTTTGCGCATTTGTAACTCGCTACTTTTCTTTGTGGTTTCGCAATTGAATTTCACAGCGGCTTGGACGGCTCGCGCGCGCTCTCGATTTATTACGGGAGTTTTCGAGTGCACCCACGTGGCCTGGCTGTCGGCGAGAACAATAATCGAATCCTCGCTCCTTGCTTCTCTGGCAAGACGAGAGCGCGCTTAGTGGATGTTCTGGAAATACAAAAAAACATCAAGCGGAGCTTCTTCATGATACCCGCACGTGCACCGGAATACTCGATCTGGCTGCAAATCGTAATCCCATGTTTTTCCGCGTACCTGCCGGTGAAACGGACGCGTAGGATGCAACTTCCAGCTACTCGTTTCGAAATGCCGTTTCAGCTGGGAAATCTCGCTTTCCGATTTCTTGCGTCTCTCGTACCCCGAGCTTCTCGTAACGAATGTTGCATGCATTCGAATAGTCTATTCATACGTGACTGACGAGGGTGGAAAAAATAATAATCCGCGGTGAGAAGGGATAAGCTGCCTTTGATCGCGCTTTCATATCCAGAAAGGACTTTCTCTGGCACGTCGCTGGGAATACAAAAGAATAACGGGGCGCTCTCACCTAGGGATGAGCTTGTCCTCGAGCATGTTGGGCAGGTCGTCGAGGTCTTCGTTGAGAGTGGCAAAGAAGTCCTGGAAGTTGTCGGGAAAATTGCTGGGCAGATAGGTGGTGGTGGCGCTGACGCGGTTGCCGCTCATAGCTGACGAACTGCAGGCGCGTACGGGCTGCTCGTGACTACTGTACCACGGCACGGTCGACGTGGTCGCCATGGCGATCGCTGACCATCGGCGGCTGCTTCCTCCTCGTCCGCGAGTCGGCTATCTTCATGGATGTCGTGCTTATGCGCGGGCAGCTGTCGCTCTCTCCTCGCTTCCCCGCGCGCCGCCAGAATCGCAACTTTTAACGAGCTCTGCAAACCAGCGAGACCACACACCTTTGCTTTCATAACGATCGCAAAGTTTCGAGTGCGAGCGACTGAAAAACCACGTCGCTTCGCGCGCCAGCCTCTTAATGCGCTGTTATTATCGTTCAAGCATTAGACTCCAACTTCCCCTCTTTTCGCCCATTAAAAAGTTTTCGATCGCGAGAGAGTTCTGGTTAGATCCTTGGTAGGAATACGCTGACCCGAGCCGTCATCCGTCGGCAACGTTATCCAATGAATTTTATCGAATCGCCTTTTGCGAAGGCGCGGACACGCACGCGAGTCCCGATAATGCTCCGTAGGATTTCAGAATTCGTACTCCGTTGCAACCGCTGCCTTCGTCCCTGAGGCAGCGACGAAGATAAGCGACGCCTATCGTCGCAACAAATTCGCTCGCTCCGAATTATCCTTCGGAGTATAAACGTCACGCGCGCGATGAAGACAAACGTATATCCGCGATAAGCACTTCTCTCGAGCGAGACACGCCAATGAATATTGCAGGCACGGCAGCAGGGCAAGTTCGATAGTGCGCAAGAAGTGAGAGAATAAAGAAAAGATAAATCTCTCGTGATTTTGAAGCGCGAGTGCGACGCAACGGATTCGTCCCTTTGAACGCGCACTGCAGGTATCGCAATTGCGCATTGTTCTGCCAATCGAGCGATCACTTACGCATCGGCCACTTGGCGATAGATCGCAATAAAGAGCGTTGCCGTTGCAAGCGGGCATTAAACTTTCACGTCTTATCACAGCGCTAATTTGTTTTTCATGCCGTTTACCCTTGGATGCGAGTGCCCACCACGAGGCGTTATTGATCAATCTTCGTCTCGACGGTGCGCTCATTTGGTTTTTATGCCAAGCGGACTTTATTTATGGCACTTCTGGAAGAGCGCTGCTTCTTAGACGAAAAAAAAAACGGAAAAAGACATTAGCAGAAAGGAAACGACCCGTTTGATTTACTTTTTGCACGTGCTCGCCCAAGCCGAAAGTATTCTATGATTTGCTACACTCTGCCAACGAATTTCTTGGCTTTTCTGCTCGATCAATTATGGCATGCAATTTGTGCCCAGATCTAGAAACCATTTTTTTTTTCTTTTGTTTTTTTTGCAGTCCAAATAAAATAATACACTACTACAAACGTTGCTCTCATATTAAGTATGCAACAAATGGAAGCTGCCAAATGATCTGAAAATGGATAGGTCTTATCACTTACTGGGTCAACAAGTGTTCAATATAAAACAATATTCATTCCTATAACTTTTTAGTGAAGCATAAAAATAAACGAGAAATAGATGAGTTCTTAAATTTGCTGCATTCTTAAGTAAAGAATTTCTTTCTAGTGTATTGTCTTGCACAAATCGCATCTTCAATAAAACTCGCAGAGTAAGAATAAAAACGAAATCAATCACTCATTCTTATAAATAAACTCAAATGATTGTCTCTTGGAAAAGTGTTCAACTTCCCAGATAAAGCAACGAAGAAAAGTTGAGCCGAAAAAATGTATGAGCTACCGCTCGACAAGGACAGCAAAAGAAACGATAAAAATGCTTGTCCATGTGTATACGTGTGCGTATACCGCGTAAAATAATAAGACCGTCAGTTCGTAAAAAGAAGCACGCATCCGTTAGTTCTCGTGCTGATTCGTCATGCAAACGCGCGCGCATACAAGCTGCACTATTTACCAGATCATTCCTCGGCGCGTTCGCGGTGGCGACACAACAAAATAATACGCTCTTTTGTTCTCTGCTACTCGTGGTTTCGGCGGGCGGGCGCGCGAGTCTCCGGCGAAAGCTCGACGGCTACTGCGCGAGCTTTCGCTCGTCGCGAGTACTTGTTGTCGTTGCCTCCCCCTCTACGGCAAGGTACGCGTGCGCGCGCAACCTTCGCGATACGCGATTGTCGAAAGGGATGCTCGTGCTTGCTTTTCTTTTTTTTTTCTATGTAGCTCAGACAATCGCTTATCCGCTTGCCCGCGTTATGCGCGAATACTGTTCGGAGAGTCCAACTCCGCGACGTCTTTCACGAGCTAATTGAATGAAACTTTAAGACCATGAAACTCGCAGGTTGGATTACGCGCGCGGAACTCCCAATTTTAGCAGTTTGTGAAACTTGGGCGTGTAATTCAAGTAATGAAGAGATACTATGCGAGTATCAAGATGCTAAATGGACTTCCTAATGGCTCTTTTTTCGCGCCGTGTTAACGAACAACTTCAACCTTTCGGATTTCTCCTTCACTCTCGATTTCTCTCCGGACATATGTGCTTTTACTTGTAGCGTAATTCTCGCTGAAAATGAAAAGAAGCATTGACTATTCACTGGATATCAATATTTTCCAACTGCTTGGTTCATCTTTTATAGACCTAGCCGTATTCGAGCGTTTACGGTTACATCCGAGCTTCGGTATATTTAATGAGCAAACGTATAACGCATGATTTATAGGTTGCGTTACCAAAGCTCGATTAAACGTTCCTACTACTTGTATAAAAAGAGCGTTATTTTTATATATTTTGGATATTTTTAAATGTGAAGATGCTAGGCTGGAAGAATGAATCGCGTGTGGGCATGATTATATTGATTGATAAATTATTTACTCGATGAATGAATGCAGGCACAGCAATGGAGCTTTAAAAAAATGTATATTCAGCATCATAACCGACACGAGTTACTACCTGGCACAAGCTCTTCCAAACGAGTTTTCCAATAACAGTCTTTGCTTACGAGCGACGGAAGGACCCGTGTATAATCCAAAGCTTATTGGTCGAATAAATGAACGAGGAATGATACAGTGCCATATGCGGAACCCCCAGTATTGTTACGCCCAGTACTTGACAACAAAATTCCAACGTAGAAAACATAAATCGCAAGAAGAGAGAAAGAATCGCATTGCAAGCATAGTGCTAACTCGCAACGAATCTCGCTCGCTCGGACGAAGCGATTCTCGTTGCGCGCTAATCAAAGCTCCTCCCGGACATCCGCGTTCTGGTCGACGCGAGCGCACTTTTCACTACCATTGCGATCGACCGACGAGCTCCGCAGTGACCGCGGTGTCGAGTGCGGCACATTGTGCGTACTAGCCGCGAAGCCAAGAGCATCGGTATTGGATTATTATTAATGAGCGGAGCGAGCTTTTGAAATAAAGCTGCAGCGCGATTTTTCATTCTCGCTGATGTGCAAGACACGGCAAGCGATGCCAGCGAGCTGCTGCTGCTGCTGCTGCTGTGCTGTTGTTCTTTTAATTCACTTTGACTTTTTACCTCTTGATCGTATTTTTATAAAAGTACGACGACGCACTAGATTATTATTTGCTTTGGTTGAAAAGACGTCGATGATGACGTCGATGAGCTAACAGGACACAGTTGTTTTTTTATGACAAAAAGGAGAGGGAAACACTTTTTCTTTTGTCAATCGATTTCCAATTCATTACTCACAATTGTTCGATGTATACTCAAGATTTTTTGGTATCTTCAGAACACTGTCTAGAACAAGACAGCTCTTTCGTTATACTTGTGCAGATTGGAAAAGGAAAAAGATATGAGATTTCTGTTGAACAGGCAGCCAGGTTAAAGAATTCAATTTCCGAAGCAGGAACTCTTGCGTTACGATTTACACGAGCACTGAACATCTCGCGTAGGTGGAGAGTCTAAAGTCTGCGCGATCGAACATTCCTGCACGATAGAAAGCAAGTCGAAAATCAATGTATCTATTTTTCGTGAAACTTTGGAAAAATAAGAATACCTCGGCATTGGTAGATCGGGGAAGTAGCAGCTGGGGCTGTTCGCGAGCGGTGAAGGGCGGCTCGATGAGCCAGGCGGTTCCGGTCGGGGCTCGCGCCGTCAGGTGCGCGAGCGCGTGACCCACGCGGCTTCTGTCTCTACGCCTGGAAGCACACGGCCAATGCTTAAAATCACTGGCGGCAGCTAGTTGTGAGTCGGGGAACAGAGGCAAATTGCGCCAATTTGTTTAGTAATCAGCAGTAATCTATTATTCACTAACGCGCGTTCGTCTTCACAGAAGCTAGTAAATTTTCCAGCACAGTTTTCGATCAGCGCGAAATTAAACGTCGTAGCCATCAAGTGGCAGTGCGATTTGGCGTCAATTAAAGAAAATAAAGAGAAAAAAGCTCGACCAAGGAAAAAGTTAATCGTAGCCGACGGTTCAGTGGTAAAAGGACTTAATTGCAATTAAGTCGGAACTCACGGATCGGGAGTACAGCTTCTCGTTTGGCAAGGCGACGCCTCGTCGCGCATCGTCGCGCTGTCAGGCATATCAGGCAGTCCGATGGCCTCAAAGCTTCTATTAGAGGGACACAGGGCAACCAGCCGTATTCCCGTCTGCTCCACTGGAAAACTCGCCTACGATCCAGACAATGGAAAAATACCCCCGAAACTCCTCTTTCGTTTCCTTTCTTTTTCATTTCGGGGTAAACGAACCTCTCGTATAGTGCCGATACTAGACAGCTAAAAGGACGATTTGTCCGCGAGATCCTTTTGTTATTAATAGCCGATTGACCTTTATCAGATCGAAACATTGTCACCGAACCGAGAGCTTTCCTGTTTTTACACGGTGAACGCTTATATATTGCTTTGGAAGTTGATTTACGAGTTTAATTTACAAATAGAGGTGATCTCGCATCACTTCATGGCATCAATTTTATTCGTATGAGAATCGCTGATTAAACTAATGGAAAATCAATCGTATGCCAGGCGACGTTGCTACCAGTGATTGGCATTTTTTGCTATGCGAGAAATTCTAATTTTCGTAAAACGCAAACGCTTGATCTTGCTGAAATTGAAACTGTAAAAAAGCCGCGAAGGGCAAAAATTCGACGCACGTTCCATTTGAGCTTCATGTAATTAAATTGCCAATTTGGCTCAGCTTTATATTCCAACTGTTTCCAAGTGGCATATTAATTACCGCGACTTTACTGCGACTTCAAATCGCATCGAATCGCATTACAACTTGTTCGCCTAATACCACGAAAATTGGCGTCGTATTGCGAAACTGAAAATCATGCGTTGGATGTTGCGCGTTCCCTCGGTGAACGTCACATTGCCAGCGCAACGGTAGGGGTAAACTGCATATTGAAGCGTGATCTCATATTAGCAGTAAAGAGCCTCCGTTTTCCCGATAAAAGCAAGTCGATAAAAGAAGCGAATCATCGTTACGTCGACGAAGGAGACACTCACCGCGAGTCGTAGGCTGGTCTCTATGACGGGCTCGCTGCCGCAGTACACCGGCTGTGGGTTGTCCGGCCATCCCATAAAGCCCAGTATGGAGGCGCAGTTGACGATTATGCCACCGCTCGATTTGCATTTCCGAGGCATCACCTCCAGCGCGATTTTCGTGATGCGCTTCGCGTTGCTCTGCTTGGGCGACAAAACATCGTCATGAGCTCCGAGCCCAAGACCGAACGATTGGTCTGTCATTACGTGTTTAGTGTCGCCGGGACACGAGTTCATCGGCGAGTCGGGCAGACGCTGAATGGCGTCGAGGTCGTTGACGAGGATGCTGACGTTCTCCTCTCGGCAGTGCGAACACTCGAAGATGCCTTTGGACGAGGAAGACAAAAAGACGTGCTGAATAAAACGACATCGTTCGCAGGGGATAATGCGCTGTCCGTCGAATTACCCTCCACTTGGCAGGAGTTCTTCGGGTCGCAGGGATAAAACTTGGCGCGTCCCTTGCCGTAAGCCGCGCAAAGTCTCTCGGCGGCCGAAGCGCCCGACGCGTCCGCGAGGATCACCCTCTGACGCGGATAAAAGAGGCGAGCGTTGTTGTTTGCTCTCTTCGTTAATTGCGCTTGTTCGTCAAGTCTCTTTTGCATACTTTAGCGCCGTGATGCAGCAGCCGCTCCGCGGCGACCAAGCCTAATCCGGAATCCGAGCAACCGCCGACGACCACTGCCACTCGACACTCCGCTGACATTATTGGAGGAATATGCTCGCGACAGTTGCCCGGCACGACGATTCTCGGCGAGCTTGCGGCTGCGGCTTTCTTGCGGCGGCGCAACGTACCTGTCGTACTGCAATTTCGTTTTCACTCATTGGAATTTGGCAGGAACGAAAAGCTGGTTATCGCTTCAGTACCCCTCTTGTCATTTCGTTTGCAAAAACTTGAGCCGTCGGGCGCGAATCCGTTTCGTAAAAAATAATAAAAGCTTCATCTAGTTACGCGAATTAACGAGAATCAAGTCCGATCCAAGGGAAAAGTAACGTTCTCCTCGTGAGCCATTCAAGCTGTATTGTTTCTCAGCTGAATCGGCGATTCGTGCAAAATTGAACGATAACAAATACTTTGTCCCCTTTCGATGAGAAGCACTATTTTCTCAAGGAGCCAATTCTTTTTCAAGCAAAGTATCGTCTGTGCTGGATAAAGACAGAGCTTCCACCAAATCAAATTCTCGCCAAATGCTTGTCATTTTTATCGCGCGTCAAGCTTTATTGAACAAGTTCCGCAGCTCTTGCGAAAGGGACAAAATCTTTTTGTGTCTTTGTGCCGAATAACGAAAAGAATAATGAACAGCCAGCTCTGTATAAATAAACACATCGGGAGAGTGTTCTTATGTAGAATCCTCGCTGATAAAAGAGGGTTTAAGGACAAAATAAATGTTACGCTAACCGAGTGAAAATCCCACGCACACACATACACAAACATACTCAAACGCATGCGCCACTCTAAAGTTGTGCATGCGTCTATCGGAGTATTTTCCCGGATGGAATCTAGTGAGCATGGCTACCTGAAATTTTTACGGATGAATTGAAGGACGTCGTTTACTTTCTGCGAGCGCTGGAGCGTAGTTTTCCCAAAGAGCGTCGGAAATTTCATTTTCAAGGCTGGTTTTACTTTCGAAAAATCACTCGATACATTTCAAAGCCACTGGAATTTGGTGAGCATGCCGTCGAACGTGAAATGTTGGTTAGGCGACGAAACAAAAGACAAGTTTAAGCTAATGCGTTTTTATTTAAGGCTTGCAGCAGCATCGAATACATGAGCGCAACGTAATACAATAGATGCGTAGATTTGAAAGAAAATCAACAATGTGGAAAATCAACAATCGCAAACGAAGCTACACGCTTACATAAATCTTTCATAGAGACAATCTTCTTTTACATCGCAAATTTAAAATTCTTTTTTCTTATTAAAACTTATTCTTGATAGTTTATAGCATTTGAAAAATCTCAATCCCAATACTCGGACGCAAATACGTGCACTTTATTTTCACCGTAGATTAATTACATGACAACAATGAAAAAACATTTATGTGTCGCGGACGTCAATAGCGTGGATGCAAGACAATCACTGGCCGGACGTTCAATAGAAGCTTAAGCTACATATACGTATGTGCATACGAAGGAACGAAAAAATGGCAACACACAGTTCGTTACACGACTTTTCAAAAAATAATTTCCATAAAAAAATATCTCGAATAGATAAGTACCTCGTTAAAAATACGTAATAAAAGTACGCAATATGAACACTTTACTTGTTCTCGCTTGCTCACAGCGAGTCGCGTTATAGTTATATCATACGATTCAATTTGAATAATGATTGTTTAGGGTGGCTTTTTAGGGCGATTATAGCGAAGTGGTAGTACGAAATTTCTGAACGATTACGTATTTTGATTCCAGCTATGAACTTTTCAACGAGACAATGTCGAACAGAAGAAATCGATAATATCACAGACGAAATTAAATGTCGCACAAATATAGTTGTTTAAATTACTCGCTACGAGAATAGAAAAATGGAATCCACCGTCATTGATTGCATCTCCAAGTACCTTTGATATAATGTGTTATTGTAACTTAATTTTTGAAAGGTCGCTAAAGACATAAGGCTAAGTACAGATCAACGCGAAAAGCTACTTTGAAAACACTGCTCGACCTGCTTGTATCGCCTGAAACCGTTGCCGGGTGCCGGGTGCCGGGTGCCTCCTCTACATGGATGTGATCGCACATTGGACGTGCAATATTCGTCCAACATCCGAATATCAAATGGCAAAGGGATGAGCTTTGCTGTGTGTCCTCGCTTTCACAGCCGCGAGTGTGCGATTCCGAAATGACTCGAGGGATTGGTAAAAAAATTGGCAATGGCGGATAACGTCCCGACGACGCTCGCAAAAACACAGTCATAAAAAAGTCGTTGGCTGGTACGGCAACAGTTGATCTGCGAGGAAGAATATTCCCGACGGTGCGAACGGAAGCCCATCTGTCTCGAAGGGAACGGGCATCGGGAAAAGCTAATGTTTGGCGTAGGTGAGCTCGCGAGCGGGCTGGCTGTTCTCTACCAGCCAAACGCTGCCGCTTTTGCCGCTCGCCAGCACCTGAATCAGCGACTTGGCCACGTGCTCGGGCCTGCAAGCGAAGCACAAGGAGGCGTGAGCGAGAGCTCCACAGGTCGACCAGCCGACACACACACTTACGTCTGCGAATTGGAGGTGGCGGTGTCCCGGCGCCAGGCGTCCTCGTAGCGCGGCGCCAGCAGCTGCTTGCCGACGTCGCGCACCAAATTGCTCTTCGTCGGGCCCGGGCAAATCGCCATCACTCGCACCCCCGTGAGGCCCACGTGGTACTGGTCCTGAAAGCAACATCGCGCGCGCGCGTGCAAATCAATGCCACATTGTCGAGGCGTCGCTTCCAACGCGACCTTTCAACGTTGAGCAGCTTGACTGGCGAACGGCGAGCAGGACAAGACGTCCGCGCGGACACTTACGCCGAAAGCCCTCGTGAGGCTGACGATAGCGGCCTTGGTCGCCGAGTAGATGGGCACGCTGACGTACGGGTAGACGCTGACGTTGCTGCCGGTGTTGACGACGACCCCGCCTCGGCCGCCCTTGTCGATGCCCAGGTAGCGTTGCGCCAGCAGCGTGCCGCGGATCACTCCGTTCTGCGCCAAAGCATCGCCGGCCATTAGCTCGCTTGCTCGCTAATATTGAGCCAAGCGCGCGCGGCTTTCTTTGCACCTACCAGATTGATGTCGACCTCGAGCTCCCAGAATCTGTCGTTCATGATGCCCGCGTTGTTGATGACGATGTCGATGTGGCCGAAGGTCGCGATCGTCGTTTTGAACGCCTCTGCGGACGCGGCGTGGCGTGGGTCAATGAATTATCCAAGTCGGATTCGCGCGCGAGCTCGATCGAATTTAATTTACCTTCGAACTGGTTGTAGTCGGTCACGTCGCAGAGGCAGAACAGCACTCGGTCCTTACCATGGCGCGAGGCCAGACTGTGGTAAAGCTTCTCACCATCCTCGACGTTGATGTCGCATATCGACACCTACCACAGTAAGCCATTGTTTTTCACATTCTTAAATCTCGATAATGCAACAACCTCGCGTCTGCTTTGTTCTTTCTGCCAGCAATTATGATTGAATTGAATTGAACTGGCAGCGGACGGACGCATTGACAAGTGAGAAGCACGGAGCCACGGAGCGGCTCGCGTCGCGTCACTCACTGTCAAGCGCATTTCGGGACGAGGGCGGCGATCCTGAAATATTCACCTTGGCTCCGTGGTTCATCAATTCCTCGGCGTAGCTTCTGCCTATGCCGGCTGCTGCTCCCGTCACCAGGGCGACGCGGCCTTTCACCTCCATCCTGCCTGCCCGCCTGCGTTCGCTGCTCGCTCGCCGTTTGTCAATAACCGCTAGCCTTTTCTGTCCTGCTTACGGTGAGAGGAAAAAGACTGGTAATCGAGCGCTGCTCGACGCTATCGCGAGTGTTGTCGCGAGTGTTGTCGCGAGTGTTGTCGCGAGTGTTGTCGCGAGTGTTGTCGCGAGCGAGCGCGCCGCGATTTCGAATTTCAAGCCGCCGAGTTTGCGTCGGTCGAGGAAAGCGAGAGACGTTGTCCAGAGACGTTGTCCAGAGACGGATGACCGACGGCTCAACTGATATGCTTGCTTTATCGAAATAACCAAGTGCCCTGCATTAGCTGCATTATCCAAGAAAGCATCGTCGCGCGCGTGAAAGATGCTCTCGCGCCAAGTAAAGCCCCAGCGCAGTCACAGCCAACGCGCACGCACAACACTCCGATCAATCGACCCGAGAACTAGAAGCTCCTCGGCAGCGTCCGGGCCAGAGCACCAACGCGCGTCGTGGGGCGAGTCGAGGGTCCCGGGGAAGCGAATTACTCACCATCAGATGAGTCACTCGGCGTGCGTACTTCTGTTGGTACTGGCAACAGGCGTAAACGCACACGGAGAGCTTGCACGCCCGGCTGACGGCCGAGGAAGAGGTGTGGTTACGCACGCGGATATCGATTGCCGGGGGTGAGGCCCTTTTACGCTGCGCGGCACCAAGGGCTCTGGCCTTATTACTTATTCGGCTTTGTTCGCGCGAAACGCCGCGATATCGAGGGGCTCGATGCTTCGGCTGGTTGCGCCGCCACGAACGGTTTTTCGTCGCCGGATCAGCGCTCGAAACACCCCGAAGCAAGGTTTTTTTCAATCGACCAACATCTTTTCTTTTCTGCAGAAAGCGCGATCACAGTCTTCGATTGTCAATTGAAAATAAATGCATTATTGCCTTGACGAATGAAGCTATTGAACGATAAAATATAGAGAATGTTTACTTTGTTTATAGCTACTTTTCAAGTTGCGCGCCAAGCAATAACTCGATTTATCGAAGTTTCAATTCAAGAGTCGATTTATTTTGGAAGGACCACAAATTTTGAAAATTTACATAGTTTTTACATAGCAAATTTCATTAATGAATAATGTAATTTTTTTAATTTACTATAATAATCACAACAAAACAAGTCTGAACATTATAAAAGCATGTTATCGTTATATCGCAGGCGTAGCAGACAAAGTTTCTCGCAAAAAATGTTTTCCTGTAAAACTAGTTCGCAACAATTTACCGCGATAAATATTGATGGGATCTTCACAAACAACTATAAATAGTCTCGTAAAAACTTGCTCGAAAATGCAGCAATAAGCAAAACAGATTACGCAATGCGACGATATCCCTCGCGGTAAGGTTAAACCAACACGTTATTCTCGGCGAGAACACATGCGCGTACACTGTAGTTCGGTCATCGTCAGTCGCGATTCGCATAAAAAACAAGTTTAATCGTTCGCGTTTTACCTCTTCAGAGAAAGCCGGTCCGTCTTGGTGTGCCGGTAGAAGGGGACGAATCAACTCTTCATTAGTGCGGACTTATTTTTCGCCACTGCACTAAGAGCCTCGTACGAGGCGCTAACTGATAAAATAATTCTAGAGTGGGGATTGTGCTGGCTAAATTGATCTGTAGATTCTTGATTGAAGAAATTAATTGAAAGAAGTATTGGTTTAGGTGCCGTGTGAAGGTGTATCTTTCTCTCTTGTGGAGATTTTCTTTAACAAAATGGCCTTTTCGATAAGCAAAATTGGAAGATTGATATTTTTAAGAACTGGTGCTGATTTGGATTCTTACAAGCTACATAAATTATCAAGAGTGAGTTGATTTTTCTTTTTCAGTCTTACTCACAGTTTTTGTATTTATTTTTTACAACAAATTTTGTAAAAGAGCTAATCCTCTAACAGTCATTATTATAAAATTTACAGGTACTCACAGTGAATTTCTCCATCAAATCTGAAGTTCCTGAACAAGAGAGCGATCTTGAAAAACATCAAGCTCCAGTAGGTGATGGAAAAGTTTTTAAATCTGCAGATGATGTAGTATCTGATATTCCAAATGGAGCAAAATTACTTGTTGGAGGTTTTGGCTTATGTGGGATTCCAGAAAATCTTATCGATGCTCTGTTGAAAAGAGGATCCAAAGATTTGATTGTTGTTTCAAATAATGCTGGAGTTGATGATTTTGGTTTAGGAAAATTACTTAAAGATCACAGAATCAAGAGAATCATTGCCTCTTATGTTGGTGAAAATGCAGAATTTGAAAAACAATATCTCAATGGTGAATTAGAAGTTGAATTAACTCCTCAAGGTACATTAGCTGAACGAGTTCGAGCAGGTGGTGCTGGCATTCCTGCCTTTTACACTCCAACAGGTAAATTAATTAATATTATCTGTCATCCTACTTAGGTACAATAAACAAAATATTGATGAAATTATTTTTTTATACGATAGCTCTTGGTACCATCATTCATGAGGGTAATGTTGTTATCAAATATGATAAAGATCAAAATGCAGAAATATCTGGTGAACCAAGAGAGTCTGCTCAATTTGATGGACGAGATTATGTACTGGAGCATGCAATCACTGGAGACTTTGCTTTGATTAAGGCATGGAAAGCTGATACAGCTGGAAATTTAATTTTTAAAAAGTCTGCCAGAAATTTCAATCCTGCCATGTGTAAAGCAGCAAAAATTTCAATTGCTGAGGTTGAAGAGATTGTGCCTGTTGGTCGGCTGGATCCTGATCATGTACATTTACCTGGCATTTATGTAGATAGAATAATTAAAGGACCATCATATGAAAAACGTATTGAGGTAACAAGGATATTTTTGAAAGATTGAATTTTCATACTATAAATAAATAACTTCTGAACATTTTTTTCAGAAACGAACAACCAGGCAGACAGTGAAGCCAGCAAAGGTTACACCAGCAAGCAAAGCTAGAAATAGGATAATCAAAAGAGCAGCTCTTGAATTCAAGAATGGAATGTATGGTAAGACATACATCTACTTTATTAATTTTATGTCTAACAGCAACTAAAATCACATTTTTAATGTAAAAATTTTCAACAGCAAATTTGGGTATTGGCATTCCTATGTTGGCCAGTAACTACATCCCCAAAGGTGTGAATGTAACGTTGCAATCTGAAAATGGAATTCTTGGACTTGGTCCATTCCCTGATGAATGCGAAGTCGATCCTGATTTAATTAATGCTGGAAAGGAAACTGTTACTGTTCTGCCCGGTGCATCCTACTTTAGCAGTGAAGAAAGTTTTTCTATGATCAGAGGGTAATTTTACTACTTAAATTTAAATATTATACAATTTATTAATGACAGTTTGATTTTTATTTTATTTCCAGAGGCCACATTGACTTGACTATTCTTGGAGCTATGCAGGTATCCCAGAAGGGAGATCTGGCTAATTGGATGATTCCTGGACAGCTGGTTAAGGGAATGGGTGGTGCTATGGATTTAGTATCAGCTGCATCTACGAAAGTTGTTATCACAATGGAGCACAAAGCAAGAGACGGCAGCCCGAAAATCTTACCGGAATGTACACTACCGGTCACAGGTAATTTTTTATTTGATTTTACGCTTCATATTCGAAACTCGTCTTAAAACTTCTTATATAAATAACTGATTTGCATTTCAGGCCAGCAATGTGTTGACTTGATTATTACCGACTTGGGCGTCTTCGAAGTAATCAAAGGTCAAGGATTGAAGCTCATTGAAATCGCAGCAGGTATTGACATCAGCGAGATCGTCAGTTCAACCGGGTGTGAATTCTCTGTTGCCGATGATCTCAAAGAAATGGGACAAGCTTGCGAGTAAAAAGTGAAATACTATTGTTTGTCGAGTTATAGATTTATAAGATTTCTTTTGTTGACATTGTTATCCGAAAAGAGGGAGTTGGACGCGAGAGAATTTAATGTACATAATTATATTCTGACGAATATTGTAAAATAAATGCAGATAACGATTTTTTTACACATACATATAAATGGAAAAGTTTGTAATAAATACGTTCTAGATTATACGTTAATATAAATAACTCGACAATTAATTTCAATGAAAATTCTTAATATAAAAATTTGCTCCTGAAAACTAAATAATTAATTAGTACACCTGCATCAATTTCACAAGCTAAAAGCTAGAAAGATTAAAGCTGTCATTCGCGAAATTTAGCCTTGACGGTGGCAGGCAGTGGCAAGAGATACAGCACGCTGTTGAGAATGATCAGACCAACCGAGAAGGCCAGTGAAATCAACAAGTTCAGCTCAACATTCAACACTTGCGATATGTTTTCCGCCTCCTTGGTGAATCTCTCGCGCAAGTAGGCGTTGCCGTCTTTGTATCTGCAGAGATCCGGTATTCCAGGACAGGTGATCGTGTCGTTGTAATTGAGATTTTTAAAATTGTCCATCTCTATAGCGAGCTGATTGAGAGCGAGCGACGCGTAGCGGTTCGGCAAAGCTGTCGACACGGCACTCAACCAATCCGGCAGCATTCTGCGCATAAACCACGTTATAAAAATGAAATGCAAATGATGATTTATAATTGCAGCTTATACACTTGAACGAGAGTATAAAATTACAGTTAACACACACCTCAAGCTGCGCAAACTGCCTGACGCGATGACTAAAGTAACCAGCACGACATAAAGAACAGTTATAGCTGCAGCTACAGGTCGCTTGATGAGCATAAGCGCGGCAACGGTGAGCTGCTCGGTCGCGACGAATGAGGCCCAGAGCACGCCGCTGACTTTGATCCAGGAGACGACGTCGAGTTCGAGTATCGGCACGAGGATACCGACGCTCATGATCGTCGAGAGAAAGCTCAAAGGCAGCGTGAGCAAGGTATACGAGGTGATGAACATCGCTCCGCCGTACAGCCCCTCTCGCTTCTCCTGATAGTAGCGTGCCCGGAATCCTGGAACTGGAATCCCAATAAGGATGCGTGCTGGCGCGCGCGAGTTCACGTTCACGAACTTACAGAGGAGGGCCGTGACGGCAATCCCAGCGACGTAGAACAGCACCAGTACGTTGAACATGAGGCCCGAGGTCTGCAGGAACACCATCGACTGCTGCTCCTTGGAGTGCGAGTAGAGGACGCTCAGCAGCGACAGCACGAACGGCAGCAGGAAGATCCGCGAGCCGAAGTGGCACACTCCGGATTTGTTGCAGGCAAAGGTGGCGGCAAGGCTCCTCCTACGATCACCCATGCGGCCAAGCTCGTCACTCGCTGACCGTTCGACGGCTGTGCACGATTCCAACTCACGCGTAGAGGGCCAGCAGAGTGGAGAAGCATCCAGGATTGATTCCGCGATTCTGCAAGCTCTTGTGCGACATGCCGATGGGCGTGGGCGTCAGCGAGGAAGTCGGCGTCTCCTTAACGCCAAGGCCCGAGATCGGCGCCTCTTTCAGCACGACCCCGCCTTCGGCCTTGAATTTGTCCACCAGCACGGAGATCTGCTGATTCGACTCGATGAAGCGCTCACGGGAACGTCTGTCAACCGTCGACAGGCATACTGCAAGCGTCGTTTGGGATTTATGCGAAAGCGAGTTTTGGATCGCGCGGCTCAGCCATAGCCGGACTACTCACGGTAGTACATGAGTGGATTTTCCAATTCCGGGCAGGGGAATCCGACGATGCTGAAGTAGTCGAGCATACTCCTCGTAGGTCCGGAGTAGACCACCGCTCCGAGGCAGAGTAGCGTCACTCTGGCAACGAAGGGCAAGACGTCCGACCTGGGCGTCTCCATGGTCAACACGACGATCGAGCTTTTCCTGCAAACGGATCCGCCGTCAAGGACTGGTCTGGTGATCGTCTATTGTCGGACCTCACCGTGTGGCGTACGACCACAGCATCGAGACGATCAGATAAGTATTCAGCGGATCGGTGTCCCAAGTGGGTTCGTCCAGCAGTAACAGTAACGGATCCTTGGCCAGCTGCACCCCGAGCATCAGCCTCCTGTACTCCGGTTTGGTCAAGTCCGAGACTGGCCTGTTAGCCACCTGCGACAGCGCGAGGTCCGCGAGAGTTTGCCTCACTCGCGAGTCCCGGTTGCCCAGGTTAGCTAGCCAGGTAGCGTAGGTGAGCGTCTGGCGCACCGTCAAGCTCGGCAGCAGGTAACAGCGATGGGACACGTAAGCGCCGTGGCGACGAAACAGCTCCGGCGTCAGCAGGCTACCGTTCAGCGTGATACGGCCGCGGGTCTCTCCCCTGGCGGTTCGTCCAGCTGCCGATGGCGCGATCAGTTTGGTTTCAGCGTGGTCGACGATCTGGCAGTGTCCAGACAAGTGTTGCTTACCAATGACGTCCAGCAGCGCTCTCTTGCCGGATCCCTTGGAGCCTAGCACGGCGAGAACCTCGCTGCCGTAGACCCTCGCGGAGACGTCCCTCAACACGGCCGTGGGCTCGGTCCTCGCGGTGAAGCAGCCGCAATTGACGCTGTCGTTGGGCAGCACTGCGGTCGAGTGATAGACGCCAGCCACATCGAGCACGTTCTCAGCGCTTGGAGCCATGACGCCCGATTGACGGCTTTTCTGGTGCTGCTGCTGCTGCTGCTGGCGATTGCGCCGACGACCACGTCGTATGATCAGACCCTCGCAGGTGCACCTGTTGTTGTCGCTGCGGTGCTGCTGAGCTGCTACGAAGCGACGACGCTCGGCCGCATCTCGCATCCGCTCCGACCGACCGTTGACATCTAAATAAACCGGCTGCAATGTTGTTAATTAGACTAGACTGGCACTGCGAAGCCGCGCAGCAGCTGCATCCTTACGACTAGGTTTTGGCGAACAAATATGCGCGCGCGCGCGAGCGTTGAAGGGCCATGAAAAGTGAACGGGGCTTGCAATTACAATTACCCTCAGCTCTACGGGAGACTAATTGCCCGGTGCACTCGAATGTCTCGTTTTTTCTTCTCGCGACGAACAATGCCAACTGAGTGCATTGTTTCCAAGATTACGACTAGCTCTAATCTTATCTTTCAATTACCATTACGTCGGAACTTTAACGACGTGTTTAACGATCGCGACGATACACGTGTATTTTTATATGCAACCAAGCAGGTTCAATCCCATGTCACACGAATGCGATAATCAGCGTGCATCTGTTTGGAGCGCAGGAAGGAAGAAACCTTGCCTGGATGCCACGACTGACTCGTTTCAAGCATTTCTCTCTCGTGGATCAAACAAGATAATCCATCCGGCAGTGCTATCTACTTTCTCATTGCCATTGAAGCCGATCAAACACACGTGTGTTATCGCGAGAGGCACTTTCATACGTAGATTCACGCTCTCTCCGAAAAAAAAGCAGCACACGCGCAGACACCCGAGAAACAGTCGTTCGGAATGCGAACAATACAGTATCCCAAAGAACGAAAGTCGTACCTCGATGCTGCCGAGTTCTCTTCTCTTGCCGAAGCTCCGTCGGCGCGTAGCCTTCGTCGGGGACCAGCAAGCCAAGCGCGCAGAGCAGCGTCAAGGTGACCACGGCGTCGACGAGGCAAGACTGCGGCGTCGTGGTCGCACAGAGGTGAACGCTCCGCGAAGGGAAGCAAGGAGCAGGAAGCGACGGCAGCGGCGGCGGCAGCGGCGGGAGAGAAAAAAGCGAGAGGCCCCGCGAGAAGAGAGAGAGAGAGAGAGAGAGAGAGAGAGAGAGAGAAGAAAACGAGTGGGGAGGAGATTCATAGGTATGCGGGGCCTGACGCCGAGCGAGCCCGAGCTTCGCTAGCGCAGTCGCGCTTGTCACGGGTCACGGCCACGTCGCTGTTGCGCTGCGAGTCGTCCTCCTGCTCCGCCACCAGCTCGAAGACCAGCCACAACGAAGCTAGAGGAAAGCTCGCGAGGACGAGGCGAGGACGAACGAAGCGGCCTCCTCGCGCGACGAGGTGGGTACGCCAGCGCGGACGCAACTCGACGCGCGGTGAATGTCAAGTTTAAGGGGAGAGAGAGAGAGAGAGAGAGAGAGAGATAGAGAGGCGCTGCCGTAATGTATGCTTTACGGCAGCTGCGGTCAGTTTTCTCTCTCTCGCGCGCTCGCCAAGGAATGCGAGACCGTTTTTCTCCTCGCCGTGCGAAACCTGGCGAAACCGCCTCCTTGTGCACGTCTCTCACCTACATATCGCGCGATGAGCGAGTTTCCCCCCATTGTCGCGAATAATCACGTTTCCCATGTGCACGCTTTCGCGCGCGCGGGCACCCGCACTTTTCTTTTTTTCTCACGCGACACGTCCTCTCCGCTTGGTTCGCGAAACGCGCGTGACACACTTACTTTATCGCGAAAACCAAAAGCGTCCGCGCCGCAGACGCACCGGCGTCGTGGTCGATTTAGAGCCTGGACCGAGCGCCGCTCGACGCTTACATTCGCTCTGCTGCCGTCGTTAATCGAGTCGCACCGCTGGCTGTTATCGCTGCGCAACTGTGCCGTAATTGGTTTTCCCGCTGGCGTTATTTCGTAAGCTGGAGAACGCTGTACTCCGCACTGATCCTTGGGCGGTTTGACGTAAACAGAGCTCGCGTTTGAATGTGAATTGGCCCAGCGAAGCTTTCGGAACGACAGCCACGTGAAGCAGGCACTGATTGTGATTCACAGCTGGCGCCGATCGACGGGCCGTCGCGAGATGCCGATGTAACGCTCGCAGTGATCGCCAAGGTCAAGGAAGGCTGAGCGATGGGCTCGGAGGCGTGGGAGCTGGAGCGCCGGTACTCGGTGCCGGGCGCCCTGGACACGAGAGGCCTCGAGGCGCCGGCCAGCGAGGATTTGCACGCCTGGTCCATCTACAGGTCAGTCATGGAATGTCACTTGACCGCTTTGTTTTCCTCTCTGCCGCTCGCCACGTTGCGCGCTCGATTTACAATTAGGCGCGCGGAACGGCAGCGTGTGCGCAACGAGTGACGACTTTACGATCGAACCCGGCACACTTCTGCCTTTCCGTCTTAATCGTTTCTCTTGAGAAGCGAGTATCTCGCGTTGACACACTTGCTTCCGGCGCGATGACCACTCGTTCTCTCTCTTGCTTTGTCTTTTCGTGATTCCGATATTAATCGACGCGCGTCGATGATATTATTTTGATACGACGCGCTAATCGACTTTCTGTTTGGGAAAGTAACTTTTATTCGCGAAAGGCTTTTTACGCGTATGAAATTGAACGGATAATGCGGGAAACGCGCGAGCATCTGGGGGACTCCTATTTACTTCGGCATTTCACGGAACGCACTTTTCGAATCGGTCGCGACGTTTCTTTTTCGCTTTCAAACTTTATAGCAAACTCGGTAATGAGTTACAAACGACCGAGACTCCATTTTTAAGTTAATACGATGCGAAAGATTATTGAAGCCTTATCTGGTCATTTCCACTGACAATCCCGTAAATAATGAAAAATTATCGATCGATCCTGGTTATTTTCACGTGGTTATTATCGGCAAGTCGCAAAACGCTGAATAAGCGAACAAGTCTTAAAAGAAAACTGTGAAGTGTCTTGAAGCAAATAGCCTCTGGCAAAAAGCAACATGCTATCTACGATTCATTGATAGAATCAGATAGAAGCAATGAAGACAATGAAATAACATCCGGGCGCTGAATTTCCAGGCAAAACCTCAACTCCGACTTCACGGACTCGGCGCTAGGCTCGGCCGAGAAGTCACCTCTGCCCTACGGCAATTTCCAGCTGCGCGACTCGACCGTTCAGAGCATCCTACGTCATCCGCGTTACGGACCACGAAGTCCGCTGGCCAGCAACTCGTACACGTACCTCAAGTTCGGACTGCCCCGCGTGCTGCCGCCGTCGACGACTCGACGGGACGCAGGCTCCAGCGGATACGACTCCAGCGAGGAGGGACGAGCGAGGGCTGCCGCGGGCAGGCAACTCGGAGCGGTGATCAGGTCGGCCAGGAGCGATCCCGACTTTCGCAACGCCATTGCCCAGGTGGGTTACGCTTCTGTGCGCGACATAGCTGCTAGATCAGCTCGTCGATCGCTGCCGAGCGGAGCAAGCCCGCAGAGGTCGACGACGTCTGTACGGCCGCGTAGTGCAGGCACTTTGCCGCTGAGCAGATGCTCGCGAGGTGTGCGTTTCAATTGATAAACTTTCCACTCTATTCTCGGGCTACTTTTACCCGGCGAGTCAGACGCAATGCATTATTGAATGCGCCTCGTTAACGTTTTCTCGATGCACGCTCTGAAAATAGCCTGCGCGCGTCGTCGTAGCGCCACATATGGACGCATACGGATACACTCTCGCCGCGAACTAATTGGACGCATCGGACGTCGATATGCGCTCGATGATTTTGCTGTCCGAAATTCACCCACTGTCCGAAACTCGCCGCGTTACTTCAGCCAGAGATTCGGCAGGAATCGCGGAATGAAAATGTGAACTGAAACCCTAAAGCGCGATTCGTTCGTTGCTCGACAATCCACGTCTCGAGCGCAAGGGAATGCCGAAAAAGCTTCTGCGTTGGTCGGCGCTCCTCGACGCGTAAATCATTTTCTCGCGGCAAAATTCTAGCGGACGGACAGGGGAGGCAGGCAAGAAGCGAGGCGAAAGAAAAACGGTACGATCGTTCAGCGCATCAAACTCGCAACTCTGCTCACTTTTATTACTCGCGGTCTCGTAACTTCCTGCAATTTGCTCTCGCAGCTGCGTGCAGAACTGTCGATTTCTCGGGTATCGTCGCGAACCATACCTCGTTTGCCTGTTTAGGGTATAGAGCTTGCGCAATTACGAGCTACCGTGACTCGATATGATAATCCGCTCGGCGAGTTCGGCGAATTCGACGAGAGCGTTCCCTGCGGCTAGGTCGGATAATCGCGAGCGCCCCAGTCACGGACCTCCGCCGAGCACGATGCAGCTCGCTCACTCTCGACCGTTGCAGGCCCGAGACGCGCACTCGCACATCGGCCTGCAGCAGCAGCAACACCTGGCGATGAAGCGCGAGTCGCGCATGCGCAGCGCCAGCGAGGCGAACCTGCTGCACGCGCACTCGGCGATCGGCGTGTCGCCGCGGACGCAGCACCCACACCACCCGCAGAACAACCGGCGCCACAGCATCGCGCCCATCGACCCCGGCCTGATCTACGAGCGCCACCCGGCCCACCACCTCGTTCATCAGCAGATGATGCACCAACACCAACACCAGCACCAGCAGCAGCAGGTGTCCGTGCAGTTGCAGAGCCCGCAACATCCCCACCTGCAGCTCAGGGGGGTCGAGGCCAGCGGCGGCCACGCCAAGGTGAGCCACGACGTCGCCGACCGAGCCCGAGCATACCATTCGTCGACAAGTCGCCTGGACTAATGAAGCCTCGAAGCTGCTACCGCGCGGCCAATCGCATCGGCCAATCGGCGTTGGTAAACGAACGTGCGATCGCGCTTTTCAACGCAGCTGGCAGTCGTCCCGCTCTGAACAGATGCCGTTGGCAAACACTGTCCAATTCCACTGCCACGCTAAAAAGCGAGGGGATGGGGATAGGAGTTCCATCGAGGTCGAATGGATTTACAACGCGTCTCGTTCAAAAGAAAAAAATATACGTGAGCGTTTTGCTTTAGCAAGACAGTTCCGTTAGCTCGTTCTTCGCGATTACACGGAGAGTCTCATGCGACTCCGAACTGTTCGTGTCGCGGCAGCATGTTATTACGACGATGTAACGAGTTTTCCAGAAAGTCGAGCGGGGCCGAAGGAAAAAATGCGATGATATTGTTTTGGAAAAGACGCTTCGACGACGCGAACGACGCCGAAGCAACTCATCCGAGAAGAGGCGAGGACAATAACGGCGTGCTTTTCCCTATTCAAATAACCATTTTTCGCTTTTTCATTGTCTCTCCGATGCAGAACGGCGTGGTGTATCTGCGGGACGTGTCCTTGGAGGCAGGCGCAGGAGACGTGCTGGCCGTGATGTCGACGAGCGAGCGCGAAGGCAGCCTGGTGATGGAGACGATATCGGGCAGGAGGCGAGCGCGACGAGGGGACATCTTGCTGAACGGACGCCCAGTGACGGCCAAGACGCTCAGGTGAGTCGAGACAGCGAGGTGGAACGAGGCGAGCGCGAGAGACCAACGCTGAGTGCGGCTCGCAGGTCGACGGTGACGTACCTGTCGGCAGAGTCGCCGGAGGCGGGCTTGAGCCCCGAGCTCACGGCGATCCAGTGCCTGAGCTTCTACAAGCTGCTGCGGGGCGCGCCCGGAGTGTCGTCCCTCGAGACCGAGGCGATCCTGCAGGAGCTGGGCCTCGACGCGACCAAGCATTGCCTCGTGTCGAGCCTGACCTGCTCGGAGGTGCGCCGGCTGGCGCTCGCCTGCCGACTGATCGAGGGCACGCAGATCCTCGCGCTCGACCGGCCCACCAGGGGACTCGACATCTTCGACGCCTTCTTCCTCGTAGAGTACCTGCGCCAGTGGGCCCTGCGCGCCCAGCGGCTCGTCGTGCTCACGCTCCACCCGCCCACCTACGAGATACTCACCATGCTGTCCAGGGTGACTCTCACTTCGGGCGGCAGAGTCATGTACTCCGGGCCCAGGCGAGACATGCTGCCGTACTTCGCCCTGGCCGACTTCCCCTGCCCGACCTTCAAGAATCCGTCCGACTATTACCGTAAGGCCGTTTCTCGTCCAGCGCACCCTCGGCGCCTCGAACCAGGCTCGGGAAGTTCAGCCGCAGGCGCGCTTCGGACAGTCGGACTCGCGAGGACGGGACGTTCCATTCCGAGATACGTGGGGACACTTTCTGTCGCGGAGCCTCGACAAGAGGGTGCGAGATATCCGTTGCCATGAAACTCGATACAGCCTCGCACTGTGCGGTGCCGGACCGATCGAACGCGACGGAAAACGCCGCTGCGCCGACCGCGCAAGCTCGACCGAGTCGGATCGGGATTCGACTATCGACCCGATAATCGAAAGATAGCCGAGGGTCGGCGAGGGTGTGGGCAAGCTCATGGAAATCGGAGCGCGTATATTTGAACGTACATCTGAAACGCCAATAAAATCTGCAGTTGACCTAGTGACCCTGGACGACCTCTCGGCCGAGGCAATGCTGGAGTCGTCGCAGCGCATCGACCACCTGGCCGAGCTGGCGCGCGCTCGGCTGCCAGCGCTGAGCGAGCCGGGCCCGCCGGGAGCGCTGCCGTCGACCAACTCGGGCGCCAACCTGTTCACGCAGAGCTACGCGCTGTTCCTGCGCGAGCTGGTCTACAGCCAGCCGTGGAGCCTGGCCGCGCTGCTGCGCAAGGTGCTGATCGCCGCATCGCTGAGCGCACTCCTCGGCGCGGTCTTTTGGGACCTGGCGAACGACGCCAACCTGCACCTGCGCGACCGCGTCGGCTTCCACTACGCCGCGCTCGGAGTGCTGTTCTGGCCGCTCTGCCTTCTAGCCGTGGTCGAGGCGACGCGGGTGCGCCCGGGCGTCGAGCGGGACGTCGCCGACGGGCTCTACGGCAGGCTGGCCTGCGCGGTCGTCGAGGTGAGTCGCCGCCCGGCCGCCGACCCGCCTCCCCGACCAGACCTCGAGCGAGCCTCTTGCTTGCAGCTGGCCTGCGCGCTGCCGTCCTGGAGTCTGGTCTACGCGTCGTACCTGGCGCCGGCCTACGCGATGAGCGGCCTGCACCTGGCCGCGGGCGCACCGAGCCCCGAGCCCAGTCTGTCGGCCGGCGAGGACGGCCTGCAGAGCCTCTGGCGCTACCTGTCCGTCGGCCTGGCCTACCTGCTGCTGCAGCACCTCGTCTGCCTGCTGTTCGCCCGTCTGTGCGCCAGCTCTTGGTCGTGCCTGGCGCTGCTGCTGTCCGGCGTGGCGATCGGCGAGTCGACGCTGGCCGCGGGCGTCACCCTGCACCTGAACAACCTGTACCCGTGGTGCGCCTGGGCCAGTCCGCTGCGCTGGGCGCTGGTGTTACTGCTGCCGCCGCTGCACAGCCCCGAGGCCATGGCCAGACTCAAGAACTGCAAGGCCAAGCAGATTCAGCGCCAGGACATCATCACGCAAAGCACCTGCGAGACGCCCGACGGGGGCTTGGCCATGCGCGAGATCGCCTTGGACGGCGACGCCGACGCCGCACAGGACTCGTGGCTGCTCGGCAGCCTTGGCGTCGTCCTCGCGGCCGTGCTCCTCGTCTTTCTGCTCGTCAGGCACTCGCCGGCCAAGAGATCGCTCAGGAGCATGCCGAACAAGCCTTGAAGATGATCAGTCGCGGCGCGCCGTTCACGTGCAATATCGTTTCGCTACCGAGTTTCGTTCATTATAGCCGGACGGCACGCGCAACTTCGCGCTTGGTTCTGTCGATCATGGGTTCGTTTCGATCGATCATAAAGCACAGGAATAACGGCGACTTCGTAACGTCCTTGTTTCGCTGAAAACTAAAACAAATATGTCTTTGTGTTTCTTTGATCATCGCTGTAATTTGTTAATCAGCGTAACGAGATCGTGCAAGACCGTGCGTAGTATACATAATAGGGTGCAACGCAATGAAGAAAAACGGCGTCAAAGACCAGCGCTCAAATATACCGAGCGCGTGCGCATGAAAGTCCGCCTTGAGCAGTCGCGGCAATCGCGTCAGCGTCGTTCATTAAGAATACGAGCGACGTTGAAAAATTGAATATACGCGTCGCTGTTTGACGTTAATCTTTCCGGGCCCGCTGTTTCATTACGATGCGCCCAGCCTTGTTTTAATTAAAGCTCTGCGCGATGGATGGAAAAGTTTCGAATCGCGCAGTTATCCGTTGTCACGGCATCCTTGGATGACTTATTTTACACAGACAGAATGCTAATTACGTTCGCAACGATAGCAGATGACCGGAGTCGTCAAAAGGACCGTCTACTACTCGTCGACCGAATTGTGTGCATTAGTTTATTCATTCGTCATTTTGCCATAAAATCCCCAGACGAGCGAGCCACTGATGCTCGCGAGTGACTGACAACATATGTGCTTCAGAAATTTTGTCTGTGTACAATGTCTCGTTGTACGATCCGTAAAATTTTTTTCTACCAATGTAACAGAACTATTAACATTGTTATCTTCCTAGATAAAAAAAAAATATATATATATATGTATATGAACGCAATGTACACCCGAGTCACTGTGTAGTATCTATAGTAAAGTAAAAAAGTAGCAACCCAAGAAATTGAAGAGGAAAAAACACGAAAGCTTTGCAAAGCTCGCCAACCTGTCATTCCCTACCGACTCGCGAATCGGCGCGCGCGCTGGAGAAGCCGAAGCTGCAAAGAAGAAATCAATGAGCGCGCCGGAGCGCGTGAATGGAGCCGCGAGCGCGCGCCGCTCGTGAAGGCCTGAATGAGCGACATCTCGAGCGCGCGTGTGCCTCATCGATTGACTAGACGGGCTCGCTTACACGGTGCGCGCCGCGGCCGCAATCCGCCGACGACTGCGACGGGAAAATCGATGCCCGAGAACGTCCGTCGGTGCGCGCTGCACCCACGCCAGCGGCAGCGCCGTTAATGAGCAGAGCTTTTGTCAATGGGGAGTGACGTCAGGCTCTGCGCTGGCGATTGGCCGGGACCCACGTGACGGCGCGCCGAGCGCACCCACGCCGCGACTCGCGAGCCGCCGCGCGCCGCGGCCCGAGCGAGCTGCGAGCTGCGCGACGGCCGGCGGCGCGGCCGCCGAGGCGTGGCGGCGCGCGCAGCTCGACCGCGCGACGGGCCGCCGAGCGACGCTCGCCTGCGCGCGGCAGTCGAGTGAGCGCGCCGCGGTTCGATAGGTGCTGATCCGCCAGTGCAGGGACTCGCTCGTCGCCCGTCCGCGGGCCCGAGGCAGCAGCAGCAGCGGCGGCGGCGGCGGCGGCGGCTGCGGCAGCGGCGGCAGCGGCGGCAGCGGCGAGGATGCCGGCGGAGGAGCTGGTGAGCGGCGAGTGGCTGCTGCGCGAGCTGCGCGGCGGCACGGCGATGCTGGTGCTGGACTGTCGCGCGGCGCAGGATTACGCCGAGTCGCACGTCCGCGGCTCGGTGGCCCTCGCGATCCCCAGCATCATGCTGCGGCGGCTGGCCGCGGGCAAGGTCGAGCTGCTGTCGACCATCAAGTGCGCCGAGCTGCGCTCGCGCGTCGAGGCGCTGCTGCGCGCGGATGGCGGCGCCTTCGTACTGGTGGGCGATTCCACCGAGCCGCCGGGCCACCAGGGCGAGACTATTCACGTGCTCGCCAGGAGACTGCGGGCCAGCGGCCGCGTCGCCACTCTCGAAGGTAAGTCCGCGCGAACGACGCCGTCCGGGGCCGCGCCGCCGCTCTTCGCGCTCGCCTCGCTCGCGGCGCGGACGGCGGACCCCTCGGTGGCCGCCAGGCGCTTCCGGGTCGCGCTCGGTCCGCGGTCGCATACCGCTCAGTCCCCGCGCTCCGTGGTCGCCGCACAAGCGTGCCGCGCGGGCAGAGCGGAGAGAGACGAAGCGAGCTTAGTCATTGATGAGCGGAGGCGCGATGCAGCGCGCTTTTTCGCCTCGCCTCCTTCCTCTCAATGGGCGCGCTGTAGCCTTGCCAGCCGCTCTCTGCTCTGAATGAGCGCTGGCTCTGCGCCTTGTGCCGTTCGTCGTCGACCGCATCGGCTGCGCTCGGCGTGCATCTCCGTCGTCGATGCCGAGCGCTCCACGTAACCTGTTATCGCCATTTTTGCGCGATAGTACCCCAATTGGCAAAAGACGAGGCCGGCCGAGCAAGAAAAAGCCATTTATCGGCAGAAAAGCAGATGCGGAGTCGAATAGCGCTGCATTATGGTCGGCAAAGAGAAACGCTAGCTAACAAAGTTCGAGCGGAGCGCAGCAGCAAGTGTAACGCGATCTCCCACGCGACGTGCAGCTCGTAGCGATGCCGTAGCACGCGCACGATATCGCCCGTGCACTCGGCTTGAATAACCTTCCACGAGGCGTCGAGGCGAAAATTCACGTTCGCTCGGTCAGGCCAAATTGTCGGCCTACGATTAGCGGAGCGCGAGCGTGCCTCGAATTCGGCGCTGGCGTACGCGAAGGATGCGCGCGGGAGAAGAGTTCAGAGTTGTGAATGAAATATTGATTGGCGTGCGAAAGCAGCCTTGTCGCTCGCCCACGCGGCCGCCACCCTTAGGGGGTTGCGCGAATGTGGGTGAAGGATTTTCTGCGTGGGACCGCCAACGCGCACTTTTTTGCGGCTGCCCCCCCCCCCCCCCCCCGCAGTCCTGTAATTGTGCGCTCGTGCTAAGGCCAATGACGAGACTCCTCCAGTAGCCGTAGGGATTTCGCGCGGCGCTGACGTTTCGTCCACCCACGACGCCCAATTGATCTTACGCTCTGTGACCGCTCGCGCTTTCGAGTAACTTCGCTCCAACCTTGCGTGCCATTTTACGTGGACGTATATATATTTAACTAACGTGCCGCCCAGCTTTCGAGTCGTTCTATTGCGGAATTGCAGTCTGAAACATCTTCGTGGCAGCGGTGCCGAGATAAATTGCCAACAATTTATCTCGGCACGGGAATCGCGACTTGTTTCGCTATTTCATTGACAATCTAATTGAGATCGAGTAAGTGGGAGCGACTGCTTCTGTATCGAAAGAACGGCTTTGCAAAACTAGATCGCTCGCCAACAAAGGAGCCTCGGAAAAGACGGGGATGGGAGGCGAGGCGGCACAGATCGTACGTCAAGAGCGACAATGCCGCCGGTGGAGTCGGCCCTTCGAATCTCGCAGAGGGGATCGTCGTCACGCGACGTCCGCAATAATTGCTCGGGTGGGGGGGGGGGGGGCAGCTCGCAGCTCGTGGGCGTGCAGCCAAAGCCTCGTTGCTCGCCACGCCGCGCACACGCGAGATCGAGCCGCGTGGAGGGTGGAAGTTTGGCGCGGTGCGTGGGCAAGCGCGCGGATAAACGCCGCCGTCGCTTGTCCTTGCTCGGTCGGCCGCGCTCGAGCGAGAACGCGTAATTCGGCTGAATGGCGTTCGCTGTCGCGTAGGTCGAATCTCGAGGTATGGGTAGATTCATTCCAACGTCCAGGAACGCGATCAGCGCGAGCCGAATTTCGAAGCGCATTCCTCGCGGTCGCCATAGCGGCCATTCTCTGGACGGTCAGGCTGCGATCGCCGACGGACCCTCGGGTGAACGGCCAGGCGATATTCGGCGTTATCCGTATCAGAATAGCTGGTCGCGTACGTGGCAGCATCCGAGCCGGCGGAAATAACGATGCCGTGAGAAAATTCTACCAACGAGGGGCCCATCCTTTCCGGAATTTAACGCCGCGATAGGAAGCAGTGACTCACGCCCACCGGCGCGCGAGACAGAAGACGACGAAATTCATTGTTGGAAGCGTCGCCGCTCCTACGCGTCCTTTATCCTCGCCACCTCCGGATTCCAGCCATGGACGCTCATAGTAGGCAGGGGCGGGGGGCTAGTAAATACTCAGCCATTCACCGGCTGCTACGCGGCGCGCATAATGCGTTCGCGCGCCTGCGTGTCTGGACGTTCGGCCACTCTAGCTCTGCGTGTGGTTTGCTTCGCAGGTGGATTCGGCGCGTTCAAGAGCAAGTACCCAGAGTGGTGCGAGGGCAGCGTCAACTGCCAGGAGGGACGCAACCCGAGTAACGACGCCTGCGGCGACGGAGAACTTATGGGGCTGAGGTCGCTGCGGATATCCCTGCCACCCACCAGGGCTTTCTCCGACTCCGACTCCGACAGCACTTGCGACTCTCTTGGTCAGTGGCGCCGACGATTCTGTCGCTCTTCTTTGTTTGCTTGCCCGCGCGAATCTTGGCTAGTACATTAGCATTTGAGAACGAAATCATTACTGCCGTGACGTTTACTTTGACGGCACACTGATCGCTCAGCTAGTCACCGATACTTCTTTCCCTTCCAATTACTTTGTCGGATTGTGCTAGATAGGCGGCTACTATCGACTAGCGATTAACAATTGTAAACGTTTATTTTCGAAAGTTTGAGATAGTGTTAATTAAAAATGCTCGAACTTTGACTTGAAGTACCTCGGCTTAGATTTCAACGTGATAAGTCTATTGCCTTGTTTACGCTACACAATTAATTATCTTGGTTGGCGTTCACTTTCAATATTCAATAACTTTCATACAAACTGTACCATCGGCCAGAGATCATTTGTCCGCGTTTGCCGCATCAACCACGCGACGATTCGACTTCCTAGTGAAGTAAAAGTTCGTGCCTTAGAAAGTTGATACGAGACAAAGATAATCGTCCAGTGTGGGCATAGCATGTTAGGATTTGCCGCGAGATTCTGATCAGCTGATAGATGGCTAAACATATATTTCGTGTGATAACATCAACGAAAATGATAATTGTAGTAAACGTGCTCTCTCGAGTACAGAGCTCAAGAGTGCGTAGGTATAGTGAGACAAAACGAAAATCAAGTAAAATATGGACAAGTGTCTCGAATCGTATTCCTTTGCTGTCGCTGTTATAACAATTTCCAAGTAATCATCGTCGCTTTCCTATCGTCATCCGTGATATCTTGATTAGCCCAGTCTGATCAGTCTAACCATCTCTGCTGAGAAGCTTTTCAAGTCGTAAACCCACGCCATCCATGCGAAAAAGTCAACGAAGGCGTTGACGACATTGAACCCGTGGTCCGCCAACTCGATTCATAGTCCCACGGGAAAGTGTGATAATAGCTGTGTCAGCATTCTCCCATTGTCACGAGAGACACAGTCTTGCACTGCATCGGCTGAAGATCTCTGAAACGCAACCGAAAAAAGTGAAGCTTTCGTTTGAACCAAGAATAGGCTGCCTCGGACTACTTAATTACTTGCTCGTAAGATCTATTTCCGTAAGCGTAGCTCATGGAATTGACGATGCCGTGGATACAGATGATGAACAAATAAGGTAATACACCCGCTACAAAGAAACCGTTGCTCCAAGTGTATCACTCGAAGCCTGCACGACGAAGTAAGATGAAGCAATACAGTGATATCGAGCACCTGCAATGCCGCGTTAATTTTTTTAACGAGCTTGGAAAATCATAGTTAACGACGCGCAACGAACTTGTTCTGGAACCTGAGTACTGGATCTTCTCGCAGGTATTTTACGTTGACTCTCCTTTCGTTCTCCAAGATATTGGGGTATTCGATCCGTGCCGAGTTGCACGGATCGCTGTCCATAAAATCTAGTGAAAACATTTTTTTTTAGAAACAATTTTGGGCTTTTCAAATACTACGTTGTTTGAATGATGATACCAGTCCGAAGCAAATTGGTTTAGCTGTTCGGAAGATATCCGTCCACTTATACGTTTAGAAAACAGCCAGGTCTCCTTTTCCAAGGTCGACAAAAAACAGCCTTGATAATTTAAATTTGTCAATAACTCATCAAGAAACGTCTTTGTAATTTTCGTTGAAGTGAAGGCAGGGTAAAGAACGTAGAACGAGGCAACGCGCGAAGAAGCAACGAAAAACACGTGCAGCCAAATCCGTTCAGCTTTGCATGGCTCTTTAAGTCCATCGATTCGATCGGCTCTATCAATCTTCTTTTTACGCACGCTGGTTGAAGTCATATGCTTTCTGAAAAATTCTATTTGACAAGATTGTTTTCACGAGGAAAACGTTTTGAGAACGATGCCAACTCGAATTTCTCAATAAACTTCGAACTTGTCGAGTAGAAAAAGTCAGCGACGCATTGTCGAATTACAAACAATACAAATAATAGGATATTTAAAAGTATCTTTCCTTGTCCGAAGTATTTTCTTTAGAAACTTGAAGGTGGCTTCAATAATTAGGGATTACTATTTTGCTTTGCTAAATTTGACAAAAATTTGTTAAATTCCGTAAGTGTTCGCAATCAAATTTTTGATTAAAGAAAACCAAGCTCAAAGTTTTAACAGCTTTGTTGACTCCTAATTATCATCTTAATCAGTTTATCATTTGCAACGTTCTAATAATGTTCATTTCAGTCGTACATTGAATAGTCTGATGTAAGCAAACGTGATATAAAGCCACTGTAATAATAGCATATTTTATTTTCCTTTTTCTTCGTTCAGTTTTTTAAACAAATCTGGAAATGTTTGCACAAAATAATTCTTGTTATAAATACATATTAGTGTGTTATTTTAGGAATTTCCTTGCCGACGGAATTCAATTATAAGCATATGGTAGAGAAGCACGCATTCAATGATTCTATGCAAGATGGAATCGTTTAATCCACAGAAATATACCTCCAAATTAATAACTAAGAGGGTCAAGCCGTAGATACGAAAAAAAAAATTTTTTTACAGTCTTCGCAAATTGACCAATAACTAAAGTAATCTAAACACACAATATTTACCCTTTACGAAACGGGAAAGACGATAGAAATTGTTTTAACAGCTCCTATTGTACAATACAATAATGTAACTGTACAATAACTTAAGCTATTTGTAAAAACAAAAACGACTCGAACAAGCGCAAAAATGACATCTTTTCTTAGTGAAAAAAAATGCAGTCACGATCATTTGGTTGTCACATGCAAACAGTCTGTGCAATCTTTGGTCGGATATTTTTTTTCGTAACACGCAAGCATGGCATCGACTAATCCATTCGTGGAAAAAAAGAAATATTAAAGCCAATACGCTATCCCGGGTTAGCGAGCGGTGATAAAATCGCGGAAAATGAGGAAAGCCCTTCCGGTTGTCAATTGTGTGTTATGGCGGTTACAGGACCAGAAGAAGACCGGGATTTCCCAGTGGAGATCTTGCCACACCTTTACCTTGGTAACGCGGCCAACAGCGAGGACAGCGAGTCGCTGGCGCGCCACAGGATCACCTATATCCTTAACGTGACGCCCGATCTGCCCAACGTGTTCGAGGGCGACGGCTCCATCAAGTACATGCAGATACCCATCAGCGACCACTGGAGCCAGAACCTCGCTGAGCACTTCCCCGAGGCCATACAGTTCATCGGTGAGATTCGGTTTTTCTCGATGCGGTCTGTCTTGACGTGATCGGAGAGTTTTGCTTTCGCTCGATCGTTCGATTCGACTGACTTTGACGAGCGTGCACGGACGTTTATCGCGGATGAGATTGGACGGCTAACGCTCGAAGAGCCGCGGCGATGGAATTAAAAGGTCGCTATCGCGATAGGCTATTTTTGCATTATTTAGCCTTTTTATAAATAGCGCTCGATGCTTCAGTCACGTGCAGCAAATAGACAGTCGTTTTGCGATAAATATTTAGCGAGCCACGGGTTTACGAGCTTATCAATTTATATTTACAATAGCTCTCTGCAAGGAAAGTAGCTAACTAACGAAACAGAATAAAGACAAGCGAAACATATATGAACGCAGCGGATCAAAAGGAGAGAATAATAAGTCGACGGTGGTTGGTTTATCCGCTCGAGTCATCCGTCAAAAGTAGACAAGCGAGGAAAAGTAAAGCACCACGGAGTCTCAGCAAAACAAGCGAGACGCGTCGCGCCAGATTAATGAAACTGCGCGACAATGAGACTCTTGCGCGGAAGAAAACGAAGGCGCCGTGCGTCGTTATTTTCCCACGCGTTTCACTCAAACGCACGCACGCACAATTAACCGACGCGAGCCGACGCCGGACGTCCGGTCTCTCTCTCTCTCTCTCTCTCTCTTTCTCTCTCTCTCTTTTTTTGCCGCCCACGTTTTCGCTGAACCCACGTCTCACTCTCGATGATCGCTGATTTCCTTGGGCGCTGCCTACTTTTTTCGGTTTAGCGTGGGACGAGCGATTCTTTCTTTTTTCGTAACGAGCGCCGCGTTTGATGACTTTATTGCGTCGCGCTGCGTTAGCTACTGTACAGGTTTTTAGGAGAAGGCGAGCCTGTGACGACGTCAACATTACGACAATCGGCCAGTTCGAAGCTATTACCACACGTAATGAGGTGCAAAAAGAAGAGAGAGAGAGAGAGAGAAATATTGACTCGAAAGGCGCGAAAAAAATATTTTGTTTTTGATTAACGGCTTTACTTTTATTTTCGTTGTTGCTCGGTCAGCTGCAAAACGCAACCGATAAAGGGATTCAGCGGAACAAAGGCGATGCAAGCCGAGGGCGCTGAAATGACGCAATAGATATGCCCGCGCGCACAATAGTAACCTACGCGGAAAAATAGTCAAGCACAGAAAAATAGATGGCCAATAATAAGATAACAAAGGCCAAAAATAGGCACCCATTGAAAGTACGCAGTGAAGAGAAGAAGAGCAAGGGAGAAAAGGCGGAACCGCGCGAGAACGAGCCGCTCGCGGGCTTGACTTGCAGTGTCGCGGCGCGCCGGTGAAGCGAGCGGGCGTCGTTCGTCGCAAATAGCGAAATCGATAGTCGGTCTGTTTCTGACCTTGCTGAGCGTCTATTGGTTCGCAGAGGAGGCGCGCAACGCGGACAAGGGGGTGCTGGTGCACTGCCTGGCTGGGATCTCGCGGTCGGTGACGGTGACGGTGGCCTACCTGATGCACAAGTGCAGCTTGAGCCTGAACGACGCCTTCAACCTGGTGCGCAGCCGCAAGGCCAACATCGCGCCCAACTTCCACTTCATGCAGCAGCTGCACGTGTTCGAGAGCGAGCTGCGCGAGCAGCGCGCCGCCAAGGCCGACGGCTGCCCGGGCGCCGCCGCGGCCGGGCCCAGCGCCACCAGCTTCCTCAGCCCCACCGACCTGGGCGTCAGCCCCGACTCCGGCATCGAGTTCGACAGGTGGGCCGCCTCCACGCCGGCCGAATGAGACGGCCACGGGGGGACCCCGTACCAGTTCTAAGTCTAGCGCGGCTTCTCGGCGTCAAGCGAGCCTCTTTGCCATGTCATTGTCCCTGTGTGTCGGTGCGTTTTTCATGTCGCCTCTCGTCCTCTTGCTGCGCTCGCGCGCACGCGCTCCTGTGCGGAAAATCGACCTTTTTACGCGCGCTCGGGGAAACGGAGAAAGCAATTATCAATCGAGTATTAAGTAGCGCGACCGATCGCCGAGATTTTCCCATTATTTTTATCTCTTAAGGTCGATTTGTCGCTGACGCTGACGTCGGCCACAAAGTCGACCTTGATCGATGCAAATAGACCTAGACGAGAACAATTAATTGTACGCATTACGCGGACACTCGGCTGTTCGCGGCGGTGCTTTTACAACCGCTTCCGCTCGGAAGTTCGATCGTTCGCAGAGCGCGACGTAACCTCCTTCATTTTAAATCCTTCTCTCCCCCCCCCCAGCTCGCAATCGAGTGTCGTCGATTTTTTTATTGTAAACAATGCACACGCGCGCACGCACACACACACACACACACACACACACACACACACACACACACACACACACACACACACACACACCGGGGACGTGCGTCGAGATGATCATCTTGAACTGCGTATTTTATAAACATGTGCATTGGATGAGAGAAATTTTCTACGCAAAAGCGATGGCTCTTTTTATTATTTTTTATTTATGCGCGTAGTTAGCTTTAAAGCTCAAGTTGTTAGTGCGAGTTGATACTTGCCCCGACGTGTACCGCGCACACAAACACGTATCTGTCCGTCGCCACAAAAGAGGCTTTTTTTAATTTTATTGCAACGCGTACTGTAGATTGCGAAGAAACGATATTACGAGATTTGAGAAAGCGACTGATTCCAGTCTCGTCACACAAGTCTACATTCTCTTTGTAAGTTTTAATTTACTCGAGCGAGCTTTTTCTTTCGTCTTCCTTTTGTATTTCGATAAGCAAAGAAAACAAGTACAACATTATTATACATTTAAATTTTTGAGAGATTTTGTTTTCGGTTGTTAGTTGATGTTTGTGTGTGTGAGTGAGTGAGTGAGTGAGCTCGCGAGAGTAAAGTGCCACTACCTGCGCATATATGTATAATCAAAGAATAGTCCGAGAGATTCTGAGCCTGCAATGAGATGTCTCATTGGAATCATCGGTATGCATATTTTTATTGAGCGATGCGTTATATTAATATTAATATTCTGTATTACATGCGCATTGCAAAAGAGAACTCGAAAAGGCATTGCAATAATAGTTACGTTATGCATCAAATTATATTAAGGAGAGAGTACATACGACTGTGAGTGTGTCCGTAAATGAGTTATCGACAGGAATGGAAAGAGAGTGAAATCGCGCAAATTCAGCTCCCCGAGGTTGACGTTACACTTGTTTTAACGCGCGAGATAAATTGACGAGCGCCAGAAAAAAAGAATGACTGCGACACGGGCATGTGTAGAACGAACTGCGCGCCAATTAGTATAATCAATCAATAATTACATTGCGTATATTAAGCGTGTTTGCTAACATTTAGTTTCCGCGACAAACAAACAATATAATAAAAATGTAATCTCGCTCCGATTAGAGGAAAACGATCGAGTAGTCCGTAACGAGTACTGTTCTTGTCTCTGAGGCATTCCTTCTTCAACTTGATTTTCACTTTCGCGCTTTCGTGGTTGTCTCTTTTTTCTTTCGCAGCTTTTTTCGCACGAAATGTTCCGCGAGCAATTAGCCACGTATTTAATACCACGATGAAGCAGACACAATATATATTATATGAACATTTCCAGAAAAAAATGATAATAAAAAAAACTCGTTTGTACGTTCACGCGAGGTCTATTCCAAAATTTTTCCACGACTTTTTGAAAAAGAACCTTTCCACAACTGATGTAAAAGGTGTGCAAAAACTTTTGTAGACGCGACACGACAATTATTATACATTTTCTCCACGAATGGTGATATGATATTGAGCTCTAATTCTACGTATCTATCTAGCGTTTGAATATTATTAAAAGAACGCTGAAAGAAATTGTATATCGGTCTCCCTCTTTTTTACTCTCATATATTGATGATATATATTATATAACGCGAAATGAACCTCTACAACAAATAGACGTATAAAAAAAGGAAAGTGTGTCCAAATTTTAGGTATAACAAAAGCCAAAAAGTTTTATTTTTCTACGTGAAAATATAACAAAAAATTATGAAAAAAAAAGTGGTAACTGAACGTCTTCACATGGCATTTGTTGATGTAGTGGAAGAAAGTGATGAAAAAATGTCTATTTTTTTTATAATTTACTACCGAATGTTTTCGTTGTTAACTATGGTCGTCGACGAATATATTTCTAATCGCACACAGTCTTCTGAACAAAAAAATGTGTTAAAACCGATGTACCTTGTAATGAATTAGACACTCTCTCTCTCTCATATGTATTTATAACTACGTAAAAATCGTTTAGTCAATACACATATGGTATATAAAAGATGCAAAAAAACTGTCCTATTTTGTCTCGCAGATATTTTTATAAAAATAAAATAAAATAGAACACAGACCCACACACACACCTTAAAAAACTGTAAGTGAAGCTAGAAAAGAAGTCGCCTTCAGGACATTCAAAGAATTTTGGTGAAAAAACCATGAAGCATTGTTGCAGAAAAATTATGAACTCTGGAAATAAACAGGTAACCATAAGTTACACATGTATACCATTCTCAGTGTACTGTGTATATATTATTCAAAAAGAAAGAATAATTAACATAATAAGTGCGTAAAGTAAAATTACGCCAGATATAAGAAAAAAAAATTATAAATATATATCCAAAATACAGCCCCTATCTATTTGTTAGTCTTTCCTGATTGAAAAATAACATTGTCAGCTGTAAATAAGTCAAAATATAATATTCTGTCACATATCAGTTTACGCATTAGGGCATTAATTCACACTGATTGTGACTAATCTATTGAACAAAATTTGTTTACTATTTGTTTAGACTTGTTAATGAAAAAATTGCATTATAAAAAACTTAAAAATTGTTGACTTCATTATCGCTAGCAATGAAATATTTTAATTGGGACGTTTTTCGAGGTAAAGCTCGAAGGAAATAATGCAGGGCGTATATTTATGTAATATCAGGCTCGTGTATGTACAAGTGAGACTTGCGGAACGAAAAGGCACAAAGACGAACGCGAATAATTAATTGTGCGTGCATCAATCGTTATTGTATTAATAAATATTCTACTGCTAAACTGTTGTCTGTTATATGTTCACTGAAACGAATAAAAAACAAATCACGTTTGCGGAAAAATTTAATTAAATACCAACTGTATTACTTAATAAATTATTATTTCATGTTCGACGTTGTAAATACTTTAACTGAATTTTCGTTAGAAATACAACTTTCTTTATCCAAGATTTCACCTCATTTTATTTCGTAGTTTTGATTATTTTTGCAATCCTCACAAATTTAGATACCTATCTAAAAATGTAACAAAAAAAGTTGACTAAAAATTTAGCGAATTTAAGTAATTTGTGTATAAAAAATATAATGTAACCTTAAATTCTTACTAGTTTATACAAATAAAAACAATATTATTTATATATTTTTTATTTATCATATGTCAACTTATATAAAATTTTACTTTATAATAAAATAGATCGCTCTTAATAATAAACATTTATACAATGCTTCATTAGTCGTCATAAAATCATCGTAAAATCTTTTTTTTATAAAAAATACAAAATCTGATTTCACTATTTAATGAGCTCGTGAATGTGTCTGATAACACTCAAAAGCTTTGTAGGAACTTTTGAAGAATTAAGACCATTCAAGTGTATAGTTAATGCTTTCAGCACAGCCTTAGATTGTTTAGCAGAATTAACAAATCCATTTTTTTCAGTAGCGTTTGAAGTTCCTACAATTAGAGATCCAAGTGCCACAAGAATACGAAACATAGCCTCTGGTTCTTTTAGAATTTCAAGCAGCTTCATAATGACGCTAAGCGCTTGCAGCTTGCCAAGTACGTCGTTGTATTTATTAAGTGCAACTGTTAAATTTAGAATGTATGTTGATACAGCAACCTGAAAAAAGAGTCAGTCTGTATTAGTGATGCATTCTTGAAAAGGTCGCGAATGAGACTTTCTTTTTTAATTTTAGTTACTCGTACTTCGTTATTTTTGCTATCGAATTTAGTTAGATCACGCGTTGCCGTCAGTACTTCATTTTTGCACTGTAAACAGAATTGTTCGCCTGCCTCATGTGAGAAAAGATTCGCGAGTAACCTGTACGTCAGCATCTGATTCGGTGCTTCGGCATCTTTCTGGAAGTGACGTTTCAATGTATTCATAATCCCATTCAAACAAAACATTTCATTCACGTCTTTCCGTAGAACTGCTAAACGGGCAATGTCAAGAGCCGGAAATACCAACTCGTCCGGCCAATTCAAGAGAGATTTCAAGTTATTGACTTCTTCTTCGATTGTCCTTGGATTCTTGTCGTTTATCAACTTAACTACCGACTCTAACTTCTCATCTGGAATATTTTCCATTCCCTCTTTATTTTTGGCATTGAACTCCTTTAATTTATCTGGAAAATAAGTAATAGCTGAAAAGCTCTCAGTTGATAACTTTATAATAATTAGATGTTAAAGTTACCATGAATTGCAATGATATTCCCTTGCTCTAATTTCAAATAGCTCGTATGCGGGATATACGATTGTTCTGTGTTGGAATTTTTTCCTATCAACGTTGTTGGAAAAGAATTTGATACATATCTACTGCCTCCTATGAACGGATCACTACATTGTGATTCTGCATTCAAAATCGGGGTTATTTGCACATTGGTTGTAATAAAATTTGCTACCTGTGGAGTTGAAATATCATTAGATCTGAGAAAAATGATAAATTGTTATTTATACCAATCATCTATCTACTTGATTTCAATGCATACCCTATTTAAGTATCTTGGATCCAGGTCATTGTCAAATAAAAACTGTTGTGCAACTGCATATGGATCTTGTCCTCTGTTATACGGTATTTTTAACAATGGAACATCCTTTTTTATATCGACGGCAAATACATAGTCATATTGCACGCCGTTATGTGTAGCCTTCCCTAAAGAAGTTGATGCTTCGTCTTTTATAACATTACCAACAAACTTCCATTGAAATGCTTGTTGAGACCACCTGTATACCAGCACTTTATGGTTCTTTTTTATTATCATAGTATCGCCGTCTTTTTCGCCTGGTTGAGACAGTTCTGTTGTTTGAGGTGAAAGTGGTTCACTGTAAACAGTTGAATATGAATTAGTTGATGTTAATTAAAATGTGTTTTCAATAATATTGTATACATACTTGCTCTCATCTTTTTCCAACTGTTTATTCGTATTACTTTTCTTGATTCTCTCAAGCACAGCCAGTTCAAATTTCTCCATAGCTTTTGCATCAATGTATCTCTGTTCATTGACTGTAAATATTCTAACAACTCCATCAGATGAGCCACAGACCAGATCTTCATTTGGCAACAACTTAACACTCCATACAGATTCAGCAGGTAATAGGATAGTTTGTTTTAATGCACCATTTCTCCATATTCTAACAGTCTTATCCGCCCCACCAGAAACAGCCAAGCTACCACTAAAAAGAGTTGATATACTATAGATGCAACTAGTGTGGCCAGAGTAAGTGCCCAAACAAGCACCGCTATTAGCATTCCAATGTTTGGTTACAGCATCGTTACCACAAGATAAGAACTGATAATCATTTACTGGTGCTATATCTCTTACACAACCTGTATGCCCATTAAGTTTATGTAAAACTTTACCATTTCTAACATATACAATCACAGTATTGTCAGATCCACCTGTGACAACATAGCCATTCAATAAATCTGCAATGCAATAAATATAACTAATTGGATCATGACCTAGGAACGTAGACTTTGGTTTAGTTAAATCATACAAGTCCCATAATTTTCCTGTATGATCTGATGAACATGATAAAAAGGACTCATGGTCCACAATACTGGCTTTCAAACAATATACAGTATTTTCATGTGCACTGACTATGTGAATTGGCTCTTCCTCGCCTGGATAATAAATGCAGATAGCTTTATCATTGCCACCTGTTACAATAAATCCAGTTGGATTTTTTTTGTTAGGTTCTATAACACATACCGAACATAGTGAGTCTGAGTGGCCTTTCATTATTACACATTCTGAATAGGTCCAGCTGATTTCATGAAAAATATAATTAGGCATTAATATAAGACTTTCACTTGAAATTATTAACTTACAATACATTGTTCAAATCATTTGTTTGAGATGAATAAAAATAAAGTTATTAAATGACCAATTAAAATTTTTAATGCAAAAGGTCATTTAAAAATATTATTTTCAGCAAAGTATGATGGGTTTTCAATTGTACAAGATTTTGAAAACAGTGCAAATTAGTTATTGGCAAAATAAATTTCACCAAAAGAAAAGGCAAAAATCATTTGAAACAGTTTACACATCAAACTATTAACTGTCAAAAACGAAAATAAATAACGCGTGGAACTTACTTTGCTACTTTCCAGAATCTAGCAGTCTTATCATTTGATACAGAAACTATGCTACCATCTTTGAAAACAGCCAAACTGCGCACTTCGTTAATGTGTCCAAGAAGTTCATTGCTGAGTTTATATTTTGATTGTGTCATGTTTTTCTTTTGTTTTCTTTCTTAAATTTTCAAACTTCCGACGACTCGGCGTACTGCTATAAATAAGAAAACAAACGCCGTCGGATTCGCAGTGCTTGCAGCTCTTCTTTGTACTCTTTGTTGACTGCTGTTCAAGCAGGGATTGAGGCGTGGGCTTTCCCCTGGCAGCAAATAAGTGCTCGGAAAATGCGTGACGTGGGTCCTTTGTTTGTTGACACTATAGAGGGAGAGTGCTATATTTGCGGAAAAATCCCTAATCGCTTGTGATTTTCAAAAATCTGAAAATATAAGAGATAGTTAACGATCTTTGAATTCAAAAGTTAATTAAATATTTGTTTTAAAAAATAAAACAAATTAAGATGATAATACAATTCAGAAAAATCCAAAGCAAACATTCCAAAATTATCTCATGTCTATATTAGATTCAGATTATGAATATAAAAGTAACAATATAAATTAATTCACCTTTTTTTTGTAAATAAAATACAGAGGAAACAGAAGTTATAACAAAAATTAATGAAACAAAAAAAGTGAAATTCAATACATACCAGATTTGTTTTTCTATAATCATTAGATTTATTAAATCCTACTAAATCATTATAAAAAAACTAATTATAATGAAAAAATTTGCTATTTTTCATATCATTGTTAAAGAAATTTTTTACAAACATTTCGTAAAAGTAATAATAGTGCACTTTTTGAATGAAACTTTCAAATGAACTATGTTTAATCATGCAAAAATTTGAATAAGCTGCAACCATTGTTAGTAAAAATAATATAATTTATTACCTTTGTTCAGTAGAACACACAGTTTATACATTGGGCAAACAATGAAAGATTTTATAAGACAAAGTCACTCCGAAATTAGACTAGACTTTTCTTTATTCAATGAAATCCTTAAACGCAATATTTTAGTGTAAAAAAATAACGATAAATTATCAACATGCTTATCGTTGCACGCCAGAGTTTGTTAATAAATCAAGTCGATTAACTTCTTCGAAACGGCAGCAATTTTCAACTGAGTTGCGTCTGAACTCGACGGATTAACTTTCAACTGATTCAGCAAACTCGACGAAGTTTGTGCATACTTGACGAGTTCGCGATAGGCAGTCAATAGAGTACCAAGCCCGACGAGAAGTCGAAAGATGGCTTCAGGCTGGTCGAATGTCCCAAGAAGATGGCTCGTGGCGTCGAAAAGCCGCCTCGCCGTTGCTGAATCACTCGTCTTGTTCAGGGCCACCGCTAAATTTAGCACGTACGTTGACACTGCAACCTGTGAACAATGAACGCAATGATTGTTTATCAATGCTCGATTCTAACAATATCCTCACTTCCGTACTATATCTACCTGGAGATTTTTATTTCCAGGAGAGCTAAAAGCAAGGATAGCATTCAAAACATCGTCCTTACAACGAAGAGCGAGTCTCTCGCCCGTTTCGTGGCAAAACATGTTAGCAAGTATACGAAAGGTAAGCATTTGATTCGTGGATTGTTTTTGCAAATAACGTCCGATCAGACTTAGGAACTCGTCCGTACAGAACTGCTCGTTGATACTTTTTTGCAACACTGCCAAGCGAGCAATGTCTAAGGCAGGGAACACGAATTCGTCGGGCCAGTTTAGCAAAGACATTAAATAGCTGATCGCTCCTGACATTAAGGCTTCTTGATGTGCGTTCGTTGCTAATTTTACAATTGATTCTAGCTTGTCTTCGGCCAAACATTGAACCTCGGGCTTAGCATTAAATTCCTTGAGTTTACCTGCAATTATCGAATCAGTTAAAACAAAAAAAACGTGAAATTTCTTGTGATGTAATTACCGAGAATAGAATCCAAAGACGCTTGTTCCAATCTCAAGTAGTTCGTCATCGGTATATACGTCACCGTGTTAACAGAACTATTAGACACTAGATCAGAAGATGTAGGTGCAGGTTGGGCTGTAACTCTTTCTGACGATGACGGTATGTATCTGCTACCACCCGTAAATGGGTCATAAAATTGGGATGAATTGTTCACAACTGGAGCTGGTGTTGAATTTTTTATTATAAAATTAGCTACCTAAAAATAATAATTAAGTGCCATTTAATAACGACTAATGGCCTTACATCTTGTAATGACATTGGAATCGTAATTTACCTGTTCTAAAAACATTTGGCTAAGTTGATTATCATCAATAAACTTTTGGGCAGCTACCCAAGGATCTTGTCCTTTATTATAAGGCAATTTTAAAGGGGGAACTCCGTCTTGTATGTCAACAGAAAAAACATAATCATATTCAATCCCATTATGCAGAGTTTTTGAAGAATTAGCTGGATTTCCACCCACAACATCTCCTATGAAAATCCATTTCATTTCTGATTGGGACCAATTGTAAGCTTTCACAGTTGTACCTTCCCTAACAAGCTTTGTTTCACCATCTTTCTTTCCTGGTTGATGCAATGCACTGGGTTCTTGTACACTGTAGAAGATAAAACATTGCTCATCCATGTACTTATAATTAATTTGTAATTTTTTTTACATTTTTTGTCACTGGATACTTACTTTTTCAATCCAAGTTCTTCTTCTACAATTTTCATGGAATTAGCAACAGTTTCTTCAAACTTTTGCATGGTTTCAGAATCGGCGTATCTTTCTGGATCTGCAGTAAAAATCCTCACAAGGTTATCGGATGCTCCACAAACAATGTCTTGATTAGGAAGAAGTCTAACACACCAGACTGATCGGGCAGGTAATTCAATTGTTTGATCTACTTTTCCATCTCTCCATACCTTGACAGTTTTGTCTTCTCCAGAGGAAGCAACCAAATGACCATCTAAAAAGGCTGAGACACTGTATATATAATTGGAGTGACCATAATAATTTCCCAGACAATCTCCTGTGAAAGCATTCCAATGTTTGATCACAGCATCATTTGCACAAGTTAAAAACTCATTATCCTTGACAATTGCAATATCCCTAACACAATCAGTATGGCCCTCAAGCTTGTGTAAAATCTCCCCATTTCTCAAATAGACTATTACATTTTTATCAGCCGAGCCTGTTACAATTGAGCCATTAGGTAAATCAGCCACACACCAAACAGCTGCAGTGTGGCCTATATAGGTGTGTTCTGGTTTTGCTACATTACTTGAATTCCATAGCTTTGCTGTAATGTCCCATGAACTACTGAGAAAACTATTTCCACTGCTGCTCTTTAATGCACACACTGTGTTTTCATGAGCCTTGAATTTCTGTACTGGTTCTACATCTCCAGGATTGTACATACAGATATTGCTATCGTTACTACCAGTTATAATCAAACCATTTGGGTATTGTGCAGTGGAACTAAGAATGCATACTGAACTAACAAAGTTATTGTGCCCTTTCATCACCACCGAGTTTCCAGTAAATTGACCACTGAAACAATAGACATTCAAAGCTCATTAAAGCCATTAAATGAAGGAAAACAATCAATAAGTCTTATTACTAATTATATTATTTCATCACAAAAAAAGTTTATTATAAAAATTAGACTTACTCTTGGAACTTCCAGAGAATAGCCGTTTTGTCTCTGGACACTGAGACAATGCTACCATCGACGCCAACGGCCAAGCCTCGGACATCACCGGTATGCCCGTAAAGCTCACGACTCAGTTTGTAAGGTGTCTTGGCCATAGTTTTTTCGCTGCACGAAAAACAAAAAATCTAGTAACTTGCGTGTCTAAAAATGGAAAATAAAGTGAAAAAATGCAGAGCACGACACTCACTGCAGTAGCGTTTCTTTTGCTAGTACGCTAAAATTGGGGAGTCGGCGACGGTGACTGACTTAGTAACGAAAACTATAGCATAATCGCGCGCCGACATACACTCACATAGGCATACTTAATAGCTCCATTGGCATTCATGCACGTGCACTTTTCGCGCTGGCGCTGTACATGTAACCTCCAATTCATTATGTGCGCTATTATTTTTATTTAAAATTAAGTGAATTGATTTTTTATTCATATCAACAACCATAGAAATAAAGTATTTTTATTGGTGATTTTTTTAAAGAGTTGTTGAAAATACTTTTTTAAATTTTATTTAATGTTTGTAAATTGAATTTTATCGTTGATTAATTCATTTTTAAAATGCCTTACGATCAAAAACGAATTAACGGACCTGAATCAACAACTCCATACAGTATCTATGTTGATTTAAATATAAAACCTGTTAAATCTACAATTAAAAGTGAACTTCAAACCAGGAAGAATTCTCGAAAGCATAATGAGTTTAGAAAGATGTGTAAGTATTTTCAATATTCTTTAACATTTTGTATTTTCAACGTAGATATGTATTCGTTGTTTATTTACAGTTATTAAATTGGGTGTTGTGAGTCAAGCAAAGGGTTCAGCTTACATTGAAATGGGGCAAACAAAAGTTATATGTTCTGCATTTGATCCTAGAGAAATACCAAATCGAGCAAATTACAAAACACAAGGAGAACTATATTGTAAATTTAAATTTGCCAATTTCTCTTGCTGTAAAAGGAAAGGGCATCAGCAAAATTCTGAGGAACAGCAGTATAGTCAAATAATGCAAAGAGCTTTGGAGCCTGCTGTTTGCAGGGTAAAAAAAATAAAAAATTTATTGTAGAAATATTGCAATGACAAGACTAATGTAAAATAATGAAAAATTTCTTTTTCAGCATGAGTTCCCAAATTTTCAAGTAGATGTTTATGCTTTGGTATTAGATAATGGTGGTTCTGCACTGGGAGTGGCAATCATGGCTGCAAGTTTAGCCTTAGCAAATGCAAGTGTACCCATGTTTGGTATTGTAACAACTGTTACAGCTGTAAGTGAATCTCAGGTGTAAAATAAATTTAGTTTATTAAATTAAATATTCATATTTTGATTACAGGGTATTTATGATGATTTAGTAATCTTGGATCCTACAGATCAAGAAGAGCAATTATGCATGACTATAATGAGAAAAAACAAGCCTGTAAATCATGGCATAGTAATGCAAGCTATGCTACCACAACATGATCAAATATCAGAATTTTTTTTAATTGGAAGTATGAATTTAAAATGTATAAATTCTTCAATAGAGACTTTAAACAAAGCTGGCAATGAAGTTTATCCTACACTTCAGCAATCTTTAACAAAATCAATAAAGAAAATGTTTAAAAAAAGAAAAGAAGAAGATATAGAAAAATGATATAATTATTAAATATATTGTACATAAGTGTTACTTTAATTAAAAAACTTTTCTTAAATTTATTGTTTCAATCACAGCTTATTCATCTGGTTTTTCAGGTGGTGGACCACAGGGTTGAAGCATTTTTTCCATCAAATTAAACCGTACTCTTGCTTTTGTTTCATTTTCAGTAATAGAGAAGAAATTAATTAAATCATAATGCCCCATATAAGAACTGCAGGAATCACGATGTTGATTAACGAGCCATTCATACTTTGTTGTGTCTGCATGTCCAGTACCAATATATTTGGATTGGAGATGTTCTAATTGACTGTGAATATTGTAGCGTTCACCCATTCTGCAAAATCAAAGATTTACATTTAGCAATTCATACTATTAGTAATTCAGTTGCAAAGAATTTAGTTACGTTGAATATTAATTGAGTTTGAATATTTGCTAAAAAAAAATAGTAAGAGAGATACACTATGACTATATTTTATAATTATGTATTTATTCATTTATATTGAAGCATGGAATGTCAATTTTATTTTAATCAGATAAATATTTTGTATTAAATATTTACGTATCAAATTAAGTATGTAAACAGACCAATTTTATAGATTAACATTCACACACGTACAGTTACTATGAATATATACATTGTTTTCGTTCTTGAAGTTTTATGGTTCTACCTTATAAAATGTACACATGAATTAATAATCAAAGTATCAAACTATATCAAATTAGCGGCGTTAGTTTCAATGCGTGCGTAGTTGTTGAAGTGATTCAATATATAAATCGACGCATGCGTATTCCTTCACATGTGTCCATCCTTGTCTATTTCGTATTTGTTAGGGTCTGTCTCCATAGGGCCTGCCTGAGTCCGTCCGAGCCGGCCGAGATTTTTTATGGGCACGCCATCTCTATAATTTCGTATCCAATGGCGAGTTTCATAGTGAATGGCTGCGTTTACATAAACGAGCCCGATCGGACGCAGCCAATACGAGAAACGCATGAACACGAAATTATAGAGATGGCGTGCCCATAAAAAATCTCGGCCGGCTCGGATGGACTCAGACAGGCCCTATGGAGACAGACCCTTAAGCTAATTTTTCAATAGACACGAAAATCGTACGTAACAAATCGTTGCTAACTTAAGACTTCTTCAAAATAACTCAAGTTTGTAATTCTATGCAATATAATTTAGAAAATAGCGTTGTCCCTGGAAAAAATTTTCTCAGGGTCCACAGAAATTGCATTGTGTTAAATGGGATGGTTTCTAGGGACCCTGAAAAAAGTTTCCACCAGTAATGCTGATTCTAACTTGAAAATGTTTATTTATAATATTATAATGAATCCGAGCTATATTTTAGTGATAACTATTGACTAAAAATTAGAATATTTTTCACGCTATTATTAAAATATACTAGTTGTATTTAAGTTTGTCTAATTATTTTGAAGTAGGTTAACGTTGAGTTAGGCATTTGCATTTCACTTTGTCATTTCAAGTTGGCAGCAGCAGAAAACCCACTAGAAATCGTTTGTCGCGTACGATTTTCGTATCTATTGGAGAATCAGCCTTAGTATAGGGTGCCTCTCCAATACAGACGTAAATTTTGAGTATTGCCAACTTCGAAATTCAAAATGAATTGAAAAGACATAATTCCTATTATACGTAGCCTCAAAAAATTGTAAATGTAAACATGAAGCCGATTGACGAATTGTTGTATGGATATGGGATATGTTGTATGAATGTGAAATGGACGAATTGTTATAACATAAAAGACATCCTATATAATCCCATATAACCATTTTGTTATAACAATTTGTCAACCGGCTTCATGTTTAAATTTACAATTTTTTGAAGCTACGTACAATAGGAATTGTGTCTTCAATTCATTTTGAATTTTGAAGTTGGCAGCACTTAGAATTTCTTGGATTTACGCTTGCTGCGTGCAATTTACGTCTGATTGGAGAGGCACCCTACTATTAATATTGCCACGGAAAGAATAAACTTTGCAAATAAATAAAAAGGTTATTAGTAGAGTTTCGTAGATTGCAGTCGATTTTATTGAAATAAAGATAGCAAAATGGGTTCAAGTAAGCGACATAAGACTGACAAAAGTCGTGATACAAAAAAGAAACGACATAGAAGTCGTTCTCGTTCATATTCTCCAGAAAAAGACAGATCAGATAAACATAGGCATCATAAGAAACACAAGAAGAAAGATCGCAAAGACTATGATAGCGATGGTACGTTTTAGTTTTTTAAAGATTATAATACACGATTCTTTAACTAATACTTTCAGTTTGTTAAGATCTTTTATTACTCTGCAGTGGAGATTGTGGAAACACCACCACCGCCACCACCAAAGATATCCAGAATCCACCAACATGTATCTCCTCCCTCACCTGAAGTTCTGGTAAATGTTACGGTTACAATCGTTAAGAAACTTTCTATAATCTATAATCTTTCTAAAATGTGTATTTTTGATAAATTTATTATATTTTCAGGGCAGAGATAGGCATTCTCATCACAAGGATGAAAGAGTAAGTAAACACAAAAAGTCTCCTTCTCCCGTAAATAGTGGACAATCTGTGACATCACTTTCTATTGAAGAAACAAATAAACTCAGAGCAAAGTTAGGTTTGAAACCATTGGAAGTAGAAACAGGTCCTAAGGAAGGTTCAGATCTTTATAAAGATGATTTGGGCGAATTTCACCATAAGCCTGCTGTTAATATCAGCGAAAAAGCAAAAACAGAAAAGCTTAAAGAAAAGCTTAAGATGATGAAGCAGAAGAGAGAAATTGAATCATCATTGGCTGCTATAAGAACATTGGGTGACAGTGATTCAGAGGAGGATGCTTCAGAATGGGTCAGGAAAAATAGAAAAATTGAAGAAGAAAAGAAAAAAGCTGCAGAAAGAGTATGCAAATATTAATTTTTTGTTAAATCAAATATTTCATGGAATATTTAAATGATTTTTTTGTTTTTATAGGCAAAGTTATTAGATCAAATGGATGAAGAATTTGGATTAGACAATATAGTTAAAGAAGATGTTCACAACGAAATGAAAAAAGCATATACTGAAAAAAACCTTAAAGGACTTAGAGTAGAACATCATTTGGTAAATTATTTTGCAATCACGTATTTAGAATTTAACTTCCCTTTAAGTGATTTTATACTTTAATGTATATTATTTATATTTTAGGATAACTTTCAAGAAGGAAGTCAAGTTATACTAACATTAAAAGATAAAGAAGTGTTGGCAGAAGATGATGATGTTCTAGTTAATGTAAATATGTTAGATGATGAGCGTTATAAAAAAAGCAATTTAATCAAGTCTAAGAAACCTGGATATGATGCATATGATGACAGTAATTTCGATGAATTTGGAATGTCTAAAAGTAAAGTTTTAGAAAAATATGATGAAGAAATAGAAGGAGAAAAACGTGACAGTTTCAAAATTGGTCTGGTCAATATTAAAGCAGAAAAAGAGAGAAAATCTGAAATTATAAAGAACCGTCTTGCTAACAAACGTTTAGAGACGTTGCAACTAGCAGATCCAAAAATTGCTAGTGAATATTATAATGAAGAGGAACTGACCAAGTTCAAGAAACCAAAGAAGAAGATCCGAAAAATTCGAAAGAAAGACAAAATGTTGAAAGCAGATGACCTGTTGAACAGCAATGATTATTTAAGTGACTTAGGCAGCAGGAGAAGGAAAAGAGAAGAGATCAAAGAGGAGCCAAATGATTATTTGGATGTTGATGACCTAGGAGGTATTTATTAATCATAATACTTTCTTTATATTTTTATAAAAATTATATTCACTATTTTTTTTTACTGAAAAAATCAAAATTTCTATTTACAGCTCCAAAAGAAGATTTAAGTGGTATGAAACTAGAATATGACGATCGTGATTTGGATCGCAAAATAAAGCAGAAGGCACAGAAATTGAAGGGACCAATCACAACATTAAAACCTGAAAAAATGACTTTAAGAATCAAACAGGAGGTAGATAATTCAATGGAAACTGAAGTTAGCGGAAGTAATATTGTATTAAATTCAACAGCTGAATTTTGTAGAACACTTGGAGACATTCCAACATATGGTCAAGCTGGCAATCGAGAAGAAAATACTCAAGAATTTATGGTAATAATCAAAGAATATTATTCTCAAAGTAACTATTCCAATTTAGACTGAATTATACTAAAATTCACGATTTTTAGGATCTTGAAATGGATGAGGTGAAACACGAACCTGTAGATGATGACGAAGTTATGAACGGTAGAGGCACTTGGAATACAGTTGACATGGGTAATATATATTTTTTTAAGCGGAAAAAATTATTGCGATAGTTTGTAGATGGATAATTTTTAATAGTGATATTATTTGTTTCAGAAAAAATATCGATAGAGCCTTCTGCTGCAGAAGCTGCCATTTTGGATGCTGAACCTTCACTTGATCAAGGGGTTGGTGGAGCACTGAAATTGGCTATGAGTAAAGGTTACTTGCAAAAAGAGGATTCAAATCGACCTTCAGCTTCTAGATTTGCTCATCTTAAAGCTCAAAATTACTCGATCGAAGACAAAACGTATGGGTATGCAGCTTTTTTCAATTGTAATTTGAAATTTCTTAAATATCCATAATATGATTTATTTAAAACCTTAATTTCCAGAGATGATGACAAATTCAACAGGAGAGACAGATTTAATGGACCAACTTTAGACTTTAAAGAAAAGGATGGATTTAGACCAAATGTTAAATTGGAATACATTGATGATGAAGGACACGTACTTAATGAAAAAGAAGCCTTTAGATATTTATCACATAAATTTCATGGTAAAGGCCCAGGAAAGAATAAGGCAAGTTCTATAATATACATCAAAAGATTATTTTCTAATTATTGCTCAATTTTTAATCTAATCCGATTTTTTCTAAATTAGGTTGAAAAGAGAATGAAGAAATCGGAACAAGAAAGTTTAATGAAAAGAATGTCTTCAACAGATACACCTCTGGGTACTTTAACACTTTTGCAGGCAAAACAAAAAGAAACGCAATCACCATTCATTGTTTTGAGTGGTAGTAAACAAATGCAAACGTATGTATAGTTTTTTTATACCTAATCCATAGTTTAGAAATGGTTTTGAATTACTATTGTTATCTAATATATATGCATTTTTATTTTCAGAGCTAGTATTTCTAAAACGAAGAACTAGAGATGTACATATTCAAGGGAAAAATTTATGAACCATAAATTTACACGTTGACGAAAACAATTACGAAACTATAGACGTTATGTCATGATTGAAAATGCATCAGTAAATTTTATTTAAAAATAAACTAGTTCAAATTATTGCATAATTTTTATTTTTACATTGCTCTATTCACTCATTTTGCTGCCAGTTGTTGCAATGTATTAATAAACGAGAAAAGTGACAAGCACTTTAAATTTGTGATATATTACACTATACCATTTATCCGTTATTTCAAAGAACATGAAAAACTAAATTATATTAAAACATGTAAAACCTAAATAAATAAATATTGTAAGTATTTAATCTTTTTTTGTGACGCAAATCATGAAAATGTAAACAACAGTATTGTGCAATATTCAAGTTTAAAAGATCAAATTCTATGAACAATAGAATAAAACAAGGGTTAGTTTTCACACATATCCATTTATTGGCTGAAACTACACAGTAGTTTACGTAGTTTTGAGTAGAAAATGTGAAACATAAAAAAAAAAGAAAAGAAAAAGACAGCATTTGATCCTCTTGACAAAAATGCACGGAGAAATATTACTTTTTATATAATATTTAGCTGAAGGAATGGAAAACACATTAAATCTCCAACTTTTGGTATATCATCTCGTGAAAAAGGCTTGATTCTATAGCTTGACAGTTGGAAATCCTCCCGTTATTTGCGGATAGAAAGACGAGAGTTTCGTCGCTTAGCTGAGCTGACCGCAGTCGGAGACCACGATTTTTTTTGAAGTCTTGCCGCTTTGAGAGCCCATGCTCTCCAATTTCTTCACCACATCCATACCTTAAAAAGTCAAATAATCAAATTAGTATTAAACTAACTTAAGTGTTTATAAATATTGCTAATTTATAAAAGTAAAATAGAGATTTATATTACTATATTATTGTTATAAGTCTTCATAATACTGAAATTATATGCTACCGTAAATAATAAGAGAAGTAAATACAGGCATTTTGATATGTACAAAGTATTGCATAAGTATTTAACAGGTTTATGTAATAATAGGATAATACTCGTGGAAAACATGTTTATAAAAATTGCTCGACAGCGGAAAGTTGTATGGAGGCCACGTACCATCAACGACTGTGCCGAAGACGACGTGCCTGTTGTCCAGCCAAGTGGTCTTGACGGTGGTGATGAAGAATTGGGACCCATTGGTGTTGGGTCCAGCGTTAGCCATCGAGAGAGTGCCAGGGCCGGTGTGCTTCAGCTGGAAATTCTCATCCTCGAACTTATTGCCGTAGATAGATTTGCCACCAGTGCCGTTGTGGTTAGTGAAGTCACCACCCTGGCACATGAAGTTGGGAATAACACGGTGGAAAGTGCTGCCCTTGTAACCAAAACCCTTCTCCCCGGTGCACAGTGCGCGGAAGTTCTCCGCCGTCTTCGGCACCACGTCCGCGCGGAGCTCCATCGTGATGCGTCCAACGGTTTCGCCGTCGGCTGTCATGTCGAAAAATACACGAGGGAGACCCATGTTTGTGCGATTGATTTTTCACTGTGAACAAAAGACAACATGAAATTACGATTAGTTAAGCGCGTCGATGCCACAGGTTGCTACTGCAGGCCTGTCGTTTTGCTGTTCGAGGAACATGACCGCGTGGAAAATTTCGCTAGCATGACACTTGAGAAAATCAATAAATGGCTAATTCTTTTTTTAACGACTGTTGAGGTAAGTTCGAATTATACCTGGCTTCTTGTGAAAAATAATCGAATATGCCCCATTTCAAAATTTAATATCAAGAAATTAGTACATTTCAATACTAAATGCAAGAAAGTGACCCTTCGTATGGCATCTTCACCTTTGATTCGCTCGGTCGCAATGTCTACAAAAGGCTGAAATCACTTTCTCGCATGTGTATCTAATTTTATTTCTCGGTACGAAAAGTGTGGGACGAAATTAAAAAATGTTCGATTACTCGAGCGTGCCTAAAGTCAAGTTTCTACTCATGCAGTGTCAAAAAAAAATCATCACTGGTAATTATCTTGTTATAACCGATGTACTGTTTTGCGAGTATTGACGTTTTGCTAGATTATTTTGTGAGCAATCAAGCGTTGTGAACCGTTCTCCGAATTTTTCGAACTACAATCATGAAAATTTCTAAGACTATCAACTCTCAAGAGTCTATTTACGGAAAGCTTTGACTACATAACTATAAGCTAATGTAAAGTTTCCTCGAACTCGGAGACACTTGCAAATTTTTTGATAACGCGCGTCTTAATTAGAATCCAGAAACCTTGTTGAGTTAGGCAAATCACATCATGAACCACATATATGATGATTTGCTAAACATCAAAACTGTTGAGAATTTTAGAGCAAAAATCCGTAACCAAGCAACCTACAATAACCAAACTATGTGAAATATCGATTATTTCGGGTGTGTTACAACGGTCAAATTTTATATCCTTCGGAATTCAATAGACGCGAAGGTCATCGTGAGCGGCAACTCATCTCTTACAGCTATCGGCTCTACATAGTAATCTATACACATATCGTTTTAAAACAAGAGGCCAATATATATCGATGTAAAAGAGGCGTAAAATGGACTCTCCTATAGTCTCTAAGCTTTTTACGGTCGATCGAGCTTTTCTCGAGATGGAAAAACAAAAGCCCCCCTCGGGCGGAAGGAGGAAAAATAAAAGTGGGGGCAGAGAGCAGCAGGGTGGGCGACACGTGAACATTCGAGAAAGCCGTGTGCACGTGTACGGTGTGAATCCTCTCGCCATTTCAGGCAGGAGTGGTGCGCGACCGCGGGCGGCAGCGAGAGGGGGAGAGGTAGAAAAATGTGAGCGGAAAGTCCCCAGCGCGTCGCGCCGCCATTGTGCTAGCCTTGAACGACATGCAGTGCACTTGCCAGCGACTCCTGGACGAGCGTATCCATCGGTTACCACCCGAATCCAGGCAATTACAACAGATCACGTTTTGAAGGCCCGCGAGTATATGTGACGTTGTGGTGCAGGTCTGGGCCGGCGAGCACCGAGAGACGCCGAACGACCTCGTGGCTGATTGCGGCAACTCGCCGGTCGGTTACGACGAATCGCGATGTTATCAGGCGAAAGCTCGCGTTATTCGCTTGAATCACGCAGCTTGTAACACCGAGGCGGAGACACGGTTGGGCGGGATTCTCGGCTTACCTGGAGTTCTGGCGTTGAAATAAGCTGGATGACTCTGTGTTAGCTCACCGGCGTCTCGGTAAAAAGTGCGCGAATGGCGGATTGTCAGCACCGTACCGCGCATCTGGTCCCCCTCTCCGCCGTTCTCAATACACACCGGCCCCTCGTATGCAGCCGCCGCTCTGATTAATCATTGTGCGATTCACGCCAGTCTGGAAAACTTAGCGCTAGTGGCGGGTTTTTCGATTTTACTCTTTGATTTAAAAGTTTTTGAACTTTTTTATAGTATCCATAGACGAATTTTATCGAATGACACAATAAATAAAACAAACAAATAAACATCAATATTATTTCAAAATAGAAATAAACAGGACTGCAGTATATCGTTTAATTCTATCGACTCGTGAATATTTATTTTATGTTAGAAAACATTAACTATAGAGAAAAGGAATTACCGTTGGTTACTAAGTATAAATCATAAACTTGCGTACAGTAAAATTCGAAATCGAAGCTTACAAAAAACGCTAATTACTAATTGTAAAATATTATGCATTATAGAACAACAAAGAGGAAGGTGCTCCAAGCTCTAAAATAATAAATGACCGAGAATATCGCTACACATTACATATATATTCCTCCTTGAATATTTCGTCATTCTATTTCATTGTCAAATTTATCAAAATTATCGAAGTGATCGACCTTTCGTTAATCGATTAATGATATGAAAATTAATTGAAAATTAATTTTGAATGTCACAAAATTTCATTGATTGTAGTTTTGACATAATGTAGACATAGTTCTCCAATTGGTGTAAGTAAATTAAGTTCGCGATTCTGAGAGATACTATATTTCTTACAATTTTTATCACAAAATCGAAATTTTTCAATAATTGCTACAAATCCGACTTTAGGTTAGAAGATAAGAAACGGCAAACGATTTTCTTATTACCATATCTCATGAAACCTTTTAGTAAAATATCTCGGGATTAAGATCAGGAACTCGATGCGAACATACTAAATTGGAGCTGTTACTTTAATATCGTTTATTGATATCATCGTCATTTTTGGGTTATTGAAAGTGCATAAGACGACGTATACAAATACTTCAAATTTATTCAACCGTACGTTGCATCTCTTGTCATAACAGAAACATTATATATCTGATTAATTAACATACCATAGCTCTTATTCTTTACACGGCCAACTATCAGTTCTCCATATAATTTTTAGCGGCTTATCTTGAAATTTTTTGTTCAATATCGAACTCAATTGAAATTATAGATATTTGTCAAAAATAAATTAAGTGGAGATAGTTTTTATTTATAGTATTTGGGTGTCACTCTCTTACTTCTGTGCTCTATAATTTCGCAAAATTTAATATGATTGAGAATAATAATATGGTTAATTATTCTATAGATATTTAACTTTTTTTTTAATTTACGAAGCCTACTTTTCACACCGTCCCAGATACTTCTATTGAATCTCAAAACTCGTATAGCTACGCACAGTCAATTATGAACTTTACACACTCGATATCGATGTCTTATATACGAATCGCTTAATTTGTGTATTTTTGAAATTTTGAAATATCGATGTAATCGGTAGTCACAGATGAAATCCATCTCTCAGTTTTACGGAACTGAATGTAGATCTCAATATATTTCTGAACGATTTTCATCATTTCCAAATATTATAAATTTAGCGTCAAAAGAATTGCTCTTATCATGAATCTTATGTGGCGATTAATTATGTCATTTTTTCTAGAAAAATATTTCCTAAGTACCTTATTTTCCAGTGAACTTTTGCAATTACTTTGAATAATCTACATAAATTACTTCTGTATTAACATAAATTACTATTCTAAACTGGTAACCATTTGGTGTATGTAGCATTCTATCTGAGATTAGAATGAATACCGTTTCTTATTATTTTGGCGTTTAACGTTTAACTTACGGATTTTCGCGGCATTTTGAATTCGAATGTTGAAGATAAATTATTAACAGTAAAGCGTTATTGCATGGTTGAGCAAGTGATAGCAAAAACCTTCTTGTCGTTTTGAAACAATTCAGACGAATAACTTGTGTTAGGTTTGTATCACATATATAATTGTCGTTTCACCAACTGTATACGTGTATCCGTGAGGAAATGAACATGATTATGATGTACCTATACACGTATATGTATATTTCTGCGCTGACGCGCCATAATGCATTATAATGTGTTTGCACCAAGTGTAAACTCAGTCTTTTAATTAAAACGTCAGGCTGAACTTGTTAAGGCTTGATCGATGGTCTTCGGGTGTTCATGGATAAGCCAGCATTATATACAACGGTTCATTCACATCCCAATGCGAATGCTACTTATCTCGATAATGCAATCAAAAAATGATAGGTGACAGCGAATAAAATAAAATTCATCTACGGTAACTTTTAGATAAAATAATACTGTAAATCAATTTAATTCATTTCTTTTTTTTTCCAAGTCCTTGGGCGAACCTTGGACTCACTTCGAATATGAAACGAACGTCGACAAATGTTAACAGAAAGTATCTATATATCTCAAAAGTCTACTGTTGCTTTTGAACAACGATGATAAATTAATCGGTTTATATGCACGACAAGCGTACATTACTATTAGTACCGGTTTTACGATACTTCAAGGGCCTTTTTACGCTGAGAGAATATTCTTGTGATGTTTTTATTCCATATGATTTTGTACCTCCTAGAACATTCATGTAGTTTATCATCTACGTCTATATATATACTTTATGGTTTAAGAAGTTAAGTTAAGCATTCTGCACTTCTTAAACCATTGAATATGTATAGGGAGGTAGACGGTGAACTATATTAATGTTCCGAGAGGTGCAAAATCATATGGAACAAGAACGTCATATAGGAATATTCCCTTGTCTATGATAACGATGCGATATCTTGGAATGGCGTGAACATAGTCGGTGGTACGCGAATCGATTAATTTGTAGTTTTCCCTGGTTTACAAAATAGTAGTCGGCGACGTCGGTGTCTCGGTATAGTTGGTGTCAACTGCAACCAGATCGATAGTATATGGTTATAATCTATGATCGTAAAATGATATAACTTTTAAAGAATATTAACATTCGATCTATACTATCTTTAAAATAGTTATACTGTTGGTTCAAGCTTTGAGCTCCACTATTATCCATTCATGTCCTATATGCGATAAAAATCAGAATTCAATTTGTATTTTGCTGCGAGTTCCGTCAATTTCAAACTCTATTGACGAGAGTTATGGCTGGCCGATCTATCGAGCATGCGCAGACAAATTCAACACTGCTATTATTGATTTGATTCTTTTCTGGCTTTTTACATTGCAAATCCTTTCTAAAAGTGGCTTCGCAAAAATATAACTTCATATTTCGGATAATCGATATTTCGAACTCGGCCGTTTCAAGCAATGTCGAGCGCGCGGCTTTCATTAACACCCCGGACTGCGACACGGCCGACGTAACGAAACTTTCCCATATGTAAAAAATAATACGCATATCGCATACATCATCTTGTTATTGTGCTTGTACGCTGACTTGAGTGAGTACACGCATTAACAATTTCATGAAATAACTAATAACGCTCATTGCAAGGTCTGCAGGAATAATACCGAATATCTGATCTGAATCACGTAAAAAAGCCAATACTTACGTCCATATACGTTGCGAACACAAGAGTATATTGGTATTTTTTATCAGTGTCGAAATATACATGTGCATGGCACCGCATTGAAAGTATTTATTTTCTGGGTGACAAAGTACGCTTTTGCATTTGTTTCGTCGCAAGTACGGGTGGGTACATCAGAATGTTCGCGTACTTTTAACGAGTCTGGTCTTGGAGTACCAAAAAGCAACATATAAATAGTACATATCAGCACATTGAGTTGCCGCCTAACCTCGCTGTGCGTGTGTATTCTAGAGCATACGCCTCTGTTTTGCATCGTCTTCAGCTATTTTTTCCATATCGTTATATTATTAAACCTGTTTATTTGATTTCAGTATTGATTCGAAGCTACCGTAATCAAGAAACCGGAATCTTTTACGGGGCAATTATGGGAGTAAGCGATTTGGAGCGGCAAATCCAAGAGTTTGGATAGCACATTCGGCAAAAGAACTTACGTTGTCCGGTTGAGTAGAAATGTGCGAAGAACAAGCTTCGCGCGTGAAAACGGTCAAGTTCTGGTACGACTCTTTATCAACCTGTCGGTAGCGGCACCGAAAGACGATGATGTTTCCCCTAGTTTTAGCAATGGTATGCTTTTGCGCATCAGTCTGCTGCATCGAACACACCGAAATATGCCATGTGAGTTATTTTACTTCAGTGATTCGGCGCAAAGATTATACTCATTGGGTGTTTTTTGCAGTACGTCGTCGACGATGATTGCTTGATGAAAAGCGTCGAATACGCCGACACCTTCGATCGCCGCTTGAAACCGTGTACCATGCAAGATGTACCAAAAGACATAGTTTACACTGTCATGGAAAATAATGGGACTGCTAGTCAAGGTTGGCATTAGTTTTTTTCCTCGCGGAGCTCGAAATCCCATTAAAGTTCCCCGATAAACCACACGCAGGTGTCATTAACGTGGAGTTTGAACCTGCCGACTTGCTGTGCGAGTACAAAATGGTCCTTTTCACGAGCCCTGCAGCGAATAATCCCGAGGAATGCAATAGCTATGCATTCTATCCGAAGACGAGCGGCACTGTGATTCATAGTTTTGAGAAAAATTTGTGCCTTACTGAGACGTCATCTTGTCGTGTGAGAGACCTACGTTTACCTGTCTTTATCAAACCCATGACGCCGATTCGCTTTTCATTGAAATTTGCAGAAAACTCGGCTGAACTTCTTCTACCAATACGTGTATACAGGGTGCTACGCTATTGCATTTGTGGTCAACGAACAGTACATTTTCATGAAGCAGGAATTCTTGAGAACGGAATACAACAAAACCGAGATACCGAATGCCATTTACCGATGCACTTATCAGTCAACTCAAAAGGACAACGGATCGAGGTACTGACATATCGGTAGACAGGTTTACTTGAAGAGCGCCGAAAACCTCTGCAACTTGTTGCAGCTTGGAACTGGTGAGCATCGCGACGGATGTTTCGCTGCTTGCCGGACCTGTAGGCTTAAAGTTTGAACTAGTTCCTGCCTCTCCACTCTTCGAGATCGACGGCGATACCAATCACTGCAACAGAGACGAGAGTCCTATAATTTCCCACAGGTTCTCCATGAACGTGGTATTTACAGCTTTCTCTTAACGACGGCGGCGCGATTGCTTTGATCCATTCAAATGCCCTACTTTTTTACCCTCCTTGCAGAGGAATAATTTTTCAGTAGACCAGCCGTGCAGCGTGGCGACCGTGAGTACTTTCATGTTTTCGACATGTCCGACAATGGCATATACTGCCTCATGCCGCGACTGGTACTCTTACAGAGCGCTTCAACTACCGGTGATGAAATTAAGAACGTGGAATGTAAGTTCACGATCGACAATTCCCCCATAGGCCGAAGTTATTGCTTGATTATTCGGATCCTGGATGCCCGATGTCATCGGGGTACCTTGTGGAACCCACCCAAGTCGACCGACATGACATTTCCATGTTCCTGGAAGCAATGTATGCTATGGATTTAACTTTCGATCATATATTCGTTTTTTTCAATTGTCTTCTGCTTCAATCGACCGAACTTTGTAGATTGCGAGAAACTTGAACGTAAACTCGCCATAATTGAAGATGTCAAGAAAACATACGATCGAAATTTGGAGATGCCCAATATAATTTATTTGGTTCTGATTGTGATCGTCGTTTCAGTTGTCATAGCAGTATTAATATTGACTTTTGTTTTGTATCGGAGACGCTTAAAAAGAATTCACATCAATTCGCTAAATAACAAAAACAGACATTTCGACGAGGACGGAAGTAACATTCTAGAATTAAACGGCTCGAAATCACAGAAAGAGAAGCTCGTTAAAGAATCTGGTATTCTTCTGTTGTATGTCAAAGAATCAGAGCAGTTTATGAATCTTATGTCAGAGTTCAGAAAAGTTTTGGAGAAGCATACTGGTTGCGATGTGAGCGAACGAAAAAAAATTAACCGGATAAGAATTTCTGAATTTCTCACTTTTTCTTCAGGTATACGATTGGTGGGCATTGGAGCATTGGAACGACGTAGCTTACACAGGAGGTTACGAATGGATTACGAATTTGATCAGAAAAGATTATCGAGTTATCTGGATGGACACGCAGAGATCCCGAACTCTTGCCGCTTTGCCACGCAAAAACGGCTATGACAAGATCAAGCCACAGAAAAATTCACGACATAATCAAGATGCCGTGGATTTCAGAGACAATATTTATCCAACAATTGTCGATTTTACCAAACGGACTAATCAAAATTTAGAACAAGAGTATCAAAGATATTTTGTCGTTAGGTAAGTTTTTTTAAATTGATTTCACTTATAATCGCGTATAATTTTTGTCCTATTCATATGCAACTTGGTAATTTACAGGCTAGAGACTTTTAAAAATGCAGACAAAACGGAAGATCCTCTTGCTGATCTTTCACCTCATGTAAGATACTTAATACCATGTCACCTCGATAAGCTATGTTGTCAATTGTAGGTATTCCTTCAAATTACTTTTATGTCAATTAATTTCAATGGATATTGTTAAAATTCATTTCGTTCATTTAAGATCGTTAAGTGAACCTTACGAAGATGAAATGAACGCCGACAAATTTCGACTTAGAAAGTATCTATCTCAAGAGTCTATCGTTGGTTTAGAGGAATAAATTCTTTTTGTACCATCTACTATTAACTTTTATATATTTATCAAATAGTTGTTCAAGTTATGTTATTTTAGTACAAAATATACGCATGATAAGCGTCGTGCTGCCAGTGTGAAAAATACCACGTTGTTGAGTTTACAAGTAATGTTTCTACTATTTATACAATATATTAACGTGTTATGAAATATTTTTTTTTACATTATTTATTAACTACCCTAATGTTCTTGTAAGTGTATATAAAATCAAACGTTTGTTGTTATGGTAAAAACAATGTACAGTGACATTTAAATGTTTGAAAAGTATACAATTTTTTAGGTATAAAATAAAAAAAATTGTTTGATAACTAGAATATCGCCTTTGTTGTTTAAACGAATCGAATCACTGAATGTAAAATCAAAACTAACAAGTGAAATGCGTCAAATTACATAAATCATATTCGATTTTTTTCTTTACAAATATCTCATATGTTTTATGCAGAATTATGCAAAGATAACTTTAATCCATTAATTATTTTGTGCGGGAGGTTTTGACCAATCTACACTGAGAATCAAGTGATCATATCCGTGACCGTTCAGTACAGCGATAGCCCTTGCAGCCTCAGCTCGCGATTTAAAATGAACATAAGCAAATCCTTTGCAAACATTTGTATTCTTTTCTTTAGCCAAGTAAAGTTTCTGAATAGCACCAAACTGTTTGACTAACTCCTCTAGATCTGCATCAGTGGTATTCTCTGACAGATTTGATATTCTAATGGCTGTAGTGTCATCTCTCCTTAGCATTTGCATGGAATCACCTCTTTTGTTACCACCATCACGCATACTTGGAGGGACATACTTGCTACCTTGAGGTTTGTCTGGCATACTTGGTGCTTCAGTAACAGGGTTAAGTGGCTTTTTGTCGTCCACAACTTTAGCTGAAATTATATTATATAATAATTTAGCAAAACCTTCATTTAAAAAAAAAATATGTTCTAATAGTTGAAATCCCTGTTGATAGAAAAAATTTCAAAATGTTATTGAAACACTTACTGTCTCCAAGAACTGTATCTTTAAATGGACATTTTGAGGTCCAGTGATCCCCGTTACAATTACGACATTTCACAACTCCTTTATCTCCCATGCTCTTAAGCTTGTCGAGAGAATCTTCTTCCACCTTATTATCCTCTTCTTTACTGGACAGGAATTGCATGAATACATCTTCAGCAATAACTGTAGTTGCTGGGTTTGGACCTGGTCCATCATTGGCCGAATCACCAAATTTGACCCAATTTTTACGAACAGCAATGCTTTTGGAAACAGTACGCTTTTCAATTTTGTATGTACGCACTACTTTGACTTTCTTATTATCATCGTTCAACTTATATTCCATCATTATTTTAAAGTCATTTTCATAAACAATTGTTGGTGGAGGGAGGCTGACAGTTCCCTCATCTTCCACTTCATCTGCCCAATTGGAAATAGGTTCATGATTAGATGGCATCTAAAACAGTAAAATGAGAAGTTAGAATGAATCTACATGAAAAATTAGAATAAAACTACATGGTATAAAGAAACAAAACATCTATTTTATCACCTATATCTTATCCATAAAATAAATATTTTTATATTATATATACATTATAAATAATATAAATATTTTTAAGGTTATAAATTTACATGAAATTTAAGCAATAACAGATTTCGCGAAACAGACTTATGGAAGTACTAAAAACGTTTATTCAAAAAATTAGTTTTTTATACCAACTTAATGCTTAAATATTGTTAATAACATTTTTTAATTAAAAGGACATTTTAGCACTAAAAATTAGCATATTTACCTTAATTGTTATTCCTTAGCACTACTTTCGCATTACATTTAAAAATAATAAATAAACGCGAAAATTCGTAAGGGACCAAGCCGGCTTAGAAAAGGATGGCTGACTAGCTTCTGAGAGTGCTTAGTTGATCGACATAAGAAAGACGTCTTACTATGGCGCGAATATAGTCAACGGTATGAATCGATTATTGTAATTCACGTTCAGGTAGTTTGTGTCGTATTTTATGAGTCGAATGTGACGTCGAGCGAGATCGTAATCTTGCCCATTCTATTCTAGAAAGTATATACGAGTCTTATATAGTTTAATTGTTAAAACATGACTACTTGTTTGTCAATGATTCACGAGATTTTTTTATTGAGCGACTAAGTGTGCAGTGTGTTCTGTGAGTTCCGTCTATGTAAACATAATCTAGATAGTAAAATACGACGTAAGTAAACGTCATAATATTTTTTCTAAGCTATCTCTTTCAGAAACAGATATACAAATCATTGAATAAAATTATATTGTCTTTTTGCTTTTATAGAAAACATAATGGGTTTACTTGCAGTTTTAACAATATTAGGATTCTTAAATTCTGTTGTTGGATTAGTTAAATATCAACCAGAAGCTGTACACATTGCTTATGGCGGTACAGTTTCTCAAATTAGACAATAAATAGCAATTAAAAAATGAACTAAAGTTAAATTAATTTTCTTTCAATACTTTTAGATGATATTCATGACATTTCTGTCACTTGGAGCACTAAACATGATACACATGAATCAATTTGTGAATATGGAGTAAATGGTTTTGCAGTGATTGCCTATGGGAATTCTACACTTTTCATTGATGGTGGGTCCAAAAAACATAAGCAATACGTGCACAGAGTATGGTTGAAAAATTTAACACCAAATAGTAAATATGGTAAGTGGAAACAATATGTACATATGCATATCCATATGAAGCTTTTATTTATCTACAAACTATTTGTTTGTGTAGTTTATCACTGTGGTAGCAACCTTGGTTGGTCGAATATGTTTTACTTCACAACAGTACCAGATAATGATGAAGAATGGGCACCTCGAGTTGTAATATTTGGAGATATGGGTAATGAAAATGCTCAGAGTTTATCAAGGCTACAAGAGGAAACCCAAAGAGGTCTTTATGATGCTGCAATTCATGTAGGAGATTTTGCATATGACATGAATACCCACAATGCTCAAGTAGGCGATGAGTTTATGAAACAAATACAAGAAGTGGCTGCTTATCTGCCCTATATGACAGTACCAGGGAATCACGAAGAGAAGTACAATTTTAGTAATTACAGGTAAAGAGGAAATTATTGAATTTATTATAATTGATAATTTGTTTTTCTTTATCATATCTGTAATATTATTATTTATCAGAGCTCGGTTTACAATGCCTGGAGATTCTGAGGGATTATGGTATAGTTTCAACATGGGGCCAGTGCACTTTGTTGCCCTTGAAACTGAAGCTTATTACTTTATGAATTATGGTATTAAGCAACTTGTTAAACAGTTTGACTGGCTTGATAGGGATCTTACAGAAGCTAACAAACCAGAAAATAGGTATATATTTATAATATACTTTATTAGAATCTGAAAGTATATTTATATTATTTACTAATTATTTACAAATTATTTCTTTTTTATAGAGCTCAAAGACCATGGATTGTTACTTTTGGTCACAGACCTATGTATTGTAGTAATGCCAATTCAGATGACTGTACAAATCATCAAACTCTAGTCCGAGTAGGACTGCCTTTCTTAAACTGGTTTGGTTTAGAAGATATGTTTTTTAAGCATAAAGTAGATGTGGAAATCTGGGCCCATGAACATAGCTATGAAAGATTATGGCCCATGTATAATTTTAAGGTTTACAATGGAAGCTACTCAGCACCATATACAAACTACAAAGCTCCAGTCCATATTATCACTGGCTCAGCTGGGTGTAAGGAGGGAAGAGAAAAATTCATTCCAAAACAACCAGAATGGTCAGCTTTTCGTAGCTCAGATTATGGATTTACGAGAATGATAGCTTATAATAAAACTCACTTGTATTTCGAGCAAGTGTCTGATGACAAAGAGGGCGAGGTTATTGACCGAGTTTGGTTGATTAAAGATGATTTACTGCCCAAATATGTAGTGCCTGACGTATGATAAGAATGAATCGACCATTTTATCGGAACAAAAAACAAAACGAAAATATGCCGTGTATAATATAATTTAATGCATAAGTTTGTAAAACGTTATTTATATTAAGAGCTGTGATTAATCGTAAACGTAATTAAATATATAAATTATCACGTGCATAAATAAATTGGTTTGTTTTTAATTACAAAAATTGTTTTTTTTCATTTCAATAAAATTCAAAATAATCCTTGTTCGAAATTAACTTCAGATGTATATATGATAAAAAGATTTTTTAATTTTATTATGAGTACAATTTAGAATACAAAGAAATCTTTTATGTAGCTTGTCCAGAGTACTTCAGCCGCAAGAAGAATTTTTCTCTCGACTCAATCGTAAAACATAAACAAGTCTTAAGTGAGAGTTTTCACAATATAATTCACCATCACCGTCTTTGATATCAGCCATCGCAATAAACAGCAGCTTCGCCAACGCCGTTATGTTCTGGTGCTACAACTTTCTAAAAGCAGCAAATCAACATATTTTTTAAAATTAATTTTTCTATTTTAACTAGCTATCATTATCACTGTACGTTTTGAAGCACTACTGAACATTCACAACAAATTACTAGAGTTTTGTTCAGTCTACGGACCATGCAAAACTAACATTTCCTGGAAAATACTAAATCTAAGGCATAATAATAAGAGAGGAAGTGAAGGATAAAGACAACAAAAGAATTCAAAAAAGCCAGCATTCAGTTCTTATACTTATGAGAATATTTAGTATATAAATTAATTATATAAATTTCATTTGTAAAAGGCTTTTTTGCGTTAAACTTTTTAATGTACAAATAACTCGCTTGAGCCGTGATTTTTATTCTCAAGCACTTCTTTTTTCATTCTTCCAGTAAAACCATTGATTTTCCATTGATCAAATAAAAATCGTTGTTAAAACAGCTCATTAATTTGTGATTAAAAATGAGAGTAATAGGGTTGCTGTATTTGAATCCTATAAAATTTTCCTAACTTTTTCCATGTCTTTTTTAATGATAATTAACAATAAAAAACCAAATTCAGATTCTTTGATATTATTTTTATTTAAATACTTGACGTAAGCGCGAGAAACATTCTACTGGAATAGCAACTATTTCAATTATCGAGATTGGAAAGAAAGGAAAACAAATTTTCTTCCTAGACAATACCGTTTCCTGTGCAAAAATATAATAATGAAGGGTTTACAAGATTTTCAATTGTAAAGACATAGAGTAGAATGAAAGGGCTCGGATCTAGTTTTCCAGGATATTTATAAAATATCCATGACTTGGCCATGGTCAAGGAAATATCCTGACCTTTCGGTATGCCGCTACTCTGAGTAGTCTTACAACTTTCACAAATAAATATCTTTGAAAGAAGGAATTAAGATAAGTAATAAAACATGTGCATTTATATAAGAATTATAACCAGAATTTGTGGCAGAATCGATTTTAATCAACTATATGTATAAGGTAGGTACAAATTTCAAAAAGATTTATTTTATAACATCATTAAAGATCATACTTACTTAGTGAATAAAAAAATCAAAATTTATCAGTATGAATTAATAACATATCACCTAAAATTTATGTAATGATTGAGACTGATGCATCATAAATTATGCATTAGAAAGACCACTTAAGAAAGAAAAAAGTTCGAGTAAATTCTTTTTTATGCAGCAAAAACAATTTTTAATACAATTGAATCTACCAGTTTATTGTATGATATATGTTAACATCATTTTGTATATGATAAAACATATTGTTTATATTGTTTAATAAAATCATGTAATATGTAATCAAAACTAAAGAACGAAATGCGTCGATGTAAAGAAAGTATCTCATATCTATTTATGCAATATTATAAAAATATAACTTTACTTTCATCAACTGCTCTGTGCAGGAGGTTTTGACCAATCTACGCTGAGGATCAAATGATCATATCCGTGACCGTTCAGTACACCGATAGCCCTTGCAGCCTCAGCTCGTGATTTAAAGTGAACGTAAGCAAATCCTTTGCAAACATTTGTATTTTTTTCCTTAGCTAAATAAAGCTTCTGAATGGCGCCAAATGGCTTGACGAGCTCCTCCAGATCTGCATCTGTTGTACTCTCTGATAGATTTGATATTCTAATGGCTGTAGTGTCATCTCTCCTTAGCATTTGCATGGAATCACCCCTTTTGTTACCACCATCACGCATACTTGGAGGGACATACTTGCTACCTTGAGGTTTGTCTGGCATACCTGGTGCTCCAGTAACTGGGTTAAGTGGCTTTTTGTCGTCCACAACTTTAGCTGAAATTATAATATTTAATAATTTAGCAAAACCTTCATTTAAAAAAAAATATGTTCTAATGGTTGAAATCCCTGTCCATAGAAAAAATTTCAAAATATTATTGAAACACTTACTGCCTCCAAGAACTGTATCTTTAAATGGACACTTTGAGGTCCAGTGATCCCCGTTACAATTACGACATTTCACAACTCCTTTGTCTCCCATGCTCTTAAGCTTGTCGAGAGAATCTTCTTCCACCTTATTATCCTCTTCTTTACTGGACAGGAATTGCATGAATACATCTTCAGCAATAACTGTAGTTGCTGGGTTTGGACCTGGTCCATCATTGGCCGAATCACCAAATTTGGCCCAATTTTTACGAACAGCAATGCTTTTGGAAACAGTACGCTTTTCAATTTTGTATGTACGCACTACTTTGACTTTCTTATTATCATCATTCAACTTATATTCCGTCATTATTTTAAAGTCATTTTCATAAACAGTTGTTGGTGGAGGGAGGCTGACAGTCCCCTCATCTTCCACCTCATCAGCCCAATTAGAAATAAGTTCATAATTAGATGGCATCTGAAACAGAAAAATAAGAAATTAGAATAAAACTACACGAGATGATGGCATAAAGATGCAATACATGTTTTATTACCTATGACCTCGTCCGTACAATAACGTATATATTTTTAAGGTTATAAATTTACGTATATTTAAAACAATAACATATTTCGGAAAATAGAATTTTATGGAAATGCTAAAAGCATTTACTTAAAAACTGAGATATTTTACATCAATTTGATAGCTTAAACATTACTAATAACATTTTTTTAACTAAAAGAACATCGTGTCTTATGGTACCATTCCTTGAAAGATTTTTATTTTTAGTTTTAAGTGGAAAACACTGCCTCTAGGGTTTATGGTAGAAACATAAAATACCACCAAAAATTAGTATACTCACTTTGATATTTATTCCTTGGCACTGCTTTGACAATACATCTACCAATGATAAATAAACGCAATAATATGCATCGGCTATCGAAATCTGCTTAGAAAAGGATGTGGATTGTGGATAGGACTGTGCTTATGCCTTGCATTTAAGCGCCGAGTCGATAAAGAAGCTGCGTTTCCGCCTTCATTATAAGCAGACGATGTTTGGCTATGGCGCGAACATAATGGATAATATGAATCGATGTTTCTATAATAATATAATGCGGCGTTAATAAGCGTTATAACAATATTTTTATTAGCTATCAAAAAAATAGACTTACAAATCAGAGGACAAAATCAGATTTCATGTATTTTTGCATTCATAGAAAACATAATAAGTTTATTTGCAATTTTGGCAATACATGGATTTAACTATAATAACTCAAATTAAATAACAAATTGCAATTTGCAAATAAAGTAAAATGAAATTCATTTTATTTCAATACTTTTAGATAACATTCATGGTATTTCCATCACTTAAAGCGCTAAACACAACAAAACATTTTGCATTGTCTATGGGAATACTGCAGTTGTTATTGATCACTCAAAAAACAGGCAATACATCCGTAGTATATTGTTGAAAGATTTATTTCCAGATAGCAAAAATAATAAAAATATATTATAATAATGTCATTTCAGATGTCTGCGCAAATCGTTAAATCTTAATTAAAGTAGAACTGTTTTTTTTTTTGGGCTACTTTAATTTAAAAAATATGTTTTCTTTCATAAATTATAAGTATAAATGGTGGTGCATAAATATAACTAGAAAAGATTATAATCAATGTACCATCTTAAGATTTACAAAAGAAATTACTCAATATTCTATACATAGTTCTAATCCAGATTATAAGTGACTCAACCAGGTGTAATGGAAGAGAAAAATTCATTCCAATACAATCAGAAAGATCAGATTTTCATAGACTGGGCTATGGATTGAAGAAAATGATAGTTTACAATAAAATTCACTTGGATTTGAAGCAAGCGTGACAAAGAGAGCAAGATCATTGACAGAGTTTGAAAATGTAAATTGTCATATCTGCTCAAATAAATTAGTTTGTTTATAACTTAAAAGATGTTTTGCAACGAATGGTCATATTAGTTACTTTATAATAAATCATATCTTAAATATCGGAATAAATCTAAATAGATGCGAGATTAAAAATAAAAAGAAAATTATATTAAATTTTTCTTTGTTTCAATAAAACTTTCAATAAAATAATCTTTGACTAAAATGAACTTTACAGGTACAATAAAAAAAGTTTTTTAATTTTATTATCAGTACACAATTTTAGAATACAAAAAAATCTTTTATACAGTGTGTCTAGAGCCTTTCAGCCCTAACACGAAGGATTTTTCTCTCACTCGAGCGTAAAACGTAAACAAGTCTCGAGTGGAAAACGATTTTTTACATTAGAATTCACCACCACCGCCTTTGATATGCGCCACCACAATAAACGGCAGCTTCGCCAACGCTGTTATGTTCTGGTGCTACGACTTTCTAGAAGCAAAAAATCAACGTATTCTTTTTAATTTTTCTGTTTCAACTAGCTACTATTGTCACTCTACGTTTTGATACACTATTGAACTTGCAAAACAAATTACAAGAGTTTTATTAAGTCTACAAACCATGCAAAAATAACGTTTGCTGGAAAATACTAAAACCAAACTGATAATAATAAGAGAGGAACTATAGAGGATAAGGATGGTAAAAGAAATTAAAGAAACCAGCATTCAGTTCTGATACTTATGAGCATATTTACTTATAAATTTTATTTGTAAAAGGCTTTTTCGCGTAAAACTTTCTTAATGTACAAATAACTCGATTGCAGCCATGACCTTTATCACGTAAGCAGTATTTTTTCGCTTTCCCAGTAAAACGCAAAACAACGTCATCATTCATCAGACAAAAATTATCATTAAAACAGTTCATTAATTTATTATCAAGAAATTAGAGTAGTCTTAAAACTTTGACAAATAAATCGCTTTGAAAGAAGAAAATAAGATAAACAATAAAACGTGTGCATATACATACAATTATATATAAATATATATAATTTATACAAATTTATATAATTTATATATATATATGTATATGTATATGTATATAAGTATTATAACTAAAAATTTGTGGCAGAATCGATTTCAATCAACTGTGTGTAAGTGTACATAGTAGGTACAAATTCGAAAAGAATTTACTTTATAACAGCATTACAAATCATACTCACTAATGAGAAAAAATGAAAATTGATCAGCATCAATTGATAACGTATTATCTAAAATCTATATAATCAACGAAAATGACGCGCAATAAATTATGCATTGTACAGACTACTAACGGAGTCAGTATCGATTGAAAGAAAAGATTTTAAGACAACTCTTTTTCGCGCGTCAAGAGAAGTTAATAATATAATTGAGCCTGCCAGGTTATTGTATGAGATATGTTAACATCGTTTTATATTCGTTAAAAAAATTATCATGAGCTGTTCGAGCATCACAGACATGTAAAAGGCGACACCATTGATTGATTGATTGATCATTGTCGTGCACCCGATTAAAAAGATTCCTACCCGTCTTCGAAAATTTTGATAAAAATACGTTAGTTTTCCCTACAAAAAACCTACGAAATTTTTTTCCAAAAAAAGCAGTGACGTTAATACTTCCACGGTCTAGTAATAAATTACAAAAAAAAACAACGAAAAGGAATTGGAGACGGGCAGTGTCCAATAATCAGGAATCGTCAAAATGTACAAAAAAGATAACGAGAGTCCGGGGCTGTCACGGATTGTGAGACATTGATACTGACGAGTTGGCACCCGAGCCATCCTGGTATGAGAATTGCGGGAAATGTTCTTGTTCCTCGGCGATTGAGTTGAGGCCGCTACCGAGGCATCCCTGATCCGGTGGTGTTAATTCCACGCTTTCACCCGTGAACTCGCTGTCGAAGTAACGCGTGTCCGTGTCCGAGGTTACTTGCGGTTTGAATGGCGGTGGGATCTTCTTTTGTACCAAGTCATTCCAGTCTATCGATGAGAAAAACGCGTGCTCCATTATCTCCTTTGCGTCGTTTGGCCCTCCGCCTAGTCTTCTATTTGGGTCCTTTATTAGTAAACCTACAAGATGAATAAATCATTATTAAATCGTAATTAAGGTTGAAATAAATTAATTTTCTTTTCTAAAAATATAAATTACAATTTTGCCCATGAATTAAAAAAATTTATTTATTACATTTCTTTACTATATCTATTCAATATTTGTCATCAAGTAATTATCTGCTCATAGCGAATTTTAATGTTGACTAATAGCAATGAGTAAGTAATAATACTTTTATTTATATTTACTCATATAACAAGCACAAGATCGATAAAATAAATTGACACGGTACTTCGTAAGCAACAATTGATTATATCAGTGTGTGTTAAAACTATAAACCTACCTCCCAACATATCTTTAGCTTCAGGACTTAAAGTTTTAGGAAATCTTACAGCTTCTACAAGGATAAGGGTGAAAAGTTTTTCGTGATCTTTGTTATAAAATGGAAGTCTTCCGCACATCATTTCATACATGACTACTCCTACACCCCACCAATCTACGGCTCTGCCGTAGTCAATATCTTCCAATACTTCCGGTGCCAAGTATTCAGGAGTTCCGCAAAATGTTTTCGTTGTTCTTCCTATAAGAGTTCAAACACATTTAATTAGCATTTATACGCTCCATTCGCTGTAGTAATTTAAATACTTACCATACGTTATATCTTCTTTGCATAGTCCAAAATCTGCAATCTTTATGTGACCATCTTTATCAAGTAAGAGATTTTCAAGTTTCAAATCTCGATAAATGATTCCTTGGGAATGCAAGTAACTAAGTGCTGAAATGATTTCGGCACCGTAAAATCTAGTTCGGTCCTCTGTGAAAATACGCGACCGACTCAAATGAAAGAATAGCTCGCCACCGTTGACGTACTCCATCACAAAACAAAGTCTATCGGCAGTTTGGAAACTATATTTTAATGACTGAAAACAAGAAAAAATGTCGTTAATTTATATAGAAGTATATATTAGATTATAAAACACAACAGATTTATTGCAACTTACTATTAAAAATGGATGACTTGTAGTTCTTAAAACTCTGTTTTCTGTCAATGTGTGCGCTACTTCGTCTTTTCTAATAATTACCTCTTTTCTTAAAATTTTAATAGCATACAAATGACCTGTCGCCTTTTCTCTGCATAGGATAACTTTACCAAATGTGCCTTTACCCAAAACTTTTAAAAACTCAAAGTTTTCTAAAGTCTGAAAATGCATGAAAATTTATAAGAAACTAGGGATTTATAAAAATAGCAAAAGTATTTTATGCGAATCTACTTACAACTTTCTTTTTGCCAGAACCTTTGCTATTTGATGTTCCTTGAACACTGAACTTTGCTGAAAGTTCATCAATACTACCATCATTAGGTACTAACCCTAAAGAATTCATTGAGTCAGATCTTCCTCCTTCTGTTGATTCCATATCAACATCTTCAGAAGAAGAAGATTGTTGCAATGGAGGTTGACCTGATTGTGCAGGCCCTTCATTTGCAAGTTTATCTGCTACATATCTATAGAAGAAAAAGTCTAAGTCTAATTGAAATTAAAAATTGAGAAATATATGTTTGAATAGAGAAAAATAAAAATTACTTTATAGCATTAACCCAGTCTTCTCTGTCTTTTTCTGTTTCAACATGAAACGTCCTTTCAATGACTGTTGTCCATTGTAAACCCCTTATAACAAATGTGTAAGGCTTAGGTCTGTCAACAGCCATAATTTGACATCCTCGTACAGTAAAATTATTCAATGGCGCTGCTGCAGCTGCCATCAAATGGTCTGGTTTTGTTTTAAAACCAACTAATGTTCCGTCATCTCGTAATACAAAATATCGTGATCTCCAGTTTTTTATGTGCTCTCCTGTAATAATAAAAAAAATGTGAAATAAAATGTTTGCATAAGTGAAAATAAATATATACAATACTCCATGTGCTAAAACATGTAACTTGTTGTCTGATATATTTTTTCAATGAGATGTTGGAAAAATACATTATGTAAGAAATGTTACTATTTTAAATAAACTAACACAACAGGGGAAGATTAGTCAACTGTGATGGATATAAGTATCTTGAATGCCAAATTATCTATACTATTCATTGATAATATCACAGCTGATTAGCAATGCGAGAAGTAACAGATTAAATTTTACAGAATACAAAATAGAATATTGTTCTTTTAAAAAGAATAAAATAATTTGTTAGTAATTTTTGTATAAAAGAAACAACAAATATTTAAGTTTTATTACTATCAATAAAATAGCTGAACTATTGTTTTTAATTCAACCACTTGAAATTCTTCAAAAGAAAACTTGCTTGATAGTATATTAACCGTGGTAAACAATGCATTGTCTTTGAATAAACAAAGCCAAAAGAATAAAATCATAATGAAAGTTACAGAGTATAAAATCCTTGAGTTTCAGACAAAGACCGCATTTTGAGCACCTCTTAATGAAACACAACAACGGTATCCGGTATAAAAAAGACTATCAGCAACAGCATTTTTCAATTGAAATAACACATCAACCCTCGTTATTATAATCCTGAACGTACGATCATTGCCAACACCTTCCAAGCGTTATTGGCAACGGTGAAGAGTTACCTCGTTTCTGTAGCCATCCTTCCTTGACGATCCGTTGTCCGCTAGATGTGGCGTCATTCATCGCTGCGTCGCCCATAGCCCTCCGCGCGGCGAAGACGACGAAGACGAGGATGTTGCTGCTATCTCAGCTTGCCGTCACTCTCGCTCTCTGTTCGTCCAGGAAAATGCGCAACTGCCGCTCGACCGTATAGGTACAGCACGCACTTACACTGTTTACGTGTGTCACATGCGTGCGCTAGCACACTGCCGACCACACGATAAGTCTCTCATTCTTTGTTCTCTTTTTCTCAATCAGCAATTTTCATAGGATTTAAGTACACTCGTAATTTTCAACTTTGCAGGTTAAGAAGCTTGACTCCTCGACTCGAATTGGCTTTGAAAACGTACTAAATTATTTTGGGAAGTGAAAATGAATGTTACCAAGGCTCAACGACGACGCTCAAGTGTAAAAGGGGGCAGCGCGCGCTCTCTCTCTTTCTCTCTCTCGGCTATGTCTCGCCTCGCCTCGCACACGAAGCCAAACGAAGCAGCGATCTCTATACGTACAATTTCGGTGAGGTTGGTAGGGTCGGGGGAGAGAAAGAGACGGAAACAGCTACGGGAGAAGCGCCATGTGAATGTCACTTGAAATCAACGAAGACGAAGTTAAGATGTCTAATGGTTCGTGCACCTTACGAATTTACGCGTACGCTATGATCGTCTCTACACGCTCGACGCACGAATTTCCTAATTCGTCGGTAAAAATCAACGGTGATGCTGCTTGGAGAGTTCGCACATATATCGTGCGATCAGCTGAAAAACAACGATGTGTTTACGTACGCGCGCGAGAGAGAGAGAAATCGATTGTTTACAATAGTTTTGTTTGGGAGAGACGAGTTAAAAGGCTTTAGCCGCCTGAACTCACCTGCAACGGATGTTTTCCTCTTTCTGACGACCTTATTCAGCGCCAAGGAGACAATATTTTAAAGATGCTTTGTTTGTGTATCGCTACTAGTTTGCTGTTTGATCGAATTCAATTACCATTTGCTTTATTTCAGTTACTAGAATCCGTTGCACAATAAAAAAGTTATTTATTTAATGAAGTATCAGTTTGTATTTAAATTAAAATAATTGAAAAGCGATGAAATTGCAATGAAAACAAAGCACAGGGGCAGTTGAAACGAATGCATGCGTCACTTGAGATGCGCGTGGGAAGAATAGGAATGGGGGTGCAAGAGAGATGCAACAGGCATCCCTTACTTGGGAAAACTACAGTGTTTGAAACGCCCGCTTACTATAGAAATTCACAGCATTTTTTTTTTAGCTTCGAAAATCAAAATATATACCCATTCAACGGCGTTCATGCGTTCATACTCGGCATATCTATGCGCATGTCTCACTTGTACCAAATGTAATGAACTATTACATATTTCTATTATCCGTATATACATAAAAAGGGCACTGTTAATTATTACTGCTTGATAATTATTAATAGTATTTTGATTTGTTTGAAAGCAATAATCAATAAAAGTGCGTCTGTCGATGTTTACAACAGCATTGTTGACGTATTTTACGTGCATTGTATTTTCAATTTGCGTCATTACTACACGCTTTACATATTTTCATACGTTAATTTTATTCTCTGAGTTCAAATACTAATAATTCTTGTTTATAAAAATACGTATTTATTCAGAATACAATCTTACTTACGTAATTTAATGCATATTCGTGGTTATATACGTAATTATATAATCACGAAGGAATTTGAAATAAAAAGACGTTACGCTTGCATTTAAAAACTACAGTATTACCAATATACAATATAATTGTGTTGATTGATATTTTTCTTCTTTAAGATTCTTTTGGTGCAAACTCAACGACAAGAAACTCAATGTTTTGGATCGCGTGGTAAGTTTATCCACACTTATTTTTATTACAAATTAGCACTGCCACTAACTGAAAACCATGATCTGAGAATAAAAAACGAATGATCTTTTACGTTTTTACTATTACAACTGAATATTTTTTTCTGTTAACAAAATAAAAATAATCTTTCAAACTTACTGTGAAAATGAGTTGGTGAGATTCAATGGCAAACATTATCTTATAATTTTTATTTATTTTACATCAAAGAAAGGGAAAACAGCGTAATAAAATATAACTTAAACGGTCAAGAGGACGCATGTTACATGGTCGACGGTTTAGAAGCAACATTACTTCATTATGCAGCGCAGTACCATAACGCACCGATGACAGGGAGTTTTATCGGTGCAGGATTCAACATTGACGCTCTTGATAATGACGAAAACACTCCACTGTTACTTGTCGTGCGTGCCGACATCACAATCAACGATAAAATGTCGACTGAAAAATTGAAGAATACTATTGCAGTCCTTCTCGATGAGGGTGCTAATATACACATTGTCAACAAATACGGCAACGGCATTCTACCGTTCGTATTCCGTTATTCATCGTCGGGACACTCCACCATTGTGAATATTTTTGGACAAAGTATGGGAAGAATCACCAAATAATAACTAAGTGACGGCGAGAAAACTTATCGCGGCAAAATGTCCACTGTCTTTGGTTTTGGTGGCTCAGAATTGACGTGGAACATACTGCAGCTCGGTAGCTTAGTTAAATCCTATGACCAAATAAAGAGAACAACTACGCTACACGAGGCCATAAGATTGGCGGATTCAGAAACTATCAGATTGTTGTTGGCTCATAAGGCAAGTTCGAATGCCGTCGACTACGAGAATCGAACGTCATTAATGAACTACGACATTCGATACGACGAACCAAGTGAAATGGTTGCCATACTGAAGGTTCTGATCGATGTTGCTCCGCATTTGGACGCCAAGTCGACGGAAAAGCTTCTGTCTCTTAGAAATCTAAATGCCGTTCTTGCGGTTACCTGACAATCTATCCGTGAAAAATGAGCACGGCGAAACTCCCATTCACGTCCTTTGAGCAAGCTATTGATAAGGTGATTCGCGCTAAAATTGCATCTCACGAGAAGTTAACAAGAGAATAAGTCTGTTATCAGAAGCAACTTGCAGAGAAGGTGTGCACGATACAAGGCTCACTGACGCTGTTTAAATTACTGACCGAGGTCGAAGACAAAATAGAACTCCACGTGGCTGATCGCTACTTAATTTATGATTTCAGAAGCGTGGTAGGCAACATCTCGATATGAATTCGTATTAGCTAGATGTTATTAAAAAGCAAGTTCGCGAAGCCGTTCGGAAGTCAAAAGAAGAAAAGACATCTGCTTCTGTATGCAGTTTTATGTAAATTGATTTTATAAGTTTTCTGATCGTTTTGAACAGTTTAGAAATAAAACTGAAAATACGTTAAATATACAGAAACGACGTGGTTGCTTATCGTTCTGTTTCTCATAATTTTCTTAACCGAAGTAAGCTTCTTTCATACTGTCGTTGTTTGTCCGCTATGTTTTCTCCTTTCGTATTTTCGTCATTTACCTATGCCAGTAATACACTTTTAGAGTATTATATTCGAATACGCCAACCAAAATCTTCGTAGCTAGCAAATTTTTAATACTTTCATTAAAACTTACATGCTCGTCAGTGTGGTTCCTGTATTGATCAACGATTCACCGTATACTCTTCAGATACTCCATTTCTGTTTGAGTATCGAACTAGTTGGCGAGATTAGCGTTAATATCGTACTGGTTACTTCAATTGTCGAAACCATGCGTGAATTCCTGATTTATTATTCACCCAATAGAACCATGTAATTAAGTCTTGTGTGTCCACATCTACGATGTGGATTCTCATTAAGATCGTACTTACGAATTAGATGTTCTTTAATAATTTAATTATTCTTTAATTAGATAATCTTCAAATATTACGCATTAATCATAGTTACATTTCCACGAACAATTCACTTCAATTTATCTACGGCTGTTCTATAATCTGTTTTGGGATATGCCTACAGTTAAACAGATTCAACTATGATTCCTCAAAAAACTGACTGTTCTTTTTTCCACGAGTTCCAAAATTCTCGTCAAGTTCGTTGCTATCTAAGAATTTTTCCGAATACGCAATGTTACTTTGGATTGCATCATGCAAGTTTTTTTAGAGCAGCTTGCTGTGTCTCTTCATCTATCCAGTTTATCTAATGATATTTAACCATTCAGTTTACGTATATATGATTGTTCTTTCTGTTATCAGCAGTATCTTCAAAATACGGTATAAAAAATAATTTTTAGCATATCTTCAAAATTCTTGCGCAACTCATTCGAACATGATTTTCAACATCGCCCTTGGTTTTTTCATTCAGTCTTTCTGACGTATAATGCCCTAGTTAGTACGGAAAGGTGTGTCGACATGTCAGTGATACATTGTATCCTTCGTGGATTTTATACTTTTGTGTCCATCAGGGAAGCTTTATATTTGGCTGTAGCGTTTTTCACTTAAATGCTTATTCGGGTACAGTGTTCACTCGTGGCAGTTTTCCAGAATATGTAATTGGCTAGAACGCGTTTGAAAGTTTTCTATAGTAGTCGTGGTAATGATTTTAAACTGGAAAGTTTACTGATAATTTGGTCAGAAAATCCGATATGAAATTATGGTGACAACAGTTGATTAAAATATTCTTTCCATGTAATATGTACTCGGATTGAAGCTACTTCATTGCTTTGAAATTGTACAATTATGATCTATTTCTACGTTCAACTTGTGTCAATGAAATCTGAAAGCTATGTCAGTTGGTTTAATATTTAAGAAAACGATTAGTCATATGGAAAAATTTCTCTTTATTTCTTTAGATCTTTTCTCTATTTTTTCTAAAAATATATTAATTTCAATAATATTTATTAATAAACTATTTGAAATGTAAAATTATTAAGATATCAGTATCAAGACAAATATTATAGGAAAATTGTAGTTATTTAAAGACTTCAAATCGTCTTTTTCCAATTCGTCCTCAATGCTTGCTTCAATTTTTTTTATAGAACGTCAGTTTCTTAGCTTATAATAAAATGCTTTTTTTTCTGGAATTTCTTTAGTAAACTTGTCACAAGCGAACTATTCAAAATTCTCAAACAGATAAATCATCCTACAAATGTTTTTTTAAATATATTAGGTTGATTACAGAAATATGTTTGTTATGAATGATATTCAAATAATTTTTTTAAATTAAATATTTTTAGCAGGATATTTCATTTTGATATATACAATGTTTGAAAATTTATTTTGGTACGGTCATGAGTAAGCGCTTGAGAAATCATGTTCTTATGTTTTTAACTATTTAGAAAAATATATAGACTTTACAAACGTTAATGCAAATATTTTTCTTAATATATACTAATAGATTTTCCTAGTTGTTTTTTTAAATTTATAGATTTTAAATAATAGGAAATAAGAGAAATCAAAAAACGTAGAATAAAATTTTACCATGTATTATAAAACCTACATATATTTTATCTTATCAATTCAATATAAAACTAAAAAACAGTTTTGTTATAACTTACAAATTATAGCTAATTTAGATTCAAACTCTAATGACAAATGAAAATATGTATATGTGGAGGATGACTAATTTTACCACATTATACATTTGTTGACAGGATTCATGGCGGATCCCACAGGACAATGAAAGTCTTCAGAGAATTCAGGTATATTGGAGAAAGATCCCGTTATGCGAAATTGGCCAGGACTGTGTACACTAGTAAAGAGAAGATTTTTCACAAGCTCTGGGCGTAATTTATAGCACCACATATTAGCAGCGCTTAGCCAGAACATTTGTCGGGGCGAGTATGGAAGTCCTGGTAAACGAGGTTCTTCTCCATTCTGCCTTTCGAAATTTGTGTAAGCGAGGTACGCTTCCTTAATGCCACCGTTGTCAGCAATGTTTTCACCTTGCGTAATTTTACCGTTTGTCTGAAAATCATTAATAACAGAAGCATTAACAAAATGTTTTTATTGAATAGCATCTGTTCGTTCAGTTACTCCAAATGAAAATTGTTTGTCCACCATATCCTCAAAGTACTGAAAATACGAATTCTTAACACTTGAAGATTACATAAGGATGATTTGTTGCTTTGAAGGTTTTTAAATTTCTGAGTCATAGTGTATATAAAAATAGCCTCAATAATTGTATTTTGAAATCATCTGAGTACTACAGCAAATCAATAAATTGTGATTTTATGACCTTCAATTGTCAAGAACTCAAATCCTGAGGACTTGTCAGATGTACTCCAAAAAAAATTTTATTCGGTAACTTAATAAATATATTCCGATCATGTTAACTTGAAGAACTGTGTAAGTTTCTTTTCGTATTTTTTGCGGCATTCTTTGTATTTTGATGGAAGCAATTAAAAAATTCGACACTTAGCTAAAGTAATATTTACTTACAATCAAACCCACTTCTTCGATCGTGTAATTGCTGTATTGATCAATGATGCACTGAGCCCGCTTCGAATATTCTTTTTGCGTTTCGACATTCCACCAATTGGCCAAATTACCATCTTTATCGTACTGGCTACCTTGATCGTCAAATCCATGCGTGAATTCGTGGCCTATGATCCAACCAATGGACCCATAATTCATGTATGCGGGTTTAGTGCTCGTAAAGAATTCTCCTTGTAAAATTCCCGCTGAGATTTCTGAAAGTACCATTTTCGTTACTATTTTGGTTACAAATTTCTATTATAACAGAATATACGAAATAACACACACCAACGCTATTTTCTACAGGTCCATAGAATGCATTAATTGTTGCTGAATGGCTGTGAAAAATCCAGTTCGATTTGTTAACAGGGTTTTTAAGCTGTTCCAATTTATAAGCCAAGTTAAACAAATTTAAATTCAAATGGCTTTTCAAGTAACTATCCGCATCAGTATTCAGACTTTCGAAATGTTTGTCGAGCTTTTCGTTGTCTAAAAATTCGTCTGGGAAACCGACGTAAGTTTGGACAGAGTTGAGTTTTTTTTCAGCAGCTGTTTTTGTTTCTTCATCCATCCAGTCCACCTGCAAATATTGGATTATAACATTTACAAATATTTCACTTGATTTGTGTCAATAAAATTGTCAATAAAAATTGCATCAACAAACCTTTTTCAGCATAATTGCAAAACTGTCGCGTACGTCATTTACTATCCTTTTAACACCAGTTATGGATTTTTCATCAAAATGTTTCCTCACGTACATTGCTCCACTTGCCACAGGTATGTTATTTAATACGTAAGTAATACATTCTACATCCCGTGACTGTTGTTTATTTTTGCCTGTAAGGGAAACTTCAAATTTAGCTTTGACTTTTCGAACATGGTCGTTCATGTAATCTGCCGATTCTTCGACAACTCTCCAGAATAGATAATTGGCCAAAACACGTTTGGGAGTATTCGAAATTAGTTGCGATAGAGATTCCAGAAAACCGAGGTCTTTAACGATTACTTCGTCTGTGAGTTCGATATGAAATTGTGGCGATGCTAATTCATTTAAGTATTCGCTCCATGGAATATATGAGTAGTCAGATTGAAGTTGCTTTAGCGTTCTAAGATTATACATTACCGACATATTTCTACGATCTTCTGCTGACAAAGAAATCTGCAAATAATAAATATCGTAAGAATGGCTGGTCATCGGTACATTAAAAAATGTGAAAACGTATGTGACTATTTGCTTAAGGCATCTAGGTCAATAAAGCCATTTAGCCATTGGAAAATCTTATTTTAACAAACTTGAATCGGTATACTTTTCGAATAATAACATAATTTTTAACAAACTACCTTTGCAAGTTTAATTTCAAAGTTTAAAGATTCGGCCAATTCTTTTTCTGCTTGTTTTTCATCTGCCCCAAATATTTTTGCAAGCTCAATCATGTATTTGTAGTAAGATTGAACTACTTTTTCTTTTAAGCCCTTCGACAGGTAATTTTGATTGATTCCTGTCGCAGCTTGATCCAACTATCAAAAATATTTCAAATATGAAAAGAAAATATTAAATTTTCGTAAATTTTAACAGTAAAATTTTTGTTAATTTAATTTTAGTCTTACAAATAAAATATTTTTATTAGTACGTTTCTCGTCGATATCAATATCGAATTTTACAATCGATTTGATAGAGTTTGTGAAGCCTATTTTTCGCAACTTGTAGATTAGTTTCTTCCAATCGAAATTCGACTGATCATTCCAAGACTTCCCAGCCACTACTGGCCAATTTCCAAGGTTAATTAAAATTTTTTTCAGTTCTTGAATACTTGATGTTTCTAATTTTTCTAAAAGTGCGCATAATATTGTTTTTTATTAATGCGATAAATCTATGCAAAACATTGCTTATGAAAATTATAAATTTTAATAGTACCAGTATCCAGACAAATATTATAGTAAGATTGTAGCAATTTAAAAGTTTTAGGATCATCCTTTTCTAATTTCTGCTCTAAACTTTGCTTTAGTTCATCTTGAATTTTATTAATTATTTTGGTAAATCGAGAAATACTTGTCTGATCTTCTGGAATAACTGCTTCCTTTATGAATGTCCCGCAAGCAAATTTATAAAAATCGTCACAGGGATTAATAGTCTTATCCATATTTTTCAATATTTGCTGGGCTAATTAACAAAAATGTTATTGTTTTATGGTAATAATATTATCAAGTTTGATATTATTGACATGAGTTTATTATATATTCTTACCTGCTTCCATACATCCTTCTGTTTTACAAACTTGTATTTTTGAAGCTAAAATGATCAAAAGGTTAATGAATTTCGTTACAGTCCTGTTAAAATAAAAGTCCTTAAAAATTTGTTGCAAAATATTTATAATCGTGTAACGCCCTTAAGAAGGCTTAAAAATGTAAGTGGCTTATATAACCAATTAGCTTTTTATAACACACAAAATAAATCTATAAAACTTATTTTTAATTAACCAACTAATTTGGTTTTAATTAGAATTAACAAAACACGTTAACGCCAACAAAAAATATACCAATTGGATACATTTTTACAATCAAGGCTTATGTATACTGGTGCGGGCATTTAGCTAACGGTGTAGGTGTTACAATTATTCAACAGAAAATTGTCACTGTCAAGAAGCATAATGAACAAAAAAGGCGCACAACGTGTACTGATTCCAAACTGATATAGTTAAATTTGCCATTTAACTATAACTCATTTGGGATATGGTCCATTCCACATTCTAATAAGATAGAAACAGAATCTTCGAAATTTTTTAGAAACTTTGGTCGGCTTAGTTGTTTTTATAATGTGGTGGGTGCATTTAAAAATGACTTATCAAATAAAGCAACATTATTTTAACTAACAGCATATCTGTAGAGATAAGCTATGTTAAAGTAATATTTATACAAAGTTAACATGTACACAGTTATATCATCGGATACACTGATGTAATGATGCAATTAAATAAATGCGCAATTCCATATTTCTATATAGAAAGAATATTTCAAAATTCTTACCCAGTGGAGAAGCTCTGCTCGCATTCAATAATGCAAATCCAATTGTTATTATAATAATTGATCTATTCGAAGACAACGTTAATTGTTTATTCTTCGTTCTAATCATGGGAAACAAGAAAATTGTAATATAGATTGACTATGTATCAATAAGCTCTCAATCGATTATATAATCACAACTGTAAGCACTTACATTTTTGTCTTATCTAATTTCACTGCAAGGATCATTATTAACAGCGTTTTTCCTCCTAATTTACAAGTAAAATACTGACAATACGCTTTGAATTTTCGTCTTTTATACGCTCGTCATGACTCTATCAAATATCAGCAGTTGTAATTAGGATTACAAAGAATATATTGATTGTATATCTTTTTATTACTATGATAAACAGGCTGCTAAGGCTGCCGTAAATCAATAGTCGATTAGACTATGTCAGACAAAAACGTCGTGTCAAAAGTGGTTGTAGACTATTCAAAATTGTACTGTTAGGTAATTAAAAACACACTTATAAATATAAGCGTGTTCTAACTGATGTTAATATTTTCATGAGAAACATTCTATCTAGGAAATACGAACTTTTATATAATAATTTGTTATTTTACAAAATTGTTTCAACATTTAATTTATTTAAGTAATGATTATATTAAAGTTCTACGTGAGTTAATTATACATAAGCTTTAAAATTTTCTCTAACGTAATGCTTTTCTATTGAATATGACAAATAAAATACTGTTTTTTAAAAAAAAATGAAATATTATCTGTTATTATATCTTTCTACAGAAAAATTAATAAACGATTAATTGACACGAAATATTTTACAAAACATCATGCATTTGATCATTATTTAATAATGAGCAGAATCTTAAACATATTATTATTCATGCGAATATTTATTTATTCTTGCAGAAATATGTTATGTAGAATACTTTGGACTAATAATTTTACAATCGAATTTTCTGTAGACAGTTTACATGTTCAATAGTATCTTCCTTTCTAATAAATGCTATTTTATCTTTTTTGATAGATTAAAAACACATTATGTTAAGGAAATAAAATTTAAAAAATTGTACACAATCAAATCGTATAGAAACAACATCTACTCGAAATAAACATGACATTCTGGCCAATTAAAAAAACATTATATTAAATGAATAAAATAAAAAATTACGTGTAAAACCAAAACGCTTAGAATCGGTATGTCTCAAACGAACCCGGCTAATATGTACTGTATCTTTCTGTAGAAACATTAAAAACGATTAATCGACATAAAATATTCTACAAGACCATCGTATATTTAATCATTTTTTAATGATGGGCAGAATCCTAAACATTTCTAAACATTTCATTCATGCAAATATTTATTTATTCTCGTACAAATGTGTTATGTAGAATACTTTGGCTCAATAATTTTCCAATCGAATTTTCTATAGAAAGTTTAGTTATTATATATTATCTTCTTTATTTAATTAAAAAATCATTGTGTTGAAAAAACAAAATTAAACTATTCGTGTAGAATGAAATCGTGTGGAATCGACAAAATGAACCCAGCCCTATTGAAATATGAAGAAATGTATTTATTCACTACTGCATGTAGATATTTTGTGTAAAAAAATGTTTATCAGGACATTAAGAAAGAAATTGTACAACGTTATTTAGTTTGTACCTTATCGAATTTGAGAAATAATAAAAAAACATAAATTCATTGTAAAGTAGACATTGTATAATACCGTTAATGTTCCGCTATCTCATAATGGTTTTGTTATAAAACTCTTCAATAATAATTCATCCAATATATCAATTATTAAAAAACTATCGCGTTCAAATTTTCCTTGTCGACAATCATGACATACCGCATACATTTCAGAGTACTAATTTTACCGAAATGTACACCTGTCAGCTGGATTCATAAAATAAATTGGCTAGAACAAATTATTTCGTGAATTCAGTTTTGACACTTGTACATTGAGGCATATTTGAATAAATAAAGCCCGATCACACGGAATGTAGCGGAACTGTGCACATCGATGATAACGCGATTTTTCAGAACTTACAGGCGGAATTTACTGATCTATAGCACAATTAACTGGCCGAGTAAGACAGACTAGCCAGGGAAGCTTTACTGAAAATATTTATATCTAAATACAGTGCCGCTCACGCACTTTTACCCCCCCACGGGCAAAATCAGTCTAACTTCAAAGTTTTATATCTCTGGTAGAAATTAACGTACAGAGACGCGCGTGGGTGTGTTTGAAAGGTCTTTCGGAGAGCTTTCAAATGATATGACTCACGATTGCCATCGATTGTTTTTTTAAATTTTGCAACAATTATGCAAAATTGAAAATTCTGAAATTTTTTTATTATTTTTGACAATTAGCCAATTTTGGAAAAAAAATCGTACGAAAATTTGAAGTACACCATTTTTTAGCTATTACCAAGCCCTATCTGAATCACTCATCAAAAATTTATTTTCGTCAAATATGACGCGCGCACGGGCATTTTTTCCTGGAAGTGACAGTTTTTTTCAACATTTTTTATCTCCGTCAAATTGTAACAATCGAAAAAAATTTATAGGAGAAAAAATGTTTGTTGTTTCACGTAGAATACTGCGATAATTTTTTTTTTGGTTTTTCGAAAAATTTTTTTTTTCGGTTTAAATTATTTTTCAAGGTCGAAAAAAAAAAGATTTTTTTTTTATGTAATTTACGATACTTGTTATGTAGTATTATTGAATGGGTGGAAAAAAATTTTTTTGTGTGGTTTCTCATCTTTTTAGCGTACCGACTGTGAGAAAAAAAAATTGAAAAAAACCGAAAAAAAAATTTTTCGAAAAACCAAAAAAAAAATTAAAGTGATTTGATTTTAGAGAGCAAACATAAACATACAATGGGGTCGATGGCAAAATTAATGCTTCGAAGAACCATTTCTCAGCGCTCTGAAAAAGTTCTCACGGAATGGCAAAATGACACGGTAAATTTATTAACGGTTATTAAACAAAATTGAATGTTATAATACGCAATCATGTTTGGTAATTAAAAATTCTAATATTCCTCAATTCATCTACTCGCTAAATTTGTAACGACACACTTTCGAATCAAGAGAGGGTGCGCGCGAAAAATAATCGCGCAAGCGCAGATTGATCGGCCCATCGTCTCCCTCCGCGAGTTGGCTTCGACCTTCTTATGACATTCGTGGCGGCACGTAGCTTGACTTTGACGAAGAGCTTCCTGCAATTTCGGACGCAAGTCACTTTTCTTTTTCAGTGTTCTTACTTTAGGACATCGTCTTCCGTAGGCACCATGGCTTTGAACAAGCTCAGTATTGACAAAGTTGATCTCGCCGGCAAGCGAGTGCTAATCAGGTGAGCGAACAGCTCCTCGTGGATTTTCGTTGAATTGTCGATTTATGAAATTGCTTACGTAAATCATAGTTATTGATTGTTGTCTCGCGATCGATCGATGATTATTTGTGATTATTTTAGCCAGAGAGTTCAACTATATATTAAATGTCATGTTCATTCATGTTTGATGAAAATTCGTGAGAATAAAGTGTTGACTGTTTGACGTTTTATCGCTTAATATTTTGAAGGTCTTGGTTCTATAGCAATTTTATTTCAGAATCGGTGTTCCTCGTGATTATTCAAACCGCTATTAACTTTAGCTCATGTATTATAATTTGAAGATAAATTTTCATTTTAAATTTCAATATTTTAGAGTGGACTTTAATGTTCCTCTCAAGGATGGAAAAATTACAAACAATCAACGAATTACTGCTGCTCTTGATACTGTCAAGTATGCATTGGAAAAGAATGCAAAGTCAGTTGTTCTCATGTCTCACTTGGGTAGACCCGATGGCAGCGAAAATCTCAAGTACACCATGAAACCTGTTGCTGACGAGCTCAAGAAACTTCTAGGTAAAGACATTCAGTTTTTGGATGATTGTGTTGGCCCAGCAGTTGAGGCTGCATGTGCTGATCCAACACCTGGTTCAATCATTCTTTTGGAAAATTTAAGATTCCATGTTGAAGAGGAGGGCAAAGGTGTTGGCCCTGATGGAAGCAAAGTCAGTAAAAATTACTAGAAATATTAGTCTAAGACAGATTATAAAGAGATAAAACATGAACATTAATATGTTACAGATTAAAGCAGACAAAGATAAAGTTACAGAGTTCAGAGCATCTCTAAGAAAACTTGGAGATGTGTACATCAACGATGCTTTTGGTACTGCACATAGAGCACACAGCTCAATGATGGGTGATGGCTTTAACATCAGAGCTAGTGGTTTCTTATTAAAAAAGGAACTGCAATACTTTGCCAAAGCTTTAGATAATCCTGAACGACCATTCCTGGCAATTCTTGGTGGAGCCAAAGTTGCTGACAAGATTCAACTCATTAATAACTTACTGGACAAAGTTAATGAGATGATTATCGGTGGTGGTATGGCTTACACATTCTTAAAAGTCACTAAAAATATGAAGGCAAGTTGTAATAATTTTTTGTAATAAATGTATGGCATTTTAATTTTATTTCATTGATCATATTTTAGATTGGTAACTCCTTGTTTGATGAGGAAGGCTCTAAAATTATCAATGAACTTTTAACTAAAGCTGAGAAGAACAAAGTTCAGATTCACCTGCCAGTGGATTTTGTCACTGCAGATAAATTTGCAGAGGATGCTGCAGTTGGGGCTGCTGATGTTGATAGTGGAATTCCTGACAATTGGATGGGTCTTGATGTGGGACCAAAGTCGAGAGATTTGTTTGCAGGTAGTGTCAATAAAAAATAAATTAATTTAATGTTTATTTAATAGTTTTTATTGCATTGATTAATTAATATTTTGTATAAAAATCAAGCAATTAAAAAGAAACAAAACGAAAATTATAAAAATCATAACAAAACTAATTTAAACTTTTTAGAACCAATCAAAAGAGCAAAAGTCATTGTATGGAATGGACCAGCTGGAGTATTTGAGTTTGATAATTTCTGCAAAGGTACAAAAAGTTTGATGGACAATGTCGTTGAAGCAACAAAACGAGGTGCGACAACGATCATTGGTGGTGGAGACACTGCTACTTGCGCTGCAAAGTGGAAAACTGAAGATCTAGTTAGCCATGTTAGTACTGGTGGTGGTGCTAGTTTGGAGCTTTTGGAGGGAAAAGTATTGCCTGGTGTAGCAGCTCTTTCACCAGCGTAAAAATCATTGTTAAATTATAATTAAAATGTGGCTAATGCGTTTGTAGCCCATCGTAAAAAGTGATGTATAATATTTATTAATTCATTCTATGTACTTTAAAATTTTGATTTAATACTTTTTTTTTGTAACTTATAAGTAGATTATAAAATCAACAGAAATAAATGAATATATCAATATTTCCGGTTATACTAAAGATTTTGAAATTTGGTCTTTAATTTATCCAGTAACCATTTTTCAAACTAAATAATCACTGTTTAACAAAATTGGCGATTTATTGAAGTCTAGTTGACTTGTATGCAAAAAAGCAAAATATGCTATTGATAATTTTACACCACCTAATAATGTGTCCATGCACAACATTTTTCTTTGTAAAAAACCTGCTTTCCAACTACAAATTGCCATTCACATAATAGAGCATTTTTCAGGTTCTACATCTGTAATCATTAAGTCTTCTGGAGGACTACCATAAGCTTGAATTTCCTGCATTATTGCTAATTTCTTTTCAAATCGCTTTTTTTTGACCTCCTCAGAATCGTCATCTTTTTCTGATTCCAATTCCAGGCATACCTGTAAATGAATATTGAATAAAATAATAATACTATACTAATCTACGAAGATTTACATATTAAATAAAATAATATTTGTTGCTTACTTTACTCATAAGTTCATATTGTTTTTCATAATTTGCTAAATCTGTTGGAGGTACAGTAGCTCGATTCTCTTCAAGCCATGCAGGATATCTATCAACTATATCTTTCATTGAAGGATAAAGAATTTCTTTGGATATTAATGACTCTGCCATTCCTTGCATAAATGGTAGAAAATCTCCACCTTCTAACGATGTCTGACCAAACATGGCTGCTAAATCAGCCTCACTAATATTGGGTACATTCTAAAAGAACAAGAAATACTTAACATTTTTCTTTCAAATTTTACCAATTCTATTTAAAAGTATCTTACTTGTAAATTTTCAGAATTTGCTGACAAGTCTTTCAATGCTTGATTGATAGCTGATTGAAAATCTGGTGGTGGAGCCTCTACATCACTAGAGTCTCCAACTGATCCAGCAACACTGTCTGCCAATTTTTTAAAAGATTCTACAAACATATTTATAAATAAATGAAAAATTGCTATAAAAGATGAAAAAACTTAAGTACTCACCACTGAAATTGCCATTGTTGTGCAAAAGATCATCAAAATTTCGTTGAAATTGATCGGCTGCTTGCTTCACAAAATCATCAATCCAGACTTCCTCAGACGTGATTTTATTTCTCTCTTCTTCTGGTTTAACCACAACTGATGTTGATGAACCATCATCCGTAGATATAACAGGTTTCACAGGCTTGTCAAAGTCTTTAAGTGCACCTGCAGAAATTGTATAAATTATTAAATATGATTAGTGTAAACATTATGTAATCTATCACCTTGATTAACAAGACATTCATCTAAAATTATGATAAATAAGGAAAATATTTACACAAATTTAATGAAATTTGTATTGACAGTTTCGAATAGAAAGTTCAACATTGTAAAAGAAAAATATTATATAATTCTCTTTAAATAAACAATACAACAAGGTTATGTTTGATCAAGAAAGTGTGTAATCGCTCGGTTCTGAAAACTATTTAATGACATTTTACGCACTATCCAATAGCTCGTTCAGCTCAGCATCCTCGGCTGGATTCGTTGTTTTTTTCTCGTCCGACATTCTCTTTTAAACGTTTTCAAAGCAATCAACTGATTGTTCTCTCACACGACATGCAACGGCGATACAACGACGTGACTAATGTGTCATTTCAGGTATTTTCTCTAATCGAGTCGTCAAGAATCACTGAAATAGATTCAAATATTTTAGTAATATGTTGATTTTTAACGTTAAAAAATATGACATAATGTCTTGTTATTGTTGCATAAATTGTCAAATGAAGAATCATTATCAAAGAATTAAAAATTTAGTGTATGCAAATTAATAAAAAGGTATAATTAAAATAATATTAGTTAAAGTTTTATAAATATATATCTTTATTAACTGATTATAGTAAAATAACATGGTTTTCTCTAAAAATGAGTAAATATGATTTATGTATAGGTTCAAGTACATCTTTCAATTTACAAATTATCTATCTTCATCTGCAGCTTGATCAGCAAAAATTTTGTCTAAAAGTTCTGTACATATATCTTGTATATCTAAATTTTGCTCAACTGTGGATTGTTGAAAATGTCTTTTTAAAGTTTGTCTTAAACAAAGTTCAGGTCTTCTACATTCTCTCAAAGCCAGGAAGTAATTGTCATTTGTCAGACCATTGAGTAGATTAAGTAATTGTTCTCTGAAAGTAAAATTAAAAATATCCAACCATAATTTTTTGAAGTAAATTCACATTTTATTTGTCAAATATTCTGATTACTTTGTCTCTGGAAGTAAATTGCTCATAGCAAGTAAACCAGCTAATTGTTCTATCAGTCCCATTTGGATTAATGTGGATTTGATTTCATATCCTTTATCTCTGTTACATAAAGATGACAATAAGAATGCTGACTTTATTTGTAACTTTTCTACAGAACTTTGGATAGCTCTCATCAGAACTGAATAACCATCATATGTTTCTATATATTTCAATGCATCTGGTTGTCCTCTAACAATACCTAAACATAAATACTCGAAATTAATTACTTCAAAAATTATTTTATTTAAAAATCTATTGCTTAAACATATTACTTACATGAAACTGCATACAAGGCTTTGATTCTTGCCTGTTCATGAGTATCACAATCTACCATATGTAGTAATATAGGCATAAAACCAGCTACCAACATTTTTTCTTGACAGAATGAATTATTTTGTGTTAATTCTGCTATGAGATTAGCAGATTTTGATCTTATTCCATCATGCAATGAATTTAAACATAATCCCAAAATGGAAAATCCACCAATCTTGTAAAAATCATTTGCCACATCCATGCTGCTTGTCCAATCGGCTAACCTTTCAAGTGCATCTTCATACTTTGATGAATCATCCTCATTCCTCAAATCAACTACATTTTGAAGCAATAGAAGATCCTTTTGAAGCTCTTCCATTACATTTACTGTCAAAGAAGAAAATGCCTTTCTCAAGAAGTCTTTACTCTGTAGTAAAATAATTAAATATTAACAATAAGAAATAGTTTTAATAAAAAAAATTAAAACATCCACTCATACAGCTTTGTCCATTGGTTGAAATCCTGATACAGTTGGTGCATCTTCAGATTTTGTTGCCTCCATAGCAAATTTTAATAGTCCTTGTAAATTGTGAGGCTGTCTTGGTTGATTTGGAACAACTTGTATTTGATTTGCACTGGGTGTTCTAGAAGCTTCTATCGATAAAGGCCTAGCATTGCTACTTGCATTGCTGCTGTTCTGGCCTAAATTACCTTTTGAATTACTATAATATGAAAAAATAATCTTAATGATTGTTCTTAACACTTTAATTGTTTAGATAATTTAACTCACTTATCCATTTTTGACGATTTTCGTGTTTTTCCTGAATGCGAATTACCCATCAAGAAAAAAAGAAATAAACGATTAGCGATTAAAAACCTTTTCAAAAATCATACCTTATTACTTGTGAAAATAGCAAGGTGTTAATGAGTAAGCACACCTGTTTTCGGAACCAAATTTGGAAAAGGTTACCCAGCCTCCGTGATATTTTGTCAGACGAGGTTATAGATAGTTGTATTCAATTCTCGGGTTTTGATTGCTCTACTGTGACACCTTTTACATTTAAGCTCTTTATACGCAGACAAACGTATATTCTAGGTTAAGTTGCGTCAGCATCTGTGCGGTCAGTCAAAAAGAACAGTGCAGCATAATCAATGAAACTGTTTCCTTATTGTAAAAAATTGAATTGAATTTTCAGAACATGATGATTTGACAATTAATTCTACGCTGAATAAAGATTATAATATTTTGACAGAAATTATGTAAAAGGCATGTAAATATGCAGAAAATTAATACTGTCTACTGTATACTAAAAATTAGTTTTATTATAAAATATGCTTAACTTAATACAATATATATACAGAACTTATACATATTATAATTAAATAACAGAATCTATTCTGTCCATCTATGCGTGCAGTGCTGATTTGTACAGACGTAATAAAGTCTCATCTCTTCTTCAGCTCGCCTAGTGGAAGCTTGGAAGAAAACTGCTTCTCGATGATTGCACTTTGGACATGGATGCTCTTCTGTTCTTGGCAAAGTTGGATCAGATATCACATCAGCCACAATGTGAGTCAATTCACTGAAACATTGATATAATTAAAAAAAGTTTTTCACAAAAAAGTGTACAAATGATATTTTGGTGATTGAAAAATACTTACTCAATTTCGTGCATAATTTTATTGACATAAATGCAGCTGCTCTCAGCAAGCGTTTTGAAATCACAATTTCTGCACTGTAAACAAAACTTAAAATGAGATAAAATGCAGAACCTTCTCCTATTTCAAAGTAATAAAAGTCAAATAGAAATCAAATATAACCTCAAAACTCTTCTTCAAAGATTTTACAACTTTTATAGCAAGATGAAAATATTTCATACTCACAGCATACATCAAAACTTTATTTTCCTTATCTTCCTTAGGATACAACATGTTGTTGCATTCTTGACAGAATTTAATTCCAACAAAACCAGGTCCATCGTCGTGAGGAACATCATAATTTCCCATTCTCGACATCTTAACGAACGTTTACTTACTTTTATTTCTGTTCAAACAAAAACTAAGTAGCACTTGAAGCTTCAACTGTGAACATGGAATTGCACAAAACTTACATACAGCGTGGAATATTTCAGAATAAATATATTGAGTACCAATGAAACCCTAAAGCGTACATACAAACTCAAACAACAAATATACCTATACCTATACAGGGGCACCGCACGCTCGTACTTTAGGCCGCGTCACGTAACAAGGCGTCAGACTTCGGATTGCAGACCGGCGGAAGCAACCGAGCGTACAATCAATGCCAACCAAATGCCTCCTGTTTTGGAAAAATCAATCACGTATCTGTAATCGTGTGATAGTTGGTACCTTCGAAAATTAATAACTTTTATTTCCGTTCATGTATAGAGAAACAGCGACTTTTGTGTACATAGCTTAAGAATTATATACATTTATACATACAAAGCCAAGCTCAAGGTGAATTCCAAACACGCGCTCATGGTAGTTTTGCAATAACAAAGACAATGAACGTTGTGAATTCAACTAAACGGTCCTCTACCTTCCTCCATTGAATTACTACTTTTATAAATACCAATGAAGAAGCTAAATCAAGCGATGAAAAATATCACTTTCCATTCTAACCGATACAAAAACGCCAATTCTCTCAATTCCTTATTTGAAATTGCAATTTTGCATGGAGATTTCGCAAGGTTCTAAAAATACGAGAACATACTCGAGGAAGAGAAAAACAGCGTTGGCAATGGTAATAAAATGGTCTTGCTGGGCGTTGTTGGTTTCTCGTCTGTCGCGCGACGCCCCGTTATAAAGTTTATCGCTTTTGCATAAAGTATTGATTATACATTTGATTCTCAAGTGTTCGCCTATTGTATTGATTTTGCTATTAACATTCGGGAGACTAGCCGGGGCTACCACCACACCCAAGTCACCCCCCTTTTAAAATAAAAAAAAAATGCCGAAAAGAATCAATCCTCCCCCTCTCGCTGTCAAACGCACATCGGCGGCACGCCGTATAACCCCCCCTTCCCCATTGAGTTGGCTACAACACCGCGTGGCTTTACAAGTCCTCGTGGCTTACAATGTTTTCGCGTTACATGTGCGGGCCACGCTTGTAAAAGTGCATATCCGCGCCTGCGAGGTGGCGAGGCGCGGCGAGGGGAGGGAGGCCGCGACGGGCGTGCGCACGCGCGTCCCCGTGAGCCAGCAGCCGCGCAGACTCTTCTCTTCCCTATGATATTCTTCGCACAACATTCTCCAGGTAGACAAAACCGTCTTGCCGTCGCCTTCGCCAGCCTCCACTCGCTCTCGCCTGCCAATTTTCGCCGAGGTTACTCTGCTCTGACCGTCGCCGATCAACGGTGCATCCTCGGAGGCGAAGCAGCAAGAAGCCACCCCGCAGCACGGGATAAGGCGCCAAACAGCCAGCGAGAGTCTTACTTAGCGCTGCCAAGGAGAACCGCGGCGCGGAGACATGGCCGTGTGAAAGAAAAACATTAAGTCAATATTGCTGTTTTTCGCGATTATGGAATGCTACGCCATTCTGCAATAGATCTACGCGCTTCCGACGGCGACTTGCAGGTACGTGCGCTGTTTTTTCGTACTCCGCTCGGAAAACAGGGCGATGTAACGCGTTGTAAGCTTACATTTTTAATCGAATTGCAAGCGAGCTTTGCAATTAATTCGAATTTTCTCACCTGCGCGAGAAATTTCTGGCTACCAAGGTTTATTGTCGACGGATATTTCGCTTGGACCGATGCTATTACTTGTCGTGACCTCGTCAGATATTCGTGCAAAGTATTGACGCAGGTTGCCGCACAACAACAATTCGTCAGAAAGTAGCTTTCGAGCTTTCACGCCCTCAAAAATTCAAATGACCATGTAACGTTACATCGATGTAACGCGCGATGCAAGTGCGCGCTCGTCGCTAGGAACATTGGAAAAGTAGCGTTGACAGCGTTTAGATGACGCTCGGCTGGCAATATTAATGTAAACAAAATCAATAGTTGCGCAATTTGCCGTGGAGCTTGCATTGATTTTAAATAAAAAAGCCGCGTCGTAGGCGGTGTCTGTCGCGCCTGTATCTCGAGCCAGCTGCGCTCGCGCTCTTTCATGTCGAGCAGACTCGGGGATTCGAGACTCGCGTTGAATGACGATGAAATCGCGAACGAGCTGTGGAAGAAGGTGCGATGGAAGAAAGTGGGTAAAAGTCATGAAAATAAAGCACGCGGAAGTCATGTGGGCGAATCGAGTCGACCACTCCCCCCCTCGAGGCATTTTGAAAAATGGCGCGTCCGCTCGACGGCGGCGACACACATCCGCTAGGGCTCGATTTCCGCGTCGTGTTGCGCGCGCATCCCGCGCACGCGCCCCTCACATTTTGCACCTCTCTCTCGCACTCCCGTCCAGACTCCATAGTGAGTTCGTGCCGGCGGCGTCTGCGCTAGTTTGGCTATAGTAGTCGTAGAGGCGGTCATCGGATCGTCGTATCGTCGTCATTGTCGCGTGCGTTCAAGAGTTCCCTCCGTTGTCGAACAGAGCAAAGAAAGAAGCTCGTCTCCTGTGAGAAGACAAGAAAAGCCGCGCGCGAAAAGTGCTCTTTAAGGAGTGTGTCAATTGTCAACGACTAGTGAACAAGTGGATTGAATAAACGACAGCCGCCAAACTGGACGCCGTAAGTAGCTTGAGCGTCGTTTCCTTCGGAACGCGCGTGCAGTTCATTCTCCTCTCGTCGTGGCTCTATGAGCGACCCGGCTCTGTGTGCGTGTGCCATCTCCGTGTATACGTAATACGTATGTATGCTGGAAGTCCAAGCGCGTGTTTACGTGTTGTGGGGGGGTGATGGCCCCTCGTGTCAGCCAGCGGCGGCTCACACATAGCTCTGGTTACCGAGAGCACAGCGTCTTTGCAGCTATCTCTCGTTAAGTCGGCACATGTCGTCGGCCACATTTTTTTCGCCCACGTGCCGCCGCCGCCGCTGCCGCCGGCGAAACTTGCGGCTCGCCGTAATTGCCGCTACCGCGGATCGCATAAAGGGATTTCAAATCCGATCTTTTTATACGGACGCTCTCCGTCTCATTCGAGGGTTATTACCAATATACGTAAAACGCCATATTGCGCTCGAGAGCGCGCAGAAGGCGCGGTGGGGAGAGGTTTTTCGGAGCAATGGGTATAAATTTATACGCGCGCGGGAGGAAGCGCGCGAGAGCGAGACGGAGCGATTTAACCCCGTATGACTCTCTTTATTGCGTCGCGTCGCCAAGTGAAAAGACGGCCGCCGCCGCCGATCGATCTTTCTCTCGACGCGAAAGAGAGAGAGAGAGAGAGAGAGAGAGAGACAGCGAGACTGAGTGAGTGAGAAGGACAGAGAGAAAAGCGGAGGAGGCACTTTTCTGTTTGCTTCCTTTGTTTACCTCGAAAATTGAGCCTATACCTAGCTTGCTTTATTTATATTAATCGTGTAGAGATGTGTTAGTCAGAGAAGGAAGGAGCAGCTGGTCGAAAGGGAATGCGGGGGGAGAAACAGAAAGAGAGAGAGAGACAGGCAGAGAGAAGGACGAAGCATAGACCGCTGCTTTTCGAGCGTTATATTATTTTACCACTGGTCGCTCTTTCTCTCTGTGGATTATTTTTGTTGCGTCACGAGCAGCACGATGCTTTGTTGCTAAGATGGAAGGTTTTAGTTTTCGAAAATGGACGGCGCTTTACACTATTTCCGGATCAATGTTTTTTTTACTTTCATTTCTACGTTTCTCCGGCTTTCGCTCCGATCTGCCCCTTCGCGATTATTATATTTTCAGATTTCGGCGTCGCAGTCAATTTTGCATATACGCTTACTCCATTTTGGGAATAAATTGAAATCAAACGTTTTTCAATTGATTGAACAGTTAAACTGAACGTTCGTTTGCAGACTCACAAAGTGTCGTGTAAAGACGAGTTATTTGCAAACGTAGCGGATTACATAAAAACTCGACGACGCTCTTTGTCAAATATTTGAAAAACGAAATTGTACGTGCGATGGCGGCGGCTCAACGCACCGAAATATTAATTAACGCGGTTGAATCGATAGATCGCGGCGTTCGTACGCTCTCGCTGTGAACGAACATACGAGAGACCTACGGGAAAAAACGGGTTCTATATATGTATGTGAGCCTAGCGCGCGCGGCAGACGCACATGGAAAAATAAAAGGCGTCTTTCTCGCTCTCCATAAAACAGAGGAGAGAGAGAACAGAGTACATTCCCCGGCCGCGACTGATTTTCCAGAGCGAAGACCTGTTCACGCGTGCGGGGTTAATATTACAGCCGTGGTGGCGGAGGCAGCGCATTATGTCCTCTCTCTCTCTCTCTCTCTCTCTCTCTCTCTCTCTCTCTCTCTCTCTCTCTCTCTCTCTCTCTCTCTCTCTCTCTCTCTCTCTCTCTCTCTCTCTCTTTCTCTCTCGTCCGATGGCATCTCTCACGAGATCTTTTTTTCCTTTAAGAGACGCGCTCACGAGCAAACAAAGCCGGCACAGGATTTTGTTGTACGAGCGGTTTTAATGATTGACGCGCGCTGACGTCATTCTAATGCCTCTCTTTTTTTCTTTTTCTCGAAATCTTTTATATTCTACACATAAGAGTGTGTACGAATGTGCGATGGTTTTTGAATTTTTGACTAGTTGTTAACGGGATGGAAACTTTTTAAAGTTTTCCGAAAGGTTAGGCTTATTAGTGCGCGTGTACAAGTGAGTTTTTCGTAGCGCGTGAGGCGTGGATGGAGATTTCAGAGTAGGGCGGATGCGGCTCTCCGTATGTGTGTGTGTGTTTGTGTATGTCTGTATATGTTTAACGACTTTCGAATGGTTATAACCTAAAATTTTTTTTAACCATCGCACAGTACGCCATGGTCTTTGAACTTTCGGCGTGGCGTTGTTAGCGTTGTTTTATTAGTGTGTGCGTGCGTGTGACTATCGCTCTCAAGCATTTGCCCGTTATACAATTTTTCGTTCGTAAATCATCGTTGTCATCGGTGGATTTGATATAATCGTCGATCTGAAATACTTCTCATGGAGATATTTTCACAAGAGATCCACGTATCTGAGTGTTTTTTTCCAGTGTGTGACTAACGAACTTTGTAAAAAGTAACGAGAATTAATTATTTATAAAAACGTGATTCTATTTTACTTCTTAAATAATTGTATTAAAATTCAAATTAACAACGCGTGTGAAATACTTTTTGCGTCAAACGATCTATTAATAACTCACTGACCAAACGCGGTTTAAAAGCGAATATGGTGTGTGGAGAGAAATTTTCGCGAGACGAATGCGATAATCCTGGCAATTGGTAATTGTGCTTGCAGTTAAACTCAGACTCGTTCATCGACGACGGCATAATGGACTCAGGCTCGGGTTCATCGTCCAACGCCGCTGCACAGCAGCAACAGCAGCAGCAACAGGCGTCCTATCCGGGTGGCGATCGGCAGCAGTTCTGTGTGTCGTGGAATTCGCATCAGTCGAACATGCACAGCGCCTTCCCAAAGCTCCTCAGCAGCGAGCAATTCGTCGACGTAACGTTGGCTTGCGATGGCGGTTCCATCAAGTGTCATAAGGTCGTTTTGTCGGCCTGCAGTGACTATCTCGAGCGTCTTCTCCTCGAGTTGCCCTGCCAGCATCCCATCATTTTCCTCAGGGACATGCGGATGTGGGAGCTGCAGGCTCTCGTCGAATTCATGTATCGGGGTGAAGTCTATGTAGAGCAACAGCAACTAGCCAAACTAATGCAAGCTGCCGAGGCTCTACAGGTACGTTTCCTTTGGTTTTCTGCTTCGCACCTGCTTGCCTTTTCTTTCTCCAGATCAAATGTTCGCCGGAGATTCGCCTTTCGCGACGAAACATCGAGAAAAAGAAAACGTTCTAGTTCGACGTAATTTTTGTTTTAACGCTCTTTATCGCGCTCGCTTGTATTTATTCTTGAAAAGATAACGTAAGTTATCAATTTATTTAAAAGCGTGTTGAAATAGCCGAACCACTATTACACTTTGACGCAGCACGATAATGTGATTAATCTTTTTTCTTTACGCAATTGATGATTTTACATTATGGCTCATATTCTATTCAATTATTCTAATGTCTCTCGTGATAGAAATTTATTCTTGAATTGAATACGAAAAATCTAATCAAACGTGACCAACTATTTGAATAGAAAAATTTTGAACTTAAAAATAGTTTCATGTAGAAATTCGAGATAAGCGAAGCACCTAGACGCCACTCAAATGGTAATGCTGAGCTATAGAACAATTCAAAATTTAAAATGGCCGCCTCAACATGGCGTGCTTAAATAATGCTATTAAGGCGATTTCATATGGCATTTCTCGCGACGTCATTTTTTCTCTTTTATTTTTGACTTTCTCCTTTCGCCATTCGGATTATTCCGGCTTTTTCTTTCGAGCTCAATTGTGATTCGACCTGATTCACGCTGTGCTAATATTTATTTATTAATATATCGTCACTGTCAAAACTTCACGTTGGTAAATTGATTTTTATTCATCGAGTCTTGAATTTTAATTGACTGATACGGTGTTCGCCGGCAGATAAGCTCTGTCGCCTGTGTAAATTAAATTTTAACATGGAAGTAACTGACACATTTTTTCCACAGGTCCGTGGTCTGTCAACCCAAGGTCGAGATAGCAATGGTGCCGAGAGTTCGACGTCAATGAATGCAAACTCAACCCCCATGAAGCCTTCGCCAACCAAACCAACTACCACTTCCTCGGCAGCGTCTTCCGTAGGCAATCCTGACTTTGTCCAGTGCGACGACAACCAATCGAACGACGATGGCTCGGAGAACGATTTCCTCGGCAGCAGCGGCCTCTCGACAAGCTTACCGCCAAATCTCACAGCCACACCGGTCGGTCCTCAGGAGAATAATCCGCTGAGCGCGACCAACTTCATGAACATGGAGCACAGCGAGGCACTGCATCATTTGGAAAAGGCGTTGAGCGCTTGCGAAGCCACCCTGACCGAGACGACTGGTATGGTCAAGATGGAGCCCGATGAGCACCAAATGATGCAGCATCATGAGAAACCGTACTCTATTAGCGCCGTGCCGGCCGGCAACTGCGGTCCTGGTAGTCCCTTTCCCGCTATCGAAGGTACCGCTCGCACGTTTATTTTTCAATTATACTCATTCATCGAGTCCGAAAATCTGGGAGAATATATGTATATGTGTGTGTGTGTGTGTGTGTGTGTATATATATATATATCGCGACAATAAATGTGGGATCCAGAAGTGAAATTAATGTAATGTTCGTGGGAACATTATATTAACAGGTTACCAGAGACGGCAGCGAAGATCAGAAGCTGAGCTGAAGCAAGCCTCAGATCTGGTAGCGCGCGGCATGACCTTCCAAGTGGCCTCGGAAAAGTACAACATCCCTATCAGCACGATCCGCTTTTACATGGCACGTAAGGGCATTTTACAGAGGCGAAAACGTGGCCGAGGCTCTAGCCAAGTCGGCGGAGCGAATAGCCAGCCGTCATCACCAGCGTCGCCGCCCTTCCATATGATGAACTTTCGCCTACCCGAGAGTCTCAACTCAAGCCTGCAGTAGTGGTTGTAAGTTGTAGACCACCGCGTAATCATCTCTGATGTCGCACTTTATAGAGCTGTTTCGAAGACGACCGCGCGCTTCCTCCTCATTCTCCTCCCGAAAGCGAGAGCGAGTTTTTTCAACGGCAACAAACAATTCAAGCATACCTTCCGAATTTTCTTCTTCCACATGCGCGCCATGCGACACGCGCTGCTCTCGATGATTCGATAATTATGTGCGTTTGTATGACTTTTGTATTTCTACCAATTTTTTTTCTCTGCCTACTGCTATTAGTACTCCCCAATGTGTTTACGTGCGATCCCTTTTTTTTTATTACTGCTACTTACACATCGCGCTCTGGCTGATTATAGCTCTTTGTACCCTCTATTATACGCAACTTTTTTTAAGTGTACTTTTTAAGCGTATTTGACATCTCCTATTATTATTTGTATTATTTACGTAAGCGCGCGTGACTCTCCCGTGAGAGAGAGAGGCACTCGAGAACATGACTTTTTACGTATAAACAAAAACACAAATTACTAGCAAAAAATGTAGTTTTACCTCGAGTCTAGAACAGCTCTACGCCCATGTATATATGAACGATTATATGTATGAAACAAAACAAAAAAGTAAGATGATGATGCAAATTGTACAAGAGAGAGAGATGAATACCGCGTTTTAGGTTGGCAGTCGCGCAGCACGAGGCAATCAATGCTTACTCTCTATCAACTATAGGGCCACTCGAAATGCGAATTTGAGTGCTCGATCGCGATTTCGAGGTCAATGCTTTATGTATTTTCCTCCTTGTTTTTTTATATACTACTTCGTTATTTTATATCCTTATCAGTAATTGTCATGAACTCGTATATACTCGCGACCATGTACGTATTATTGTCCGCTCTCACGCATATACGCATCCTAAGACTTATATTTTATTTATTGCTCATACTTGCGCCAATCATCCATCACCTTTAGACAATGTAACTCTGCCATTACACACACACACACACACACATACACACACGCGCGCGCGCACACACACGAACACGAACACATAAAGATCTCGCGATATAAATGCTAATTTTTGTTCGCATATGGTTGAAATCGAACGAAAAAAATCTCAATTAAGAGGCATTACGGTTCCCTCGTGCTGGCGAACTTTTGCAAAAGCGGCTATACGAAAGAAACAAAAGATGAAGAAAAAAAGAAAACCTATGACGTTAGGCTCCGTATATATTTTTTTTCTTCTGTTGTGCTCTTTAGCCTAGTGACAGATGTTTACGGATAAGAGAAGAAGAAAAAATAAGTGTACTAACTAATGATTAAACAGTTTAAACACGAATGCAGTTATTGTGTAGGTGTTGCGAGTCCGGCAACTTTCAGTTTTTTTCGTGACGCGCGTGCTCATTTTTTATTATTATAATATTATTATTATTATTATTATTATTATTATTATTATTATTAATTACGTGCGCCTATCTATTATTATATTATTATTAATTAATTAATCAACTATTATTATAATCATTTTGTAAGATATATATTATGATTGTGTGTCCACTGGTACAATGCGCGTGGGCCGATTTCACAAAACGTTCTTCAAGTTCCTGCTCGACTCGAGGCTCTCACACTTTGTCACGATGGACAGTCTCTGTGTATTTAATCATAATTTTTCTTTCTTTTTTTTTTTAATCGATTTATTTTTCGTTTTTCAGTAACGAATGTACAACAACAGAGAGAAATTTTTGGCTATGCATTTTTTTTTCTGAGTAAATCTACGTACGACATTTTTGTAATGACTGTAGAGTAACGACGATACCTCCTCACTTTATGTTTGTAGGTCGCGTCTTCTAGCCTCGTATTGTCCTCTCTAGCATAGATATTTTTGTAGCGAAACGTTTACACAGTTCGAAGGCGCCAAAAACCGTTGTAATATGTCGCGTGGATTATCAAAAAAAAAGTAGCAAAGCCGAGTATTTCTCGTCGACCTTTTTTTATGATGCGAATATTTGTATTTCCGGAGAAACTACACCCTTGTTCGTTTCTTTACTTGTCTTTTTTCGAGATTTTATTCTGAGGTAATCAATAATAAAGCAAAGCAACAAACAATGATTAGCGCATTTAGGGCTTAAATGTGAATATCCACGTGCGTACTAATATATTTTAAGCAGATAGTCTGTTTATGGCGTATCTTTTTTTTGTATGGAATTACCAAAACAAAAGTGAATGAAAGATAAAGAAAGTGAAAAAAATGCAAATCCTGGGAGTTAAAGTCATTGTCAAACTTGTATGCAGAATCAAAGTCAAGTTAATAACAAAAAGCAAAAAACAAGTATAACAGCAAAGGTCTAAAGAATGAAATGATAATGAAACCACTGAATCCTCTTGAATATGAGTGCATAACGAGAAACGTTGAATTTTGTCATAGCAAAGAGAAATGCAACGCAACACTCGGAGTCTGCCTATATTAATATACAGCTTCGGAAAAGATAACACGAGTAAAGTAGAATTACCGATGCTTTTATCATATTTAGTGTACAAAAGTAACAAACAAACAATAATAAAAATAGTAATTAAACGCGAAGAAGAAAAAAGTGATGATAGTAAACGGGGGAGTTATTGTAAAAGTAGGAAACAGACAAAAATATATAAAGTAAGCAGTATATAATGAAAGCTGATCTTAGAGACACGTTTGCCGCGTTTTTGCGTCGCGGCGCACTGCCTTTTCTTTGAAATGATTCTCACAATGAACAAAAACATGACAAAACAAAATAAAGGAGCTGAAGTGGCGTCCCTCCCCCCTCTTGTTATAAACGTAAAATAGCCTCGTTCAAAAAAATAAAAGAAAAAAAATAAGAATAGCCATATTTTTCCATAATCGACGCAATAATCAAGCAGAGTACACTGATTAAATGAAAAAAAGAAGAAAAGATATGAGAAAAACAAATAGCTGTTGGAAAGAGTGCCGAATACTGAGCATTCACCATTTGTAAACGTATACGTAGTGCGATTCAAGGATACCTGTGCTGTCCTATTTTTTAACATACTTTCTAGTAGTTTCGAAGAGATTTGCATTTTTTTTTGTTTAAGTATAGTCTGGTCTGTTTATTACACTACCTATTATTTTCTAAGTGTAATCATCCTTTAAAGCTAGGTTTTTGCGTTCGGAAAGAACATCGTCGTCGCCACGTGCTATTTAAACGGCATTTTGTCCTATAAGTTCATGTAATGATCCTGTCCTCGCGCGAGCATGAAACCATTGCCTAAAGCCGATAATAATGATAAAAAGATACTTTGCTACTCATTGTATATAGCACTCTTTCCGTAACGCCCCTAAGGTAAATAAATCATTGTTCTTAAGAGTTCCAGTTGACAAAGGATTTTATACAGAAATCTATATCTAAACCAGTATTTCAAACCAATGATGAAGCGGTAATGAAGTAAAAGAAAAAAAAAGAGATAATTAGTTTTCTAAACCCAAGCACCGGTGGCGCGTTTTACGTGGAGATGAATTAAAAGAAAAGTAAATAAAAATGGGAGGCCAATGTGAAGTTTGAAGGGAAAGAAATGACGAACTTGGCTCAGAGTGCTTAAGCCAGTATAATGCTCAGTGTTATTTAACGTTATATTTTTAGTGAAAACTCCGTGTCATACTCATGTACTATAATATTATATATTGATTATGTAATCCCCCCCTCCCGAGACGAAAGCAGAGGACGAGATTTTGAAAAAAAAGCGAGAGTACGAGAATTGAACGAACAACAATCAATCAAAGGTGGATACTTAAGTAGCTTCTATCTTAGTGGATAGGCTTTTAGCCACTTTGCGAGGCAGATAAATGAAATAAAATAACGACGTAAGATTAAGTTTCCTTACTAGCTACACATACAATTACCCCAAGGCTCACCTTTCATAATTTGTTTTTTCTTACACGTAGCTCTAGCATTTGTATCGGTGGTATTATTAATTTGTAGATAGAATTCGAATTGTAACGCAGTGCCGATTGCAAGCTCTCTGCCAAACGTTAAGGTTCAACTCCGAAAGCGTCCAGAGAGCGAGCTTTTCCGAGCACCACATCATTTTTCTTCTTTTTCGTTCACATTTTGTATTTATACGTTTAAAAATACATATAATGCGCAGCTTGTCGATTTTTTGTACATTGATCTGAATTTACACACAAGTTGAACACAAGAGCGAGCGATTTGCGCGAACAAAAAAAAAAGAGAAAGAGACATCATGTTCATCCCTTTCTTCGGAATAAGTGTTAAATTTAAAACTTCTTTTTTCCTCAACAAACTGCGCGGCACTTTTAAAGGCGTTCGATAAAGAAAAAAAAAACGATTTTCCAGGTCCTAAGAGAAAGAAAACGATTAAAAAACAAAACTGTGCGTATGCGAGTGTGTAACTGTACGAGTGAGGCATATATAGAAGCAGAGTCTCTTTTCTGTATTTTAGAGATGTCGAAATGAGTAAAAAAAAATAGGTTACTTCTGCGAGTGTACGAGAGTGAGCGCGACTTGTGTGTATAAAAAAATATAAGAATTTTAATGACGACAAGAGTCGGAAATGACAAAGAAAGTTGATTAAAGATGGAGAAAACACGAGATTCAGATGAAGGCGGAGCTGTGCTTCTGAGTGAGGACAAAAGCTGTGCGGAGTAAGAGAGAGAGATAAAACTTTACGTTTGGGAGAATTTCACGTTGAAATAGATAAATGAATCAATAGTCAGACGATATTGTAAGTTGCCTTGATAGGTGAATCATTCCACAACGATGTAATAAAAAAAGCAAAGAGAAATATTGTAAGAAGTTTTTGCCAGTTTGCCCCTGGTCAGAGTACAGAGAAGCAACCTCGTGAAATTGAAGAACGATCTCCGTGCCGTTTTGTCCTGGCTTTTTGTTCAAACTCTCAGAAGCATTGCGAGAGTCCCGTTTATAAGGTGCAGCGCATGTACATGTATATGGAATGGGAAACGAGCGAAAGAGAGAGAGAGAGAGAGAGTGAGAGAGAGGACATTATTCGAATGAACGACAACAACAGCAAAATTACGTTTTTAATTTTAAGCTCGTCTAAGACAATGTGTTTAGCGACAAGAGAATAAAGAAAACAAAACAAGCATGCTTCTAGGTAGAGACTTAGGGAGAAAAAACAACCACGCTATACAACAATAATTAATCTAATTACCAATTAATTACGTGCGTAAGGCATTTAAACTGACAAAAATGCAAAGTATTTCTTAATAAAAAGTACTTCGGAAACCAAAACCATGCTCGAGAGCCGAAACGTTCTCTGTGTCTTTCTTTATCACTGATGCATCGACGAACTTGCTCTTCCATTGTGTACACCATTTTAATATCCGTTTCCTGGCCTGTAGTTCCTTCAGAAGCGACTTTATTACTATTATTATTATTATTATTATTATTATTATTATTATTATTATTATTATTATTATTGTTTTATCCTTCTTATCCTCCTTTTTAATTGTAGTACACGTATACGCACACATGAGTTTGTATTTTGTCCATATTACTATCATTGGACGAAGATAGCGATTCGTATGTTTCTTTATATTTTTATTCATAAGAACTGGTAGTTCGTAGGTAGTGTGTAACTATTCTATTTATACCACGAGCAGTTTTGTTTCAATCAAAAGATAAACAATCTACTTTTAATAAGCATTCAATTTGATAGATTGTAATTTATTAAACGAGGTGGCATTCAAATAAATTATTTTATTTACACCAAGTTAGATCTAGTTCTTTGTTTTTTTACATTTCGTTCTGCTTAATTTACTGCTTTTATATTTATTTAATTACTTATTTTTGCTTGATCTGCAAATAGAATACCTGCTTTTCCAGCTCGTGAGAAATAGTTCAACGTAATTTTGTTCTTTGTGATTTTATTGCAAATGCTGCTGTATGGTGGAGGAGGTTTATTTTAGAAAATTATCACGGATATGACGTAAATCGTGCAAACAGCGATTCCTAGTAAATCCCTTTTGTTATATTTTCTCAAGAATCACAATTTATAAAAGAAGAAGAAACTCGCCAAACCCGTGTTTGCGCCAGGTAACGAAAGAAGAAAAAGCAGAAAAGAAAAGAAGCGAAACATTGGCACGATTCCGCGCCGATAAATCAGCGAGTAAGGTGGCGAGCGGCGCCTAATTATAAAGCAGCTGCAGTGGCGATTACGCCCGTCTTCGGCTCATCGATTATCGCGCGACTTCCGTGCGTGCAACCGGGAAAGAAAAAGGGAGGAGTGAGCGAGCGTCGACCTTGGTGGCCTTGGCGAATGCACGCCGCTGCCCACAATACAATCACGACAAATCTCAAAACCTGCTTATTTTACACCATAAAAAAAAGTAAAAATTTCACAGTAAAAGAGTCTGTGTTCTTGAGAACTTTGTTATAACTCTGTTTATTTGCTAGAATTTCGCGATAGAGATATGGCCGAATCAGGCAGATCAATCTGCATCTGATTTTTGACAAATTAAAATTTCAAAAATAATTGGCATTTACATTTTATTAAAGTCAGCAAAAACTTATAGAAAAACTTAAAAGTATGTAAAACCCTTAAAAAAGTCTAAAAATGTGTAATGAACAAAAAGAAAATTGACAGGTTCCGAATCAAACGTTTGAGAATCGCGAAAGATTTTAAAAATAACTACATATTACAAATTATATAGCATAGAAGGTTTGAATGTTGGAAAACCATTCAATCATTGTTCCCATACCTAACATACGACTAGTAAGTTTAGGAACATTTTGAATAATAATTTGCTACATAAAAAATGCAAAAATCAACGATGATTTCGAGCTGTTAGATTAGTTGTGATATGAAATCTTATACTGATGATAACTTTTTCAACAACGTTATTATAAATGTTTTGAAAAAATCATCGAAAGGAAGACACATTAAATTTTCTTTATTAACAATTTATTTATAGCATGAAGGTAAATGAAGTTAAATATTATACAACGAAATAATGAGCGATCTGATTGAAAAAAATACATTGTAGAAAGTTATTAAAAAAAATTTATAATAGATGGAGGGCGATATACAACTAATTGAATTTTACTATAAAAAGATGTTACCATAGTGAATAATTTTGAAATTATTTGAGAAAATGTATTGATATAAACAGTTGCTTAAAGCTATCAATTACGAAAGAGAACAGGACGATTGGGGAACACCGATATTTCTGTATTCTTCCGTTGACTTCAACTTTTGAAGAATACTTTCTAATTTTGTATTAACGATTTCAGCGAAATAGGGATTGTCCTCTGAAATGTCCTTTACCGCTTCGCTAACTTTCGTCGTGAACTCATAATCGATGACGTGGTCGACTATGAAGTCTTCGTTAGCGATCATCAGGTCGAACAGTGTCAACGAATCGGTTATCGTAGCAGCTTTCATTTTTTGGATGTGATTTTTACAATGCGTAAACTGGTTTCGCAAACCTCCCAAAGACATGATTCTGCGGAAAACGAGGTCCGTGATATTCTCTCCTCGCGCGTTATCCAGCACAAGCTGGGAGAGCAGCAGCTTCGCAACTCTAAGCTTAATCTTTCTCAGAAACAAATCAAAGATGGTCACTCGTTTTTTCAGCACTTTGCTGATCTCGAACTCGTGTTGAACGTTCGCGCCCCGCTGCAGCAGCAGCTTGACAACGCCAGCCGAGACCTTCCCAGGCTTGCCTTTCCGAAAGGCGAGATTAACGGCGTACAGGAGGGCCGTCTCGCTGTGATTGTTTGCAGCGTTGACATCAACACCTCTGTCTAGCAGGAATTCGATGTTACTTAGATGGCTTTTGCAAGCGATGGCAACCATCAGTAAGGTATCGCCCTGCTCGTCGCGATTGTCTACCTCGAATGGTTCCTTCCCGAGTACGGCCATGACACCGGGATTGGTGTTCTTCGCCAGCAAGAATGTACCTAATTTGCCGGTTGGTACCGCACTGATGTCATACAGCACTATTCTCACCACCTGCTGTGGCGCGCGAGCGATCAAGTGCACTGCCGGCACGATGCTATCCGGCCGATCGGCTAACTTGCCCAACTGAGCCCCGCAGCTGATCAACCTGTGCAGCATCATGAGCGCAATTCGGGAGCTTTTCAAGCAATTGTAGTAGCACAGCGGCGTCCGCGCAGCCGAGTCCATCGCGTTGACGTCCACGCCTTGACGCAGCAGATAGCAAACGGACCGTGCGTGCGTTGCCTGCACAGCCCCGTGCAAAGCTGTGCGCTGTGTGCGAGGATCGGCAGTATTTAGGCTATAGCCTCTTTGGCGGTACATCCTCAATGCCTTCGTACGCCTGATCATCATGATGGCGAGGTCAAGCGAGCAGTCCGCCTCGAGGAGCTTACTCACGGTATTTCGCGGGTCGTCGTAAAAATCCTTGTTGACCTTGCGAGAGAACAGCTTCAGAATCCGGCGATCGGTCTCGCCTGGCTCTTCTTTCATTACGATGCTCGTGTGCACTCTCTTCAGCAGACAATCCCCGTGCTCCGTGCTGTAGATATCGGCCTTCGCCTCGAGAAGCACTTTGACTGCGAGCACGTGATCGAACTGCACAGCCAGTGCCAAAGGGCTGAGGTGGTGTTTGCACAGGGCGTCAATCTCGAATCCCATGTCGATCAAGTGCTGGATCATCTGCACGTTTCCGTATCTCGCAGCGATGTGCAGCAACGTTCTTCCCACGCTGTTTCGCAGCGCGTTCGGATTTTCGATTCTAGCGAGGAACGCTTGAGCCTTGTCATTCTCTCCCCACGAGATGTGATGCAGAAGTTTGGTGTTGAAAAAACTCATACCGTCTGTTTCGTAAAGCTGCAACAAAAGATCAAATCACGGCGTTTTAAATCGGCCAACAGGTATTTTCTGAATTGAGGCGAGCAGCTAATGTTAGACACTGAATATAATTGACATTGAGATGTTATTGCTGATACTAATAATGGCACACTCGCCTGCTAGGCCAACGCGATTCAAGCAAACTAGTAAGCATACCGTGACTTTTATTCTTACCGATCAGTAAATGAAAATTTATATGTTTGCTATGCGCTACTTTTATTTGTTAATTTTTGAACAGCGTTTGGAAATGGCAAAACGAAAACCACCGCAGTAATGTGCGCATACTACAACGGAGAAAGTTATCTAGATGAATTCAAGAAACCTTTGAGATGTATTGTCGCTCGTTTCAATCGGACGATAATTTACGAATGGTCTTTGTCTCACATGTTATAATTTTATAGAAAATGTTAAATAATTCAGTTGTTTAAGATGTAATGGTGCCGTGTAATTGTTCAATAAATTTTGATGGCAATTGAAAAATAACAGTTCGTTGTCAATTATATTATATTGTTAATTATAACATACGTGTAATCTCTATATATATATATATATATATATATATATATATATATATATATATATATATATGTAAAGCATCAAAAATTGTTCGAATCAAGAGGTACATCCAATGGTTAATAGTGAAAAGTGAAAGTTTTCTTCATTGACTTATCTAATAAATCATTCTAATAAAGACATCTTCTTGAAGATTTTTTATCTGGAAGTACTCGAAACATGCTTATAAATTTTCTCGATAGCAAGCTTAAAAACCTCAAATATACTCCGCGGAAAGTCAATGTTAATTAACGTAATACGTTACGTATTGAAAATATTTACCACTCTGTAAGATCCTGAGCGTCCTGCGAGTGAACGAATATTACATTTCCTAACTAACGCGGGAAAGTAAATTGTTGTCTCGAGTGTGATTTGCATCTAAGCGGAACCGGGGTGTAAATCTATAGTAAATAGCTAGGAGCTGGTCGGATAGCAGTCAGCAGCTGGCCGAGGGCGTAGCCCATAACTATGAATGCAACTATTACCTATTTTAGCTCGGCGTTCGTCTACCTATTGGAACTCGAGAATTTGCTCACCTCTGTGCAGGACAGATGTTTGAGATATGGGGAATACGGGGAATGCTATAGTCGGAAGGCTCGCAGAGATGTTGGATAGCGAGAGAAAATGTTTATAATGGAAAAGTGGGGGCGGAAGGACCATCGGCTTGATTCTTTAATTTTCACGACTTTCAACAGCTAGTTAGTTAGCCAGCTTTAAATAGCATTCAGCTGGACTACTCGCATTTTTATCGCTTCAAAAACGAGAATGATCGTTATATACATATATATGTATGCATGCATATATATATATATATTTTTTTTTCAATTCACAAAAATTTCAGCTGATAATGCCTGAATGCTGGTACACGGAAAAAAATTAATTAAAACCCTGAATACACAGACCTACGCTGCACAAGCGCCATCCGAAGATGTTTAACAAAGCTACAGCACACTCTCTTATCTCCAAAAATTGATAAAAGGAATATAGAAAGATGTATGTGTATATATATACACATAAAGCGAGAAAGGAAGCGAGAGGTATCGTTGGCAGCAAAAAGCACGCACTATAGTTCGTTATACCGTTAGCATGATTTTCCTCATAAATATAAACGTCCAGTCGTGATTGAATACGGCTAAACGCCACAGTAACTATATGGGAGTACTACCACCATTGTAAATTGCCGAATGTTAGGCATTTAGGACAGAGAGTCAATATTAATGCAGGAGCTATATGTTAACTCTTAACAAACAAGTACATTTATTATTTTCAAAGAAATATTCAAGGTAAAATGTCATTCAACATCGGAAATTAGCAAACAAGGTAGTTTCAAACCGCCTTTCAAAATTACAATTTTTCGACAAATGCATTTGACGAAAAAATTAGTAAGGATATGCCCAAAAATTTATATAAATTGGACAAACCATTTTGTTTTTTTAATAATTTTAAGAAGAAACTATTTATGAGCAATACTGAAAAAGTTTGGAAACAGAAAGTCAAAATGCGTCAAAAAACGCCTGGAAAATTCATGAGCATCAATCGCTCACGAAAAATTTTCTAGGCTAAAAATAGCTCAGAGCCCTTGAGGGTTTTCTGTAACCATGGAAACCATACCTGCAGTCTCCGTGGTTATCTCGTAGTGAAGCTACGATGCGAACGCATTCCGGAGAAAAATAATATACCAATCAGTTGGAAATTGATTAAAACGGCCGAATATTACTATTCATAATTTACAAAGTGTGACGATGATTCATTGAAATATCGCGCGACCAAACACCACCGTGTACACATGCATTATTTAAAAAACTTCCTATTCCTTTGAATATAATCTAATACAATTCACTTACTGCCATCGCGGAAATTTGTTGTGAACATCAAATTTCAACTGGAAACAATGCCTGTGCAATAAAAACGTTCGGAATTGGGATGTTTCCTACCACGATGCGCCTTCGGAGCGAAAGCTGGAGGAAAACTGTAGTCGGAACTCAGACTGGCGGGAGAATTAAACAGACGATTGATATACGGATCGGTGTTCCTGACAAGAGTCCAACTGTACGTCATTCGAAATGCACGTCCGAGTTGCACCAATAGGGAGGGATTCTTAAACTTCCAAAACCCACGATGGGAGTTTCGATGAACACGAAGCTATGACTCGGTTGCACCGTCGGCAATGGCCCAGCCGTGACTCCAAAATCCCGAAAAGCAAGTCGTGGAGGGGCGAAAAATTACAATCCGTCCTTGTCTCACTCTTTTCGGAGCAGAGCGGAAAAGGAGGGGGAGGGGATGGGAACAAGCTAAGCAAGAGATTCGGATCTAAGAGAGTCGGAATGGCAGCGGAGAGAGCAGATGAAAACGTATAGTAGGCCCGATAGAGTTTTGGCCAGCCGTGGGATGGCGCTCGAATGCGCCCGAGAGCAGCTTTCGACTACAACTTTGCTTTTCTGCCAAGGCAATTCTCGTGAATAATTCTTTCGACGCCGAGCGCGCAGCTGGTCGCTTCACCTTGACCGCCTCGCCTTAATACCCTTACCTGTTCTTTAATCTATTCTACAGCTATTGTTAACAATTCTGCTATTTAAATATTTATTAAACTCGAATCGTCAAAATAGGACGATCAAATCTTGAGCCAAAACCGATTACGATACTATCCTCGACTCTCTTCGAAGGGAGACTAGTCGTAGTCTCAGATGTCATATCTTAAGAGCTTTATATAAAATATTGAAAATTAAATGGATTAGGGGATCAAACCAAGCTAAACAGCGAAAACTTACATTTTTCTTTGTTAGCTTTGTGCTCAAAATGTCAATCGTTTTTTTAAGTACGCGGAATAAGCCTTCCAAACTTACAACTTGCGACCAAGAAAATTAAGGCTTATTTCGAGTGTTTTAAAAAAAAGCTTTATGAAGCTATCTTTATTCTTAAAACAGTTTTTACAAGCCAACAAAGAAACCTTTCAATTTTCACTGTGTGAATCTCATAATAAATCATTACATTGTATCAGTAATATATAATTAACATCTCTATAGAGAATTAATAATCCCAATGTGCGCTAAACATTTATACAGACCTTATCAGATATACACCCAAGTTGGCCTTAAATGTAATAAAACTAAAAACAAAGTAATTGTATCTACATTATAATAACAATATTTACAGGACAAATATATTATTTATTTAGTAGCTCGATTCAATCTTTTATCCAATCTTCTATTTACTAATAGCCTTCGTTGAGTGTCGAAATACTATTTCGATCGCTATTTTAGGGTCAAAAATTTCTTCTTTAGAAAATTTCCTAGGTGGATGGGTTTTGGTCTCTTTGAAATAGATAACTAATATAATAACAATTAATTACTTCATTTACAGTCAAGTCTCGATTGTTAATTGTATTTCGTTACCTCTTCCTGGACATACAAATTTAGTTGTTTAGAGAGCACAACAAGCGATTTTATTATTCTTTCTTGTTCAATAACATTAAAATAATGCTAGATGCAAATGTAGGATTTTATAATTATAACCATGCTGCAGTACTAGGATAGTTATGGTATTTAAACCTTTTCAAAAAGCCATTGAAGTCGCTGCATGGTGTGTGTGTGTGTGTGTGTGTATGTGTATGCGCGGTAACATATGAAGTATGGATTTTACTCTTAACTATCGACTTGTAGTTTATAAACCAACATTACTATAAAATTTCTTGAACGATATAAATACAATTTCACAATATTTTCGTACATTTTCCCTTCTATCTTTATGTTTTTTTATATTGTTAATACATATAGTTTTTTTCACACGATCGCGGTATTTGTAAAGTAGGTTGCATCGAATATTTTTCTGGTGTTTTTATTCAATCAGTGCTAAATCATTCTCAAATAATTTAACATTCTTTAATTTTATTTTAGATGAAGTATATACTCACTGAGCAGTATTCAATGCAAAAATAGTGACTAATTTTTTAGTTAAAGTTTTCAGATTAAGTTTACGCTGTACACTTTCTAGATACTTTAATACAAAGAGACTCATATTTTGGTTTTTGCGATTTTTCATTTGATACTCCTGTACAAAACCTTTTAATATCTGAATCATTGGTTCTTTCTCTTGAACATATTAGTTTGAAAAATGAGAGATAAAAATTCTAATATCCCTTTAATTAATTTTTCTTGGCAATAATTCCACCACAACTTCAAAGTTTTGTTATATTAAGCTACTGTTGCTGGAGCTAAAGATAAAATCATGACATTTATTGTAGGTTCGGAAAATCCTTTTATTTCATATGCATTCCTAAATAACTACCCAGAAAACATAATTGCTACTAAAGCATTCGATTGCTCACTTTGGAAAGCAACTGAAAAATGAAGCAACCTCAAAAATTTTTACTTCCTATCCTAAAAACCGATAAGACATGGAGAAGAACGAACATCGATAAAGCTAATACATTTGTTAAATACCTCGAAATCGTATTTACCACGTCCGAACGTATTATAACAAAAGAAGAACTCACAATGTTAAATAGTAGATATATAAAAAACCAATATTGTAATACCGTATTTTTTTATGTAGCTCAAGCTTATGATAAAGTCTAGCACGAAGGCCTATTATATAAATTTAATACAATCATATCAAAAAATCTCTATCTACTCTTAGAATCATACCTAAATCAAAGAACTTTCAAAGTAAAAATAAATAATGATACCACAAAACTCTACTCAATAAAAGCCATGATCTTCCAACGATGAAAAATATTAATATCGCCACTTACGCAGACGATACTGTTATATTAAACAGTGGAAATCGAGCTTGTGATTGCCGATAAGAAATTACTTCCATAACATCTTTAGCTTTATCAGAACATATCTTTCACAGAGATTTTAAAATAATTGCAAGCTCTAGGAATGCATAAAAAAAAATAATTTGTTTTCAATATATTATATACAAAGTATACATACACAGTTTCAGCTTTGAAAACTCAACAGTAAGAGTAATTTATTGTTGTGATTTCTTGTAAATAGATCTATATCGCATATTTGGAAAACGTTAGTAATTTGTTGAAATACATATCATGATATTCTTTGCCTGCTTTAAAATTTCCATTTATAACTAGAATAATCAAATATTTTTAAATTCACGCCATTCTCACATTTCCTTACTCATTTTTGACAATTTAGTAATCGTATGCTACCCATTTGGTTTACATGTAACTGTTAGCGGTCTTATTATTGACGCACAAAAGTATTTCACAAGAATAATAAATAATAAATGTTAATTCTAAATATTTAATATATGTATTCCTATTATTGTTGTTCCAACAACCATGAGTACTAGAAAGAAAACAGCACCTAGCCCAGCTTGTTAACAAAAGCATCAGTAAATATTTCAACGGCGTAATTTTGTTTCCGAGAAAGACTTTAAGCGGCGCTCTTAAACTTTTTCGCAAAAATCTTTCTGAAAGCAAATTAATCAATTTTGGTATTAGTAGCTACAGCTTTGGCAGTAAAGTTTTCTGATGACCAACAAAGTTTCATGTAATTCGGATCACCACATCAAACGCAATAAAAGTTATTAACAAATAAAAGAATAGCGATTCGATAATGCAGATTCGAGACTCGATTGACTCGATCTGGCAACAGGCGTTACTGCAATTTGATAACGGACTAATTATAAGCTCTAATACTATCTAAATACCTTATTTTCATATTATCTGAGTCTCACTTCATTCATCTTAGTTATTTTCGCCGTTATTTTTCTAGTTTGAAACGCAACTTTAGTATTAATTTGCGTAATACACAGTTGATAGATAGAAAATAAGCAAATTTTTGCATATCGTGGTTGAGCGGTAATAAAATGTCGACAATATTATAGTGAAAAAACTAACAATATCTTGCCACGATGGTTAATTGCTTATTTGAAGCGAGCTAGAGAGTATTCGTCAGACTTTTTTCAAAACATACTTATCTTTTTTACTCATATATTTAACAATATTATAAAAAATAGGATCGCTTGCATTGAGACGCATTTGCATAAGATTGTAAAGAACACAGCAAGCATCTTTTCTCAATTTGGCTTCTTTAATTGCCCGTTCAACGCGCTGTTGAATGTCATAGAAGTAAAAAGAATCCTGTTCATAGAACTTTATCAAAGCTTGCTGTGCTCTTGCTTGGAAACTACTATTACGCGCATAAAGGGTTATTTGTTCTTCGCTATTCGTCAAAAGATGGTACAGTGTAATAGATTCGCACACAACTGTTCTCCTCATATATTTCAATTGCAATATACACAGTTCATAGAATGTCTTAAGCTCATTATTAGATCTGATTTTGGCATGTGTAGGCACGTTTTCATGCATAACTTCACTAATCGCTAAATATTTGATCAACTCCTTCGTTAAAAGATAATTCTTGTCTTTGTATACTACTAATAGTAAAGGCCAATGATCGGAGTGATATGTAAATTTAAAAGTTTGACGATGCAGCAGATATTCGGCAATTTTGGCATATTTTAAGTCGCAACCGACCGTACTTATCAGTTTATCAAACAAATTTGTTTTATCGAAAATATCGGAGAAATGTACTTTTGCTCCAAGTTTTATTAGAACAATAACTTTGTTTAGCAAACCAGCTCTCACAGCTTTGACCAAAGGACTTACACCCTCGTTATCAACCGCATCGACGTCAATCTGTTTAATCGGTAAATATTTTAATGCTATGTCTGTATTATCGAAAATGTTATCAACCCAAAAGTGCAGCGGTGTTTTACCGTCGATTGTGCGTTTCAATAGCTGTGGAGTTTTGCTTTGTGTCACTGCCAACAAAGTATTTACCCGGGCACCAGCAAAAAAATATTGCATCAAAGTAATACCATCATAGCGAGGTATCGTCAATGATGCTCCCTTTTCCAAAAGATATTTCAAAATGTCATGTTTCTCTTGTTTTACGTCATCGTCAAGATTGTACAAAAATAGAGGTGTTTGACTCATACTATCTAGGTCGTTAACGTCAGCTCCGAAATCCAGTAAAATCTCTACATTTCGCATATCAGCCATAAGAACTGCGATATGCAGTGTCGACCAATTCCTCACAAGTTCGTTAAGGAAATAACCATTATCCAACAAGTACTCCGTCACTATAGCGTTGCGCATGAATATCACTAGACCTAGTGGGCAATGGGCTTCTATAAAATCATTAACCACCTGTTCTTTGTCATAAGCAAATTTGTTTTCCATTTCCGACATTAACATCTTTAAAATATCGAAGGTTCTTGTTACTTGGAAGGTGTAGGGATGCAATGTTTCCAATTCTGCCAGACTCATCTTTATAATTTTTCGCAGAGCACTCGATTTTTTAAAGTCTTTTAAATTTATGTCGGCATTTGCTTCTAATAAAGTTTTTACGAGAACAGGGTCTCTTGCTTCGGTGATTGCGAGCATCAATGGTGTTGTACCAAATTTGTCTTGAGCATTAACTTTACATCCACATGCAATCAGGTAGCTTAATATTTCAAGATTACCATGTTTTGCCGCAAAGTGAAGTAATGTCTGTCCAAAATCACCTGTCCACTTGTTTATATATCTGTAGTTTATTAATAGTGATTTTGCTGCTCGATTGTGTCCTTTTTCTATGTAAGAGATCAGCAAATTATCAGAGGACATCGCATCAGTAACAATCTGCAACAAACAGCATTAGTTGTTAGTAATAAAACTGTAGTATTGGCGATTCAGCAATACTACCGCGCGGAGCCTAGTTATCAAAAAAGAAGCTGAGCATCACCCGAAGAATGTAAATTGACAAAGGAAAAGTTACAAATAAATTAAATAAATATTCCTAGATATCGAATACATGAAAACCGCCTGAATTTGAAAGAAAAATATATTTTAAATAGTTTTTTAGGATTGAAAAGTTGCTAAAAAGCTGTTTGTATTGCTTAATATTTTTATTTACTATTTACGAGAAATCTAAAAGTTAATGTGGATTTAGTTGTTCAAGCAGTTGATGGTGATACAAAATTGTTATTCACGTGTTTATGCATTTTGACCTGCTGAACAGGAATCTTGATAGTAGAGTGTCGACAAGTTCGTAGGTAATTAGTCATTAATAACTTAACTGTTCAAGTAACCATAAATGGTTATTAAGATTATAAATTAATTGTTTATGGTTGTTCAAAAAATTAATTCATTATTAACAAATCATCTGTTAGTATTTTTAAAAGTTAATATCAAGATTTTCATTCAGCAAGTCAGAATATATAAAAGAACACTTGGACGGCAATTTTTATTACCATTGACTACTTGATCAATGAAATCTACTCTGAATTTTACATTTTTGATAAATGTTTTTAATTGAAATATCAAGAAACTTAATAACTTTATAATAATTTGTCAATCCTAAAGGAATAAAAAGTATATATTTTTTTCGATTTCGGGTGTTCATGCATAATTATAATTTGTTGTACAAGTCATTGGGTGCTGCACAAAATGCTATATCAGTACTATGAAATTGGCAAGATATGAGCATGTCATTTATTTAACAAAGCTTAATAAAGATTTGCAAATCGTGGAAATTGTCCATGAATTTCTTTTCATTTTTTTGCAACATATTTGAAAGTAGCACGTAACAAACTGAATAACACTAAAACATAAAATGTAAAATGTACTTTAACTCTCATAGCATCTTTTATCAAATTTTCAGCTTACAATATAGATATTTCAATTTTTTTCGCATGTAACAAACAATAGTTAGGTCCTTGATCATTGTGCTGTTACTACGAAATAATACGTTAATAATAACGAATGAAAATATGCCGCAGGAAAACCGCACGAACGGTAGTGAACAGTCGAGGTGAAATGGAAAAATCGAGAAGAAGTAAAGCAGCTCCCTCCTCAATTCAACCCTAACGTTTCATTAAAGTTCTGAAGGCTGTAGTCCAGACGCCAATAAGATCACAGTAGTATTTTTAATTTAGACGGGCTCACATAGAAAGGTTTCGATCTCACGAATCGAGTAGTTTATAATAAATAATTTAAATGTGTTTAAAGCGCTGAATATTTTAATAACTAAAAGAGATAGGAAATTTTAGATGATTAAATTTTATTGCTTGTTTGTTAACAAACAAATATTTTTTTTATTTATTTTAATAAAATTATTAGAACCGGAGATATTGTTAATTAAGTGAGTCAAGTACTTCTCTCGCGTCTGGACAAATATAAGTACAACTCAGCTTCTAAACAATATTTTTCATCTTGCGTGGCCTTATGTTAAGCGCGATTTCGTGATTGCCGAGGATGAAATGCGGTTCTCAAGAATTTTTTACGTATTTTCAGTTGTCGAAGATGAATTTCGAAGGTAACTTGTTAAAAAATTAATGGGTTAATTAGTTATAAACAATATTTATCTGTTATAGTAATAAAATTTAGAAATATTCCTTATTCCACGAAGTATTTAATTTAATTTCATACATGTAAAAAGTATTTGAATTTATGTCATAATATGTAATAATAGTTTTATCTGTACATTTAATAGTATGTATTTTGAAAAATAATTTTTTATATTTATTTGCATATAGTTTTTATCCTTTGTAAAATAAAAATAAAAATGTCATATGTTCTGAATAAAAAAGTCAAAGGCGACTGATCAATTTAACATCTATGTACTACCTACAGTTTGTACAATTTTTAACGGCGTCTACTTGACTACCGAAGCGACGCTTTCGGCATACTAAACGTCTAGCTGTAAATTTGTCCAAATAACTTCCAAAGTGTTTGGTTATTGGGTTCTTATACACACCTGCGTCATTTCTCTTAACAAAAGTATAACTTGTATAACTTTGAAGATATAGACTTTTTACAAGTGCGATCACAATCCTTATAAATGATACCTATTAATATTGTAACTGAAGAAAACTAGGTACGCTAAGATGTTTACTTTTCAAGCTGTCATGAAATATTGTCGTGAAGTGGGCAGTGGAGAGCACGTCCCAAAATGAATTTCGCTATACTTCCATCAAGAGAGGGAGTAGGGATGACATTTTTGGGCGTCTTCGGCGCTGAATATTTCGGAAAGCAGACCACTGTGTTTGAAGTCAGCGATGGTTTTCCATTTTCTATAGTGTTTGTTAAAAAGCTACAGTTTCCGCGTCGAGGCTGAGGCAATTGATGAATACACAAGGTGTACGTTTTTAACGACGCCACAGATCATTTTACTTTATTCGCAAACAATTTGAAAATTTAGTGTCGAAATTTTAAATGTTAGTGTCCATTGATTTAAATGTAGATACTAAATTCTATAAATTCGTCGATGGAGCAGGAAAAGAGCTACTACCTCAAATCTTGAGAATAAAGCGTGAGAAATATAAATGAAATTTGGGAATAAGTTCAAAAATTTGAAAATTGTGAAAGTTCTTCGGCCTGACATTGCAATATATTCCAAGTTTTACTAAACCGCGCGTAGTTTAATATGAAATGCAAAGAGTACGTACCTCCATAACAATATAATGAACGTTTGGATGGCTGGTAAATAATAGCTGTCTCAACCAGAATTCGGATTCACCATGTAAATGTTTAAAAAGATTAGTGTTGCCATGATGCACCTACACGAAAAACTATACACTCAGAATAGCAGTGTAAAGTGTGTGTAAACATTTTTACAATGCGTCGTCAAAAGATCAAGACTTCATTTCGTAGATATGTATGCCAGAAGGCAATGACAAACACTAAGCCTGTACTCGTCAGATTAACGTTGGGTTGGGTTTATACGCTAGACGATGAATTCGGGAATTTAATTTTGAAATATATACGAGACTTCACAGTCATTTAGTAAACTGATCAACAAGCATAGATTTGAATGGATTTTTCGTGTAATTAAATAAAAATTTTTCTCCTTGAGATCCTCACGAACCAATTTATTTTAAAAGTTGGCCAACATTTCAGTGACGTTTCGTATCGTCACCATTTCCAAGATCTAAAAATTAATTGGATATGACAAGAATTATTTGAATTGATTGACTTTTAGACCTTGAAAAGGATGATTCAAAACTTGTCTGAAATGTTGGCAAACTTTTTAAATAAATTGGGGTTTGTAAGGACCTCAAGCGGAAAAAGTTTTTCATTACTCGAACAATCCATTCAAATTAAAACAAGATTGAGAGCCATTCAGAAAAAAGTGTTACTCATCCTACATATAGTCTAATAGTAAATGATATCAGAAACAAATGTATTGGTCAAGATGAAGAAGTTGGTAAGACAGAAGCGTATCGACTCGTTGTTACCGACTGGACTCGTTAGTGAAGCTCGACGGTTAATGGTTGATTACATCTACCTCGGACCTAATGTTCCTCATGATTCAAAACGTAGAGATAATACATTGATTGAAATCGGTACAGAAACTGACCTTCTAACCACGCAGAAAAACTAACAGAGGACATTGCCGCGGTAAAGGTATAATCGTTCCCAGCCAACTAATGGTAAGTACGCATGGATCAAGACAAGCGAACAAACGTCTACTTATATGAAGAACCTACTCGATCCTCTAATATGGGGCGAAAATCTGGACCCGAGAATTCTCAGGGAAGCAAAGGGACGAAGTTTGTAACCAACAGCCACTATAGAGATATACGAGGAAACACACAAAAGGCACGATAATAATATCAACAGTAGCTATTGCACACAATCAAAGTCCAGATGGTTTTGGTAGGAGCGCATTGCTTCTGGCAGGATAAGATGGGTGAAAGCGTGCTTTCTTTCCCTCGGCCCTTACTCGAGTCCAGTCGGAGAGTGAAGGACATGTGAAGGACGGTGCGAATATCGCCCACAGACTCTCTTGGGTTCATCGATGTATCTTCTTCGCTTCTCTCTCTATTTTTACGACATGGCAAGGGTTCTTCGCTTTGAGCTTCATTCTTTACGTTGCAACCAATACACACATTGTCAACGTAAAATGGTCAACTATTAAGACAAACACGTCATTAACCAGAAGTTTGGAAGTTTTTGTTAACCGAGTACATGAATTTTCTAAAAAATTTTCATATCGAGTCTATTATACAATAATGCAACAAGAAATGAAGGGATTTTATCTAGTATCGATGGTTATTACTTGTCGTTAATCGATTACTTACGAGACACCTTGGCCTCGTACAATTTTAAACACCTTTTCTACGTGTTGAATCATCAGTTTCTGTCCTGTATCTACGTACCGAATATTTCATTATTCAATGATGATATTTAGTGGATAGACAATGAATTTGTGGCTGCGCCTGTATAAAAAGACTGATATAGTGAATAGTAGAGCCAAAAATCAAGGATATAACAACAAATGATAAAAAACATAACAAAGAATAGTATTTCTTAAATAGTTAGACCTATATAACGATCTATGTCAACTAATATATAAATAATTAACTGCTATATGATATAGAACTTTCTGCGTACGTACACGTAACATATTTTATTGTAGGTTTTCCTTATATGTCGTTGCACGATATTAAATATCCAAGAAAACTGAAAAAATCTTACAATAAATGAGGCTATTTTTTATCTGAATATACAGAACTCGGTAGAGCGCAGCTTTATTGTATACTCACTTAAATATTCCATATTGTTTACCTAAAATTTAAGATTCACTTGCGAAAGAATGATATCGATCTACAATGTCGAAAGCGAAAGGCTTTATGAACTGACAATACTATAAGCGAACCCACATAATTTATTCACAGTTTTCGCGGCTGTACAGTTTGGTGCGTTATAATGGTCGATGTATGTGACGAAAGCAACTCCACAGTTTATTAACGTGTTTACTCGGAAGTGCTATTATTTATGCCACACTATTGCAGCACAAACAATAGCTTGGCATCATACGCATTATTTCTGTGTAGTTTCATTTCTATCATCGAAGACGAAAGATCATTTCTTTTTAACGTATATTCACATAATAAACATACGGAAAGTTCAGCAAATAATCAATTATGACTACAACGATTGTCGCAAAAATCAACAAATTTTTCAATCCATCAATCCAACAATTTTATGCTTCTACCTCGAAGAAAATCACTAGTGGGGGAGTGACTTTAACGCGCCATCAAAAAGTAGGATTAGCTGGTTTCTGCATATTTATTCTTGGCATTCTCGTTCAAAATATTATTTTTCCATCTATACTTGAATTGAAAGTTCAACAGGTATATAGCGTTGAATTATTTTATTCGCATAACAGTATTACCTTGATTTGTCAACTTGTTACTTTTTATTAAGGAAATGGCATTGAAAAAGGACTCGTTTAGAAGAGAATACTGGAGCCGGTTACCATTTCCCTTTGAATTACGCGTTTATATTTTCAATGTTACAAATCCTGATGATATTGCTAAGGGTGGTAAACCAATTTTGAATGAAGTTGGACCTTTTATTTATGAGTGAGCTTTGACTCTTCGATATTTCATCAAGTAAATTACTTTGTAATTTTTATATGTATTTGATTTTCGTAGTATCTTACATGAAAAAATAAATCAAGAAGACGACGAAGAGAACGATACAGTGTCTTACACAGTAAATAATACTTATTATTTCAACATTGAAAAAAGCAATAATCTTTCCGATAACATGGAGCTGACCCTCGTTGATTTACTCACATTTGGAACAGCCAACGCGATCATGAAAAGTTCTCCTGCTCTCATTTCTTTGGCAGGTAAGAAAATATAAAAATTATTTAGCGTTTTATTACAATTGACTCGTTGAAGTGTATTCTTTGATGGTATAATCAAGCGAAAGCAGTTGACATCATTGGGAACAATCCACAAAATCTGTTTGAAAAACAGACAGCAAAGACACTGCTGTTTGATGGCCACTCATACTCTTGTGAAGGAGTAACCGAACCTATTGGCCTTGCATGTTGTAATGATATCAAAGTTTCTTATCAGAAATATCGTATACTAAGAAGATCGGAAAACGTCTTCGCTTTCTCCATCTTTGGTGCGGTATGTCTTAATAACTTATTATTATTTCATTATTGCAATATTGAAAAATATCTCTGAATCAGGTGATGCCCTTTTTAAGGTAAACGAAACAGATATTTATCATGGAAAAACTTGCATTCGACGAGGAATAAGAAACATTATGGAAGTCGGTGATGTTGTAAAACACAATGGCTTGAAAAATATATCTGTATGGAAAGATGACGAATGCGATCAATTTCGTGGCACTGACGGAATCGCATTTCACCCATTTCTCAATAAAAAGAAGAACAAGTATTTGTACGTAACAAGTACGTTTTACTGCCGAAATTTCGTTTACAAGTATGAATCCGATATTGAATTTAATGGTAGGGCAGTTGTGTAATTGTAACATTCATAATTCATTCATTAAATTTTATGATATTTGAAAAATGAGCCGATATGATTAGGACTGAAGCTACTCCGATACACAACAAGCGTAGGAACTGATACGGCGACTAATGAGAAAGACAAATGTTATTGCATAACTCCGGATCGTTGTCTTAAAGATGGAGTTTTTGAAATATGGAAATGTTTTACCAACGCTTTTATACTCTCAAATCCTCACTTTTACCTGGCTGATAAATCTTACGTTGATGGGGTCGAAGGTGTCAACCCAAATAAAGTGAGTAATCAATATTTTGTTTATATCTCATTAAGATATATTGAATTGATTATGATACTTCATTTTGCATGCCAACAAGGATGCACACATGATCATTCTCGACATTGATCCACTTACCGGTCTGGTTATTCGTTCTCACTTTCGAATTCAATACAGCTTAATATTAATGAATTTGGAAAAATATAGACTTATGAAAGAGGTTCGCGATGCATTCTTCCCACTTATGTGGGCTGATGAAGTGATGATTCTGCCCGACTTTATTGTCAAGAGAATTAAACAAATTCACGCAATGGTTACTGTTGCTCAGTAAGTAACATCATGAAAACCTTGATGTGTGCCAAATATTGACGATAAAAAATAGTCGAAAATATTTATTATGCAGAGTGGTTAGTTATGTGATGATGTCGATAGGATTGACAATATGCGGCTACATCTTATATCGTGCATATAAATCAAGAAGAGAGTAGACATGAGCGACAAAAGCACTTGAATTGATAACCTGTAAGATAAAATCTTTCACGTGAAAGCCTTTGAAATAGCACATTTCTCTACCAGAACAAAATACATATTATTGCAAATGCAACATTTTTAATGACATTTATTTAAATAATTTATGCATATGCTATACGGCGATAGACTATAGAAACAGTTCAATTTATTTTTGTTCAGATATGAAAATAAATGTAAATATAGCAATGAGTAGTTTTTTAAAATTTTGTAACGTGTAACCCATAACGCGAGCAAAAAAAAAACAACTAATTTTGGTTATCGAGTGCAAAACTATTCAGGACAAAAATGACATAATAGACATATTTTATAATTTCATTCGCCAAAGCACCTATCAGAAATTCTCCTAATTGTGTCGTACAGCGACTTCTTTGTCCGAAACTGGTGGGCAGACGCTGCACCGACGAGAGACGCGAAGAGTGCGATGCACTTTTGGAAGGAAGAGGAGGAGCCCGTCTTGAAGATATGTTGCTCTTTATGTCGTTACTCTCCTTTGTACACGCTAAAAAAAGCGCTTTGCGCATCTATTTTCACCTTGAATTTTGTATTAACCACCGGATTTTCTCTCTCGGAGCTTGAAGCGCGCTTTGGTTTTGAAACGGTCTATTTTTAATGCAACGCATGTTGAAGAGAGAATACATAGTTTATTTTCTTTTTCTTTTATTCTTATTTGAGAAGGGGGGGGGGAGGAGTTGATGATGATGTCGACAGATGTAGTGCTTACGAGTGACCGTTGCTGCTTTTGTTGGCAGTGACAGTGTCTGGAGAGTTCCATTGTTTTCGCCTGAATTGCGTTTTGCACTTTCGGTTTCGTTACGCACATGAAAATTTGTATTTTTTTCGTTACGTGATTTGTCAGCGTTGATACAAATTAATAATATAAAAGAGGAAGGCAAATTATAATCAATGGTAATTGAACGACATGAATTGTAAGCTGAATTTCCCAATTCGTAACAAGGTGGAACCAACGAAGCCAATGAAGAAACCGCTAATGAAGCGACTGCCTCCATCTATCGCTTGCATCCATCTCTGTCGTCCACTTAGGCGATCGCCTCAATCTGTACAAGCGACGCAGCGACAGCAAACCGCGCGGAGTATTGGCTCGCTTTGGAGAAGCTGATCGAGCAGCGACGTCGATAAATGTGTTGTCCGAAAAGCCGAAAGAAAACAATGAATTTGTCTAGGCGCGCACAATCGGTACGGGCGATCGCGCATCCCTCTTTGTGCGCTATTTTGGATCAGCGTTGGTGTGTGCGCGAGCGAGGCTTTAAATAGGACCGGGTCGCGTTCAGTGGAAGCCAGTTCGTCTAAACGATTCCGTAGCTATACACGCATTACGTATGTTGGAGCACCGCACTATCTTCGATGTGAGTACGGCGTGAATTCTTTGGCCTTCCGTCGCTCGTCTGTCGCGTAGAGTGTGATCTCTCAAGTGAGGTTCTTTTCTTTTGCTTTGGTGATAAAAAGCTCAGCGATGGGCGAACGAAAGTGAGCAGAAGACATTGTTGTGTGCGGCGATGCGAGAACCTTTCACGTTTCTCTGTCGGTGTCTTTTCAATTCGAGCGTGTATCGATGGAAATTATTTGCCAACGGTCTGTTTTTGTTTTTATATAATGAGCCAGGCGATACGTCACGAAGCGCAATTCGTCGACGTGATTGTATATCTTATATACGTGGTAGTTTGCCAAATCGTATATATGTGCGCACGCGCCTAACGTACAGATACTATTGAAATTACAATTGAGTTAGGCGATTGCTCGGTTAATCAAGCACGAGCAACATCATTCTCTCTTTTTCGCGCGGCGACGTCCATTGAATAAATTGCGCGCATCTTTGCCAGTTGTGTTGAAACACGAACATTGAACGCGAACGCAATGAGCCAAGTGTTGTTCAAATACGGTGCTCAGCGGCAATGAGTTTAAAGACCGGTAATTCAAGCTTTTTTCCTTGAAAACTCAAGCTTGTGAGCAGCGAGTTTATCGAGCCTCTAAATCAGTCGATCGGCACGAGTCCGACAATTTATCTGCCCAGTAGTGAATCACTCGTTCTAAATGTGCAGCCTAATTGATTTCAGACTTCGCGTCGTTCGTACAGCGGTTGCCTCGAATAAAAAAACTTGCCCTGCCGTCGCTATTAATTCTTCGTTAAAATCAATCAAAGAGTGCAATGCTTTCAATCGACGCGACACACTTGGCGGCGAGGCTCGCTCGCGTCTAGTTGAACTGCTTGGTTTCCAAGCTCATCGAAATCAGGCACGTGGCCTGAAAGAAAAATCTACGAATAAATCAGCGTCGAAAGAGGAATAAGCAAGCGAATAACGGGCGTAGTAGCGTGTGACGCAGGTGATGCCGGTAGACGAGTGCGTGTGAACCTCGCCTCCTTTCCTTCGGCATCACAGCCAAAATTTGCCTCCGCGCGCGCACGCAAACTCTTGCCAAAAGACTGGTTCCTAGACTGGTCCCGATCTTTCGAAACTTTAACTAATAATTACACAAGGGAGAAATTTCAACTTTGCACGGTTCTTCGGAAAGTTTAATGTATGCTTCTAGTCAAGTTTCAGTTGTAGCTCTCGATGAATTAAACGTCTCAACGAACGGAAGGTTCGCTGTGTTGCGCTTAGAATGCTGTTCAAGTGTTAACGTCAGTGATACCATTTCGCTTTAGCGTGTCAGCTTTATTTATAGTATTTTGGTCGGTGATCATTCGAAATGGTGGTATTTTTTTAAATTGTAAAATGTCGCGACAGTTGTTTATTTCGAAAACGCTATCAAGCGACAAACTAATCTGCGGTCGAAATAACGATCGATGATTTATGCTTCGCGACAACTGTCAAAATATCGACAGTTGGTTGTCAGCACGGCCGATTTAAATTCAAGCTTCTCGGCTGGGCCGCAAGCTCCAGACGACGTGAACGAAAATCCGCAAATCTCCAAAACAAATAAGAGCTCGGATGAAAGTGCGCGCGACTGATAAAGGTGGGCGGCTGCGTCGCACTTGGCAAGCTCGCGTCCTCGCTTAACGAAGCACCCGAGTATAAATAGGCGGGCGAGAGCGGCAAGTGCACGCGCGGGCTTTCCCACGGCTTTATTTTCGGGTGAAAATCGCTTCCGCGACAGCTCGTGCCAGCGGCACCGACGCCGCGCTCAGTTCCTTTGTTTACATCTCACGCAAAACGTTCCTTCGGCACGAGAGAGAGAGAGAGAGAGAGAGAGAGAGAGAGAGAGAGAGAGAGCGAGAGCGGTGTCGAGGCTCGCTCTGCTCTCCGTTTCGCAAGCACGAGCTTCCTTCCGCCGGTCGATCGCTGCACTTTCCGCGTGCACGCGGCAACGCGCTTCGAGAATACCCCGATGCCGAGTGTCGCATAGAGAAAGCTCGAGAGCAGCACCTCGCGACTCCTTTATCCAGTCTGCTCGGAAGCACTCGCGGGACTTTGATGGCGGGAACCATCCGAACATCGTCGTCAACAGTACTAGGCTGTAGTTAAGCTCCTCGCTGCATTTCAGCACTGAAGATTTAGCGTCCGCCGGAGACACCTCCAAAGACAGAAACTAGACAAGTGAAAAAAGTGCGTATATATTTGGCAGCAATCAAAGAAATCGCATTGCTTTCCGTATGCTAGTGCACTTGCGGCATCGCCTTACCTCCCTCCTGCGTGCATGCTCAGCTGCGCCTGAGATCCGCAATGTCGCGTATGCGCTGCCCGAATTCCTCGCGGTCCATTCCACGACGCACGTTTCGCCGCCGGGGTTATTGTTTTTTTTGCTTCGAGCTTCGAGCTTGCGTTCGCGTTGCCAAGGTAAGCTCGCGTTGGCAACGAGAAATCGCCTCGTTTAAGAGCCAAAGCGATATGAACTTTATCCGACGACGAAGTGCGTGGCGACACGCGTCTGGCTAATATGACGAACGCAAACCAATCGATGCAATAACTGCAAAATAATAATAATCTGGAATAGTAATATCCTCTTTGAAATTTCATCAGAGCCACCTCGATCGTCACAAATTACAAATCCATAATAAGCATACAAAACTCTATTCTCGAGATCGCTTCTTGGCGTTAGTTCTGTTCGATCACATCGATCGCACGAGCCCGCGTGTATCATACGAAGACGTAGCGACTCTTTGCTTGCAGTATTGCGCAAGTGAACTATCTGTGGCGTAACAGTAGTCAAAGCAGTAGGGGCGCGTCGGGCGTTAATCGACGAACTAGCACCTGTCCGCGTTGTCGTCGCGCTTATCGTTACTCCAAGACGAACGACGCTCGCTTTATATGGTAGCGGTGCAGCCGGGATGCGCGCCCGCAACGGGTCAAGTTCAGTCGGTCGATCGGATCGTCGCAGCGCTATTTTCGAACGCTTCGTGGCTGCGCGCGAGCGGCACTTGGGCTCTGTCTGTCGGTGCTTCGTGCATCGGAAATTCGCCTCGGAACTCGATAAAGAACAAGCTTGTCGACCGCGGCAACGCTATCGTTATCGCCGAGGTAAAAGTAATCAGAGCAGCGCCAGCCCGCGCGAGAGCAGCGATTTCCCTCGGGCGCTCGGCTAATGTCGTAATCTACGCGCCTCTAGTGCACGCGCAGGCTCGTAAACGACGCAAGAGCGGCCTTTGGGCATTCGATCCGAAGGATTCGCGCGGGCTCGCACGGGCAGTCCGCTATCCCACGTAAGAGAGCCTCAACTCTCGCACGAAAGGCTGCTTTGGACGCTCGCTTAGCGCGACAGCCGGCGCCAGTCTACGCGTCGCTGAAACCAGACAACGACTGTTTAGATGCCGGCCGAGTGCATATCCAACCCGCTGCAGCGAGAGCTGGCCGACGCGATAATCCGCATGCAGCCGCTGGACGAGATAAGGATCCTGTTGGCGTGCGGCGCCAAGGCGAACGAGCCGGTGACCCAGGGCCTGCGCCCGCTGCACTACGCCGTCTGGCAGCGCCACGCGGACGCGGCACAGCTGCTGCTGACCAGGGGCGCCGACATCGACGCCGTCGACGAGTGCGGCTACTCGGCGCTTCACCTGGCCGCCGAGCACGGCTACGAGGACCTCGTGGAGCTGCTGCTGAGGCACGGCGCCAAGGTCGACCATCGCCAGGACACCCCTGAGCCGTTTCCCAGGTGGGTGTGAGCGCGCGAGCGCGGAGTGACGCCCTCGCCCGGGAGCCCTTGGAGAGCCTGATCCGACGCCGTGTGCGCCCGCAGAACGATGCTGTGCGACGAGCCGCTACGGCTAGCGCTGCGCAGCCACCACCTGGGCGTGGCGCGCACGCTGCTGGAGGCCGGCGCCAATCCCAACAAGCGCTACTTCTTCGGCGCGGAGATCAACCTCGTCTCGCCGCTGGACCTCGAGTGCATGGAGCTGCTGCTCGCCTTTGGCGCGCTGCCCAACACCCGCGACCGCGCCGGCCTCACGCCTCTCATGAAGGCCGCGCGACTACCACAGGTAACCGCGCGTCGGCCTTTCCCTCTTCGCGTCACGCGTCACGCCTCGCGCCGCTCATTGCTTTACTGCTGTCCGCGGCTTCACCCCTGCTAACGGCTCATCTCGATCATTGTTACAAGGACATTGGAATGCACTTTGGGCTACCGCGAAGGCCCGCCGAGTGACCGACTTTCTCAAAAATCGGCGCCTAGAATTTTCATGTCGAGTTGGCGGTAGCGAGTTAAATCATTCGGGTAACTCGAAATCTCCAGGCGAAGAGCTCGATCCGAATGGAGCTTTCGCAGAAGTTCAACCACGATCTTCGTTAGATCTTCGACAGCGCGACGTCTGGCGCAAAAATTGAAAGCGCAATTTCGCGGAACTAGCTAGCTGCCTTCAAAGACTAACCTTCATTTCCGCTGTTAACAACATCCAACTCTTTCGATTTCGGTAACAGAATACTCTGGCTTGCAACTGAAGCTGCGTTTTTTTCTCTTCTGTTTCTGTCGATGTCCCTTGGATCTCTTCTCACGACTAAACTTCCGAACTCCCCCCCGCCGAAGCAGCGAGTCCTAGCTTTCGAGAAGTGGTACCGCGACAGTTTCGGGACGCTCAACGGTCCAACTGGCCAGCCGCTTGGCTCGACTTCCACCGAAGCCCGCGGGGCACAAGACCGCGCCACGGAATTAGGAAGTTGCCATCACTGTCTCTCTCTTTCTCTCTCTAACTCTTTGTCCTGCTGCTGCGCTGCTACTGCTGTTGTTGTTGTTGTTGTTGTTGTTATAAGTATGCAGTTGATCGAAAGCTGGAACGGCAACTCTGTCAAAGTATAATAACGTTGCGGCAATTAAGATCAGTTGCCCGGCTTCCGATCGACGGCGTCGTAGATGACTATAGCGACAAAAAGGCTGCGAAGCCTGGTGTTGTGTTAAGGCGTACGTGGAGTCCCGTTTTTGTGCGAGCGTGCATGGGTTTTCCCGTCGAAAAACGCGAAACAAATTGAAATATTAATTTTGGCGATCGATCCAACAGGGCATAGCGTCGGTGTTGTTGCTGATGAGCTACGGCGCGAACGTGAACGCGATGGCGGACGCGCGACACGACTACCGCACAGTGCTGCACTACGCGATCCTCGGAGGTGACCCCGCGGTCATCAATCTGCTGCTCAAGCAGGGCGCCAAACTCAACCTGGGTCCGGACTACCAGAAACCCACAGTGCTGGACCTGGCGATACTGAAAGGCGATCCGGACATCGTGCAGATGCTTCTCGAAGCCGGTAATTGTCTGAAGAATTCAAAGTCGAGGATGCGGAGCGCTCGATTCATTCGGGACTTGAAAAAAGCAACGCTATGTGATTTTAGCGCCAACTCAGATTTCCGCGGTCCACGGACACGGGCGTTTCGCGTGGTGCCGCGTAAGCTTGGCGAAGCAAGCGCGACGCGATCGATGAGCATTCGCGAGTCGAGGAAAGGACGAGACTGGAAAAGGCTGACATTGCGCATTGTTCGCAGGTGCGGATGTGAACGCCACGTCACCGATAATCGGCTCGTCGCTGCACGTAGCCTGCGCGGACAACATCCCCAACCGGCTGCAGATCCTGCTGATGCTGCTAGAGCGAGGCGCCGACCCGAATCTGGTGATCCCCAGCGAGGTCGGTCTGACGCTGCGGCCCGTGCTCGCCGAGTACGTCGCCTCCAACCAGAACCCGTCGGTCGAGGTGGTCGCACTGCTGCTCAAGTACGGCGCGCGGGTGGTGATCAAGACGCAGTTCCGCCACCCGCACGGCATACTCAACTCGCTGCAGAACACGGCCGACAAACCGCAGCTGCTGCAGGCTCTGCTCTCGGCCGCCGAGAGCTTCGACCTCTGCATGATCAAGCGCTCGTCCAGTCTGACGGACGCGCAGAAGGCGCTGGTGCTGGAGGCCGCCCGAACTCCTCTGCCTCTGGTCCACCAGGCGAGGCTCATCGTGCGCAAGTTCTGCGGCACGAGACTACCCAAGGTCGTCACCAGTCTGCAGCTGCCCCGCACGCTTCACCGCTACCTGCTGTACGACGTCTACTGAGCGCATTTACTTGCCCGTTCCGCGACTCGAGCTTAATCCTCCACATCGGAGCTCTCTCTCTCTCTCTCTCTCTCTCTCTCTTCTCCTCTCCCTCCCTCTCGTTCTCCCTCGTGCTACTTGCTGCGCAGACGTTTTTTTACTTGTTCTCGCGATCTCGTCTATCGCCGCATTTTCCCCAAATTCGTGACCGTACTTATTGCTCAAACGTCTATTTGAATCTGTCGTCTTTTACAGCCTCAGCAGTTTGCCCTCTGTAATTTGTCCAACAGCTCGACCAACTGTGATCAATTAGCATTGTACGTTTACTCAAATACAAAAGTTTTTACGGTCCAACCTCTAGCTTCAAGTTCCCAAGACTAGGACGATTTCGTTTTAACCGACATATTTTTTTTATCAGTCGACATTCACGCTCCGTCTCATTTTCTCATTGTTATCCTCTCGATCGTATTTTTACTCGTTTTGCTTTTAGTCATTGTGATACCCGAACGATCGCGTCGATCGACTTATTTAGGAAGCGAATCGCGAGACGCGACGGTTCTCGCTGCGCGTGCACTATCGTCGTTTCGCCATGAGCACAGTAGGCACCGCGCAAACCAATATCGAACTGCACTGACCTTAGTATTATGTATTCTTTTGCGACGTTATTCGACTAATGCTATTTTCATTACTCTAGTTGTGTGCGAACATTTGTCGGACGTCGAATCCGGCGAAATTGTGTGATTATACATCGAACAAAAGATCGTGTCATTTTATACCTTTGTATGTACATAAACGTTATCTTATATACGTACGTATTATCAAACAGTATTTCAACAATAAAACCCAATGACCCACCCTAAATACATTTAAGTAGTTATTTGTTTAATAATTTCATAAGTTTGTTTGCAACCGAATTTCAAATTTCTCAAGAGCTGCTTGTGCTGATTGTACAGGTTCAATTGTAAAATAATGTTACGATTTGCAAATTATATGGACATTTTAATAGATATGGCGTATAATAAACTCCAAAATATTCTTTCAAACCTATTATTTAAAATTTACGTCATAAAGTTCACGCGTTCAAATTACAAATAACAATTTTCAAGAACCACTCCACAGAAAAGTTTTTTTCGTATTTTTTGCTTTGTCTTTTACTACAATATGTCTACTGAAAATAACGTAAGCATGTTTAAAAAAGTACGTCAGCATTTAAAAACTTAAATAATCAAAGATCATATCAGAACTAGTATAGGACAAGATCAAACGATAAAAACAGATTATAATTTGTAAAATTCCATCAAACCTGCTTTGCTACAATAGCGACCTGCGCATTCGTCTACTGCACAGCTGAGTCTAAGCTGGCATACAACTTTCATTGACATCGCCATGAAACGAAACGGCTGTAAAATAACCTCTATGGAAAGTGTTAAAAAATGATACTTTTCACGAAACATTGTTGACAAATTATTATATATCGTCTTTTTGACAAACAGGCACGCTAGTATAAAATGCGGCCTCAAAAGTTTCGTATTCCCTGCGATAGCGAAAGGTTAGTATATAGGTTAGAGTTGTTAATGTATTTTGTAAATACTGTATACTATAATTATTTGAATAACGCGAAAATTAACCAAGTATTTTGAAAGTTTATTATGAATTTTGTTTTAGTTTTCCAAACTTGGATCGAAAGACACTGGTTGTTTCGGTTTTTGGCAAAAGTCAATTTCGAGCCAAAGGTTGCAAGGCTGGAATGTTCAGTTCTGTACTGCAAGTGGACCTCCTCGAAGAGCCAACTATTGATGAGAATTTATTTGTAATACAGTTTTCATATATCTATTAGTTATAATTTACCGTTATTTTTATTGTTCAATTTGCAATTATAGTGTGAAATAGAGGGCTATCATGATCCAAACACAAGAACTGTTTACCTGCATTTAAACGGACTTCTAGACACCTATAATTTAGTAAATGAATATGATCAATTTATTGAAAATCAAGAGCGCAAAGACTTTCTTAGTGCCTGGGCACATATGAGAAATAAATACTCAAGAGCACTGCTGGTACTCTTTCATTTGTCTCATGTCGTAATTCTCAGCCATCCAACTCACAATTTTGACCATAGCTATGTTCATTTATTCAGAGCTCTTGATGTAGTCAGGTAGAGTATCGGTAAATGTTAGTTTTCAATTTGAAATATTAAATTAATTCTTATGTTTAACAGACAAAAAACTTCAGACCATTTATCTGATGTTCTGAGTACAATATCAGGCTTACCTAAAGATTGGGTGTCATATGGAAGGCCTTGCTCACCACGTGTTTTATTTTATTTTGAAACCTGCCCATCGTCGTTTCGTAATCCACAAAATGTAGCCAATATTAAGAAACTTGAACATTCTTTAGAAGATAGAATATATCAAGTTTTGAGGAAGAACAGAATAGTTACTAATATAAGGTAAATCATTTTTATTACCAACTGCAAAAACTTAAAATAATCTATTAATAATTCAATTTTTATTTTATTTTGCAGCTCAAATTCTTTGTTTGCAATTCCAGCAAATCAAGAATTTGTATTTGTAAATACTGGTAATCCTGACACTAGAGATATTCTAGCTTACATGACTAAACAATTGATCAAAAGTTGTACAGTTACACCTGGTGTATCAAGCTCAAAAAGTTTTGTAAATAGTAATCTGGTAGATAATTTTAATGATACTGGAGAAGGTAAAATCGTTCTTTTAACATTATTAAATTTATTATACAAGTATTTAAAAATTTATACTGTAAACAATAATTTTTAGACTTACACACATTCAAACGGTTTCTTCAGCAACACATTAGCTTAGCTTTTTCGAAAGGCTTTGATGATAATGTGGGTCGTCATGCAGCTCCAGCACATTTTGAGGTACTAAATTTAGAAAAATATTTTGTTCAATTTTTTAATTTGCAAATGTTTCAGATACCAACGTTATCACTATTCTTTACTGTAGCCAACAAATTGCATGAATTTTTTTTAAAAGGAAATGATAAAGGTCTTCAGAGTCTTCATGGCCTACTAGATACTGATGTAAAGTTTAGCAAAAGCCGTTGTTCTAAAGTTTTACCCAGAGCTTTACAAGCTTATCAAGAAAATCTTCCGCAACACTACACTAGGCAAATATAAGACATGAATTTATCAATCAGTCCAACTAAATTTACTATAATTTATGTAACTTTTTAATCCCAGGGCCTATCATGAATCGAAACTGGCTCATGCAATGGCTGTGTTTGAAATGCATGCAAGAGGACCTCTATTTGAAGAATTCAGTAAAAAATTACAAGAAGAATGTGATAAACATTGGCGAAATGGTCGCCAAATGTGCCAAGTTTTGTCACTCACTGGAAATCCTTGTACAAATCCCATTCACAAAGGTGGTGGCGAGGGAGCTGGTGGTGGAGAAATTCTTGATACAAGAGAAGATTTTAAGTGAGTGAAAAATTATTTTTTCGACTTTTCTCTAAACGGACTAAATATTAATTTTTGAATTTCCAGTGATCTGCCAATTATAGAACATTGTAGTGGTGTAAGATATATTTGTGCCTGCAATTGCGGAAGATGTCAAGGATCACGTGAAGATCCTTTCAATCTCAAGCAAGCCAATTATGATTATTACCAAATGTTAGCAATGCAATGTGGATGCAATCAGTTGGAATGCTACAATTTTCCAGTTTTTCAACCTAGCACTCACAATTTCAGGTAATTTCTGTTGATAAACCCTCTATTTATTTGATAACGAATATTTATTAACTAAGAGTTATTTATTTTAAAAATATTTTTAGGGCAGCACAATTATTTTCTACTAATCGTAAAGATTCATTAAAAGGTGAAGTTTCTACACCACAAGGTCCAACACAAGTCTGCAGTTTGGGAATAAATGGTTTGCAAAATTTATCTTTTTATGTAAGTTTGTTGTTTTAAATAATAGTTTAACGTTTTCAATTTTTAGTATCCACTGCAGATGAAATCACAGCTTATGGAAGTGGTGGACAATCACCTCCAGCACAAAGTGATCACATCAATGAAGAGGGTGACAAAATTAGTTTCACCCCAGGTGATGAGAACAAAGTTGTCATCGCTGTCGCAGAGGCTGATCCTGATAGTTCTAAAGATAAATCTTTAAATAGACAGCCGTCCACAACAGAATATTTACCAGGAATGTTGCACAGTGAATCTCCGTCTGGTTTACTTCCACAATTCTCGAGCTGGTCTTTAATATGTTTGGGATCAAGTAGTATATATTCCCATAACATAGGATTACAGCACCAGTCTGGTGTTCTTGGTTATTCTGCATTTTTACTGCCTTGGGATGTTACTGTAAGGTAAGGATATCCATAATAGATGTTGAAATATCCTTTAATGATTTTTAAATTTTTACAGATTGGAGCACCAAAAAGATAGAGGCTCTCTGTGGTCTTATGCAAATGATAATAATCAGCACGGTTTTTGCTCCCGTGGTAAAAATTATCAAAACATGAATATGATGCGTGGAAGAAAAGCAAAAAGAGGAAAAGAACTACTTGTAAAGATATTCGTTGGATTTGAATATGAATGTCCTCGAGGACATAGATTTATGGCTTGTACACCAGATAAAATATTAAAAGTAACTGGAATTGGCCCAATGAAGGAAAATGCAAATAAAGTTACATCTAGTACAGCGGATATGCCTTTATACTTTCCTTGTCCTTGCAGGTTTGTCTTAAATTAGAGAAATTTCATTCAGCTAACGTACTATATCAACAATAAATGACGTTTTCAGACAACCCAAGTCTTTGATTGCACAGCTAATGAGAATTCATGTTGTCACACCCAAAGCTCCAGTTCATATAACATTGAATCCACGAGTTCAACCTGCTCCAGCTCCATGTCCAACCTTTGTAACTGGATGCGAAGAGCCTGTAAAACTTTCACAAAGTGCATATTGGATTCTTAGACTTCCGTATCCTTTTGAAAAAATTATAATCTTTTTATATACTAATCATACATGTAGATACATATTAAAATCCTTATAAATAAATTTAGTTATGTCTACTTGGGAGATAAGGCTCCATATTTGCCGCCCAAGGAACCAGTTCCTATATCACACGGTAGACTACTTGCAGGTATATTTGGTATCAGTGAAGTAGTGAGCGACAAGAAGTAAGAAAAAGTAAATAAAAGAGAATATGTGACTGATCTTCCACCAACTGTAAATTTCTTATATTTTTTGTATTACTTTTTTAATTAAAAGCTTGTAAATATCTAATAAAAGAGGTCATCCTATTTCTATAAAACCAACGTTTAATTCACCAATTGAAAAATTAATGTTCATCAGATTTACAAAACTAATATTTGCATATTTGCGGAAATATTCAAAAATAGATATGAATATTCAATTATATTACGGTTTTATTCTTGACCAATCAAACGGCTTGGAAACAGCTGTTCATTTAAAATGAGCTCTTGGGATTGGACAATCGATTCCCTCATTTCTTATAATCGGCCGCATGTCTCCTCTCAAGGTCATGATTTTCGTTAAAACAGATTTAGTCAGGGAAGTAATGTATGAATAATAAACAACATTATAATTAAACTATTGAAGTATAGTTAAATTTATTATCAAATAACATTTTACATAACTTTTTATGAAACTCATATAGGTCACGTGACGTTTAAAGTCCCTGGCGCGAGCAGGTAAAGACACGCACAGTAGAGCGAGTTGATAAACACTTGTCATTGCCGTTTGAATGTTTTCATTATTTTTTGTGGTTCATGAATTTTGCTCAATTGCATTCTCGTAAAAAAAGCATGCTTAAATTTTCTACTGATGCAAGGTAAGAGTTGGTTTTGTCATCTATTCAAAAATATTGTAAAAGTGTTTCGTATTTATTCAAATGTCTCGAAGTACGTTACGAAACAAGACGCTTTAAATTTGCACGTTTTATTTTTATACAAATCTATGTATACTTAAGTGAACTCGCGGGAAAAGTTTGTTGTCTGTGCCAAGTGAAATGTTTTCTGTGTAGTTTAAAATAAATTTATGAATTCTACGCGTTAGTTTGTGATTTTTGCAAATAACATTTTTTGCGAAATTTTTAACGACTATTCATTCAAGCTTATTTTTTTGAAGAATTATGTTAGATCATATACCATTATTATTGTAAGGAATTATGTTTTATTCATTTTTTTAGGCTTGTGTAAAATTCAATAAAATGGAGCACCATGTCAGTATGTTTTTGATTGTACTGCTATCTGTCAGTGTAGTTCAAATTAATGGAGAATCTGTATTTAATTGGTTATGGGGTCAAAAAGTGGAAGCAAAATTAATTTCCAACGGGGTTCCATTACTTTCTGTTCCTTATGAATCATTAACAGAAGATGAAAAGTTTCTTAAGGAAGCAGCAAAGTTTGTATCTGACATTCAAATATCTTCACCATTAGAGGTTTGTCAGCACAAAGTTATATTGAAGATCAAAACATCATGTAGCAGTATGACAGAAGAGCAACTTGCTAAATTAAGTGTGAATTTACTTAACTGTCAGTCAGAAAGTGAGGGAAGAAAAACTTACCGTTGTACAGAGGACATGGTAAAAGAAGTTGAAATATTTTTTATTATTGTCTATAAATTAATAAGGATGTTACAAATTGGTAATGGCTATAAAGTTAATCAATAAATAATTTAAAAATTGTATGATAAATGCATTAAAAGTTTTAGCCTTGTACTGTATAGATCAGTTAGCTGACTGAATGTATTTGTCAAATTACTTTTCATTCATTCTTTGTTAATGCCTAACTTCAGCTTGTCAACGCTCTTTTTAAAATTTCTCCCTGCGTCCATAGATGTCCGTACGGTAGATGAGATGTAAAAGGGGTGATTCTGTGCAAGTTCAGACTTGCAACAAGTCACCCCTCTTTACATCTCCCAGTCAGTGTAAAGAGTTTCCTGTGCAGCTGCTTTCTTTTATATATCTAGCTTAAAATACAAAATTCTTCATCTTTGCTATTAATAATAATTTAATTTTAGCTTTATTGAATATTTTCAATTAAAGTGAATTATTTAACATGGTGTATTTTTTCAGACAATTAAACAATGTACAACAAACATGGATGCCGATACTTGGAATGCCTACCATTTGATGAGCAATCGAGCTAGGGCTGTGTGTTATGCAGCAAGAAGTCACCAGTTTCGTGCTTTGACTGAATTAACTGTTAATAAATTAATGCAATCTGCTCATTCTCAAATTGAAACTTTATCCTCATTGAAGGTATATACTAATAATCATTAAATTGACATAAATAATCGATCAATTTTCGTTAATTTTTTTTTAAATGATTGATTCAATTTTACCAGGAAAGTCAAGACCGTTTGGAAGAGCAGACACATGCTGCACATAAAATAATAGAGTCTAATATTGAGGATCTCACTGAGGAAAAAGCTCTTATTCGAGCAGGACATGAACAGCTAGCAGCCATGACTGAAGATATACAGAAAAAATTAGGTAAAAATAAAGTCAAAAAATATTTTATTCATTAAAGTCAATCGTAGTATTTCTTCTAACTGTTGCATCATTTTTTTTCAACAGAAAAGGCAAGTAACGAACTTTTAGAGCAAGCAGAAGAGCATGGTCAAAACCATGAAGAGATTATTGCAGATTTGAAAAGCATTCAAAATCAAGCTCAGCAACTGTGGGAAAAAATTGAAAGCAGTACCAATAGAATCATTCATCAGAATCAAGAAGCTGCTTCTCAGTATCAAGAAACTTTAGTTAAGCTTGAAAAAATCAATCAGACTATTGTTTACATATGGGACTTGACTAATAACATGAGAACTGAAATAGATAAAAAGTTAGGATGGATTACTGAGTACATTGGAACAACGGGTAATATTTATCTTATATATATATATCACAATCAATATTGTTAAAAGTTTTGAAATACTTGAAACAAATTGATTTACTTGCAGGAGAAAATTTAGAGAAAGTATATCGCATCACTTTGCACCTAGTTTACTTATTCGCAGCTATGGTTGTTGCAGCTTTTTTACAAGCCCCATTTTTAACAAGATCAGCTATATTAGGAATAGTTCCTCTGAATTTAGCTTCATATTTGAAACATGGCTTAAGTGCTTGTCTTGATTTTATTTCCATGTCAATGTTGATACTGCTAATAACTGCAAGTAAGAATAAGTTTTTTAAGTAAACTGTAATTTGTTGTTTAACTGTATCTTATTTACTCGGTTTTCCTCATTTTATTTTTTCTTTTAAAGTGCATTTCATTATGAGTGGCATACATTATTTATTGCGTCCAAAAGATGACAATGATAAAGAAAATAAAGAACAACAGTCTGCATCTTTTATTAATGGAACTACAGAATCAAATGGCTACACAAAAGTAGTCTCCCATACACATCAACATGCACCCAGACAATCTCTTGGACTTAGAATTGTGAATAACATTTATGATAAATGGGGTTACATCAACTATCAAATCACGCACAGCATAGGTAAATACATGAAATCATTCTTAACACAATGTAAATAAAGTAATTTAAAATACTAATTTAAATTTACTGTTTTTGCTATTGTGTAATATATGTATTGTACTCTGTTTAATATAAATAAATAAATAAATTCCATATTCTTCTAGTAAACTTAAAAAACATCAGCGATTCAATAGTATCTTGGATCCGCCAAAAGTTTGTTTCAACAGAGGAACTTTCATGCACGTATCTACCAGAAAGGCAACGTCGTGCGTACGTATCCGAAAGATATCCTAGCATATCAGAAGACAGTGCTGAATTTCCTGATGAACAAGATGGCAGTTATATCATTAGCGATGACGAAAGTAATACTAGTACTGTATTAAGAGCAAAATTCTTACAGAGAGATTCTCCACAACAAAATTTCCCGAAAGGACTTCGCGATTCTGCGATTCGTAATACTATGCATGTTCCTAGGGAATCTCTTAAGCTACGAAGGTACCTATAAACTAACATTCTTAACGATACATTCCACAATTAACTGAAGATTGCTTGTAATTTTTATACTATAAATACTTATGCAAATACAGTATTAATAATAAAAATTTGCTTCAAATTTTGTTGTAGCTTGAAACCTAAATTTTTAAGTACATTATAATCCTATAAATTATATTTCAGTTTTACACCAGTTATGACTAAAAGTGTTTGCGGAGCGACAACTCGAAGTGGAAATCCATGCAGAAATGTAATATCAAAGGATCAATTTTACTGCCATCGGCATACTTCAGGATCGTCAATAATAGGTGATTAGTTTGGATAGATAATTTTTCGTAATTGTACAAAGATATTTAATTTAATAGTGAGTATATTGCGGAAGAATCTATTTTTTTAAGTTATCAGACTGTGTAGTTAAACTACCTCAACTGTGTAGTTAAACTACCTTAACTACCTTGCGTAGAATAAGGATCGCAATTATTATATATTTATACTATTTTGTACAAAAACTCAATTTATCTCTTAGTCCAGTCTGATCTAAGCATCATTATTCAATGTTTATTAAGTGATATTTTTACATAAAACATGGTAATTGTATTAGGTGATTGTTTTTGTATGTGAAAGGTTGCGATTAATTGACAATTTCAAAATGCTAGCCTATATATATATATATTACAAGGTATGTGTAGAGAATGAATGCATCAATTTGATACCAATAAAGTTTAATTTTTATGAAAAATAATAATGAAGTATTTCAATGTGTAACTATTTTCGCAAATAGCGTATACAAGTAAAGCTAGCAGAAATTATTACCGACAAAATTTTTTTTATGAAGTAAAAATCTAAAGTATGCAACTTACGCATTGTTCGCCACAAAAAGAAATATGTTGCGATTCGTCAAAAAAAAAAAAGCTGTAATTAATTATTTGGTTTTCGACGATCAAAATATTTTACACAAGAATTTGCCTACCGATCGTTGGTATTTCAAAACTCAAGCCTCGGAAAATTCTTTACATTATATATATCTGTTACTGCTTGAATGGTAAGGAAAACGGTGGGGTAGTAAAAGCAGATCCCTTTTGCCGATCTTCTAAGCGACCTAGGGTCCGTTTACGCAGAGACGTCCGTCAACGCAGGGCTGGGATTAGAGGGATAAATAGAGAGGAACCCGCTCCCTAATAACCCGAAATTTTCCAAGCATTAAAAAAATTTTGGAGTATCCTTCACTGGTTTCACCCGGTTTGAAAAGAATTCATCAACGCCGTGAACATACAAACACGTCAATTATTATTGCAGCTCGTCAATAAATCACTAGAAACTTTTGAAAAGCCTTCATGAAAGAAATTGTTATAAAACATTCAGCAGCAGTGCACCATGTTATATTGGGTACAGTCGGCATTTTCCGTCTCCTCGATAAAGTCGTCGAAATCGTAGCCCGCTCTATAGATCAGCTCCCACAAATTGCAATAATTTCTGCCGTCGTCGAAAATGCTGTACCAGTGTCTCGCTTCCGATTGAGCCTAAAGCAGCAATTGTTCTCAATCAATATCAAGCGATTAGCAACTGAATTCAGCCACTATCATGTCAACCATAGCTATGCAGCCGGAATCGGTCGAGTTGGCAAAAACGATATGGATACAATCGATTGCATTGGTTTTCGGCTCGACGCGTGTCGCCTTTATCGTAAGATAATCCCCGTCGCTTGTCTGCAACCGAAAAGCTCCGTGTTACATTCTCTCCCGCAAAACGAACCAAGCAAAAGCCATACCTCGTCTTCGACGTTTTGTATCTGCTCTCGCAACTTCGGTATGACCGAGTCGCATCCCTCGACGAACCGCCTGCAAAGGGAAAACACGCATGTTTGTTGTATCGAGAAGCCGAGCGAGCGACGGCGTATATTTTTCCAAGCGGAGGCGCAGCACACGCGGCTCAAACAAATAGATGCCAACGTCGGCGTCCTTAAATCGCCTATCGTCGTCGCGTTACCATTGGACCAAGCAAGAGGCGCGCAGTGGGTAGGGGAAACTCGACTCGACTACCACTGCCAGCAGAATTGTCGCTAGCAACAGGAGCAGGTGCCGCAGGAGCGCCTTGGCGTTGCCCGTGCGCCCGAGCCACGGCACACTTTTTCTCGGCGATGTCACGAGATCTGCCGAGCGACCGGACCCGTTCGATACGTTCCTTACGAGGCGCGCTCCAAACAACGCACCTATACGCACCTTCGAGTATTGTCAACTTTCGTTTCTGTACATGGAGCTTCGCGTCGTTGCTCAGCACGCGATGCTCGACCGGATGTATCCTCAGTCTTTCTAGTTTCAGAGCTGAGAACTCGGAGCAGCGCCAAATAGTCGTCATGGTATTCTTCGCGCGCGCAAAAAAAATCGTCTTGAGAAAACAAACGCCGAACGGAAGTTATGGCCGCGACGAACTTCGAAAAAAAAGCCCATCATATCGTAATAACGAGACGCGCCGATAGTCCGCCGGTTAACCGACGTTGCATCCCGCGCGTTTTCGGTCGCGCTTGCCGACGAACGGTTGTATACGAGCTCGCCGAGTAATATAGCACGTGAGAATGGCCACTGGGCAAAAAAGTACATTTATTCGAGGCGTTTTCCTGGCAAAGGGCAAAATGAAGAGACTCCAAAACGAGCACACGCGTTTTCCACGAATGTGGGTCACCCTGCGCGATGAATGCCTGCAGTGCCCCCCCCCCCCCCCCCCCACCTTTTAACGGGAAACCTCTGCTTTAAGTCTTCTCAAAACGCAAACTCGAAACCCATCGCGCTCAAGTCGTGAAGCGGATTTTGCGTAGTCTTTTGTTTCGGTGGGAGGACCGAAAAACGAGGAGCTGCTCTTTCTCTCGTTCTCGATCATCGATCAAGCACTGCGTCAAGCAGCTGCGTCATATGGGCGGAGTTCCCCTCATTTCCATTAACGCGGACCCGGGGAATTTATATAATGCCAGCGCCTTTTTTTTTACCCGTTTGTGCCATCTTCTTTTTCGTGATGGCGACGTATGTCGTGTGGCTTTGTTCGCTTCGATAAAAAACTTGACAAAGTAAGAATATGCAAAAAATCTTACTGATCCGTGAAATCGAATATCCATACAAGGCGTGACTGAGGTTGACGTACTCCATAATTATATAAAATAATTTTAGAAAACAAAGCCACCAAAATTGATTGGCAATAATTCAATTACTAGTCAGCTGGTCGTTGAAGTGATTTCGTCCAGAATTTTGCTGCATATCGCGCGAACAATCGAAGTAAATAATTGATGGAGCTGCCGCTGGCCGCAACAGACGCATAACTAGAGGAAAATTGAATCTTGTTTCCAACGGATGCTACGCGAACAGCCGAGCAAAAGTTACGCTATCCTCTTAAAAAATCCGAGCTCACGGCAGAATGTCCATGCTCGGAGCGGTATGGAGGGCGCGCGGGCAAAGCGATCTCGCATCGGCGTAACACGAGAGAGCAAATATTATGGTAGAAAGCCACACACGGCTCCCTAGAGTCAAGAGCAGAGCAGAAGGAAAACAAGCCCGCGCGCGCACGATAATCCGGAGGTGGATGCGCCGAGGAAGTACTAAATTTCTCGGCGCTCGCCGCCGCGCGACCGACCGATGCAGCCGAGAGATCGTGGGAAACGGCCGCGTGCGCGTCTCCAACAGCGGCGTCGTCGCCGTCGGAGGCGCGCGACTTTCGCGGCTCGTTCGTCTTGCGCCTCGTGCCGTCGCCCTTGCAAATCGTCGCGCCTTTCCGAACGGCATTCACGATAACTTTCGCCGAACTAGATTGCGCTCACAGCCGATTAAAGATCGTTTTTCGGAATAAATTGCAACCATTTGAGCATCTTGGTCAAACCAAGATACTGATCAATCACCCTCAAAATAACATATTCTTCCAGGTATGTTTTCCGATATTGTCAAGATTACGTCGTTGGTTACAGCTCAAGCAGGCTGTAATCGATATAGGTTTGATTTTTTCCATTTTATCGGCTCGATGATTAACATGTTTCAGTTAGCAGTGAGTCGTGATTTATGAAAAAATAGAACTGAAACTTGGGTGTCGTTGTGAGCATAAAATGAATAATAATCGTGAAAGGAACTCGAACGCTTAATCGCATTCCTTCAATTTATGACGTTTGAATCGATCGGGCAAATGTTATTTCCAAAAAAAGGTGCGATTCGTGCCAATAATAAATCCATGAACTTGCGACGGGCGCGCAATGCCGGCGAGTCTTCGACTCGGAACTCCATTGCTACTCCGAAAGCAAACTTTTGACAGAGCCGTTACAGCGTTCCTCAATGTCGTTGCGCACCTGGGCCGAAGGCGTGGCGACACCTGCCGCGTCTCACCTGACCAATCGCGACGAGTGTCGATGCCATTGGTCGCTTAGCCGCAATGGCTCTCTAAGCGATGGAGCTGTGTCGCACGTGCGACTACACCGAAGATTTACAGTCGAGAATTGGGTGCAAGCCTTGTTTTTTTAAACAACGCGCTGCAACGCGTTGTCGTCGTAAATCGTGTGGCGAAGCAAAGTAGTGCCAATGAAAAGCGCACTGCTGCAGAGGAACCTGAGCAAATAGTCGAGGAGCGGCAGCGCCGTCGCATCGCGTAATCCTCGGCGACGCTCTTGCCCCCTGAAAATTCACGTACTAATTCATCGGGTGGTGTGAGAGAGATTCCGGGAAGGCCGAGAGAGTGAGCCCTCATACGACCTTGGCGAGATCCTATAAATAATTCCTCGGGCTTTTTAGTTTTCTCTCGGAGAGAGTGCTCTCGAGCGATTTATCGGTGGGCGCATCGCTCTCCCTGTTTTTTCACCGTAGGAAGGATATAGCCGCTCCTCGTTGCTCTGCTTCTCGTGTACGCACGACGACCAAGCTCGAGGAGCGATTAGTGCTCGCGATAATCGCCAGACAGGTGGTCGCGATAATTGGCCGACGCGACTGGCAAGCTGGCGGCGAAACGAGGGCAATTTCCAATTGGATCGGTTCTCGAATCGCCGCGTAGTGCCGTTCGAGCGTTCGAGCGTCGTCGCTATACTCCAAGACCCTCGCAGGCGGTCCGGGGGGCAGCGCGTCCGGAGCAAAAGAGGCATACGAGCGCCGGGGCCTCACGCGTGCGCGCGACAATTAAGAATGCACTCGGCGCCGACTGCGCCCTTTAATCCTTCGCATCGTTCCGCCGACCGTCGGCGGACCTCGAGTGCCATGGGGCTGTCCTCGCTTGCTCGCTCGCCTTCCGAGAACAGGATACCGTGGCGCACACGTGTTGCTCGTCAAACGCTGCCGCATCCATTGTCTCGCGCGTCTGTTTCTCCTCCTCCTACCTCCTGCAAAGCAACGCGAGATTTGGTATTCTCTTCTTTGGCCGAGGGCAGGCCGGCCGAGTTTGCGCGAAAGCCGCAAATAGCGGTTCTTCTTCTCGGGTGATAATGGATATGGACTCTTTGATGCCTCGTCGATGCACACGTGCATGCTTCCGCTTTCGAACGGGATTTTTCCCTCTTTACGTTTCAGCTGCGATTGTCGTTGGCCTAACTTCCATCGCGCTCTCGTTAGTTCGCGATGTCTTCCCTTCGCTTGAATCGAACAATTGAGAGGCGGCCGCGGAGCGAAAGGGTCCACTGCCACGCGGAGCAGGCGACGACAATCGCGTGCGCCAGTCCGCGCATCGAACTCCCGCGCGCTCAGCGAAGAGCAGACGAGCGAGTGCCTTCCGCGACAATTCCCACGCGTCCTGAAAACCGAGTGATCGTCAATCGCAACTCGCTCCGCGCGAATGTCAAGGCCTGGGGAAGCGAGAAGCAATTTTTTCGCTGGCAATGGCGTCGCGAGCGCTGCTACGGCGAAAATAAACGAGTCGCCGCGCTGCGACATGTGTTCGCCAGACGTCGCCTCCAAGGTGCATGGGAGAGTGGGTTACGTTTTGTTGCCGATTATCGCGCCTTACGCGGAATTTTTCTGTTTCGTTACGTCGCTCCCGCCGCTCCGCCGCGACTATTTGTTGGTCTTGGCCGCAATCGTGAACGCTCGACGCGCAGATGATCCGAGGCGCGCTACGCTTTCCGTTCGCTCGGCCTTCGCAATTTATTCGCGTGTCGCGTACTACTGCCGGTAGCGCGTAGATCGACACCAGCTCTGCCGAAGGAAAAAATCTATGAAAATATTTGCCAAGTAATTTTCGTGTTTGTTCGGCATTGCCGACAGCGTGTAAACAGTCGTTATCCGCAAAGCTCGCAATGCACTCAGCTTCCGTGCAGATAAGATAAACGATGTTATCAAGGCTCGACAGCCGTCGTGAGCACAAACAGCGAAGAAGACAGCGGAGAGGGCCAACCCTCCGGGGGAGAGAGAAAAAGGCGGAGGAAGGTGGGGAGGGCCAAAGGAAAGGCCGGCATTGTCGGGACAATGGCGAGTGTCTTCGGGCACTTGGAGATTCTAATCGCACTGGTACCAGCAAGCCTCGTAATCGCCCGCTGGTCTCTGCAGTCCGTTTCTCGCGCGGACACTGCTCTCGTGTGCGCTACTTACCGGGTCCCGACTCTCATTATTCACTTGCTCCGCCGACCCGACTCTTTCGTGCTTTCCTCGACGAACGTCCTCGGCGATTTCGGGCGCGTCTACTAAGCACCTCGCTACTTTGCCCGGAGTTGCTCTTATTCCACGGATGGTCTTCCCCTCGGTAAGGTGCTCTGCCCTCTCAGTAGCGCTGATCTTGTCTCTCCCTCGAGTGGCTTTATCGTCCAAACGGCAGCTTATCTTGACTAGAATGAGTCTCGTGTTATCGTGTTCCTCCAAAGAAAGATTACAATCTGCTTCTAACCTGACCGCTCCGCTATCCACTTGCCCGGCTTTGTACCTGCAGTTTTGGCTGGCGGAACATGTGTTTGCGAGGCATGTGCCTCCGACGGCGCCCAGGCCTTTTTAGAGCAAGTGCGCGCGGACCATGTTGCCGACATGTGACGGGGATGATCCTCCGACCTGTTGTCGCTTTTGCCGCGGTTTGGCTTTTAAATCTCTTTATTGGATTTAAAAGGCAGCGCTTTACCCAAAAAATATGCCGTCAAATTTGTGATTTACCTGTCGAAATTGGTTTTCCCGTTGAATCCACTGACTGCGTTTCTCCACCGAGATCTCATTTTTTGATGCTTTTCTCCAATATATGCTCTCATCATTTTGCAAAGTTGAATTGAATTTCAATATCATCAAAAATATAGGCGAAAAAGAAAAAAATAAGCCGAGTTAAAAATGTCCAAAAAGACGAAAAATCAAAATTGATAAACTACTTCTCGACGATCGCCAAAAGTACCATGCTAACCCAGCAGCAACTCGAACCAAGCATCGATAACGAGCTTATCAGCAAAGCCAATCAATAGGTCATAGACACACTCGTGGCGAGGAAGAGCGTCGAACAGCCCAGAGGACTGGTGGACGCGAACGAAAATATTTGCGTTTTGAAAGCCATAGGGCGGAGTGCAGTGTGTACGCGTGCAGTAGGTGGAAGCGTTCGAAGGGATTGCCCGTTGCAAAATATTATTACAGATATTGTTACCTGCGTACCCCACGTGTTGGCCAGGTTGACTTTCAACTTTAGAGAGGGCGAGCCGAGCTTCGCGTTTGACGATGGTAACTTGAAACAGCTATAAATCACCGGATATTCGCTGTTAGGATAACAATTTGGTGCGATCGTCGGCTACTTGTTTTTTCTAGCAATCAAGTATTTAGGACACCAGTTCTTTGTTTGTGCTGGGACATCGAACGATAAACTTGTGCATTCATCGCGGAGAATAGAATCCTAACAAATCGACGGTATTGTTGCACAACAGCAGCGACGCGATATTAACATGGATTAAGAATAATAGTGTAGCTCTTGATAAGAGATCGTTGACGATCCCAGCAAGCATAATTTTACAGTTGCACAGGCGAGGAAGGAAAGGGAGTGTCGGCGAGGTGGAATCTTACGGCTTTCAGCGCTGCACAATGTAGTTAATGCCCAACACAAGGAACAAAAAAAGGTTAACAGTGCCCGAGAAAGCGACGTGCCAAGCGACTTCTTCGGCCGGCGCGCTAGAAGAAAAAACCAGGTAAACGCGGGCCAGCATCATAAAGCGAGAGGATCGGGTCGCATGTGCTGCTGGTAGCTTTCACAATTGGGGGGGCCATAGCCGAGCATAATAGGCCATGTGTTGGACACGAGGCGCGCAGACTTCCGACGCCTGCGTGCTTTTCCCGGGGCCCTGGGTCCGCAGTGATATTTGCATTTACGAGTGGTCCCTCAGTCTCTTGACGGCTCGGCGGTGCACGGCCCCGGCGCGGCCAGCGGCTCTCGCCGCCTGTCCAACATGTGTCGCGCGAAAATCCGCCTCGCCTCAATTGCCGACACATGGCCAACATGCCCGCCGAAGGTCACCGCTTTTATGACTTTCGCGCGGCAGATAGCTCCCGGCCGTACCTATCCTCGGCTGCGCGTTCTTTCTCACGGCGCATTGACCGAGGCGTGCTGTTGTTCGTGCACCGGGCGCGCAACGAGGATTTATGCGAGGCGCGAATAAGGTGCGCGCGATGGCAGGTTCGCCCGACGGCCCGGTAAGTGCGTAGCTGCGTGGCTGTGAAGCCATTGGGGCTCGCACTTGTTGGCGACTGGGAAAATTCGCGCAAACTCCGCACGTTGCGTAACCAATCAACGACCATTTTCACAATCTAACGCAACGACGATCAACGTTGCGCGTTAAAGAAAAGAAAAGAAATAGAAAAAGAAGAAGAGGGACGATCCAAGTGACCGTCCAATCCAAAATATTGATGGCCAGGTAGAGCGTGGAGAATTCATAAAACTATGGGGAAACCCCAAATTCAGGTGTCTTATATACAGCAGTCGAGGGTCACGGTACGTCCACAACCAGCAAGGCAATTAGCGTACTTTGCTTTCTCTCTCTCACTTTTGTTTGCGCTCGACGAGAGGATTTGCCGCGCTCCGCGGGTGGTTGTTTTACTTGCTGGTACTTCTCTGTTTGCACGCGCCTTTTCGCGCGCGGTCGCTCGATCGACCGGTTTCCGTTGCAAAGTCTCAAGCGTACCAATTGAAAGGTTTGCCATTGATTATCTCGTTAAATAAATATTAATATATTTAATAAATATAAAATAATATAAATTCGAGGTCCTTTATTAATATTATTTTTAATAGCGTCGATCGCTGAAAATCGTGCTCTCTTGCAGTGATTCGAATATTTCAAATAAATCTACGAGACAATGGCATCGATATTTCGAAGGACAAATTGAAAAAAATACTTTTCTCTCTTGTTCGCTGATCTAGTTGTCTTTGGCAGCTATCCAGCCAAGTCCCAAGTCATCGAGCAATCGCGAGAGCGCGCGCGCGCGTGCGACCGATAACTGCTTGGCACTGCGAATAAATACCATAAATTTGAGCAGAGTCAAATATCTCCGGGCCTTTTCGCACCTCGGCGCGCCCACTCGGCCAGAAAGTTTAAGTCCAGAAGTGTGAAAGGACTCGGAAGGGACTCTTGATGACTATCCGATTTGGAGGCTTTCAAAAGGGTTTTCCGCTATGCGCTCGCAAAGTTGCCGATGTTCCTTCGTGCGTAAAATTGCCATTCGCACTCGTGCGTCTTTTGCGAGTGAACTGTCGATAACGCGGCTCTCGCGCGCAATCAACGAAGAGTTGCAAGTTCTTTGCGAGCTCGACGTCGTTTTTCATCGCGAGCATCGATTAACCATCGCCGGGAAAAAGGAAGAAAGCGCTCCGCCTTCGATGTCCGTGGCGGCGCATTATTTTTAGAGGCTCAACGAAATCTTCAATATCTCGGCGGGCGACGCGGCTCGATTACGCGCTCGCGCGCTTCTTTGTCGGGCCACGGAATTTCGGCGAGCGGGCGCAGAAGCGGCGGCGGTGTCTATTTTCGGCAGTCGATTTTTCTCCCCTTCGCGCGCCGCTTCTGCATATTACGCCGACGCGGCGGCGGCGGCGGCATTTTTCGAGCTTCTTTATTCCGCGGGAAAATAGGCCGCTAATTTTACGTGCGCGCGCGCGCGCCTTTGTTCGACGTCTCGTTTGGCAGTCCTCATCTCGTCTCAGCGCGCGACAGCGCGCGTTTTTCACTTCGCCGCTGCAGTCTATAACTTTGACTGACAGCTTGACTTGTTTTCGCGCGATGCATCTCGCGCGTTTTGGCTTGCTCTATTTGCTTTGTCTTTCGCCTTGTAACTTCCAGCAGGAGAGACGAGGAGAGTCGCAACTGTTTTGCTCCCGCTGCATTTCTTTCTTTCGCTCCCTTTTTACGTTATTTTTCATATGTCCGCTGTCGAGTTTATTCTCGAATTGACTGTTGCGAGTGCAGTCTACCTCCACCACCTTCCCTCATTGGACAGAGCTTTCAAGGTCGAGCACTTTTCACGCGAAACGCGCCCGCGACGGCCGACAATCGTACGTTTTCAATCATTACTGTTATCCACTTTGAAATGCATCAATTCAGTCGTTGTTCGCGCCGCCATTCGACGAGAACCTCCAATGGAAAATTCAAGAGCGAGGGTTCTGCTTCGACACTTTGCTCGGCTAGACGGACTTTAGAACTTTCGGATCGCGAGGCGTACAACTCTAAAAGTTAATTACAGCAAGAACTCAAAAATATGCGCAACGCCGTTTGCCGAGCAGGTCGCCGAAACGATCGCATCGACGAGCTGTAAAAATGTAAAGCGGCGCGATGATCATTAGTCGACACGCTACGAAACGAGCACGACGGGGGGTAGCCATGACAATCCGATCCCGCGATGATCTTCAAAAAGGGCTTAAGCGAGCTGAATTTCAGGTGAGATCCGCGATAATCGCGAGGTCGAAAAGTCAGGCGGCCCACGGCAAGAAGGCAAGAAACGTCCGGCGAACGGCGAAAAATGGATGGCGGCAGAGGAGAAAGACAATGGGCAGCTCGGCCGCGGCGCGTCCTCCCCCGCTCGGCCGCGAGCGCGCCGTGGAGGGGACGGGCGCGCGGCGCGAACGGTAGGCGGAGCGGCGGCCGCTCGCCTCGTCGCCGCGCCGCGGCGAACTCAGTCTCGATTCCGCAGCCGCAGCCGCAGCCAGCGCGCCAGCAGCGATGCCCGGAGCTTTGCGCACTCTGCCGCTGATGTTCCAGGCCAGGATGCAGCAGCAGCAGCAGCAGCAGCAGCAGCCGCCGACGAGCGAGCCGTACGGCGCGCCCTTCTACTCGGCGCTCGGCGACAGCTCGGGCATCCCCAACAGCGCCGGCAGCTCGGCCAGCAACTCGCCCGACCACCACTGCTACTCGCCGCGGGCGCGCGGCGCGCACCTCGTCGACCTGTCGGCGGCGCCCGCGGCGGTCCAGCAGCTGCACTACGCCCAGCCCAAGCTGCCCGGCTTCCAGCACCCACTGTTCCAGCAGCAGCCGCAGCCGGCCTACACCTACGACGGCCTCGAGGACAAGCTCGGGCCCGTTAAGTTCTACCAGGAGCCGGAGCTGGCCGAGCACGCCGGCTACCTGTCCTACTCGCCCGCCAGCGACGCGGGCGCGCCCCCGGCGCCGGCGCCCGTCTGCTACGGCGCCGGCGAGCTGGTCCGGCTGAAGACCGAGCCGGGGGCGGCGCCCGCGCCCGCGCCGCCGGTCAAGCGCGAGCCGGCGCCGGCGCGGCCGGGGCCCGCGCGCCGCAAGCGCGCCGCCAGCGAAGCGGAGAGCGACGAGTCCGGCGCCTCGTCCTCGTGCTCGGGCCGCTCGGCCAAGCTGCGCCGGCGCAGCGGCGCCACCGAGGAGGAGCTGCACCAGCAGCGCGCCATGGCCAACGTGCGCGAGCGCCAGCGCACGCAGAGCCTCAACGACGCCTTCTCGCTGCTGCGCAAGAGCATCCCCACGCTGCCCAGCGACAAGCTCAGCAAGATCCAGACGCTGCGGCTCGCCGCCAAGTACATCGACTTCCTGTACCAGGTGCTGCACTGCAACGTGGACGTGGAGGGCGCCGAGGAGCTGGGTGAGTGGGCCGGGCGGCGGCGGCTGCGGCGGCGGCGGCGGGACCCCCGCGGCCTGCCTCTGGCGATCGCGTTCGCGCGCTGCCGGGCACTCGACTAACACCGACCTTTCCGCGTGCTTCACAGGCGAGCGCAGCGCCAGGGGCGCCGTCCTCGCGGCGGCGCGCGACGTCGCCGCCTCCTCGCAGTCGTCGACCTGCACCTTCGTGGCCCATGAGAAGCTGGCCTACGCGTTCAGCATGTGGCGGATGGAGGGCGACTGGAACGCCGGCTGCTGATCGGCCGCTCCTCGCCCGCTTTGCCCGCGCGCAAAGCGCCGACCGACGAGAGCTGCGCCCGAGCGCCTTCCCTCCCGGCCCCCGCCGCCGCCGCCGTCGTCGTCGTCGTCGTCGTCGTCGTCGTCGTCGTCGTCGTCGTCGGGGCTCACCTCGAGCGTCGGGCGACCTCGCTGTCGCGCCCGCGCCATACAACAAGTCTGCCAAAGAGACGCCTGCTCGTCACTTCGCTGCATTACCTTGCGCCGTTCGGACGAATGGAGCGCGTACTCGTAAGTCTTCCCTTGTAAATAGAGCGTTTGTAAATATAGTCGTAGCACGCAAACCGGCCGGTCGCTGCATTAAAACCCGTTATTTATTAGGGCGCCGCGCGGATAATTGGACGCCTTTGTACTCTGCGAGCTCGCGGGCGCGCCGGTGGTGCGCGTGAGTCACGCGCCGGATTTACCGTTGGATGCTGGACATTCTGGCTTTTCGCGGCCCTCCCGGCCGCCGGTCCGCGCCTACGCGAGCGTCGCTTTTCTCTGGTTCCTTCGCGCTCCGCCAACCCGGGACACTGTCTCCTTCGCGGCAACTATGCTGCAGACACTTGCAGCCAATGTCCGTTCGATCGCTGCATCTCAAGATTCTTCCTCAATTTTTCTTGCGCTAGTTCGTCGACTTAGAGTTAAGAATGTCATTCCTCTATGCGATAACATGTACAGTATTTTTCATGCTCAATTTAAACTTTGTTATAATAAAGTAAGAAACCATTTCTAAGTACGCCTTGTGTTCTTCCTTCATTACATCGCATCGTCCTTCGATTCTTTTCCAGCCCATTCGAACTTGTTTTTATTGAAAATTCCGTTTTTTCTTACCTCCCGTTTCTAATCAACGCAAGCCCCATTCAAATTAGACGGCGAGCCTCGAAAAAATTCAACGGATTAATTCTGGAGCCCACGGCTAATAGGGGAAGAAGAGCGCGCGCCAGTGCAAATATTGTTGCAAGCGGCGCGCGAGGAAACGCGCGCACGGTAAGTAAACGGCCGCCTCTCGGCCACGTTCATTGGCTAGGCGATGGTGTCATCGCTGATCGCGCTTCGGCCAATCCGAAAAAAGCGGCGACTGCTACCATTTTTTCTTCTTTTTTACGAGGTTAGATTATCCCTCGTCGTCGCGCGTACGCTTAGGTCGGCAATTTTTTCAAGACGAGTAAGCTCCGTGCGCCGACGGGAAGTTTGCCTTCGTCGATTTTTACGAGTTTGGATTCCGAATGCGCGCGCTCTTTCCTTCAGTTATGACGCAATTCTCTCGGAAGATTTCGTCGGATTGCAGAAATTGCTGCGTTGCTTGATAAAATAATTTGCAAATATTTGGTCCGACTTGTGGTTCGTTGAGCGAATTGAAAAAATGAATTGTCATGTCCGTCATCGACGATCGCCGCCTGTCGAAGAAAATAATCGAGCGCGCGCCGCATGGTCTCGAGGCGAGGCGCAAGCCTTAGCCAATTGCGGGCGATTTATTCCGAGCCGCGACGATATTTCAAGAACAATAAACAGTGCAGTGACTCTGGAGGGGGAAGGAGCCGGGCCCGTTAAAATCGGCGTGCGCGCGACACTTAAAATCCGCAAGCACCTAGTGAAAGCGGCCGATACGCCCGTAAAATTCGCGGCGCTGATCTACGAAGCGTGAAGGCGCCCTGGACAAAGCTTTAACTACGGGCTTTTACGCGCGCATCGCGTCTCGCTTGCGACGGACGCCGGCTGGAAGGAGACACGGCTGATTATTACGGGTCTCTCTCTCTCTCTCTGGCGCCGCGCGGCCCGCGCCAAAAACTACTCCGCGAGGAAGTCGTTCGCCCGATTAGTCGAGCTCGCCTCGGCTCTCTTCGCTTGATGCCCGCGGCCCTTAACTGTCAAAGCTCCGCTAACGAACAGCCTGCCTGCCGACTTCCTTTTTCCTTTCCGTTGGGCGCAATTAGCGAGTTGCTTTTTCGGCAAGCGCCATTTCGCGCGCAGCGCTGCGAAAAAAACTTTCGACGTTTCGGCTTGCCCGATTGTCGGGCGTACGGGCTAAATCAAGCACTTGACTTCTTGACTTATAATGCCGGGCTCTCTCGTCAACAAAACAGGTGATTTTCCCGAGAAGCCTATTTTCAGGCGCACAGCTCGAGTAAAAAAGCAGAACTGTTTACGAAGCCAGCCCATCTCGAATAAAGGTAAACACATAGGCAGCACAAATTATATATAAACCTTCGAAGCGAAGCTTCATTTTTTTTCTCTATCTCGTCTCGGCGTAACACGACACAGCCACGTAAGAGGGCAAAAAATCGTCAACGACGAATCAATCGGTTCCCTCGCGTTTTTTTTCGTCCTCCTCCTCCTCCTCCTCCTCTCGACCTTTAGCCGCGCACTCGAAATGCCACTCAAAGCATCAAGAGGCGCGCATGAATTCAAAAAAAAGAACGACACGGGCTCGTAGATTTGGGAAATGACTGATGGGTTATCCGTCAAACGATCGCCGGCATACGCGTACGTAAAAAAAACGCCAAGAGCAGCGCTGTCCGAAGCTCCGGCTCCCACGCTCCTCTTTTCCCTTCCAGATTTTCGGTAGGAGGCCCGATGCAGCCCTTTTATGGCCCTTGCGGGAGTTGATCTGTGCACGGCTTGTTTATACTCGTTAAAAACGCTTTGTGCATCAATGCTATGCGTTCCAGCGCAACTATGTTTCCTTTCGATTTTTTTCACGAGAAGATAAAAAAAATAACTCGATTGGGAGAATATGCTTTTCGGAATTTCTCTTCTGAAACGGACTCCGAGCAATCTCCGATAGCAACGATGCGTCTCATTGAGAAATCGCGCAGCGCACGTCAGCTGCCAAGCCGCCTCTCGACGAGACGAGAAAAGGTGATTAGAATTTTTCCACTCGACGCGTGCATCAAGGTAATGGAAGCGGCTCCGCCCTTGCGCAAGGACATTATTCTCACAGGACATGACAGCTGCGAGGCGGCGAACGGAGAAGAAAAAAAGGAAAAGCGACACCCTCGCGGGGGGAGGGGGGCGAGTTTCCATGCCCACTCGATCCACCCATCTCGCGTCTGGCCATCGCTTCGCTGGTGAGCTGCTTCTCGTCCCGTTGGACCGAAGAAAAGCACGGTTCTTCGTTTCTCTGGAGAGAGGGTTGCGCGCGAGGAGAGTGCAATCCGTTGTTCTCCGGCCTCGCGCGACGACATCTGTTTCCGTCTTACGGCTGCGCGAGTTATGTCACTGTACGTGGATTTATCGCCTCGCGCGACACCGTCGCTCTCCGTTACGTACAAAGAGTGCCTCGTTCGATTGCCAAGGCGCTTCTTTTCCGTCGCGGTGAAATCACGCGAGAGCGAGTGTGCGTTCGGCGCGTGAATACCCAACGCAACGTTCCCAGATGGAAAAGAAGAAAAAAAATGGCGCAAAGGCCGGGCGAGCATTCGAACGAGAGTTGCAGTGGAGCACATCTCGAAGCGTCGCGGAGGAGACCCTCGGCTCGGCAAAAGAAAAACAAAATGGCACACAGGAAGTCCGACCCTCCGCGCTTGGCCGGAAGCGACGGGATCCTCCCTCCTCTGCGCGAAGCGGAGCCCCCGTGGTCATGGTAGCGCGCGTGGCGAGCGGCTCCTTTCCTGGAATCGGCCTATCGCTCTCGGGGCCCCGGTCCTCCCCTCCGCGCCGCGCTGGAATTCATTAGCACCGGGGCCTCGTTAGCCGACCCATAATGAGCGTGGCCCGGTAGCAGTGGTGTCCTGTTCCACTTCCTGCCGCGTCGTCGCGCCCGGATTTCGGCGAAACAAAGAAGATGCGTCTTCGCCGAAGGCGCAGCGCGGATCCCGCGCTGTCGCGACTCTCTTCACCTTTCGAGCGCGAGGTTCTCGCGACAAATCCTACGAGTGCGAAGGGGGCGGGCGGGCCCACGTGGATCTTGTTTGGCGCCTGCGAGCGACTTAGTCGCGCTGCTCTGATTTTTTATGGGCACGGTGGGCGCGGTGGGCGGCGCGCGACGACGATTGACTAGGTTGGCGCCGCCGTTTCTTTTTCTTCCTTTGCTCTCGTTGCGTATGGCAGGCCGATCCGCTAATTAGGGAATCCGCTCGGCAGCGCGCGGCGTCCGCTGTTTGAGGCGAGTGTTTCCACGCGCGAAGTGTATCGAACGAGAAGCTCTCGGGCTTCGCGCACCGATCGCGGCAGACACGCCAAGAGGAAGAGCGCGCGATATTTATCGCCGCGAGAGCGAAGAGCCGAGAGTGCGTGAAAGTGGCGAAGAGCGCCGCTGGAAAAAGATAAACGAACGGCGGCGGCCTCGGCTTCCGTGTTATTTCGCGCTCGGATAAATTGCCCTTTGCTTCTTTTGCGGCATGTTTGCGTGGATTAACCTCGAGGCCTTTCGTTCAAGTTTTCAAGTTCGTCTCCGCGCATTTTCGTCGCTTGTCGATGGGATTAATTATCGTTTCTTTGACGTTCTCGCTAGTGAAAAATTATTCTCACGAGTCCATCACAACGGACTAGTTTCAATTCGCGATACGGATAATTCTTTTTGACATGCTCAGGCAGCGATCGCGGTCTCACATCGAGCCAACGAACGAATCTCAGGAAATCTATGCTGCTCATCCTTCCTCTTCACTGACTGCGGACAACGCGTCCATTCATTTACGCGATTGTATATCGTGCATTTCGATATATCTCGTGCATGTAGCAAATGCTCCTCGCAAACAATTTTTATTTCGAGGTAAGCAGATCAACTTTTAGTCGAATATTCGCTTATATATTTACGTGTTTAAGTGACAGTTGAACTCAAATGGTTGCTCATTCCACAAGTTTACGTCATGAAAATATCGAGGGATGGTCTCTTTATCGGAAGCTTGCTTCTAGGTATATCTTTACGGTATTTTTGATTATTGACCAATGCTAGCGGTTGTGAGCAACAGCTAAAATTGCGTTTCTTTTTACAACAGTTTTAAAAAGTGATACGGAAAGTAAAGGTCGAACGTTTTGATTTGGTACTTTGTACGACAACAAAATAATGAAATTTTTGCAACTTTCAATCCTGAGTAAAAAATCGTAAAATTTAATCGTACAAGATATTAATTTGACGATCTTGATTTCTACTACATCCATGTCACTTTTTTAATATTATTATAAATCGTATCTATAGATTGAGCAGAAGAATGCAACCTAAATTTTGAGCAAAAAAACACAAAGATAAAAGAAAATACTAAAAATTAATTTAAAATAAGTATGTGAGAACCACGAAATATTAAAAACTATTAAACAATGTCTCTGTAAATAGTGCTTCAATAAGAATAAAGAAATAAACCTTTCCTTAATTTTGATACGCAAACTATAGGTAGATAAATCATTTAATAAGCGGTGCTGCTTTTAAAATTTGTAGTAGTTTCTCTGGATGAATTATTCCCATCTGTTGCGATAATTGTTTTGATTGAAAAATGCTATTTCTTTTCTTGATCTGTAGGCATAAAGTACCGCATAGTTGCAAATCGTAAGTCTTTCAACATTCCAAAGCAGCATCGAAATAAAACAATACAATAATATAGTAATAAAATGACATAATAATAAATACAATGTTGGAATTTGTATACAAGGTCTTTTCTTCATTTATTTACAACAGTAAGCATTTGGTGAGTACTATTAATCCTTTGGAGAATACAATCTGGTAAAACCGTGAGTTCGTCGGCCCGTATTAATGTTACGACCAATAAACTCATTTTCGGATATAAACTATATTCGAAAATGAGCACGTATGGCCAGGTCAGTCAATGGATTGACGTCGTTAATCGTTACGTTTTTCCTTTGAATTAATATAGCGAAAAACCTTTATTCTGCACAAAAAATAATTTCAGTTATTTACCTTTAACGGTTCAAGACCGTCAACAGCACTCATGGACTACGACGAATGAACCAGGTAAAAATGGGGATCTCACCCGATACGAGCCGTATTGTTGCATCGACACAAGTCATACACGCCGTTTTTTATACAATCGTCTGAATCTTTGCTATCGTTTTTACTTGCTAAGTAGAAAGCATTTGTTATTGCCTCTTCTGTTCGCAGCTCCCTGTGGCAACAAAGGCATTTGTTACAGTTTAAAAATCATGCAATCAATCAATCATAACTATTTTATTCATATTTAATCACTAGATTGCCTACTTATTTGATACTTCTCATGTCTCGTCGCACTCGAATTTTCTCGCTGTAAAAATCTGCTCCATTTAGCTAATGGCAAGGTAAACATCGACTATAAAATTCCGATAGGCCGAATTCGTACTTTTTATAAAACAATTTTATTTGATTGCAAAATGCTATTTCAATGAGTCTTGTGGCTTCTCACTAGGGATTTCAACAAAAATATATCTCTATCTTCGTTTAGACAAATATACTGTGAGTATTTTCAGACGTTATCCACAAGTTTTTCTTGGCGAGAAAAAAATTGAATATAAATAAAAAAAACGATGGCAAGGGCTAATAAAGTAGAGATGACTTTCGTGACTCCATGACAGCAATACCCATCAAAGAAATAAAATATGCAAGAATAAGTTTATTTTCGTCGGAAGGGTAATGACTTTGACGGCCATAGAAGAAATAAGTATTTTTCGTCGAATCAGATAATGTGCATTCTTTTTCAAAATCGATTTGTTTCATTTTTTCTTGACACACGCTAAACATTCAATACAATAACAAAAAATAATGTTTATTCAACATTTACTTACAACACAAAAGCAGGACAATAGATCAAAAGTCAATTGTTACTCGTAAACGGGGGGTTCAACTTGTTACATCAGCTTCTCACCTTTGTCGATACTTTCGCGATTAGTCAAAGGATTGAAAAGGAACACGGGCACTTCCCATGCAAAAGGCAATCTGCTCCACGATTATCCCATAAACTAGCCATTTTTCAATGCAGTTTTCTGTAACACGAGTATTTCAATGATTGTATTAGTTCAATAACAGTCCCATAAGTCATTTTAAAATGAAGACGAGCAAAGGTTGTTCGATGGATATTTTGAAAAATTTTTTAGAATTTCTCAAATATTTCCAGGACAAGTTACTGAAAATAAAGCATGATCTGTGCAAATGAAATTATTATTAAATGAAATTATTCCAAACGAAATTTCGTTATGAGAAGCAATTAAAAAATCAGCACTATATATACATATTATAATATAGTTCAGCCAGCTGCCAACGTCACTGAAACGTATCAAAACTCATAAACATTCAGCAATTTCTTCAATCTATTTTTATTTACAATAGAAATAATAAAATATAGGAGAATATTAAAAATACGATTTTTTGAACTTACAGTCACTGAATAATTAAGTATTGATTCTATCTGCACGATAAATCAAAGCATAAAATATTGAAGAAAGCATAAGCATAACTGAATATTATTCAATTTTTCATTTGGAGCATTACTGAAAGTCATTGGTTATGATGTTGTAGATCAAGACAGTTGTCAAAAAAACTTATGCTACTATAGTAAACTATATAAAAGATTCATGTCGTATATTAGCATGCAGTAGAGCAGAGTTATTGTTGAGAGCAGTGCTAGTTATTTATAGTAATTTTACTCTGAATAGTATATTCATGATATAGCTGTGACAGCTATATAATTTACTTTTTTGCATTGGTAATAGCATAGTAAATCAATTATACTAAAAGTAGGTCTCTATTGATTTTATGATCCATTGTGGGTAACAATCATTTTTAATATTACATAAGCACATCTATCTTTCTTGGTATAAGATACGATGGAAATAGAAAAAAAATACTTTAAGAAAATTGTCTTTTGTGCTTTCTTTTAAGCTATAAATAAAAGAAGTACTCAAATCACGGTATTTTTTATAAGAAAGAAGGGAGTTAGAGGATAGAGTGATGTAAAGTCAGCATAAAACATCAATCAGATTTTTCAAGCAAATAATATTATATTTGCAAGTTTACAGCCATTACTTATAATATATTATCTATTTACATTTTTTTGTAGAACTAAAATATGACAGGATTATCATTTTCATTACTGAACCATTCGATGATGCATGATAATTTGTTTTAATGATAGGTTTAATGCAGGAAAGAATTTGTTCATTCATTGTCCTGCAATTTTTATCAAATAATGTTGATTAAACTTGTTTTGGTTGATATATTTATAAGTTCGTTAATGATAGCTCGGTTATAATAAATTTTAAAATAATTAAAATTGAATTCAAGATAGTATATCAGTAAAAAGTGTAAGAAATTATTAAAGTTGAGTTAATTATTAAATTATGTATAATGCAATAAACTTATTTATGCTTAAACATGAAAATTACTGAATCGTTCGGAAGAAGTTTTAAAAATATATTATTAACCAGTAAATGGAAACAGAAGATATCTATTCGTTTTTTATACATGGTATTCTTAAGTTTTTTGTGTATAATATAAAACGCAATGCCATAAAAAGCATATAAGAAAAAGTATTATACTAAGCGGAGCACGCACACGTAACACTATTTTTATTTACAAAATCCAGTGCTGTAGGAATACAATATCAACTGTCCATAAACCTCAATTAATTTTTATTTTCTTATTGGCACGATTGGTGAACTCGAAGAAATAAAGTATTAACTGAACGTATGAAGGTATGTGCGCTACAGAAGCCTTTTAATTGAAGTTTTGAATATACAGAAGAGCGCAAATGACAGAAGAAGCACTAAAGAGTTTATTTTGTTGTTTTATTTCCGAATGTACAAACGTTGAGAATTCGAAACATATACGATACGAACGTTGAAAGCGTGTAAGGGAAGATAAATCGATTCGTATTACTCGTAAACAGAGTAAAATCAGAAAGGCTCGAATTTGGTTCAAGTATTCAATTCGTACCCTGTGCTGCGCTCTCTCAAGTATCATATCAAAAGTTTAATTGTAATAGTTGTTCGTGTCGTACGCACTCAGAAGTGAAAAACCGTATTCACATTCTCGATGGTATTTGTTGCATTTTGAATGAAGCGCACAGCGCTCATTATTATTAGACAAATAAACACACGCACACGTACACATGCAAGAGAGTCTACTGCTGGATGTACTCTTGCGTAGCGATACTTCGAAGAACATACTTTACAGCGAGAGCGAATACCGCCAGGCCAATGATTACGACGAGGTTTGTCAATGCACTATGTAGAGGCGTTTGGTCCCAGAGCTGATGGTCTGGTACCGTCGTCGAACCTTCCGCCGTCGTTGAACGATGCCTTGCCTGCTTTTCCAATTCTTTCCGATGCTCCAACTCCTTTTTGATAGTCTGTAATGAATATTACAAACATTGGATAACATTACAGGAATTTGATAATAACGAATTATTGAGATAGGAGTTATAAAAGGCATGATTAGACAATATCAAATTAGTTACTCACTTGAACAGTATCAGGAAATAATTCACAGAACAGTTTGTCTCGTAAATTATATTCTAGGCTCTGAGCAGCAAAAAGCTTTTTCTCCCAGTCAGGTGTGTTGATTGCTCCTAGTGCTGAACTTGATTCAATCTGAAATAAATATTTTATTGCATTTTAACTTTGCCATTGATAATAATGTTGATTCAGATAAAAAACTTCAAAAATATTTCAAACTACCAGAAGATATAATAAAAATAAAATATTTCCATTTTATTCTACACTCTTGTCATACATTTTTAATGAAATAGTTTTACATTTACTGTAAAATAAGGAAAAATAATAATAACAATGATAATGACACTGATCCATTTTGAATTTTTTATTCAATTATGAATCTAGTTCAAACTGCTTAATTGACCTTATATTAGAGGTTAGAATTAAGTGTGTTTGGTACTATATGTAGTTCAATTATCACAATGATTTTAATAGCACTAAATAATCTAATGAAGACTTGTTTATTCATACAACATGTAATTATATGCTCATGATGGAAGCTATAAAAAAATTTATATTGATATTCAAAAATCTTATACACAACACAAATAGAGCAAAACTTACCATAAAACTAAGTAAGCCGATGAGAATAGTGGATACACTCCAAGCAGGATTCCAAGTATCGGGATGAAAATCAGATATCGAAAGACAGAGTTTTGTGTTGACTTTAAATCTACCATTTGGTGTTGTCATGTAAATACTAGGAGGCTGGAAAGGGAATTCCCCAGGAAAGATAAGTTTGCCATGATAAAATCCACCTTCATATGGAGTGTTTTCTGGTCCTTTAATAACATAGTGCCTATGGAAAAACAAACGATCGCACTGATAAGTAAACACTCATTAACATGTCAAGATAAACGTCACGATTAGCTTACCATTCAAGTATATTGGAAGGAACAGGCTCAGCCTGGACATAGGGAACCGGATCCTTCTTGAGCCTTAGGTAGTCTTGTTTTAATCTGGCAGTAGCGGTGCCTGTTTTTCGGCTCATCTTCGTAATATGTCCAATCGTCCAATAGGAAAGAAAACGTAGAAAGTCGCGAGAGCCACACTTTACTCTTTCGCTCACAGCTCACGGGACAAGATCACCACGTCACTCCAATGCTGCGCGCAACTGTGTGCGCGACAAGCGAGACAAGGAAAAGTGAAAACTACTCTCGGTAGGAACACGCAAAAAGGAAAATCGCTGTTCTGGACTGTTATGTACACATACGTCACCACAAAGACTTTTTGACGTTTATCAACTTGACTGGCAATGACCGCAAGAGATTTCTTTTTTTCTTTTGAAGCGATTTTACCGATTACGACAATCAGCTGAGTTATCGATTGCAGGCGGCACTATTAGGAATTTCTCCTAAAATTTAAACTATAAGATTGGTTATTTATTTTGAACTATTTTTCATGTGAATGACACTATCTTGATTACTTAAAATTACAATAACACCTCATTGTCGACAGTTTCAGATCGAATTAATCGAGGAATAAAATGTGCATCGCAAAATAGAATGGCGATTGCCGCAAGATGTCTTTGTCCAACAGATGGTGATAGTGTCGTATTCTGATCTCGTAGACTGACAGCGTTGTTCACTGCGGAGCGGACCTGCGGTATAGGCTGATTGCAGCTGCTCTCCTCTTCTAGCCAAAGTTCTTTGGCGCGCTTGCTCGCAAGTCAGCAACGTGCACGTCTTTGGTCGATTGTGTCCGCCGCGTGCGAGCGTCATCGGGGACTTTAATTCGTGCGTGTGTTTGTCTCGTCCGTACTTCTCTCGTAATAATTAAACCTCTTGTCTTTGTTATTCCTCGTTAATCGTCGTCATAAGGTAACGTCATTTTCGAGGCACACGTGTGTGATCACAATTTAACCTCTCTACAAGAAATCTGTTTTTTTACGTAATCCGAGACGACATTCCAAAATTGGTGATTTTCCAGGATGCCGTCCGACGCTAAGAAGAAGCAGCAGCAAAAGAAGAAGGAGGCTGCTAAAGCTAGACAAAATGGTAAAAAGTCCGTAGGGAATCATAAGGTTGAGGACAACATTAGGGATGACAGTCCTTCAGAAGTGGCAACACAACAGAATGGCACCAACGGCACTATTCAGATTCAGATGTCTGCCGAGGGTTCGTAGATAACTTTTTTCCCTTTGTTCTTACAGCTGATCTCTTTCGGAGAGGTATATTTTTAGACTCTGACGGGGGATAAAACTTTCTCTTTTACGGTCATCGATTGTGGATTTCAAGAGAGTTTCACTACTGATATTGTTGTAAATGGATTTTTCCGTATAGGAATACTGAGTTGATTTGATTGTAATTAAATTCGTTGTCGATTTATTGATAGAATTTGCTGATGCTATTCATATAAAAAAAATAGTTTCAGTAAAGAACCATTATTAAGATAATAATTACAAATTGAATATTTGAAAAATATAGTTAGATATTTTAGGCTATATATTACAATTATCATAAAATGTTTGACATTATTTTTGTATAGCATAGAGACAAAAAATGAAACAGTTCTGTTCACTGAGCAGCTGTTAGCTTAGTAGAATTTTCACTGATAAGGCAATAGAAAAATATTCTCTTAACTGTTGTGAAATATTGATTTTGAAGTATAGAATTTCTTTACTGATTCTATTACACATTGTCACTTTCAATTAAAATTATTATACTTATGTACATTAATTCTGTGCTATATTTTCAAGATTTAGTACATGAAAAAAGTCATTTTTGTCTAAAATTTGAAAGTAAAATTATTGCCTTCTCTTAATTTTAGAAATATTTTAAATATTTTAAATAGACATTTATATAGTAAATTTTTTAATGTCAATATTGTTACCAAGTGAAACATAACTCAGTTAGCCTGTAAAAATCTACTTTAGTTAATCAAGAGAAAGTCTTATCAATAAAAACATCAAATCAATAAATTCACTCAACCGTTAAACTCTTGCTCTACCTTTCTTCTTGTAAGAAGCTCCTATAGGAAAATCTGACAGACATAATTTTTTATTGCAGAAGCGCTATGCGCTAAATTGGAGGCGGACGCGCGTCTGAATGCGGAAGCAAGGGCATGTACTGGTTCCTTGGCTTCACATCCCCGCAGTAGAGATATAAAGATCTCAAATTTCTCTGTTACTTTCCATGGTTGTGAATTGATGCAGGATACAATGCTTGAGCTCAATTGTGGTCGTCGATATGGTTTGCTTGGAGCCAATGGATCAGGAAAATCTACGTTGTTGTCAGTTTTGGGTAATAGGGAAGTACCTATTCCTGATGCCATTGATATCTTCCATCTGACAAGAGAAATGCCTGCTAGCGATAAGTCAGCTTTGCAATGTGTTATGGAAGTTGATGAGGAGAGAGTCAGGCTTGAAAAGCTTGCAGAGGAACTGGTTGACTGTCCAGAAGAGGATGCTCAGGTAAGATTTTCTAATTTCTTATCATTTTTTATCAAGTAGTTAATTATCTTCAAAATGATTCTCATAATTTTTGAATCTTTTCAGGAGCAACTTATGGATGTTTACGAAAGGTTAGATGACATGGCTGCTGACACAGCTGAAGCTCGTGCTGCCCACATACTACATGGTCTTGGATTTACTGCCAAAATGCAAAACACACCGACAAAAGATTTCTCTGGAGGTTGGAGAATGCGAATCGCACTTGCTAGGTAAATTTATGCATATATTGCATTTGTCGAGTAACTAGCAGAAAAGCTTTAAAATAATTAGTGTCAGAAAGCTTTTATTGCTTTTCCGTTTCGTTTGTTTAAATTTTCAAGTAATTGTATTGTTTTTTTTCAGGGCATTATATGTGAAACCACATTTACTTCTCTTAGATGAACCTACAAATCATCTTGATCTGGATGCTTGCGTGTGGTTGGAAGAAGAATTAAAGACGTACAAAAGAATTTTGGTTATCATATCTCATTCACAAGATTTTCTGAATGGAATATGTACAAATATTATTCATCTCAACAAGAAACAACTAAAATACTATACTGGTAACTACGACGCTTTCGTTAAAACAAGGTAATTTTCATTATTGAATTCTTATGTATTTTCCTAACGAATCATAATCATAAAATAATTTTTTTATAGAATGGAACTGCTGGAAAATCAAGCTAAACAATACAACTGGGAACAGGATCAAATTGCCCACATGAAGAATTACATTGCTCGGTTTGGACATGGTTCCGCAAAGTTGGCTCGTCAAGCTCAGTCCAAGGAAAAAACATTAGCGAAAATGGTAGCCCAAGGTCTTACCGAGAAAGTCACCAACGATAAAGTTTTGAACTTTTATTTTCCATCTTGTGGTACAATTCCACCACCCGTCATAATGGTCCAAAACGTCAGTTTTCGTTACGCTGATGACGGTCGCTGGATTTACAAGAATTTAGAATTTGGTATTGATTTGGATACTAGGTTGGCACTTGTCGGACCTAACGGTGCTGGTAAAAGTACCCTATTGAAACTATTGTACGGTGATGTGAGTATTTACAATTGGATGATAAATTTTTCTTACTTGAAAAATAATAGTCAATTTTGAATTTATTTGTAGTTGGTACCTACAAATGGAATGATCAGAAAAAACAGCCATCTTCGTATTGGAAGGTATCACCAGCACTTACATGAACTATTGGACTTGGATATGTCTCCATTGGACTATATGATGAAATCTTTCCCCGAGGTTAAAGAACGGGAGGAAATGCGTAAAATCATTGGTCGTTATGGATTGACTGGCAGGCAACAAGTAAGTATCTCGTAGTTTTTACTAACTATACTTACATTCTTTCAAACGACTTTTTTTACAATTGAACCGAACCAAATATACAATTTGGTTTTGTAGATTTGTCCAATTCGACAACTATCGGATGGACAGAGATGTCGTGTTGTATTTGCTTGGCTAGCCTGGAAAGTTCCTCACCTTCTGTTGTTAGATGAACCTACCAATCACTTGGATATGGAAACGATTGATGCCTTAGCTGATGCAATTAACGATTTTGATGGTGGCATGGTGCTAGTTTCTCACGATTTCAGATTGATCAATCAGGTAAATATGATTTTTATTATTTAATTTCGAAAGAAAATGTTTCTGGTAATTAATCACAAATTTTGACATAGGTTGCAGATCAAATCTGGGTATGTGAAAATGGCGCTGTCACCCAATGGCGAGGTAACATTCTAGATTATAAGGAACATCTCAAATCCAAGGTTATAAAGGATAACCAGAAACGACAAAAGGAAATGGCTGGTCAGAGCAAAAATTAGTTTAATTAATTTCTTTTTACTTCTCGGAAAAATCATCTCTCCACACACACACACACACACACACACACAAACCTCAAAGAATGCCTTTAGAGATTTCACAAAATGAAAACACTGAAAAAAGAAAGGAAAAATTACATGAATTTTCGCTGCTGTGTAGCGACAAGCTGTTTTCCAACAATAGCTAATTTATTGAACTGATATATAAATAATTATGTGCTGATTGAGAGTGACTGTTAAGTATCAGTAATACTTTTTGCAATTGATTTAGATGACAAACGCATGCTAGAATAATAGAGAAAAAATTAAAAAGGACAAATTGGTTTGGCCTGCGACACGTATGCGAAATAACAAAGTGAAGGATAATTGAATGCAATAATGATATATATTTATTTTAAAAAAATTTATATGATTGATTTTTTTCACGAAATATATAAACTGCACACTTTATAAAACCAAATGAAACTCATTTGTGTCGAGTGTATTGCTGGCATGATACAAATTTACAACGAGCGCCAATAAATAGATAATTTTACAAGTGCGCGAAAGACACTAATGAGATTCTTCATGTTACTATAAATTTAATACCTTACAAATAAATTGACTAAATTAGCAAACTGTCTGTCTAATAATATCTTCGATACCTTTTTTAACTTAATTCTATGATATTTAGATTTCTGATAGTTATGATTAACAAACATTTTTTCAACGTTCTTAATCGTGAAAATTGTAATAGCTGCTCTTGTTCCCTACATTAGTAACGTAATTAAAATAAATAATAAAATGAACAAGAGAATCTAAGACGAGGTGTTACAAAAGAATATAATAATTACCATGTTTTATACGACATTTACTTATGTTTATCATTGAATTTCAAATAATTTCTAAATTTTACTCAAATGGCCATTTCAGACGAAGCAAAATTTTCAAATATTTTATGCACCTTAAAATATCTTAATAAAATTTCATAGATTTTTATTTGAACATATCAGATCTTGTATCCTATCATTCTCCTTCCATCACAGTCATCTAACTTACAATAAACTCTATGAGAAAATACTGCTTGAAGAAAAACATAGAATAACAATAATACAGCAAAATATACAACTACAAACTATACGGGTGTTGATGCCGGAATAGCACAAGCCGCTTCCTGTGCCAATGCAGCATTCCTCAGTACAAGTAAATGCGAATCCATGTCGTGAAGCGCTTGGTCGATGAACGCAAGCTTGCGCGCTTGACTTTTTGGAACACCGTGCTTGGTGACGAGGGCAAGATGAGTCACCGCGAGCACTAAAGCGGCGACTCGCGCTTCCAATAAGCGAGCGTCCAGAGGTGGGTAAAGACTGCGAACAACATCGTCGACGCGCGGTGGAATACGTCTAGCTACCTGCAATCGAAATTTCAATTGTCATGCCAATAGCTTTTTAAAACAGTCTTTTGAAAATCACCAAGTTAGTGCAATGGACAATGAGTCCAAGTTTTCAAAAGTCTCAAGACAATTTGGAAGAGCTTTAGAGGAGCACGTAGCGATGCTTGTGTATCGGTTGACTGAAATGAAGCTTTAGAAAGTTTGGTCGAAAGTGTCTCTCTAATAGCGCAGAGCTTTAGAAAAGCTTTGAAGGAGCAGGGTGCAAAGGTTGAAAGTATAGTTACGTCAACGATTTCCAGGGGCACGGTGTTGCTGTTGACAGTGCCGGCGATGGTGGTGAGACTGGTGGCAAGTGAATGACAAGACCTGAGCACGGCGATGCAGGGCGGTGCGAGTCCAGTGGCGTCGTCCACCCACCTGAACGACGCATCAAGCGCGCATTGAAGTTTCTCAAAAGCTATTAAAGTCATTCGCGAGCGCGACAGCTTGGTTACCTCTCGGCTCCGGCGAGCCACTCGTCGCTCTCCCAGGCGTCCAGTCCGAGGCCCAAAGCGCTGTCTCCGTCGAGCAGGTCCGAGCTCATGTCCGGCGAGTCCTTGTGATTCTGCAAGAGAGAAAGACAAAGCGAGAGTAGAGAGCGAGGCGTCGCTTTAGCGAGCGGACAAAAGCGAGAGGCAGTGACATAGTAACAGCGCTGTCGACGGCAGATGACGAGCAGCACGAAGAGAGCCCCGAGGAAGACGGCGGCCAGGGCGCCGAGGGCCACGGCCACGATGGTCTCCATGGCCGCCGGTGCAGCCGCCGAGGCGGCCGCGTTCGCCACCGAGCTCATGATCTCTCCGCAGATCTGTTGCTCGCGGCGGACCACCTGTTGATGCTTCGTTGACGCCCCCCAGGCGCGCACTGCACTTTCCAGTTGCGCAGTTATCATCGCCGCGCTCCGCACTCTCGACTCGCGCAGTCGAGGCTAGCGGCGACAGATGGAGACACGCGTGCGTGCGTCGCGCACACCTATCGAAAAATCAAATCAAATCTCTATTGCGTTTGTCTGCCTTTACACGCGCATTTTGCAAGCAACAAGAGATTTTTTTACATTGCAGTCTGACGCCGGATGCGCATGGTCCAGCCACGCAAATCGCGCATGACTATAGTTGAGATTTGGGCAAATGAAATACTACGGAGTTCGCAGCTGTAGTGTCGACCGATTGCCGTCAGCTTCATCAATCTTGTAGAATCAGACGCAAATCATAATCCAGATAATTACAGTCGCGTATACTTGCAAATTTTAAGAAGCTTTGCAGTAGTTTACGCGCACCGATTCAGACGGGAAAACTCAACACTACGCTTCGTGCCTCGCGAATCCATCGAAACAAGTAGTCTTCAGCATTGGAATAATCACTTCATGAGAATATTCAGACTTACTAACAGTCAGCTTGTGGGTGTTCACCACGTTCGATCAATTATTGTCTCAACTTCGTAAATACAAGTTTCATCGGCGAAACATTAACGTTTAATAGTTAGTCTCGATCGTTGACTGCCAAGCGTGAAGGAAGGAACATTTGATATTTGTGACGATTATCTCATTTGCCGTCCTGGAAGCAGCTGCGAGCGAGTGCCGCGCGAGGTAGCGCAAGGTTGGAAAAGAAACAAAGAATGACTGTGGAATGTAAATAAAGTGGCTTTTAATGACATTAATTTTTTGTTGTTTCAGATTCAAAGTAGTTTCTGATTTGAATGTGTCGCATGTGGTCAATCATTTTCCATTTTGGATGGATAATTACAATTTTTTCTCTCAATCGATTCGATAGAGCATTGTAAACGCAAAACACTTTGGTCAATCTTATCGGATCGCGCGCCAATTGTAAACTCAACACGCATGAATCACGGCAAGAGCAGAACGGCCAATCGAAAGCGTTCGACCGATTGATTAGCGTTGAAAAGAACTTTTCTCGCGACGCATCGATCCTGCAATGGCACGCTTCTTACTGGTACTTTATATTCGTTGTACGTACGCTTATCCTCGTAAATCTTATAACTGTATCGCAATTACCATTCTCAAACAGCTGCTGTTCGCATTCCTGGCAATCGAGGCATTCGGCCAGACACCAGACTTATCCCGAATCGATCAGCTGCTCGACAATCGTTATAGCCTGCGGAGCCAGAGCGAATTAAGCTTTGAGCCAAGCAACAACCCTCGGGACATCCGCCGCAACGAGCTAGACACGGACTATGAGTCAAGAGCAAAAAACCGGCGGCACGACGACGATGGTAATTTAATCTGTGAATTAAACATGTGTGATGGACTGTTTGCTTGTTTAATTAAGGTTATAAAGTGAATACAAATTGATCGAATGAATCACCAAACTAAACGTCAATGTCCACGGGCTTCAGGGGGAATCCCGAGTGATTAGGCTGCGTAGGAAATAATTAAATATCTTTTATAATTAAATTATTTTAAAATTAAATTACGCGAATGAAGTAAAGTCTAAGGTACCTTTAAAAATGTATATTGCGCGAGAGTTACAGACATGCAGATGATTTGTTGATAATAGGCTGCTCCTAAATTGAGAATGTCTCTTTGAGAAATTCAGACATCGCTCGTCCGGCTTAAGGTTTAACCCGCACTGTTTTGCAGCGCATTGCCATTCAAGGTCTCCGTTTGAAGTTATTGACCAAGCGTCATGTTATATATATACATACGAGTATATAAGCCTAGCTCTTTTATGCTCATTTACTAGATGGCTACGAATGTTTTTCCTAAATGAGTTGATTTTTTTGAGCACTTTTGGAATACACGTGTATGACATGTAATATTAAGCCACGAGCTGTTTTCCCCACATTTTATTTCATATTTTTGGAGTCTGTTGAAATGATACGTCGCGATACACGACGGTTCGTTCAAGTCGTTTCAGATCACCCACAAATGCGAGCAAGCAGGCCTTACGGCAAAACGTCAGCGAAGAGCGCCGACGGCGGAAAATTGGTGCCAATCCCAGTACTGCTGCCAGTGCTCATGTCGCAAACTTATCCCGTGCCGATCATTCCGGTCGACATCTCGACTGTGCGTAGAGGCCATCAACACGCCTTTCCTGATCACGATCAAGAGCGTCGTCCATTGGACGTGCATAACCACCAACATGAATTTATAGGACACGTTCATTGAAGAAGTTACAAAAGTACTCCCATCTAAGATAGATTTTTGCGTGTACCAATTTGTCGATAAATAAAACGATAGCAAAGCGATCCATAACGAACATTGACATTTAAAAAAAAAAAAAAATTACTCCGTAATGTTGACGCATTAGCAGCGCCGTGCGTATACGGTGAAAGTGATGCGCGTCGAACAAAAATGTATGTGAATTCTCGAAGAAGGAAGTAGCCTGCAGCCAATACCGGTTTTCCACGTGCGAATGTCATTTAAATGTCGACTACATTGAAGTTTCGGCTTTTCCCAAACATAATTTTTCTGTTACTTTATCCTTTGATCCATTGGTCGGCTATACTTTAAAGTAAACAACAGTTTACAAGTGTGGAGTGTTGCTAATACGAGTCGCAGTTTAATACTGTCTCGATCAATACGGACGATGTCCCAACATACCAGTCTTATCTTCGAAGCGCTTTCGAGAAGAAAAAAAAACCTTAGTCATAAGTGTCATAGAGCTCGTCAATTGAGTAAACCGTGAAATGTGCTGCACAAGCACTGTGTACTCAGCACTTTGAAATAGCTTCTATGCGCGAGGCCTCGACACTCCGAGTACAATGATCTCGTCGCGACCTTTAACCGTGGTAAGATCATTGCGCGAAATAAAACTCAAACGTCTGGCACTCGACTATGTGTTTGTTCTAGCACTCGACGCGAGAGAGACAAGGTCGCGGGATCCTAAGTCTAACGTCGAACGATGTTGAGTGGTTGTTCGGGGCCGAAGGACTCGAGGTTCGATTTCTCATTGAACCCCATTGTTCGAAATCCACAGAAATCCACGAGGTTTTTACGCTCGATTATTTACCAATTTTGAATAACATTCACTCGACCCCTCGCACGTCCAGCTCTATCCATCCGATCCAAATGTCACAGTATCGCGGATAAGCTAATGAGATGTAATTATGAGAACATTTGGCCTTGCGAAGCCGTTCGTCGTTCTTGAATCTCAGAGGTCACTTTTTCGAAATATTCCCCGCAGCTTCCGTGTGAGCACGCACATGCAGACTTCCAACAGGAAGTGGATTTCTCGAGGAATAAGAGATGTGAAAGATGCCTCAGAGAACGAGATACAGCTTACTACGGTCTGCGGTTAAGCGAATATTATGCAAATTTTATCTCCCTAAAGATTGTTCTCTCGAAACGTTTTAAAATAAGGTTTTCAGCCACGAAATGAATTGAGACAATGAAATTCGTAGTGCGAACCTGATTATGTGTCTTGATGCGGAATGCTGAAGCTTTCAAGATTCTCTAAGCCTAAGCAAATGAATCGCAAATAATATGCGTGAAGTGATTAGAAAGCCAAATCTGAGGTTTCGAATCTTAATATAGAGAAATTGTTATCAAGAGAATAATTCGATCATTCTCGCACGCCTTCAGGCAAAAGAAAGCGCTATCAGGCTTTAACCTATTCGGAGATCAATAAATTGCAAAATCATAATTAATGTGCCTGGCTCTGCATTTTTGAAATTCACAAATTTTTCAGCCTATGAAATATGAATATTTTTTGTTAGGTATCTCGCATGCAACTTTTCATACTACTTATCTGACTTGATGTAGCATTTATTGTTTGCCAGGATTCAAATATATAAATAAAATTAATTTTCTATGTTCGTAATTTTCATATTAACTCTCACATGTATTATCAAGTTATTAAATATTTATTTTAATTTGATGTTTAATAATAATAATTATTTATATCGGCATTTTTATGTGATTGATAAGGTGACAGCGTTCATAATTCCAGCAGTCAATATTTTATGTCACTTTAATATTCGCCACGCATAATAAATCTTCTACTCTAGTCTGATGCTCTGTTTTATGCTATGCGCGTTGTCGGTACTTTATGTAACATGAAAAAATCTGAATCCGAAATGGCAATGATGTACAAAAAATAAAGCATTTCAATTCCGCCTCTCAAAGTCAAGACTAAATCGATCATTTCACTGTATCAGTATCAATATACATGTTAGAAAGAGAATTCATAATTATTGGATCAGGATGATTATTTATTAATTTACGTGTACCACCAATCGTCAAATTGAACATATAACTCTTTATTAATGATGCGCGGAGAAAATCAGTTTTTTAGCTACTCGTCAACCATTTAATACGTACGTATGTATTAGTTCAGTCAGATATATGATTTACGAATTCCTATTAAACTGATTGGTCTATTATTTTACTACGTAATTGATGACTGCAATAGTGGTCAATTGCTGTTAATTACAAGAGAAAATGGGTTTAAAACAGTTTGAGGTCTTCTGAGTAATTTGAATGACAAATATACTTATGCGTGCTTTCTGTTTGAATCGTTTATTATTTATTTACCGTTAGAACAGAATGAAAATAAAGTACACATTATATAATAGTTTAGTTACATCATGATTATTAATAATATTGATATTATCATAAACTATAAGTTTACTGTGCTAACCAATTGTATTTTGATAATGCTTCTAAATATGAAATCGTAAACAATACTCTGTAATCGACTTTTTCTTCATTAATATGGATAAATGCCATAGTAATCAAAACAATGATTTATTCAAAATCGGTTTTGCCGTGAAAAATTTTTATTAACAATATTATCCACTATTGCAAAATTCCAAAACTGGCGCTATTTTTTCTAACATTGCATTCGTCCATTTAAATTATAAAGAATCTACTGTTGCAGCGTGGAAAATGTATTGGTCGGACTAAAGCGAGCTAACAAAAAAAAGTTAAGAAAAGTAGAAAATCATTTAATAAATTGGAAACTGTTGACTCCAATCTTCGGCTCGTGAGACCATAAATATAACTTGTTAAAAATCAGACACTAAAAAATCCAAACTGCACGCTCGATTTTACGATCGGGTCATTAAAATTGTACCTCGATGTTACGCAACTTGGTTAAAAAGAAAAACGTTTAGAAGAGGTCGGCGGCTCCTTACTCTCAAGACAGAAAGAAAGAAAGAAAGAAAGAGCGGAAAAAGGAAAAAAAGAAACGAGCATGTTACAATATCCACGGTTAAGGATCATCGGATGAACTCTCGTCAATACACGAAGGTCGATCTAGAAAGGCGTATTCAGACCAAAATCTCGAAATCGCCGATTATGCGAGCCGATATACGCCATAGAGCTTAAACAGAAACGAAGAGTTTCATACTACTTAGGTATTCCTCTCAATGTCTCTAACGAAACTTAAATGACTGATTTAATATGTCGTCAACCAGTGAGATTTACGATTTTAATAATGAGCGAAAGTATATGCTTTTACTAAGTATAAGTAAGATTTTTGAGTTTTTTTTTCGAAAATTTTTGAAATTTATAATACTTATAATGATTGTAAGTGAAGAAACATAATTTTTCTCAATAACAGGTAAATCGATTTCAACAGTGAATAACTGATGCTCATTACTTTTTGACAAGTTGCTGGTAGCATTATTTAACTTGACATTAAATAAAAGTTTTTTGCAGTACCTCGATGATAAAATTGCAAGACAGCAAATGAACAATTATTTATCCAACGAATATATAACTTGTTGATCTTTTTTTAACTATATTTCATCGCTGTTTATGTACAAAATAAGTACTGCTTAGATTTTCTGAAGGTCGATTGTGAGGTTGAATTATGCATCAATATGAATGGTATCGTCGCGTATGTTAATAAGAATTCTTTAAACAGGTTTTATTTACACGGATTCTTCAAGATTCACAAACATAAAAAAAAATGTATATTTTTTTCGACTTGAGCGGGATGAATCCGTGATAAACGTTTCAACTCTGAAATAGTCGGAACAAAATTAGCTTACGCGTATGAAATGTAGATCATTGCCATTTATAGTTATCAACGAAGCAAAAGAATATCTACCTATTTTCGCGCGTGAGATTTATTCACACGAAAGTTTCTTCATCGGCTGCTCCGTACAGGTTGCAAATCGACGATTCTTTCGTCATCATCGCGAGATTGTCGCACCTCTTCGCAATGATTGTGCAAACTCGGCCTGCGAAAAAATGGTTTGACAGCAACTAACGAAATATTATCAGCAGAATGATTGTTTGGGGTTACTTTTTTGGTTTTGCTTTTTTTCCATAATTTTTGCTTAATTTCCATAGAAAAAATACATATCGAGTAGTTTTCTTTTTTCCGATGGTTAATTGATAATACATATTTATAGTACGTGCGGTCATGTGAATTATACCAATTAGTTATCTGGCATGATTAATTACTCGGCTGGCCTGTTATTACATATCGTTTGATGCCTTTCAATAATTATTGATGTTTTGAACAACTTACAAGCTACCGTTCTACATTCTGGTTCACTCTGGAATACACAATCAAAGATAATAATAAAATCATTACACTCGTTGAGAAATACATTTACACATAAAATTTTAATATTTTATCATTGCCTGCAATTTAGCTTAAATTTATCGATCAAAATTTCCTAAAATAATCTATCTTCTTCTGTGATAACTTCAATAAGTGAGTGTAATCTAACTGAAAACTTGCACACGCATTATTTGATTAGTTTACAATCTATGATTGTGACTTTTTCATAGTTATAATCGAAGATAAAATATTATGTATTTAGTAAGTCGCCTACTAATTATAATTATATCTACGACGTGAATTATATTTACTAATGTATTTTGTTAATAATTGAAAGTGTAATACTAAACATATAATTTGAAATATGTTCTCTAATTTATCTTTACAAGTTAATTACGCAAATAATTCATTAAGTTTTATCATTTGAATTTTTAAATATTTTTCAACTCAGATCTAAGAATTTAACTGTTGAAATTTTTTACCAATTTGATTTAAAATATGGTAACAAAAAATACAATTCTTCTAGAGTTAAAACATGGGAAACAAAAGCTTTCGACATCGATATTCGTGTTTACTTTAAAATTTTAGATATCTCATGAATTTCAAATTAAAAATAACAAGGAATAATTTTATGCGAGTACATAGCAAGTGGTTTATTTATAATTATCGAGATTCCTCTTTTACTGCCGGAAAGACACTGGACGCGGTAAAGCGATGGGAAGAATGGTGTGGTATAGGTGGGGCAGAGCTAGACTGCCGAAAAAACGCGAGTTATACACACGATCCGTAGCTACGTAAGAATCTAGTCTGTGTCAATGCCGACCCTCTCTTACGAAAGCCAAGCGAGAATTTTTTTTGGCGGGGACGCCTATATCACATCATTTTTCGGCTCCTGATTTTTGGTATAAAAGATCCAAATGACGGTCGATCTTTACTCAAAGCTCAATCACAGCTGAAAACATGAAGACCTTCCTGCTCACGGTGGTGAGTTGAACACGGCTTCTTATTATCAGTGCTAGATTCATTCATCTCTTTTATTTTCAAGTACTTTTTGTTCAAACTTGGGTTTTACAAAAGTACTGATTTAATCAAGTTTTTTTTTCTCTTTTTTAAATCTTGTGAACGTTTTGGAATAATCATTAGTTTTATTTTTTTATCTTCTTTAATTTCTTAATTACACTATTTCATAATTTTACGGATGACTGATAGTAATATTCTTATTTTTTAATCTAAAAATTATTTCAATTTTCAAATCCAAACAAATTATTAAATTTCTTCTCGCAAATTTGCTGACGATACACAATTTATTTTTCTTATAAATAATTTTTCATTTCAAAAAGTCTTTATTGTCAAATAATCACCAAACACATTAGTAGTTACCGATTTCAATCATATTATACTTATCTAACGCATCAACTTATATCATATGTTTATCGAAGCTGAAATACGACGATTGCGCTTGTAACAACTCGCTCACTTTTATATACACGCGTACGTGTTCAATTATCAACACTTGAATTCTCGTCATAGCCGCCCGTGAAATGGAAAGTGAAGAAGATCGAGATCCGACCTTGACGCCTCATTATCATGAAACTCGTACGCGGAAATTTCAAGAACAAGAGAAGGCTTCTTCACCTTAATCATATGCGAGAATGCGTTTTTAGAATCGAAATTTATCGTTAAGATTTGGCTATATACAATTGATACAGTCAGTGTAGTTGTTCATCTGACACTTATTGTACTATTTCATGAATATTTATCGAAAAGTTTAAATTCTATATAGAATTGAAAATTTAGTACGATGAAATCACAGCTTTAGAGTGGATCGTGCTGGAATCTATATCTATTAATTATTATCCGTCGAATGATTTTAAATCGCGATCGTGATTATTACACCGCGATTCTCTTGGGGGCATCTTTCTTGAGAGAAACGCGATCGGTCGCTTGTGGTAGGAAAGCGACGGCGGTAGTTGCAAGACATTGTGCAGTCGTTCAATATATACGAGCTTCTTATTCAACTTTACGCGTGATTGTTTATTGCAGGCCCTTTTCGCGGCAGTTGCCATCGCCGCACCTAAAAACAAGAGAGACGTGTCTCATTTGTTCAAAGGCAGCAATGGGTACCTGCCACCTCAACAATTACAACAGCACGAACATCATCACCAGCAGGCACAGCACGAACATCATCACCAGCAGCCACAGCCCCAACCAAACAACCAATACCTCAGCCCCGTCGGCCAAGCTCCTGTACCAGATAAGCAGTTTCTTATGCTGCCATCCACCAACTACGGTGTGCCTTTTAATGCTGCCCAAGCTCCCGTAAGTTTGTTATTTTGATCGTCAGCCAGCACAAGTACAACGCTTGTAAGGAATTTTTTTTCTAAAAAGAACTTTTCGTTTTGCTTACAGGCACCATCTGCCCCAGTGACTTCCTTCGCAATCCGTAATGTACAGCAGGCATCTGCTCATGTTGTCCAGCAGGCTCCCGCTCCTCAGGAGCACCACGGTAAATATTTATTTTCAGGATGATGTAAGCGATAAGAAAGAGTTATATCGATGACTTAACGGCTCAATGTTTATTACAGCTCCAGCTTCTGCGCCACACAAGAGTTACGGAGTTCCATTTATGCATCAGGCCCCAGCTCCAATGGTTCATCAGGCTCCGGCTCCAGTAGCCCAACAATCTTCAGCCCCAATTGTTCACCAGGCTCCAGCTCCGGTCGTTCACCAGGCTCCAGCTCCGGTTGTTCACCAGGCTCCAGCTCCGGTTGTTCATCATGCTCCAGCTCCGGTTGTTCATCAGGCTCCAGCTGAAGCTGTTCATCAAGCACCAGCTCCAGTACCACACCAAGTTTACGGTGCTCCAGTTGCCCAGCAGGCCTCATATGTGCACCAGGCTTCGGTCCAGCAGGCTTCAGTCTACCAACCACAAGCCCAAGTTATGCACCAGGCTCCAGTCCAGCAGGCTTCATACTACCAACCCCAAGCTACAGCTGTACACCAGGCTCCAGTTCAGCAGGTTCCAGCTTATCAACCCCAGGCTCAGGTTGTGCACCAGGCTCCAGTCCAGCAAGCTCCAGCCTACCAAACCCAAGCCCAAGTTGTACATCAGGCTCCAATCCAGCAGGCTCCAGTCCAGCAGGCTCCAGTTCACCAACCTCAAGTATACCAATCCCAACCCCAAGCTATATACCAGTCTCAAGTATACCAACAACAGGCCCCAGTTATGCACCAAGTTCTAGATCAAGAGCAGTTGGTCTTTGACGCCCCAGTTCAGTCGATCGAGGTTTCCGAAAAGCACTCGGTTGAGCATATTCCCGCTGCTCCCCATCACCACGTTGAACACGTTCCCACTGCTCCTCAGAACTACGTTGATCATGTTCCCCAGCATCACGTTGAGCACAACTCTGTCACCGTTGAGTCCCATAACAATGAATACCAATACACTCAACAGCAGACTGACTCCAACGGTGGATACATCTATTAGAAAACTTTATTATCTTTACGAGTGAATGATAGATCGAGTGTAACATATATTTCTAAGCCATTACTTAGATGTAACGAACTACAGCTTCTGGTTGGCTGACGGAGTCATGTTGACTCTCGATGCCAATAATCTTTGTAAAAAGAAATTAATTTTTCTTAACGTAAATAAACATCTTTTATTTAAAAAAATTCAATTTTATTATTTACATTGGACCCTTTTATACAGCCAGCATTCGCTTTAATCACCATAACTGGCATTTCTTTTTGGGATTCATCTTCGAGCCAGTCGGGCATTTCCATGTTTTACTGAAATCCTCCGAGTTGCGCAGTACCATGGTCAAACGTACGTGCCCTGGACAGTGTGGGTCCTCTAGCATCCAACGGAGCCCGATTGTTGTATAAGATTCACACCACATCTGCGAAAAATTATCATAATCTTTTACAACTTCCTATGTGTACTTGAAAAACAATTAACTGCTAATTTGAAGAGATGAAAATTTTAGTAAAAATAATTTTTTTGCAATTTTTTTAACAAGTTTTTCTGCAAATCTGTATTCCATCGATGTATTAATTATGATATCAAAATTCTTTGTTAGATGACTTACGTGAGCATATCCTAAAAAAAAAAGCTGCTCATGAGTCAGGTCACCGAAGCCAGAGAGAAGTGGTTCATTTCCATGCTTCTTCTTCCACAACTGATAAGCATTGTATGCTTCTCTCAAGCCACCGTTATCAGCGATATTCTCTCCCAGAGTCAGCTCGCCATCGATGTGCGCAGCTACCTGCAAGAAAGCTAAGCTTAATGCGATGTACATACAAACAAGACGTGAGAACAAACCTCGGGCACGTAATAATCGTTGTACTGCTCGATGAAACAAGTAGTTTTGTCGGTGTACTTGGAGATCGTCTCGTTACTCCACCATTGCTTTAAATTGCCAAGGCTATCGAACCGACGCCCACTGTTGTCGAAACCGTGGGTCAATTCGTGGCCCAAAATTGTCCCTATCGCCCCATAATTCAACGCCCTAAATGAAAAAAATTAGATAATTTGATCGAAACCTTAAAGTGCATTACGTTACAAAGACACTACTTTTCGTGCGATCAATGTGAAGATGAATCTTGAAGTGCGCACAACGACAAATAAAAACAATGCTTGTTATCGAGCTCATTGTCGTGTGGCTACTTACTCAAGGCCTAATCCGTAAAACGGAAATTGCAGGATGCCAATGGGAATGGCTGCGTCCCCGTGAAAGTTGTTTTTTAAATATTACGATACACACATAATTGTCTCGCCATTTTCGGAAAAGTGCGCGAGATAGTATATCCATTTGGCTTTCTAGCAAATGGACTGTTATAACGAAAAATATGTATGTAATTGCGGTGCGTTACCTATTTTGTTCTCTTGAAATGTGTGCAATGCATTGACTTCCATGGGCTCGAGTGGCCAACTGCCATTGGAATAAATTAAAATTCACTTCTATTGCGGAATACGCTGAAATTGCATCGGTAAATGTGTTCGACTTACTATCCCTCGTCGTCGTAATCGGTTTCGTTCGTGTCCATTTCGTAAAGAGTATTCAAATTGCTCAACCGAATCACTTGCACCATATTGTTAAAATACGTGTCTTCAGTCATATTGATCTGAAAGGAAGATTATTATAAAGTCTTTTACATGTGGAATCGTCAAACAATTTGATCGATAATTACACCATCATAATATTCGTCAAGCGTGCCATCTTCAAACAACCAATACGGATATCCAATGAGAGATTTCATTCTCCTATTTTTTTCCAATGTTGCTAGTTTCGTTGATTGGTCCATCCATTCAATGTTGTAAACGAAATTTGTAAAAGCCGACTTTATGTTTTCGATCATTTCACTGACTTTATGATTTAATCCATCGTCTGCGAATGAGGAATTTACATACATCCATGCAACTGCCATTCCTAAATTACAATTTACAAATTAACAATTAGTTGATACCTTGAAATCTACAATCAAGTAATTTTTTACAATTTACCCATAAGCTCGTTAACACTTTCCGAGCAATAGAGAGACCTTGATCGATCAGCTTTTGTTCCTATAAAATCTTGAACGTAGGTGTTCCAAATTTTTCTCAGTTCTTTTGACACATAAGGCACGCAAAAATCCACAACTGTCCACCAAATGGCCGTTTCCAACAATTCTTCATCGCTGGATGCGAGAACGATGGCAATTTCCTTCAAGTAATCCAAATCGCCTACTAAGACCTTATCTTTTCGGGGATCAAAGTTACCAACATCTTTGAGTAGCTCCTCGATGAAAGGCCTCCAAAATTCTTTTGGTGTCAATGATTCGTTTATAGATTTGACGTACTCGTCTGTAAGTTTTTGGAGGTCGTCAAGGAATATGTAATCGCTATCTTCGATTATAGCATCTTCATCGTCTATTGTCTCATTAGAGTACGTCTCCATTAACTAAAAAAATATGACACGACAGTCAGATAGGTTAATAAAATCATGGGGATAGTATTTAAAAGAATCGATAGCCACATTATAAAGTTGGTGACTGAGTTGGAAAACTTTGTTAGCAGTCTCTTGTAGGTCGGCTTCGGGAACTATGGAGAATGGTTCTCTGGTTTTGCAAGACGCTTGATCAGTAGTACCATTGCTAATAATTTGCTTCAACACTTCCGTCATGTAATTTCTCTCGACGGATAAAAAATACTCATCACCGGATTCTTCGCTATCCTCCACGTATCGGTAAGCCTTTTTCCTGATGAGTTTCAGTCGTTTTTTCAAAACACTATCGCTAAAACGTGAAAAATAATTACGTTTGACTTGACAGGCATAAATATTCGTTATTTTTAATGCACAATGAAGTTTACTTCGGAAAAGGACTGTCTCTGTCGGGCAGATCAAGCACAATTATATTCTTACTAGTATCTTCGGGATCGGCGTAAATATAAGTGCCAAAGAAGACGTCGGACCACAAAACTCTTTTGACCTTAGCCATTTGTACTATAAAATCGCTTGTATTTTTGGTGATCAACGAGGGAATTTGCGGTAGACTCAATTCGTCTAGCAAATCAAACAACGGTGTTAGCCCTAATTCATTCTGAGACTCTGTAACAAAAGCCAAGTAAGGTTCAATATTTTTGGATCATTTATGAAACAATCTAAGAACAAGTCGCATTACCAATATCCATACAACTGTCGAACAAAATTTTAGCTTCTTGGACGGCCCGAGGAACACTTTGATCTGTGATATTTTTCAATAACAAATCTTTGATTCTTCGTGTCACCCTCAAAGTCTGTTCTCTAAACCAGCTATGCTCTTGACTTAAATCTAAAGACGGGTGCGCACGAGGCCACCTTTCACACACGTATCTTGTTGAACAAAAAATTAAAGTTATCGCACCTGTTAAATGGCTTAAATAAGTCTAACATTAATGAAATATTAACGGTATACTTGTAAAAGTCGTCGCACGGATCGATGGAAGTATTCATTGATTCTTTCAGACTCGCGGCTAGAAAGAAAAAAAAAACCACGTGAAAATTTTAGTCTATAGACGAGACGTAGGAAATGTAAGTAGACGTTGCCCGTGTCGTTGTAGATTTACATACATACCAATACGTAAACAGTCTTCGTTGTCGCACAAATCCATACCCCGGGTAAACTTGGCATCTAAACAGACGTAATTGTTCGGCGAATTCGAATAAAAACGTTTTCGCGCGAAAACCATTCTTTCTCTGTAATATGAACGCGAATGTCGTCATATACTTACACAAAATTGACAGCACCACCACGGCGACTGCTAACGAGGAGATGATAAATGCGAGTAGGTACGCGAATTCCTTTTTTTTCTTACACTTCTTGAAACTGAAAATCGAATCGAGCAGTTTAGACATTGGCGCATAAATTGCAATTACTTCGACATTGCAAGTGCGGAAGAATCGGAACCTTTCAACTAAATTATTACGAGCGTCAGTGAATCACAGAGTGAACCTTTTGAATGTTTGAGTGCCTCACTGTACTGCATAAAAAGTCCGGGCGAAGAAAGTTTTACTGAGTAATGTTCTCACTTGTAACTAAGCCCGCCTATAAGTAAACGAACACTCGTTGAAGTGAACATTAATATAGAAAAATCAATCTACGTTATAATTTTCATATTAAATAAAATGCTTAAAAATATCACACCAGCAACATTTTGAATCTATCAAATATAAAAAAGTTTTACATGCTTTTAGTGATTTGTCGGGCGAAGCTTTAAATTATTTCTAATCGATACGAAAAAGCTTATAAAAACTAATTTATTGAGGCGATATTTCAATGAATTGTAAAGTACGCTGGCTAAATTAAAACACCATCACTGACTGTGAAATGGAAAAATCTTACAACGGTACATTAAGAGGCATACTAATTAAAAGACATGCATAAAAAGTAAATTCAACTTACAAAGTTCTCTTCGATTTGACTCCTACTAATTTTTGGTCGCTGTTTATGGAATAAATCGACTGTGAGTCGACTGCTAAAAAACAACGATAAATCGTAATGCTCATGGTACAAAACTAGCAAATAGGTAGGTTATGGGAACTACAACCGCAAATAGATACAACTACACGTGAAGCCAGATATAGAAAGTTATGAATTGAGTATGTCTATATAAAGCGAACGCGCCGCTATAAATAGCGAAACTGTAATTACCGATAGTGATTACAGTGAAAAAAAATGTCGGCGTTTTTCGCGCACCGGAAAAAGAAAGTCTACCAGAGTGGAATGAAATTGGGGATGGGGGTTGCAAACGAGGGAACACGAGGGAACGGGGCTCACCGCGCTGGTGGTTTGTGCCGGTCTTCATGCTGAATGGCCCAGTGACCAGATCGAACTGACCGGTTCATAGTGGCTGCATTCGTAGCCGATGGTCGCCGCGCTCGCTCGCGACCCGTAGGCGGCGCGCGGCATCGATCAACAGATTAAATCTGTCTCTTCGTGCGCGCATCGTCGCGTGTCGCGCTCTTTCTTCCCTTGCTCTGTCGCTCCTGCTCCCGGTGATTGCGAGGCGCGTTTGCATGGGAACTCGGTTTGAATGTTTGATCGACGCGCCGAGAGCGAACGGCTTGAGCAGCCTGCGCTCGTGTTTTATGCACGACTCCCCTTGCCAGCGCTCTTTTAGGCTGACATTCGGATACCGGTTGTTTGTCGCTGCTTTGTACTGCTGCTTGTACCGTGCCGCTGACCATCGCCCTTTCCCACGATTTATGACGATCGATCGCTTAATTTGTGTGTACCTAGCGCCTGCTCATTATACGTACTTTCCCCCAACGTTACCTTTTATCGCTGCGAGCATTAACTTTTGCTCAGCCTCGCTTTTATTGGCCTTTTGTCTGGACTGCTCTGTCATGTTCATCGCGTATGCCCAATCGGCGACCATCAAGTATTCAAATGATGCTCGCTGAGAGACAAGCGCGCAGCAATTCAATCAATTCCCTGGTACTTTATGATTCGTGTGCAGCGAGGTAAAGAGCAGAAACAAAGGTCAGCGACATCGTCGCGAAAAATGTCCGAAGGAACGGAAGCATGTTTGAGCGGTGTGTCACCCATGGCAACATCGAATTGATTTGTAAGAATCGTACGCGCACGCACACGTGTTCTTTTGCCCAGCGTGTGAAATCGATGTTAAGGGCGTGATAAGCAACTCTGTCGGTTTTCCCTGTGGACGCTCGATAGGTTTTTTGACATCGGTAACAACCTGATTATTCATCAATTTTTTTTCGTGACTAGCCCTTGTCAAGCTTCGTAATTGCTTGTTATACCGGTGTGAGCAAAAGCGAATTTATTTGTTTTAATGAAACATTCATGTGTCGCTGCTTTGACAAGTGATACAAATAATGACGTTATTGTGTAACGAGCCGTTAGAGCTATAATCTAGTTCGTAATTAGATCAAGAACCCGCCGATCAATTCAAGAAAGTAGTTTAACACCGCACAAATGCGATATCTTATTTCACGTATGATCGCCCTCTTAGTTGTTTGAATTCAACGGAATGGGCTAATTTTCATCGTTAATACCAGATCAATCTTGATGGGTAAAAAAGGATAGTTTGAAAGAAAATGAGACGCACTATGTATCACAAGACGCTAAAAACAATGTTTTATTAGAAAATAAATAAAAATTGGTACACACGACATTGGTACAGAGTTTTAGAATTTAGTCAAGAGGAAAAACAACATATAATACCAACGTGCAATTTGTAGCAGAGAGAGAGAGAGATATATATATAGAGAGAGGGAGAAAGAGAGAGCAGTGGAGCATGACGTACAGGAGAGCCGCACCGATGATTCGCTATGAATTTTTCGCGTAAGCACGTTCAATTATTCAATCGAGCGTTGTTTTTTTCGTCTCCTACTCTCTTCGTCGATCGTCCAGCTGGGATTGATTTACCAGGAGTGGTGGCCGTGACCATGGACTGGGTGGATTTCAGGCTCGTGGTGGTGCTGAACTTCGTAGCCGATGAGCTTCGGGTGGTGGACGTGGGGGTAGTCGTAGTGCAGTTTTACGGACTCGTCGTGCACCTTCAGGTGAAGGGGCTTAGGATGAAGAGGTGGGATTGGGTGCGGCTGGGGCACCTGGATCACGTGATGGTGTTCGGCCTCATGATGCTGCAATTATTTGGAAAATCAGGTTGTATTAGTTGATCAGCTGATATTCATTCGTGCCTAGTACTTTCTTTCAACTGGAGCATATCTTTCACAGAAAATAATTTTGCGCTGGAAACACTTTTTTCAAGACCTCAGGCAAAACAATCTCAAAGAAGATGATATACAAGAAAAGATTGGCATCGCCGAAAGTAGTAAGAATTAAAAAGATTATTTGTAGGCCCTGCAATAAAACTCATCAGAGTTGATCGTAGAAGTACGCATAAATAGTAAACATAATAAAAAGAGAAGCTCGCTCCTGGCGAAACCCAGCCACTTGTAGAGCGACTTCGTTTCGATGAAATTATAGTTATACGGAATAATACGTTACATGCTGCTGCTGCCAAGGATTCCACGCGTTCCACGGGTTCCAGGCATTACTACTTTGCCAGGGGTCTTGCCAACCAGAACTGCGCCACGGATCGTGCCAGCCCTTGACGGTCGACCGATTCAACAACAATTGCGTGACTTTCTTTTTCAAATATTCTCGCATCTCGTTATGTCAGTATTGGCATTACCGTCGGCCGTTGATACTACGGAGGATGGCGATTACGATACAAAGAAAGCGACGACGATTCTTTTCCATTTCTCAGTGTTGTTTTAAAGTGCTGACTTTACGTACACGCATAGGACTCGAATGAACGGCAAAAAGCCGTACTTCGTGTCAACAGAACCCGAAAGGTCGATCCCCGAAAACATCGAGCTTCTTTGCACCCAATCGGACTCTCCCGTCATTGAATTGCACCGACGGAGTTAGAGGTTTACACCATGAGAACATAATAACCCAGAGAGGAGGAAAGAACTGATTGCGAGGCGCAACTGCAACAGAGTCCAGTAGCCGAGTTTCGAATTGCGCCGTCGATGGTTAATGCTCCGTGGCAAGTCGAGGCTCATAACTCTCTCGCTGCGTTCCCTCTCAGACGGTTGTCGTTAGGTCTTTCCGTCAAAGGGAAACAACTTGGTAAAGCGAGAATCGCCGATTCTCGTGAACGGGGACAAGAATAGTGTTTAATAAAGTAAGAGTGGAAGGTAGCTCGCACGCAACTTAGTGCGGATGGAGTTCTGCGAATCAGACGATGCGATTTTGTAAAGTTTTGCTTGCGATAAACCAGCAAGAATACCTTACTTTTGTTCTTTCTATCCGATAGACTCTATTTTCATTCGCAATCCGTAATGTTCTGTGGTAACGTGATTGCGCAATTTTTTATAGACACCGTAAGCTACAAAATAAAACACAACCTGATAGTCGGTAAGTATGAGAGAAGTAAAGCTAATTTTAGTAGCACAAGCGTTCAGAGATGTAAGTGGTTGTTATACGGGACATAAACAATCGAATTACCTCGTATCCTGGGAATGCACTGACAGCAGCCACAATGGCCAACAGAACAATCTGAAAATAATGTTTTATCGTTCAAAGTTAACTCTGCCGAAAACTTACTCGTTTTTCGAAACGGAAACAATTTTGTTCCGGATTCGAAAAGCAAAAGTTCTCGAGATTCATGCTAGTTCGTGTAATTTACAATTTTTTAATCGACACTTTGAAGAAAAATAAGTAAAGAACCGCACTTCATTTCGAGCATGTATGGATGCGTGCGTGCGTGCGTGTGCGCGCACGCGCGCGCGTGTATGTGTGTGTGTGTGTGTGTGTGTGTGCGTCTGTTAAAATCAAAAGCTTTAGACTTACGAAGAACTTCATGTTTGATTGGTTGGTTTTGGTGTTGTGTATAAAAGTGTTAGCACGCGAGCACGCTGTGAAACAAACTATGCACCTGACAGGGCAGCCGCAGCAGCTTTTATATCGTCGAGCTGCCCCCAGCGGCGCCTAGACCTAGAAAATTCAGCCGAAGGCGGGGACTCAGTCACGGGGGATAGTCCCCTTTCACTTCTTGCCGCTGCCGTTGCTGCATTCGCGAGACGACCCTTCGCGGAGTCGAGCCCCCCAGACCCACTCGTTCGACTGGTTACGCAGATTCGGCGAGCTTGTTCGTGGATTATTATAGATTTTTGGTTTTGCTTTGGTTACGGCTGCGACATTTGTCTTTTCTTTTTTCAAAAAAACGACTCGGATAGTCGTTAAGCGCGCGATTACTCAATTAATAATTGCTATGCTTCGAATATTCATTCGTAAAGTTTTCTTTAAAATAGTCGGCTTCGTATTCAAACAATTTTGATAGGTGAAACGAAATTATTCGAATTTTCTCAGTGACGTAAGACGGAAAAGCCTGCCAAGATTTTATTTCGCGATTACGTTTTCCTTTCTTTGTTAGCTTCGATTCTTTCTTAAACGTCCAGTTTGCACAATTCGTACAAAATTTTGAAATTATTTCCTTTTAATGTTGCACTGCTAATATTAGCTTGTTTAAATTAGAACTAGAATGTCGGCAGCCATTGTCTTTGAGACTTGGGCAATTGACTGAACTGTCTTTTGGGAGGATGATCGCGTCACGAAGCAACGAACGAAGGAGCAAGAGGAACAAAAGAAACCCTTCGCGCAGAGGATAGTTTGGCCAAAAAGCCGTGTGATGAAGCGCGCGATCGCGAAGCGAAGGCCACTCAGGCAGGCGTGTCTCTGTCGTCGGAGCACCTTGGCCAAGTTTTCTAAATCAAGAAGGGTCGCCCGCTGGTGGCCGCGCGCACGCCATTTACAGTAAAGCCGGCATTCCGCCGTTGCCCAGGTGTCAAGGGACCGCGCTAGACGCCGATCGCCTTTCGGGATTTGTTTTGCTTGGCATTATGGGCCGCGCCCGCGATTCTTGCGTTTGCCCACCACCGCTGTGTATGTACACACCAATCAGTGTCAGTATCAAGCTAATCAAGGGAATCAGCCACTGCCGCGGTTTCATCGCAAGCTTTTTTTCGACTGCACCTGCTATAGGAGTCGAATGTATATAAGCATCAAGTAAAATGTCAATGATTTTTAGTGCACGTACATATATATAATATCATCCAGCCAGTCAACGTTGAAACAATCTTAACCATCTTAGGCTGCTTACATCTTGGCTAACAATCAGCGCAAAAGCAAAAGCAAAAAAAGTGGAAAATCCAGATCACAAATAATTGCTAGCGAGCAAGCGATGACTCGCCCTCATCGCCGATGCTGCTCACGATTGTCATCGGTTTCAGTTCAAGGTGATATCCATACGCACTTTGCGTCCCTTCGATTGCGCTAGCTTTTCTCTCTCTCTCTCTCTCTCTCTCTCTCTCTCTCTCTCTCTCTCTCTCTCTCTCTCTCTCTCAAAAGCCATGCAGTCCGTTGCCTTTTTTTTTATTGTTTTGCTGTGGCAATGCACGCGGCTTTTTTGCCTAATGTCTCTATTTGGCTTTTCGCTGTGCGCACAGTCGAGTTAGTCAGCCTTCTCGGAAACATCGTAAATTCGAACGATGCCAATTGTCCGTTTGATACAGACTGCACACCGAGAGCTGAAGAAAAAAGATGTTTTCGAAAGGACGAAAAAAATCGCTTCGTTTTCCCGTTACAGTGCCTTGACCCTTTTTCTCTTTGTTCGACAACAACGAAGCGTTTCAATAAAAGGGAACGTTTGTTTGATTATGCAAATATCAATAGTTTGTAAGAAATGCCATTTTCATGAGCTACAGCCGCCGATAATCGCATGGGTTTAATGTTCTCCGGTGTACTACTTTTTGATGTTTATACACGAGAAGCATACTTTGCGTGAATATAGTGAAAATTTTAATGGCATCGCGTTGGCCGACTATTCATATCCGTTACTACTGCAGCGACTCGTTTCTTCATCGCATTGTTCTGTCTGCATTGCGAACGAAACATCATATATTTAATTATCTAATAAAAAAGGTTTTTCCAACATGTAGATCGAAAGATGCATTTTTATTGATAGTTGAAAAGAAATCCACGCGCGCACTACTTCTCAGGCGCAAAAATAAAATAAGTGTGAACAGAAGATAGGCGCAGCCCCGGCAACTTCCCAAAGGTAAAAAAGACTCGTAAAGTTGAGACATTACTCAACGACTGCACGACACACGAAATTGGTAAATGCGCAGGTGGTTAACCGGACGAACCGGTAGGTTTGGACTTGATGCGGAGCTTGGTGCCGTTTACGAGAGGCGCGGTCAAGCGTTCGTTTTCATCTCTTCGTTTCCGCGCTCGACAGTCGGCGCGCGTCGGCGGTTACGTCACTTACGCAACTGCACTCGCACTACGCTTTCTCTGGATCTCGTTTGCTTGCTCTGAGATTAGGCTGCGTGGCCTTGCGATTCGTTCGGGCATCGGGCTGATCTTGGCTCGCCGAATCTCGGCGAATCTCGCGAGCGGACGTCGAGCCGAGCAACGCCGCGCGGAACAAGCAGAAGAAAAAGAAACGACGTGTTTCGCATTCCCGTGGCTTTTCGGTGCAACACGCCGTACAAATACATTAGCGCGTAACTGCGGTAGACCGAATTGTAATAATTGCGCGCGCCGCGAGCAGCGCATATACATCTGCGCGCTCGCCGTGGTTATGAAAGTAGGCCGATCGCTCGAGGCGCCTTCAGGAAAACTGATTGTGTTCGCTGCGCTGCTCTCTCGCTCTCTCGTAAAGTGCCGAGTACACTCGCGCGAAAGGATGCGATCTTGCGCCGATACGACTTTATGATTTCCTTCGCTTCTTTTCCTTTGATGCGTTCGTAGCAACAACAAAAAACTGGCTTTTCTTTTTCATCGTTTCATTCAACTAACTTTTCATTTGACATTCGCGTGAGTTCGGTTAAGATGATCCCAGACGAAATTGTAAAGTGTGGTGATTCGCGATTAATGGGATTAACGCGACATTTGGAGAATGTCAATATTTCATGGCAATATAAAACGTTTAACTTGCTGCTTTCTGTAGGTTAGTAGTTCACAGTTTATGGTCTCGTAAAGGAATTAATTGGTGCATTTCTATGATTCGTATAATATAAAACCTTGGCCTGGCATATTTTGATAACCATAGTTGACAATTTTCCATCCGATTTTCTCTTAACCCAAATTCACCGAATGATCTTTTACTTATTTCACTAAGTTTCGTTTCAATAAGCGTTACGAATATAATTGCAAGTTTCGCAAAAAATCTAAAATATGCAAATGATTTTCTCTAGAAAATAAGACTACACACGCAGTCCACAGATATACACATTCGCACCTTTTATATAATGTGATACTTTCATCTGGTGCTGTGGTAATGCAAAATCAGGCTGAAATATATTATTTTATGCAAGGTTCACTTTCGACTCGGATTAGCGAAAATTTTGCATACAAATCTCGTTTTCCGGCACGACTTTATTTTTGCGAAAATCGAGTTTTATATTACGTGTGCCAAGAATATTTAATTGCAATCATATCACAGCTTTAAAACGCCTAAAGAAAATGAAACAAGGTAAACCCAATCGAGTGATTTATGTTATTCATTTGAACATAAAATTATTTTACGAGACTGAAGTGTATAAAAAGTTGTAATGAAACAGACATCGAATAAACTGCGTTCAATTCAAACTCAATGACTCTAAAGAAAAGATAGCTGAGAAGAATATAAATAATGAAACTGGCAATGTATGCTTGATGACATTCTAAATGACAAATAAATAACAAAGTTTAAGAGTGTATCGTCAATGTATTCCGAAACTCCCAGTTCCTTGAAATGCTAAATGCAAATCGGCATCTTGTCAATAGTTAAAACTACAAGAGCATAATAATTCAATCATACGTTTGTCGGAAAAAAAATACTCGAACACACAGAGGAAAGCAAGAAGGATTGCCCCCAAGGGATTTATCGCGTGCGGAGGCCTGCCTGATTTATTATTAACAAAGTTATGCGGCTAACGATGTCTAATCTCTTATACATCTCCAATTTGCGACAATCCGTCGGTCGACGAAATGTTGCAACCCTATAGTCGAGACGTATTAAAATTCAAGAAAACAACTAACCCGCAAAAAGAAAAAAGTTGTCGAATTTGATCCGCGCGATTTGTTCATGCAAATTAATCGCGGAGGCACGAATTTCAACCCACTCACCGCTGCCGCTTGGTCGAGCATAAAGTTTCGCTTCTATATACATAATGCGGCAATATTAACGTTCGCCAGTTTGCCTTTTGCTTCACGTGATAGCTTCGATAGTTTTATGGGTTGGTCGTTTGAAATACTCACAAGTTTTTTTTTCAAGCGAACTTCTTTTCCAGCGCAGAGAGAGGAAAAACAATTCTGAAAATTATCAGTTTTTAATTGATTTTTAGCATAGTTTATGGAAAGACGAAATAACTGCTTATAAATAGTTTTTAAACAAAAGGAAATGAAAACGTTTTTCTAAAGGTTTTCGTGATTTATGAAAAAGCAATTTGTCTTTGACTTTTAGTTTCTATCTATCAGCGACCACGTAACATCGAGTGATTATCGATTCAATCGTAATCATCCATTAAAAGTCATATACTCGGTTCGTACAACAAAACTTCTTCATCAAAATAAGTTTCATGTCGAGTTTGTAATACAAGCCAACAAAAGGAAAGAAAATTAATTTTCCTCGCGAAACAATGACGCCGGGGAAAAAAATGGATAACGAAACTGCGAGATGATAGGACGCGCGATAAGGTTGCTTAAATGAATGGCCGTGTATTTAGTACATAATCACATACAAAAGGAATATACTTAATGTGAGCAATGTGCAGTATTATTTCACGCCTGCAACCAACATGCAACATGTGTGTGTGTGTGTGTGAGAGAGAGAGAAAATTTCATTCTGTGTTGTTTTTAC